GGGGGGGGGAGCGCCGTTGAGTGAAAATCTCGGGATTTGCGATCTCACAAGTTGTACAACAGCGTGGAGGAGTCTTGACTCTTGCACTGTCACTCGTCTTTGGCAACCAGTCAAAGGTCTAGGATTCGATCTACTAAAAATGGTGATCCCGGGAACAGGACGAGTTGGTACGGAGATTCAAAAGATTCACAGATTGAGACACGCACACGCACCTCGTGTCACCTAACCTAACCTAACCTATCCACCCCCTCGGAGAACTCTAGTCATGAGATTTATCTGGCGACACCACCTTCCCATTTCTATATGTGTGTTCCGAGATCAATTCTCGTGATTGAACCAGATCTCTCTACTTGTGGGCTTCCGTGGAGAAGAAAAGAGGTCCACCAATCCCCCCCCCTCCCGTGGTGTCTCGATCCAAGATGGATATTTGTTTGACACGGGCGAGGGGGGCAGATATGGAGATGGGATATGGAGACTTGTTAGCGGTTTGGGTAAAATCGACCAACATACGGAGTACATACAGTAAAAAGTACATCCTGACGTGACGTGACGTCTTTGACTCTGGCTCAAGTCGGGCTTTTGAGACCTACACATCAACCCGTAAGAGAGATAGTATGTGGGTGTGTGTGACAGTATTCGCAGTTATCCTCTTTGATGATGGGGCGGCGGGGGCGGCGAAATAAGCACAAGATATGTATCCATCAGATGATATATTTGGTCCGGATCTAAACCCTACAATAGGAGAAGAGTTGGGAAAAGGGGGGGGGGGGGGCAAGAGTTACAGACCCTGCGTGTCGACTGTCTGGGCTTGACAACTGACTTGTGGTTCTCGTGAATCACCGTTATCTAGGACTCTTTCTTGACAGTGGTGTACAATCACACACCACCACAGCCATGCCTTTTTACACGCGCGCGCGCGAGAGAGGGAGAGAGAGAGGGAGAAAGGGTTGGAGGTGGTGGAGGAGGAGGAGGAGGAGGTGGAGGTGTCACCCAGACAGAAAACCTATCTCGATCATGAGGATTGGCTCGTTGGGGCGTATGTAAAGCGTTGATCGTGAACATGAACCCTGGAAAGAAAGAATTCCAAGATCTGTCTCCCGTTGACAGCGCCCAGATTCCCCTGGCACCTGTTGTAGGACGGTGGTTCGTTCGCCAATCTCGGCATCATCTTCTCTCAAAAGGGGAATCAAAGAGGAGATCTACAATACTACTTCGTACCCTTTTGTGAGCCTTGAACCCATCATTGATGGCCAGAGCCATTATATGTATGTATGTATGTACTTGATTTGAGGAATGATTGATTCCTCCTCCTCCTCCTCCTCCTCCTCCTCCTCATCCTCGGGTGGCCGGACAAAAACAAGCAACGCCTGAGAAGCTCAACCACCGCACTACAAGAGTTCAATGATCACTTATGAAGGTTTCGCCTGAATTTAAGATCATCAGTCGATCACCTCGCTTTGTGATCCCAAAGACCCGGTGTTTTTTAAGATCGACCCCACAAACAGTAGATCTCACACAACAAGATCCGATCAACGAGTACGAGAATAAAATGTTACACGACATGATATAATCAAGGTAAAAATACTGTAATCAATAGTTAAGAGTGAATCATCATCATCATCGTCGTCGTCGTCGTCGTCGTCAATGTCGGGTGTCAATTACTCCGGATAGCCGACTGGTTTCCCACAATCCCAATGCGGACCAAAGAAATGTACAATACATACGGTAGTTTTCTTTTTTCTCGCCAATCTACCTCCCGCTCGTTTCGACGTGGTGACAGATGAAAAGACTTTTGCACTATACCTACAATAGGTAGAGGGAGGTTTGCTAACGGTCTACAAGTATTGTATGTACAATAAATACGGGTAAGTGGGTTGCTATGTCCTGTGCACCAGTCTGTGCTCGACAGGGAGACCAATAGATACCAATGGGACAGACTTCCTTTTTTCTTTTGCCTTTTTACCGACGGATCGGAAAAGGGTCTTTGCTTGACGGGGGTCTTTACCCATTGCAGATATCGTCAAGTGCCAGTGAGATCCATTCAAAAACTCTTATCATCATCATCGTCACGGATCATCATTTCGGACCGTTGAACGAGACGAGTAGTTAGTACTGTACTCCGTTTCTGGAACTCACTCGTACGAGGTGGTTGTGTCCTATGAGACCCGGATCAACAACGACAAACAACAACCCCTTGTACGGAACGGAGTACGATCGAAAAGAAAACCAGCCCCCAAGACCAGATCTCAACCTTGATTTCCACGTACATGCACGCCAGGTGAACCTCAGCCGAAACGTCCAGGGTAGGGAGGGGGCCTAATACGAGTACGAGTAATGATACTCACTCGCTGATCTCGAACACTGCGTAATTGCATCTTGGTATCATCCGCATCTTACGTCTCCGTGGAGGATCTAGTACTACAACAACCCCCCGAACGGGTTTTGAGATCTCGCTTTGGACTGCCCCCTTGTGCACCGAACACACAAACCGACGATTCCAGATCCAAGTCTTTTTTTCTTCTTTTGAAAAAAAAAACCCCTTTTACCGAGACGTACCGTACCGTGCAAAAACATCAATCCACGACGGGCCCCCGTGCGCGGAGCCCTGCCATTTCATTCATCATTAGGCTTCTGACTTCAGCTTCGTTTGAAACGGGGGGGTTTTTCTTTTTCCAAATCATCATGAATGACGGCAACGATTTGGGACCGGAATCACGTACCTGTTGTAGGTAAGATTGCTTTGGGTAGGTAGTCAGTCCCTCGGCCGTCATCGTTACTACCAGTTACTCAACTTCGACACCCGGGCCCCCTCCCCCTCGTCGTCTACCTTGTCGGCCTCGTTTGAGCTCCGGGTACACTTACTCACATTGCCTCGCTGAAGGAATTTCGCAACGACATGCTCGATTTGGTCTTCTCCATGCATACCCAACGCATGCAAGGTGATGGGGTCATCACACTCGGGCTGCAAGCTCAGCGTTTCCCGGCCCCAAAGATCAAGCCTGGAGCCCTGAGTCAGGGCTGTCTGGCAAGGGGCCGCATCATTAGGCAGCTTTGCGGCCCAAGCTGTTTGAAACATTTTTGGAGGCTTTGGAAGGCTTAAGCCACCCCATGCACGTTAGCCGAACTTCTCGCTTGTTGGGCGGACCCGTGGGCCTCTCGTGTTCGGATGTCTTTCCGAGGTATGGTCGTTGTTTGTCTTTTTGGGCAGCTCATGAAGTGTCAATAACACATCTCAGCTGAAAGAACAGCGATCTCGGCAAACTATCGGGCCGGTATTTGTCTTCTCGTCTGGAAAAATTTTCGGATATTATTGTTGTTGTTGCGTTCAAGACCCAGTCAACGGGGGATTGAGGCTGTGGGACTGTACACAAGTGATTTCCCCCTGACAACATGGTTATGATGGCGTATGATATGACCCTGTCTGTGGCATGTCACTCGTCAGTCAATCAAGAGCCAAAGGGTAGGTACTAGAAGACGGGTCATTGTTGATTGCTTCATGTCATGTTACGAATCAGGATACTTGCTGATATGTCGTCTCGCTCTGGAGAGCTGCTGCTGCTGCTGATAATAACAAGGGTGTCCATAGAGTGTTGACATCCGAACGACTAGAGAAAAGGAACCATGCAGAATTGACAGAGACAGGTACATACTACGTAGTGTGTAAGACGTTGTTCCTACTCCCGTATGCAAGTCAGATTCGAGGCCTGAGGCACCAATGGTAGCATATCTATCCTCAAGATCAAGATCATCATCATCATAATACCATGCTTGTCCATGTCCATGTCCATTGTATTGTTGTCATCCTAGAAGACTCAACTAAGCCCGCAAGTGTTTCCGTCCTTGAAAGAGAGATGACACATCGAGATCTCCTTGTTCGCTTCTCTCCCTTCACCAAAGGTACTTGTAGTCATACCAAAAGATCAATCCCCCCTTTGGAAACCAAGCAGTAGATCATCCACACCAAATCAAACCTTGTCAGTAGCATCTTCCACAGTCTCAACGACGGCAGAACCAGCTCTCTTGTTATCCCCGACCATTTCCGTGTGGGCAAGTTCCCTCGCCCTCTCGGAACTGACACATTGATAACTCTTGAACTTGCTGACGGGGACACGGTTCTGGAACAACTCGTCCAGTTCTTCGAGAGATCGATCCTTCATTTCAGGGAGCATGAACCAGAAAAAGACTGTTTTTCGAGCAAACGAATTAGTACAGGGTCAATTGGAAACTCCCTGAGAGAACGACCGGAGCGAGGAGAAAACTCACTAAACACGCAAGCGTTCGATCCAGCCCAGACATAGGCATATTTGGCTCCCCAATTGAGTTGAGCGGGATTGATAAAGTATGGTGCGGTATATGATGTGAGCCCTAGAAGGAATGTCAGTCAATTGGTCACATGTATACACCCACACTCTTTCTGAAACCCACAATTGAAAAAATAATTCACACCCGTACACACACCAATGGTCAAAACTCTCAGTCTTGAACTGACCACTTCGGTAGCCACGGGCCAGCTGAGAGTCCCCGAAAACCCATTGTAGAAGAACCCGTAGAGAACCATGAAAGCCACAATGGCCGTTCCCGCAGGGTGTGACGTTCCTCCAGTCGTGTACGCGATACCAATGACGAGCATGCAGAGTGAAGCCATAGCAGACCCAAAGAGCATGGACGTCCGACGTCCAATGACCTTTGTGGTGAAATATAATCCCACGAGCACACCTGCGAAACTACCACATGTTGAGATGATGGAGGCTTGGAATGGCTTGTCGATACCGGCTATCTGGAAGAAGAAGGTCTGGGAAACATCACCAGATCAGCCGACGTCCTCTCTTTCGTACGACGCCCACCACGTTCACAAGTGACGAGAACTTACCCCGTATCCAATAATGAGCCACAGTCCAGCTCCGGCATGAGAAAGAATGGTTCCAAAGCAGATGATGGTTCGCCGTAGGTCCGTACCCTTGAATATGTCAAAGACGGACGAGGAGGATGCCAACTCCTTTTCTTCCTCGATACCACGGGCCATTTCGAGATATTCTTCCTCGAGGAATTCCGGCTGCAGGGAATTCCCTCGAAGACGTTCAAGAGCTCGTTTCGCCTGCTCGGGCTTGTTATGAACAAGGAGCCATCTTCAGATGATTAATCAGCTTTTGAGGTCGTGGCAAGTCAAAACAAACTTACCGGGGTGATTCTGGAACAAAAAACATAAAGATGCTCAAAAGTCCAGGGACGGCGAACAGCGATGCCAGAGGAATCTGATAGCAGAGCTTGTCCAAATGCTCCTTGGAGTAGTTGTCGGCGACAGCACCCAAGACGCTGCCAATGTTGACCCAGACACCAAAAAAAGAGACCAAGAGACCTCGCAAATGTGCAGGGGCTACCTCGGCGACATAGACGTTGGCAAAGGTGATGAAGTATCCATTGGCCAGACCGATCAATATACGACCGGCGTAGAGGCCGGCAAGCGACGTGGTTCCGACCTGAATTCCGGCCGCGATAAAGTTGATGCCGCTGGCCACCCAGATACCCATGCGCCGACCGAAATATTTGGCGAACGGTGCGGTGACAAAGACTCCGATGATTGTGCCGACGTTGATAAAGGAAGTCATCAGCTGTTGAACTTGTGTGCTGATACTCCAACCTATCTCGGACTCTGGGTTGCGGTAGCCGAAGATTTGTAGGAAGCCCACCATACTCTGGAAGCCACCGACCGAAGCTGTGTCAAAGCCATACTGACAGTTGGCCAGGGAAACGGCGAGACAGATGAGGACGCATTTCCAATTGTCCTTGAGAGGCGTGGAGCGCTCCTTACTGATACCCATCGCTACGATGCTGGGTATTGGGTTCCCTTTTCAATATCTGAAAGAGACGAGAGCGAAAAATAACACTCTGTTCAGATTCAGAAGAAGTACTTGGACTCGTCGGCTGGAAAATCGAAAAAGACTCCCGGCGGAGAAGGAGAACGGTGATGGCTCCAGCCTGATATATCAGATCTCTCTCCTTTTGCCATGGGGACCTCGCATCCCCAAGATCCCTCCATCTTCCCCGCAAGATGGGGCGGACCTGTGGGAGCAATCTCTGTATGTACTGTACCTTTTTTGCGGAGTGGTGAGCATTAGATCTTGGGGAGAGCAAAATAACTGTCGCCAGCCCTCTGTTTGGTGCAGCAAGCTACTAGGTGGCATACCTTGGTATTGCTTGGCCCTGGGGCAGGGGCGGAGAATGATAGAAGCTCTCATTCGTCCAAGGGTCCAACATACCAGGCTGAGTGGGCAAGCATCTCCCCTAGCCGTGTGTATAGCGATATGCCGATGTTTGCCAAGGGGGCGTCAACAAGCTCGACAAGTTGCTAACTTGCCGCATCAACCGAAATGCTTACCCTAAAGCCCCCTTGGCAGCTTGGCTTCAACAATGGGCCAAAACCACTGCCCTGGTTAGGTAGTGTTGTACTCCGTAAGGACTGGTGAACAGCCCCGCAAGATATGTTTAATAGATAACTTCGCTTCCTGGGGTATCTTTGACGGACATTCATCAATGACCGACCGGACTCTTGGACCAGCCTTGATGGGTATAGCTTTTGTCTTGTCATGGCTCGATAGAACGAATGAGGTTTGTTGTAATACCTAAAGCGTTCGTACGGATATGGAGTTGAGATTGGACATCCCGAGGTTATCACATACTTGAGACCGAGGATAGAGTGACAGACAGAAGATGGTCAATATCGGTACACAATGTGGGAGAATGTTACAATGTAAAGGGAATAAATACACCAAAAGTCGTGCCAAGAATAGGACTCTCTACAAGTCAGAATACGAGTACGAGTACGAGTATTCATGTTGTGAGAAAATGAAGAAGAAATAAAACCGTAGCTCGGATCAGATCTTATCAATTCGAAGAAAAAAACCCTCATCAGCCTCTCTACATGGGCTGTTGTTGTTTCACATAGGTACCCCGTAGGTACGTATACAACAAAAGATCTAAGTGGAATAAGAAGCCACATACTCCGTATATCAATCATCAAGGAGAAAAAAGCCGTTGTGCCCATCCACATACAAGGTCCAACCCCAGTCCATCCCTGTCCACAAACAAATCAACTTGTGCCGAGTTCCACCACATGTGCCGTGGAAGCGAAGGGTGGGATCCTCCCACAAAAAATAGTAACCGAATCAAATTCAATTCCTTCCAAAAAATCGGTACACGAGATGATCATCTTCGTACCTCGCTGCCTCGCTCGCTTGCTATCGACCCTGTCCCTTAAAACCCTTCCGCTTGAGACAAAAAAAGAATTGCTCTTGCCCAGTTAGCTCCCAGTCATAAAATTCAACTTTTTCTTTGCCTGTCCCAGTTCCTATCAAGGAGGGAGTTCCCATTTCGTCGGGTAAACCTGTAGGTTGGTATCAATCAACTGTAAATTTCGTTTCGTTCGTGATTTCATCAAGGTCGTCGTCCAACAGAACTCCGTCAATAATTTCCACGTACATAAAATGCTCGTGGTAGCAGTATGTTTTGTGCATTGCCAGAGCAGATTATGCTGACATGCTCTCAGCTCGACTCATAACCAGATGTCTCCTCCTTCCCCTTTCTCCCACTTTTCCCACGCTGACCAGTACGCAACCTCCAGGTCTCTGACCCAGCGTTGCGTGTCAAAAAGCCGACTGGACCATCGACCTTCCCACAACATTCGTCGATAATCCATCAGACGGCCTTTCCCACGACCCTTCAGACGGCCACCTGATTCTTGTGAGGGGTATTTCAGCCCTCGAGCAAGCTCGATGGCAGTATTGACATACGCCTTCTCGCTTTGGACAAGCAGCTCGCGTCGAGCATCTTCACCTGCGCGTCCATCTGGCAGGGCGCTTGCAACGATACTCCCAGCCATGCGGCTGCACATCTTGTACTTCCACTTCCCCCACGTCACAATCGGAGTACCAGACCATACCACATCGGCGGCTGTGGTGTGTGCGTTGCATTCCGGCGTGTCGAGGAACAAGTCCACCACAGACGCGCGTGTGATGTGTGCGCCTTTGGCAGCAACGTCCGTGAAGATGACCCTCCTGGCGACGTCTGGATCCGCCCATTCTCGCGCATACTTCAAAAGGTTTTGCTCTCCCAGGTCGGGGAAACGCAGTAACCAGAGGATGGCATTCGGCACCATTTTCAAGATTTGCAGCCATGATTCAAACGTTGCGGGATCGATTTTGTACAACTGGTTGAAGTTACCAAGAATCACCGCCGTGTCAGAAAGAGTCGGGAATAACTCTTTTCTCAACTTCCAGCGAGTTTCTTGTTCTTCCTCCCAAGCAGTCTGACGCTTCAACGGGTCTTTGAAGTTCGGCGGTCCTTTGTTTACGTCTGGTGCGCTCTGTTTGTGGTCCACGCAGAAAAATGTGTCACGTGCAAAGATGACATTCTCTGCGTACACCCAATCTTCCATGTCTTCGACCAAGGCATCAGGTCGGAGGCGATCTTCAATGTCCACATTCCGTCTCCATGGGGAGAGGGTATCGGGTGGCACAGAGATTGTATCGGCAAAGACATAATCGCACCATTCAGCACCCAAAGTCCCCGCGAAACCCATGAAAGACATATGGATAGGCGCAGGCCGAGCTGCGAAAACTTCATTGCGTGCACCTCGGGTATAACCATTCAGGTTCACCAGTACGTGTACATTGTCCTTGACAATCTGATGCACAAGCCGCTCAACACCCCACGACGAAGCATCGTGGAATACGGGAGCCTCACGTTCAATTTGCTGCCGATGAATCGAGCCATCCGAGGCCGTTGTTGCATAGCAAATGGCTCGGACTTTGGTTGGATTGTGCAGCCCAAAGACCGATTGCATCAAATGTGCCAATGGATGATTGTTGAAGTCCGAGCTGACATAGCCAACATTGAGGTTAGGGTCTGGGGGTGCCGGTGGCGGAAACACAGTAGCTGGAAGCCATGCAGAGCGAAGTGTGCACACTGAGATTCGAAGTGCATTCCGCTGTGATATCTGTCTAATTTGTTTCGCCGACAGAGGTGCGGTGAAGGTATGGAATGGAAGGACAGTCGGCGCCGAGGGTGGTGAGAGCGTGTTTGGGAGAAGAGGCCGCGAGTATTTTCGTGCCGGGTATTCTTTGCGCTTGATATATCGATCCTGGTACCACTGCCAGCCAATGTAGCGAATCGCCCGTTCGATCAAGCGTACTATCCTCGAACCTTCCCATTTCTGTCCTGACCAGCTGCGTAGTGCCTGTTGCAAGATTTCGATGGCCGGCTCTCGTATGTTGTCGTGGGAGTCAAGCTTATGCAGGGAGAGTTGTGCTGAAAGCGATTCGACGACTTTCGAGGTGAGCGTGCCACATCCCCAAAGCTCACCTTCCTTGAGCTGCTTCTCGACAATTTGGACAACACGATTGATCCATCCGTACGGCCGGTACGGTGCGTGCTTCATGCCATCCTCGTCAACATGAAGGCGGTCGCGCAGCTTATCATAAGCACAAATGCCGCCACGGCCATGCCAGCTGCATACTGAATTTAAAGCTGTGGCAAGACCGCAAACAGCTTCCGCAAAATCGGGGTTGGCGCCCACTGCACGCTTGTAGTAGACAATGGCATCCGCCACCCGACCTTGGTCTTTCACTGCGTTGGCGAGGTTTGCCAATGCGATATCAAAGCTGCCATCACAACTGACTGCACGCTCATACATCTTGATGGCGGCGCTAAGTTGACCAATGTCTTTGAGGAGACTGCCCAGGTTGGTGAACAAGTGAGCATGCTTCTGGTCGATGTTGAGACCATAGTTGTAGTACATCAGTGCCAAAGAGATTCCACTGCCAGCACTGACTCCGGGAATGTTCGAAATTTGGGAGAAGTGCGACTCAGCCAGATGAGCGGGGTGAACGCTCTGTTGCACTCCTGCGAGCAGGATGCCGACATTATTGGCCGTCGAAGGACTGCGCTGCAGAGATAAAGAAAGATAGTACAGAGCAAGAATTTCCCTGGTACTCGGTGACTTCAAAGTCCCGATGTCTGTCGCGATGGACATCCCATCTTGGTAGATCTTTGCAAGTGATAACAGCGAGTTGCTTGTCGTAGACACGGCCGCTTGGACCGCGAAGGGAGGAGTGACGTGCTCAAGGCCGGGAAGATCACCATCTGGAGGGAACATGTTCCTAGCAGTGGCCTCGGCGTGTTCAGGAGCCAGCAGGATTGGTTCTTTGCCATCCAGCTTTGATCGAACATACTCAGGGTCTCTGATATTGCGTAGGCAAGCTCTTAAGATATTGTTTATCAGACCCTTGATGCCCTGCTTCCGGTGTCCTGTAGAGATAAGAACTGCATCCTCGAAAGCAGCAGCCGCGCCATGATTGTTTCCCAGAGCATATAGCATGTTCCCTTTTGCGTGAATGAGCGCCAAAATCCGACCATTGTCTGCTCCAGGAATAGCAAAACCGCTTGATCCGAATCCAGGTAACAAAGTCTCGGACCCAGATCCAAAAGTTTGCGGAAGGTCAAAGTCGAAATCATGGTGTGAATGATCGTAGGATGCAACGGTCGCTATACTAGAGGTGTGGCTTCTCGAATCACTTTCAGCATCACTGAGCTCGCTCCAGGCTTGACAATCATCTGGGGGAAGACGTAAGGTACTTTCGACATACTCAATAACGCTTACAGCCTCTCTCGCTCTATGGCTTGCACAAAGCAGACCAATGAGGTGTTCGACGGCTTCAAAGTAGCTAGGTCTCAAACTCACGGCATCGGACCAATACTTGAGTGCGTCTTCCCTCCGATGGAGAGCATGACAGGTTGCAGCAAGATTGGACATTGCCTCGATGTGGCCAGGTTCCTGGTTTAGTACGGCCTGATACCACTCTTCAGCTTTGGCGTAATTCCCGAGCCCATATGCAAGACAACCGGCTAGGAGCATTCCATCTACCCAAGGGGTGTCTGCTTCATGACAGAGAAGCTCCATAGTCCTCAGGGCCGAATTTGCGGACTCGAATGACGGTGGTCTCGTGTAGACATCAGCGAGGGCAGGGCCTACTTTTCGAACTTCGGGTATGCGGTCTCTTGGTGGATAGTGAGTGTTTGAAATGTTACTCGACGCTGAGAAGTGTTGGTTTCCAGCTCCAGCTTGTGCCTGCTGCGGACGGTAGATGGCTGTTTGAGGACGACTAGGGAGTTCAGACGTGGAATGGTCGTTATTGTAAGATGAGAAGGTTTTGGGAGTGCTTGTACTCGTTGGTATTCTATCCAACGAGGTCTCGTGAAAATGTGATCCTGATCGTCTTGGTGGCTTAGGGAAGATGGCAGGTTTCTGCACCGACCTTGAATCGGAAGTACTGCCACCCGAGGCGCGCTGATCCTTGGCCGTCCACCGAATGGTCTGCAGAAGGTCGGTGTAGATCTTGTTGGCCCAGGCAAAAGTCCTGTCCCTGAAAGCGATCCGTTCGGAGCCGGGACCAGGCACAATTGAGGAAAGTAATGGTCTCGAAACAGTTGTCGGATCGGTCATCAAATGCTCAGGCGGTGAATAGTGCTGCGGGAAAGAATATTGAGTATTTTGATAGGTGTTCTGCACATTCCACTTTGCTACTGGTGACTCGACTGTCGTGAGAGGCATCCCCAGAAGCTGGGGCTGGACTGTCTGCATAAACCCATTGTTCCGGGCGACAGGTAGATGTGCTGTATGTTGAAAAGTCCGGGGGTGCTGAAAGTGCTCAGGGGGAAATCTCTCCGTAGGGACCGGTGGAAAGAAACGAGAATCTCGGATAGCAGCCGGGCGATAAGGATTATAGGTGCCATCTGGCCAGTAAGGACCAAAATACTCTTGACTCGCCGAGGCTGTAGGACCGAATTGAGATTGAAGTGTCGCCGGCAGTACGGTTGGAATATTAGATCCCGGCTGCATATAGTATCTCTGCGTAGGGTACAGTGGAAGGGCTTGATTGAGCATGGAGTCGAAGCCGCCAGCAAAGTCCCATGCTGACCGATATGAGTATGGCTGAGAATTTCCGTGGGGCTTATGTTGTCTTTCCTGTCTTCCATCTCTTCCAGGATCCATTCCCCCTATGGTGCCTGAGCGCGAGCCCTGACTCGATGTTGTCCATCGAGCGGAGAACGAGGGAGTATTCGTCTGGAACTCCGGTGAAGAGGAGAGAAGGAGGTGTTTGGATGCAGGATACTGAATGTTCTTGTCCAAGGCCGCTGTATCTTGTTCGGACAGCTTTCCATATGGTGTCTTGCGCTGTCGTACGATCTCATGTTCGGCGTAGCTTAGATTTATCGAAGTATTTCGATCGTGTCGGTATAAGTTTGCCTCGGCAGGTACTGCATACTGTCGAGAAGTTCCGGAGGGGCGGCGAAGGTATATATTAGGGTCTCTGATGGTATCCATCGTATGTGAGGATCGATAAGGTATGGAAAGCATGCTTCGATGTGGCTGCCTAGCAGTCAAGGTTAAGTTATCGCTGGAGGTGATAAGATTTAACCCGCCTCGAACGTGCTAGGACAGGGTCGTTTCGAGGATTTTGGTGAAAACAGAAGAAGGCAACTGGGCCTGCTCGCGGTCTCAAAATCGAAGCTCATTGTGGTGTTCCTCCAGAAGTGCTCCCATGCAGAGATGTCCACGCAACCATGGGTGAAGCAGAAAGACTGTCGTCCAACCCAGGAATCGTAGATGGTATGTATGTGTATGCTTGGGCAGAACGCACGAGACGGCGGTGAGAGGTCGGCAGGTGTGTTCCACGCTTGTCCGTCAATGCAAGGGAGGATGCTGGACAAACTGCAGGAAATACGAGGCGGGCAGACGGTTCGACCAGGGCGCGGCTCGATCAAGGGAGAAGGGATGGAGTCAATGCTCTATTCTAGCGATCGATAACGATACTGTAGGCAACAGTGATATGCGACTTCGCTCACGAGTCTATCGAGTGGGTTGCTGTGATAAAGTCAAGGTCGAAGAAGTGAAGGTTCAAGGTAGGCGTGTTCCAAACGGTCTGATCAAGTCAGAGGACAGAAGTTTACGCCTCATGGCTGCGCATCAACTCATACGGACCATGATTTTCTTTAAACGCCAACGACGGGACGAAGGCCTGGAGACCGCTAATGGGCTAATGCAAAGGGATGGGCTTGGAAGCGGAGGGTCGTGCTTGGGTCTGGGTGGTGTCACTTCTGTGCAGCTGGATGTGTCACGTCGGGCCATGGCGAGATGATTGGCTGCTATAGTGGGCTTACCAGGGCTCCCGGTCTACCTGGGCCTCCTGGCTGGGGACTACGGTTACGCCCCCAGCTGCCAGGCTGCCTCGATGCTCTCCCCAAAGACGCCCGTGTGCCACGTCTCATCCTTCTTCCGGCCTAGTGATGACGATGAAGCGGCCTCCGATGGATAGCACTGGCCCTGGCCCAGCATCAGGCGGATCATCGTGATGCGCCCAGTGGCCGGAGGTTTCCAGTAAGCAATCACGAAAAACTGGGCATTCATCCAGCGCATCGCGTTTCGATTACGAGGAGTGGTCATGAAGGCAATGTTGGCAACCTAGACCACTGCAGGAGGAACACTCGAAGAGGAGCCTCACGGAGGACTCTAACAAACTAAGGCTGCAACAGCAAATCCTACGAGTGTGATCAAGCCAGCGTTCCTTTTTCCTTCTTCCAGGGTCTTTTTCGTAAAAATAGTTGGTGTGTGTGCACCGATCCACGATAGCTCCATTTATAATAGCATAGCGCTGTCCGGGGTATCAGATTTTTTGTGGGCAATCACCACCATCTCGTCTCCGTCCATCCCGGTGTACGGGAATACGATGGGTGAGCGGACACCATTCTCGACACGCGAAGGCCGTCCTACACGTATATCTCTGCGTGACAGCGGCATCAACGTCTGTCCTTCCTCGATATTCCGGCCGTGCGACCCTGTCAAGCTGTCGTGTGCTTTGGAATATTCGTGTCGACGTTTTCCGGTGGGACCCGTCAAGCTGGAGCGGCATGTCAAGCGGTTCATGTGGAAGAGTTGTCTTGACCGGATAGTCGCAGCCGAATCACGGGTGGGCACTGCGACAGTCCGGTCAAGCTGAGTCGATCAGTGACAGATACTGTTCATAGTACGTCGCAGGCAGATTGAGTGGGAATTGATTCCGTTCCATTCATAGCTTGAGGCCGATACCATCTCGATACGAAACAAGGACAGCAGGCTGTCTCCAGGACGGCTTGGCTGAAGGGAAAAAGGGAGGCAGTGGCTCGTGATGCGGAGTTGGAAAGGTGAGACTGTGCGCGAAAGAAATGTCCCCTGTTGTTGGTATTGGTTTGGTACCGGTTTCAGTTCATCTCAGAGGCAGAATTGCCTGACGGAAAGCCGACTTGCACGCCATGACGATGGCAAGCTGCCGTGTTATGTCTCACAACATGACAACAGTGTAACAGTCGTCACGGCGACCAAACATTAAGTGGTAGAGAACGAAAGAGGCTGACGTACAGACGAGGCCGCAATCTAAACAGGATCCGTTGCAAAGGTGCCTCGAGGCATGCAGGTCAACTTGTGGTTAACTTGTGGTTACTGAAGTACATCCTTTGTAAGCGTTGGTTTCGTACGGATAAGTACGGACACGAAGCAATTACCTACAGGTACCTATAGAAATGCAGCTTTGTAAAAACCGGCTTGCAAAAGACCTTGGGACTTTCTACCTTGCAGCTGCAGAACAGTGAGGCTCCCAATGAACGTTGCATTACGGAGTACCAGCAAGTGCCTACTTGCAGAAGCCTTGCCCTGCCAAGCCCAGGCCTTTAAGAGGCAGTTGGAGGAAACCTTTAGGGAGCTCCAGTTAAGGCTAGCCTCGCCAGGCCCTCGTGGCTTGCCTATGAATAATTATTTTCTGACTCCGACGCAAAATTCTTTCCCTTTCTCTTCTCTCTTCATCTACTCCGCCGACCAAGTAAAGTACATTACTTTTATCGCCAGTCTCGGATCTTTCCTTGCTGAGGGTGTTTTCATGTCGAGCGCAGATTAGTCGACCCTCTGGCTGGGCGTCCGGGGCTTAGAGATCATCTTGATCTCGATGGGATCTGGAAAATCACAGTCGAGGGTACAATATGACTTCTATAAAAGCAACTTCGTGATTTCATGTACAAAATCTATTCTCTACCTCTGCGAAAATCTGAGGGGAAATCTCATCGCTGCTATTCCCTTTTACCGTGACGACCAAATTCGGGTCCTGCTGTCGATAAAAGTCGAGTAGACTCTGGCTTGTCTGGTCGAACTTGGCCAGTCGCTTTTTCCATGTGGCTTCACTGTCATCATCCCTCTGTATAAGAGGTTCGCCAGTGACGTCGTCGATGCCTGGCACTTTCGGGTCGTTGAAGCCCACGTTGTACACTCTGCCCGATGCTAGATGTGTCCACCTATTTGCCATTCGAGATAGGATTATATCAGCCGGAGTCACTAGTTGGAAGACCAGATTTATAGGCAAGAGGTAGGACAGAGCTTTCGCTTGACTTGCGGTGCGTGGAAAGCCGTCCAGGATAAAGGAAGTCTCGGGCGCATTGGAGGCCTTCACCACCGACGATGCCGACCCATTCCCTCGCCCTAGCGCCGCAATGATATTGTCGTTGGTGTCCGATGTTTCCAACCATTTCCTCGAGGTGAGCTCGGTTAGAATGAGGTTGAGGATGAGAGGATCGGGAACAAGGCCGCCATCTTTCATGTAGCCTTCTGCTTGAAGTCCTGCATTTCGTCAGTGAACACGCCGATGAACGATCACCATGCAACCGCGTACCTAGATTGCTTTTGTTCCTGACGTTATCGCGCAAGAGGTCCCCTGTTGCAATAGAGCAGAGTTGTGGAAACCTCGCAATTAATCTTTCAGATTGTGTTCCTTTTCCCACACCCGGAGCTCCAACGAGAATGATTCGGGCAGCTCTGTCCAGCTTACGAGACACTGTGCTGAAGGGCATCGTAGTCGTTCTGAAGGCGGAACGGCGCAGAGAGCGAGAGAGAGGGATGTACTGGGCCTGGCGTCCAGGCACAGTGCTAAGAGTCGACCATGTTGATGGTCTAGCGCAGTTGATCGAATATAACGGACGAGGAACGGGTCGCGCAACTCTAGGATGAGGATGTGCCTAGACGTGGGTGCGATAAAGTGCAAAAGACACCAAAGGATGAGAGGAGGAGAAGAAGTAAATATGCTCGGTAATGGAGCAACGCACAAGGCGTGATGGAGTTATATAGTCCACGGAGTACGGAAGTACAGTCTTTACTAAAAGCTTCAAGCCTGGAATTTGGGGGATTTCTTCGATAAGGCCCGGAGCATGGTTTCTCGCTTACCTCGGACCCCGTTGGCTCTCCCTCACGGCCGAGGCCAGCTACAGCTGCGTCCTCGCACTGCGGCCTCAGCACAATATTTGTCACTCATAACGCCTAGGCAAATTTCTCGGTCTACAGAATATAGGCCTCACAGGTAAAGTATAGGTAAGTCTTGTTTGCATTCAACCTATTACTAGAACGCCCAACAGAAAAGGGCCTTATTATTATCTCGTATTTCGCATGATGAGAATACGAAGGCCGCCGAAATGTTATTCCGCCCCGCCACTTTGGAGAAAAGACAAGGCTAGATTTTGGGAGATGATTGCAATTACAGCCTTGTCGCGTGCATGTTAGTTACTTGACGCGTCGAGCGCGCCACCATTCAATTATTCTGGCGTAAGTGGTGCAAGCATTACAACCCTCTTGTCATTCAAGGACCTTCAACAAGAACCACAAAGATGATGCGTACAGAGACGAGGTTCGACCCAAAGCGCAAGAAGGTCGACTACAAAAAGACCCAATTTGCAACAGCCTCCTACAAAGACCAAGGTTACCCGTTTCGCCTATCTTTCTATGATGTCCCGCCAACTCAAGAAATCAGTCTGGAGGAGTTTGAGACCTGGGCTATTGATAGACTGAGGAGTATGAGTTTCTAATTGCAACTAGCAACTTTCCTCTAATGATTGATAGTTCTTGCCGAGATCGAAGCATGTTCTTTCAGAAACAAATCTCCCCAAGAGACAGCTGCACACCTCGAGCCATTGCTTAAGAAATACCTCCCTCTCTCTTCCAACTCTTCTGCACCCGGTGGTGTCGTCGACCAACGCTTACGAAATGAGCGACGCAAAGACCACTATTCTCACTTCATACTACGGTTGGCTTTTTCAGGCACGGAAGATCTACGCAAACGTTTTGCCAGGGTAGAGACGATGCTCTTCAAACTACGTTTTCAAGCAGATGACAGCCGAGAGAGGAGAGCCTTTGTCGAGAGTTTGAACCTGAACTGGGAGCTGGTCCAACAAGAGGAGAAGCAACAACTTGGCGAACAGCTACTGTCGGCGACACCCGGTCTACGCAGACTTGAGGATGAGAACTGGTTCAAAGTTGACTGGACACGGGTGCCGGAATTGGTGGAGCATCGGACCATTCTCGTTAGGAAAGGCAAGGCATATGTTCCTATGCGGGAACAAACCAGTATGGTTTTGACAGAATTTGCCAATCGCCTCGAGAAAGGTCTCGAGATGACCTCACGTGCTCTGCCACGTCTTGACGAAGATGACCGCCTCACGCCTATATTGAACCACCTCTCCAAAAACTTTGCCACTCCTGATGCCGGATATTCGGAATCGGACTCATCCCTTGCTGGCGCTCCTATCACGGCAGCGAACATTGACGGGCTGTCCCAACATTTCCCTTTGTGCATGAAACACCTTCATTCCACTCTACGCAAGAACAGCCATCTCAAGCACTTTGGACGATTGCAGTATTCTTTGTTCTTGAAAGGAATTGGCCTCACGCTGGAGGACTGCTTGTTGTTCTGGCGACAGAGCTTCAAGCTGATTACCGACGATCAGTTCAACAAGGAATATCGATACAACATACGTCACGTGTACGGCGATGTCGGTGGGGATGTGAATCGACGTGGCAGAGGATACGCGCCATACTCATGCCAGAAGATTCTGACGGAACATCCACCCGGTACAGGCGAGGCACATGGCTGCCCTTATCGACATTTCAGCGTTGACAATCTCACGAGCATGCTTCAAGCGACCGGTGTCCACGACCGAGACGTGTTGCGAGGGGTCAAGGAAGATGTAGAGAAGAAGAGGTATCACATTGCTTGCAACAGAGTGTTTGACTGGGCTCACAAGGCCGAGATCAAGAAAGTCAAGGACGAAGGGATCTGGGGTCCAGCCGAATTGGAGACCATTGTTCACCCCAACACATACTTTAAGAGGTCATATCTGTTGAAGAATCTGGGCTCGTTACCCCAGCAGGATGTGAAAATGGAGGAATGATTTGTTCTGATTTGTGTAATGACTAGGTAGGCATTGGCGTTGGCATTGGAATTGGGAAATGGGTTTTCAAGCCGGGTACTTGGATAGGAATAGGTATGTTTGTTTCAAAAGAACAATGACGCCAGTGTCCAGTTCAAAGTCATTTCACGTCGAGAGAGATTTTCCTTGTGAAGCCGCCACCACCAGCATCACTTGACTTAGACCATTCGAGCCGCTAGAATGTCGACGGGCGACGCCACGGCCCGTTCGCCTCCTTCTATAAAGTAAGGACTTGCAGTTACCCATTCCGACGTGTCGTCTTGTGAATCTACTTACTGGGCGAGTGTACGTTCTCCTTTTGTCGGTGTTCAAGATCTTTTTCGAGGGACATTGGGTGTCAGTCCGTCTCGCTGTCATTGGGCACGCGTTTTCTCATGGAGACACCCACCACCACCACGCCAACCCCTGACTATAATATACCCGCTTGGACATCCTGTCATGATCTTGGAAGATTCTCTTAAGCGTGGCCCCAGGGGGTCCCAGACGCACGCCTCGAACCCCCTCTTTGGACATTTTTCATCCCACGATCTACATGTCTAGTCCTTTTTACTTTGTATGTACAGGATCTCCATACAAGACACGTGCATCGTGTCCTTTGGAGACTCTCACCTTCTTTGACTGTACGAGGACAAACAAATCCACTAACTCCCACGTACTCGTACGGCAGTCATTGCAAGAGGTACAATATCTTTCTGTCCTGCAAAAGTCCTACGTGGTTGATGACGTGAATGTTATACTGTATAAATAGCTTTGCTGTGGACTTGACTCCCTGAATGAACCTCCTCCCAGAATTCAATCCAATCGTTTGGCTCCTCAAAACTTCCTCCCCCTCTTATACCACGCCTTTGCTGCGTCGACGGCCTCTCTCACGCTCTGGGTCATGGCCACTCGATCACCGCACCCCGACAGCCACGTCTCGTGGTACGTCCTCAACTTTGCGTAATTGCCCTCCTCGACCGAGACGTGGTCGAAGCCCCACACGGTGCTCAGGATGTGCACGTGCAGTCTGTCGCTGATGATCAAGCCAAACTCGGAGAGGTAGTTGTACGTCCAGTTGACGCGAAGCTGGGCCTGCTGGTCGAACGTGGCTCCCTCGAGGCCGTCCGGGTCGACGCTGATCCAGTCCGCCACCGTCAAGTTGGTCTCGTGCGTCGATCCGTCCACGTCCTCGATCCGGCGCAGCTCCGAGATGACGTCCCCCTGCTTCCCGTGGTCCTGGGACCCTTCGTGGTCGGTGCGGGCGAGGAAGAGCATGTCGTAGATCGAATTGACCTGGCGCGGCGGCACGGGTTTCGTGATCAGCATGGTCGCCGCGTCGGGGAGCAACGAGACCTGGTGCTGGCCCCCAAAGTCGTTCTGCATGGCCATGAACGACTTGGTGTCACGGGCCGTGAATTGGAGGTCCGGGTGTTTGCTGAAGGCCTTTTGGGCGCGAGCGAGAGCCTTTTCGTCGTAGAACTTGTACGTCTGGGGGAACGAGCGGATCCGGTAGTCGAGAAAGTCGGTCGCGACCTGTTCACGGTTGAGCTCGGGTCCAGGCCAGATGTCTCCAAAGTTGCCGCCTCCGTGGAAAAGGATGGCCGTCTTTTCGGGACCGCCGTGGGATTCGAGGGCCTTGCGGAGGTCGGCCTCGCGGTAGTCGTGGTTGCCGACGCACGCGTACACCGTCTCGATGCCCAGTTGCTCGAGCAGGACCTTCTCGCCCGTCCAGATGGCCGAGTCGCCCTTGTTGCTGTTTTTGAAAAAAAAATTGTGAGCCCACTGGCCGAACGAACGTCCATGTCTGTACGGAAACCGAGAGAAAAGGTTCGTCGGGGGCAAGCTTGCACTCACCTGTGATTCGGATAGCCTATCATGGCAACGTGCGTGACTCCAGGTAGCAATCGTGAATACTCCTTGAACAACAACGCCACGTGGGACTCCAGGGTCGATGTACATTTCCCGTCATGGGAAGAACCCTTGATGCTCGACACCACTGAATGGATGCCTGATGTACCGCTGTGTGAAAAATATACCACCGCAAAAAAGAAAACGATGAGAACGCTCAACAGCCATTGTCGTGAAATATACATGGTGTGTATCACTGTGGCTGGTGTGGGAGATGAGGGATCAAAAGGAGCGACTTGAAAAAGAGACAAGGTCAGCAAAATGATTCTTTGGATCGACCGAAATCGTTCATAATGAAGATAACGGAAAACTTGAGCCGCGTTGATAGTTTCCAAGGGTTGAAAGTGGCCAAAGGGTGAGGAAAAGGGGGTTTGGCGGGTGTCAGTCGCCAACTCGACATATGTCAGATCTTTCTGACGTCCATCTTCACGCACAGCATTCCAACCTGTTTAATTTCCAACCCGACGCGTTGAGGAGAACGAAAAGGATCTAAAGACCATCATGAATCTGATGATGCCATGTTTCTTCAAAGGGGTCGAGAGGGGGCATTGAGGCTCAATTCGTTTGGCGGCGAAAGAAAGTTGGTGCTTTTGCTCACACACTCAATACCACCACAACCACCACCACGAATATTTTTATTTTCTGTTTCCTCACCAAGCGACATCCTCGATTATACATAGACGACGGTGATCCAATACCAAACTAATGGCAGACCAGTCTCCGTCGAGACTGTCTGTCGCAGCGACCGTCGCTTTCCACATCACCACTGCCATCGCAGTCACCATCGTCAACAAATCAGTCCTCAATACTCTACCGGTCCCCATAACGCTTCTTCTCGCCCAGTCTGTGATATCGACAATCATACTATGTCTCGCGTACATGTTCAGACTGTACGTTCCGGCCAAGCTGGACTCGACATACATTCGGGGTGTTGCTCCGCTGCTGGCCATCAAGATTATCGCACAACTTTCCAAGACGTATTGTTTACTTGTGAGTATCATCATCCATACGAATACAAGCCCTAGTACAGATCAGACCGAAACTTGATCCAATCTGCAATGCGCGATATTGGATACCTTGGACGGGCTCAATAACAAATAACAAAAACTAACCACCACACTGTCACACTTTCAGAACGTCAATGCGAGTTTTTACCAAATAGCGCGAGGCCTCTTACTCCCATTCACCATCTTCCTATCATTCATGTTCCTCAAGGACTCCCGACCGAGTATGTGGGCTTCTGCGGCGTGTGCCATTACGACGCTCGGTTTTGTGCTCGGCGTGTCCGGCGAAGCGGTCGGCCAGGCCACCAACATCGGCATAGCATGGGGCATTTGGTCGTCACTCACCACGGCCCTCGAGACCGTTCTGGTCAAGTACCTCGCCCTCAAGACTCGAGTTCTGGACCTCGTGTTCGTGACTTCTCTGGCCGGCATCCCGGTCTTTTCCGTTCTGGCCTATCTCAACAGCGAAATGTCCCACTTGTCCGCTTTGGGGACTTTACATCCTGTCATGGTGACGTTTGAGAAGAAGGTGTTGTTGAGTGGATTGTTCAATTTCGCATTGAGCGCGGCGGCGTACCTACAGATTCGAGTGACTTCTCCTACGACGTACGTTTTGACCGCCCTCGACGATCCATCCTACCTTGCGCTAGACTCGTTCGCTGGCTAATTTGATCGTCCGACAAAAACAGACACATGATCTCAACTGCTGCAAGGGGCGTTTTGCAATCTGCCTTGGCAGTGGTGTTTTTGGGAGCCGAAAGGCTGACGGCGTCCCGAATCAAGAGTATCGCAGTCATCTTGACCGGCACTATGCTCTACGTAAGTACCACAACAATGCTATGGCCGTGGCTATGGCTTCACTGCCTAGTACACTCCTTCCCTCTTCTCGACTTTTTTATTTCCCTACAGACATGTACGATTGTTGTCTTGGTGGTTGGTGTTGTTGTGACGATGACGACTGACACGGATGATTTCCAGACTTTTATCAAAGACATGGAAAAGAGGGGAAAGACAATCAAAGGTCAAATCCTCCCTTTACATACCACGGTTTCGCAACCACAATCAACAAACCCCACGGCTGGTGAAGAGGGTGTTCCACTCGTGGAACCCAAGGGGACCGAGGAGAAATAGTAATAAACTCAATCTGTCTTGTCTTGTCTTGTTTCTGAAGGTATAGATATGTACGGCATAGCGAGGAAAGTGAGTTTTGGCATACCTACCCATGGAGTACAATACGCGCGGTACATATAGAATTTGACTCGTGGTCGAGCATAGAGAAAATTGGGCGTCTCTCGAGACTCATGTGAACGACGATACCTTATATATCTAGACGTCCGAATAAATCTATAAAAGTCAATATCATCACCATGTAATCCGTGGGCGACATGGTAAACGCTGTAAGAAGTATAAAGAGTCGCGTCACGTGTCAGGCTTTGTGCCTCCTTTACTCGCCTACCCCGTGTAGGACACTTCCTACTCCATACTCGGAACCATGCCCTACTAGAGCACTAAGAACTAGTTACAGGCCCCGTTTTATTGTTCCACTGTATTCAGACTTTGATTCCTTCCAAGATATTCGCGTCACTTTCTTCCCAAGGATATGTTTTTTCGATGGACCGAATGAGCCTCTCGTGTTTTTCGGATCTAGGTTTGATGACACAGTTGAACGGCGCCGGATGACTCACCACGCCCGGGAGCATCTTCACTTCGGGCTCGATCTCCTTTCCGCCGACGGCGTCGACGGGTTTTCCGACGTTCAACGCGGCCAACGATTGTACGATGGTGATGTAAAGCGCATTCTCGGCCAGGATCCGACCTGGACACACTCGACGTCCGAACCCAAAAACGTACGCGTCGGGATCCTGTTCGGGAATGTTTCCATTGATCGGCAAGAAACGTTCGGGTCTGAAGGTCATTGGGTCGTGGTACGTTTGAGGGTCATGGGTAAAGTGCCTATCGAGATTTTATCAGATCTGATTCCGTTGCAAATCTCTCGAGCGAGAGAGTCACGATGAGACGGAACCAGATGATGACAATTTACAAACTCACCAGACATTGGCCAACAACATACTCCCTTTGGGGATACGGTGACCTAAACACACGTCCTCCGCTGTACTCGTGTGAGGGAGACCCATTGGTGCAACTGGCTGCCAACGCAGAACCTCCTTCACCGTCGCGTTGATATAAGGTAACTTCTCTCTGTCCGCGACGGTAGGAAGCCTATCGGGACCGATGACACGGTCGATTTCTTCCCGTGCTTTCTTCTGCACTTCGGGGTAAACCGTCATGGCCAGGAAGAAGCATGCCAATGAAGATACGGTCTGTGGGAATGGACAAGTCAGCTCTCATGTTGCCACAAAGTTGCCACGATGCGAACATGTCAAAGTGTGTGAAAGGCTCACAGTATCAGCTCCTCCGGTGTACAGAGACATTGCTGCCATCTTGTCAATGGCCGCTTCATTCCGACTGTCAGCGCCATCGGCAACGTCCTGATCCAGCAATTGAGCCAAAAAGGAAGTTTCGTGCTTCCCTCGGGCTTTTTGGTCCTTGACAAACGCGTACGGTTTTTCCACCACATTGTCGAGTTCGGATCGCCATTGTTTGGCCGTTTGTTTCCAATTTGTACCTGGAACCCAGTCTGGGAGGTATCTCACTATACCAACCGAGTCAGATATACCTATTTCACTGCTTTTGGTCGAGGGACTTACGAAACGGTATCATGTCAACCAAGAATGCTCCAGGTACAGCAGCACGTGCGAACTTGTCCATTGCATCTCCCGCTATATCGACCAAGAGATCATTCTTGTGAGATTCGGCCGTGTACCCATATGCAATTTTCAATATGACTGCTCCAGCTTCCCTGAAGAGCCAAGTCAGTAAGCTATTCTGCATACGGATGGATTTTCCGAGGGGTCGACTGATTTTTTGCTGAGAATACGGACAGGACTGTGAGTACACACCTTCTGATATGTTCAAGTAGATTGTCAGGTTTCTCAAGGACATGTAACAAGAAATGACCAGCCTCTGCCTCTTGAAGTTTATTGAATTGAGATGCCGAAGACTTTGTTCCGATGATCTTGGCCATTTTCTTGCGAAAGGCTCGAAATCGATAATTGTAAGGACACAAACCAAGCGTGTTTTCCCATCCTACCCTTTTGAGACGTAAGTAAGATTAGATCATCCATTACATACCGCCCCGTCCAAGGAACAGACGAAAAGCATACATTTCTCCTGCAAAAATCTGTCTTGGTCTAGACGAATGTATCGCGGACCTCTTTTCCATGAGTTCAAAAGCCAGCTTTGAATCGTTGATGATGATCAAGGTTTGACCCATGACCGTTATGGAACTGATCGGGCCTGGTATAAATCATCATTATCATCAAGTGTCAACAAACACACACATTCAGGAGGTGCACAAACGTACCATATAAATCCTTGTGTTTCAACCAATGTCTGGGTTCGAACTGTCCCGGTTTCGGTAGATCGTTCAGGTTCCCCAAGATGGGTAAACCCTTGGGCCCTGGTGGTAAAGGAGCCCGAGAAGCATTGTTGGATCGAGCAACGAACAAATAACACCAAGTGGCACCGGCCATCGCCAACAAGCACAAAACAAGAAAAGACGAAGCCATGATGATGATGATGTTATAAGGCGTCGAGGACTCAATACTCGTAATGTCCTTTTTTTTCTTGAGGCTCAGGTCAGGTCAGGTCAGGCACAGAATGTGGTTTCACAAAGACATATAAGTATAGATGAGTTATACCTCGCCAAGAGAGAGAAAGAAAAAGAAGGAAATGAAACAAGAGGGATGCCTTTTTTGTTCTCTTTTTCTTGACCAGATCACTCCATACAGAGTAAGTGTACCTAGGAATACTAGTAACACTGGTTACCCATCTTTACTTGATCTTGTCGTATCAAGGCCTACCACGTACTGACGGTACTGTAGTACGGAGTATAAACAAAACACTGATACTAATTGGCCAATCTTCCACGGTTCTTGTACAGCAAGTACCACAAACGGTTAAAGGGTTCCATATATGGATATCACAGATCATATCTTATATTCCGATTCGTCTCCATATTATTGGTGTCACGAATACGGAGTGTCTGTACATAATAGTATCTTATTAGGTGTCCTCTGAAGATGGATGTAAGCAAAACAAAAAGTGGGTTAGACTTGCGAATTCATAATACGAGATACCTCTAGGTACACACTCCCCGTAACATTACGAAAGAATGCTACTCAGTACCTCTGGGTAGGGGAAGGCTTTGTGACGTTGGGTGAGAAATTAGTAAAAAGGGATTCCTTTTTTTGGGACGCCTTAAAGACCCTCATCTTCTTGCCTTCCTCATCCCACACCACGTAAAAAAGGTGTTTTGAGCCACGCACAGAGTCCGAATGACTAAGAACATAACAAAAACCCAAGAGATGAGATCCCAATACTGTATTGGGGAATAGGTTCACAATTCTACCTAGTTATGTAACCTGTTGCAAATGCATATGCAGCACTGGCACCGAGTTTGATACCGTGCAATATGGCCGAGGCAAATGACCTTGGCTTTGCTCCGTATGATATTTTGCCCAATGCGGTAAAGACGACAATCATCCCATCCATTCTTTTGACCGGCCCATCACCACTCTCGTCGTCGTCGTCGTCGATGGTAAAAACATGCATCTCTCCCTCTCTCTCCGAGAAGGCTAGAAAACAACTCTTGCTTCTCTCTTGTGTCATAATCAATCCCCTGTCACTCTCATCGCTCGTTCGCCGTTGATCTCCCTCTCTGGATCGTCGCACAAATGATACCATGCTGGATGGTGGTAAAGGGTGTACCAAAGTCCTCGACGTGACGAATACAAATGATCGTTCGTCATTTTCTCACTTGCGTTTCTTGGTCTCACGTTTCTTCGTCTGACGTTTCTTTGGAACCGGTGCTGACGACTCGGTTTCTTCTCCTCCAGCTTCTGCCTGCTTGCGTTTCTTGCCCTTGCTTTTGCTCACAGTTTCAGCCGGTCCACCGTCCTCTGCGGTGATTGACATCTTATCATCGTCATCGTCATCGTCAATTGTCAAGGTGTCGATCCTGCAGTTCAACGTCGAACCATGGAGAATCTCATAAGTCTCGGATCGAGTGTACGTTTGTCCCAGGCACCACTCAAAGTCGGGTCGGAAGAACTTGTTGACCGCATCTTCATTCACTGGACCGTGCAATGCATCCCTACGCCGACCAAAAGGACAAAACGACTCCTTGCGGACCTCAATGCCATCCAGTAGTTTATCAGCCAACCGTACAACATCCGGCCAAGATCGCCAGTCATACTTTTGACGTTCCTTGAGTATCGGGAGAAGATCTTGTGCATACACCGGTACGTCCATGTGCCACATGTCGGCGTGAAAGAGTCCGTGGTCGATTATGTCGATGCTGCTGATCTTTCTGATGTTGGATTTGACAATGCTGTGGATCTGGTAGTCTTCGATATTGTACTGTTCGGTGGAATCGTCCGTCTCTATCTTCGCAATTCGATAAGGTCCTCGAATTCCTTCCTTCTCCGCGTAGCTCTCCAACTCAGTCCTGGACTTGAATAGCTTTGGCTTAGGATTCAACCTCAAAGAGGGACCAGACTGGTCCATTTTTCTCTTCAACGGACGCAGATCCTGGACCTGCTGAGGGAGCAGTCGCGTCTCTTCCCGCAGCCTCATGCTGGCGACATCGGTATGAATTTGGTGGATATTCTGATACCCTTGCAGTCCCTTTTCGAGCATTCCCTGAATCATCTCATCAAATCGCCACCACATCCGGTAGATCTCTCGTGGGTGTTTCCCCCAAGGAATGTTCTTTTGGATCGTGTCATCCAACACCTCTCTCAATACCTCCACGACGTCAAATGCGTCCTCGTCATCGTCCTCTTCGTCGAGGTCTTCGTCTAGAGTGGGATCGGAAAGGGACAACAAGTCAGCCATGGCTGAACGGATCCAGGCGAGGTCCTCGAGGAGGGGTCGAATACTCCGATCATCGCAGTCATCCTTGAGCTCGGTCCGGTTCGGATCTTTCCAAATGTCCGTGGACAAGAGCTTGGTGTTTCCGAATCCACCCAGGACGAGTTCGGGGAGTTTGGCGTTTCCGTCGGGAAAGTGCAGGAAGATGTTGCCGAGGTGCGCATTCGTGTGTGCAATGCCATTTCGGTGGAGGAGGGCAAAACTCTCGAGGAGTTGATCGAAGGTCCGCCAGATGAACAGGGTCGAAGGTTTGAAATCTGCCCGATCGGCCAACCTCTCCATGGTGTGTCCATTGCAGACTTCAAAGAAGAGTGAAGCCCCCTTGTACTCGGGGCCGATCAGGGCACCTTCGGCAAACACCTGGTGTGCTTGGGCACAGAGCAGTCTCGGGAACTGAGGGAGCGAACAATGGCGATAGAATTCCACCTCTTGACACGCCCCATTGCTCGCGAACGCATGGTTTGCCATGACGTTCTTCCTCACATAGACTTGGCCGTCCGCAAGCGATCGGACCAAGGTGGCAGAACCTCGATCGCCTGCCGCGATCTTGCCGACGTGCAAGTATCCATCAATCTCTGGATGGAAGATTGCGAACGAGGCCGACCCGGGTTTGGGTCGGCTTGACCCAGCTCCTGAGTCTGACATTTTGACGTTGTCGATGGAAAGAAGGAGACGTCAGGACAGAACGATGGAAGGATTGATCAAATCGACCATCGTGGGCAAAACGTTGTGCTTGCGCGAAGGGAATGGTCAAAGTCTTGGCTGTGAACGAGTTGACTGTGAATAGCTATAGAATGGGAACAAACACAGTGCCAGAGACAATGGATAGGATGGGCCAGAGGATAGTCACAAACATGGCGCCACAGACAATGAACATGATGCAGAGCTTGTCTCCCTGACATGTATTTGACCCATCGAATGGCCTTGTTGTCAAATGGTCAAGGCACAAGACAGATGTGTAAAGAAAGGAATCATTGCACAAAGTGTCTGCCTCAACAGAGAACACCAGGATCACGTCCATGGTGGATGTCAGGCTTGAGCCTGACATATCTGACAAACCTGGAAATGGTGGGACTGACGACGAACAAACGACCAAACAATCTTCCAATCGGCCATATTGTTGAGGGTGTGGCAGCTTTGTCTGTGAGATTTTCATGTTTTAACGCAACTTCGCAATCTTGAACTCCTTTTCAGGAGTTTAGGCCTACCTGGTGAAATCATGGCTGAGATACTGTCAGCGGTAGAAGAGACCGTGTTGATCTTCTTCTTCTTGTTCGCTGCTTGAAAGATCATCATGTCAGTATGCTTGTGATGATCACTACTGGAAGATGAGTACAAATGAAGTCACATTAGAATATTCATATCAACGCAGGTAGCCTCGTCGCGATCCACCACGTGATGACTACATCAATATGTCCCGACGAGGCTGTGGGTATTCTACCCCAAACTAGAAAACAAACGTTCACTATTGTTGGACTGCAAATTATCATTATAATTCCATCGTATCATCTATCTCGGCAATCAGTGGTTCCATAGGCAGTCTGCTGACATTTTCGAAAGCCCATTCCATATTCGAAGACGCACGTCCCTCGGAAGACTCAGAAAGTCCGCTTCGTACAGACCTTCTCCGGAGCGACCCAAAGCGCCTTGAGAATTCCTTGAAGGACCAAAATCCGGAACTCAGCGAAGACGTGCACGAAGGGGCAATTGAGGGAAGCAATTTCTTTTTTCCAAAACTGACGAGCCTGGGATATAAAGCTTGAACGAAATCTGTTGCGACGAGGATTTCTGATGCAAAACTCTCTGGATCAGCAAGATATACTGAGGAATCAGTGGGTGACATTACTTCTTCACCCGAGAGAAGGCCAGACAAGACAGATACACGCTCGATTATCGAAGAATCCATCTCAGGATCCAGCCATGATGTGGCCGCATTTGGGTACCAGTGTGACATGTAGCACCGGACCATCAGTTGATATTGGTCTCGCTCTTGGCTGAACCACCCTCGCAGATACCGGTCAAGAATTGCCAGAAATCCATCGATATTGTTCGCCAGCGGAATTAACCAGGTACCGACTACGACCGCAAACATTGCTGGAATAGCAAATGTGGTATGGTAAAATATTGGGCTGATGGCTTTATCAAAGCAATAGTGCTTTATACGTCTTGAGTAAGCCGGCAAATATCGTTCAGTTTGCTCCATAATGCTGAGGCACAGGTTCAAGTAATTCACACGCCTGTAATGGAAATCTTCTCTCAAGTAAACATCAAAAAGACTGCGATTATCCATCGCAAACTGTTGGATGACAAACAAAGTTTCGGCAAGAGTATCTTTGAGGTCGGCACATTCCCAGCAATGATCATCCGTTTCCTTTGGCGTTGCTTCAAAGAAGTTGAAGTCCGGCTGATACTGGACGCTGGTCGTGCATCCGAAATGTATGGCCATGGCATTAGCGGTCCAAATTTCGGCACGTCCCTGGAAAGAAATTGGAAAGCGAAGCTCCGCGAGGAGACTTCTATATTGCAAGTCTTTTCGCGGTTCCATACGGTCAAAAAGTGTGCGGTGTTGCAGCCATAACCACAATTGTGGTAGTATGAACTCGGCCACATGACGTTGCGGGCCTGTTGGCGAAAATTGCGCGCAGTTGATTGCCGGATTCGCAAGCCAGCGATGACTCGTGGGCCACTGCGTCTCGAAATCTCTAAGCATGGAAAGCACGCTGTAAAAAAAGTCGTATGATGGCCCGTGGCAGTTCAGCACAAATAACATTGTTGCAGCGTTGCTTAACTTCTCTATCTGAACTTGGAGGCTGTCTTGGTCCTTTTTGTTGTCATAAAGCGACAGCATCGCAGCCACATGACGATGACTGTTCATTGGGTATCGTGATAAGTGGATTCTCAGACGTTCTTCGCCTTCAAGTGATTAATCAGGTTTGACGGGTTCCATATTCGCCATTTGCTCGCTAGATGTGGGCATGTCCTCGACAGACCCGGCTGGCAAGATGCTTTCTACTTCTCTCTGACACGACGATGTTTCTCTCGTCGTTACGTCCTGGGTATCGGTCGCGTTCCTTTTGTACGTTCGAAGGCCCAACTTCATCATTTGATAGTACAACTGGGATTTCGTGATGGATATATTTCTCTGGCCAAGTGCAGCCAAGATTTCGTTCTGCGGTGTGCCTTGGTGGTGCAGGTCTGAGATTAGAGGTTCGAGGTCGGCCCATTGTTGCTGAGAAAGCCTTTGGTTGTATCGAGGCACGTTGGGATCTTGAGCAATGAACGGGTCGATCCGACCAGATGAACTTGTCTGTTCTGCCATGGTGTATGCTCTCTCTAGCCCGGTGCTGCTGGGCAATTGAAGACACAATGATGGTTGAAACGATAATTGTCTGACATGAGGATAGGGTAGACAAGGGGCAGACCGGAACTCTTATAGTTCGTAATGAAAACCGATAAACAACTGTGAACACCCAAAGTAGCAATTATGGATTTGATCTTGTCGGTGTCAGGCTGGCAAAATGCATGTCACAAGGGTCAACCCTGGTCGCGAAAACAGCATTTCTCGAAACAGCATAGTTTGTAGATGGGCTGCATTAGTAGCGTACAGCCTCAGCGTTTGCTAGTACAAGGATGCGGACGATTGGCTGATATTCCCGTAGAAGTGAGGCTCTCGTCATGATGGCACGAATAGGATAGTTCGTTTGCATTCTTCTCGATCCTACTTTCCCTCCCCCTCCTCCTCCTACCACTACTTACTCCTGAGCTCGTTGTTTCTCGACCTCGTCCGCGAGTTCTCCCAAAGAGGCGTACCTCCAGCCGTATCCCACTTCGCCGCGTTCGTGGACCCCCGCGATCCCACCGGCACTGCCCATGCCCGCCCCTTTCCTGTTGATCCAGACACTGCTCATGCCCATCTTCTTCGCCGGGACGTGGTCGTGGAAGATGCTCTGGGCGACGTGCAGGATCTCGTCCTTTTCCACGCCCGCGTCCTCCTTCGCGTGGCTCAACAGGTACTCGAAGTTGCGCAGGTCGGGCTTGTAGCTACCGATGTCCTGGGCGGTGTAGACGCGGAAGAAGTCGACGCCGGCCAGCGGTCCGGCGAGGGTCTGGCTGAAACTCTCCCTGTCGACGTTGCTCACCGGGATGAGTTTGTAGTGCTTGGCCAGCCTCCTGCAGGCGTCCACGGTGTCCGGGAAAGCCGGCCACGAGCCGACGCTGTCGCCGAACCGCCGGGCCTCTCCGTCGAGGTCCCCGTCCTTGACGCCGAGGGCGGGACCCAGGCGGAGGTACGCCTCGCGCAGGACCTGGCTGTACCTCATCGTGGGGTGTTCGGCTTGCACCTGCGCCTCGATCTCGTTGAATTTCTCGGCGAGCTTGACCCGGCCTTCGCCGGCCCTGCTGTCGCGGCATGTCGCAAAGGGCGATTCGGTCGGGATGCGCGACACCAGTGGTTGTAGCTGGTCGATGATTCCGCTCTCCCAGTCGATGAGCGTGCCGTAAATGTCGTAGGATATGACCTTGAATGACGAGAATGGCTTGCGAGGCACAGTAGGCTCGGGCATTGGAATCTCGGCAGCCATATTGTTGACAAATGGAGGGATTTATTTGTTGTTGTAGTCGTCGTCGTTCGTGTTGTGCTCTACCTAGTTATTTACTGTGGGTGAAAGTTGGTTGGCCGAGGAAGCTGGATGGAGATTCTGTCAAAATCCAAAGTACTTCAAATAATACGAGAAATGCGATCGTCTACCACAACGCACGCAAAGTCGATATGATACAATCAACAGTTTTATATAGTACAGTTATCTTGTCTGAAATGGATGTCTTTTTATTCATTATCTCATACATGGCCCCCTCTCGCGCCCTTTCTTTGGCAAGATGCTGTCACTCGAAGTGCCCAGGCCGAAGGGCGTGGCGATTGTAAGGCGTAGCAAACTCCAACTCGTTCCTTGTGTCGTCGTCCACCATACGGGAAACAACATCAAAAACAATCACTCAATAGGCATGAATTGGGGGATGTCAATCTCGACCTCAATCTTGAGAAACCCTCCGTCACTTTTATTCCCTGTAGAAGGCTTCAATGCTCTCGCTGTTTTGATGCATGACCAATATCTTTAATCCACTGGACTCCCTCCGTCGAGTCATGCCCCTAGCAACAGCATCGCCAATCCGGACAACACTTCATTGTTGGCAATAAACGAAAATTCACAATCAACGCCCTTCCATTTGCTCCAGAGTCCAGGCCATCCCCGATCATCACCAGCCTGTCTCTCTCGGTCCAATCTATCCAACCGTCATTAGGGTATCGTCGAGAAGTCTGGTTCGCGCGCAGTAAAAAGCATGTATCACGTATTGGGTAGAGCCGCCGTTGATTTCACTTCTTCTTCCTCTGTAGCTTGGTCTTTGCACCCGAGCGTTTCTAACGCCCTTGATACTGACCATAAGCTGCTGGGGTGCCAATCGGATCCTGTACGATGTCAGCAGACGCAGTCTTGTTAGGAAGCCCTCATCATCATCACCTTCTTGCGTTTTCTTTGGCCACCATACTCATCTCCGTCCACCGCGTCGTCCTGGTCTGAAAAGCCTTCTCCGTATCCCACAAAACTATCATCGCCATAACTCCGTTTTTTGCCACGGGTTTGCCTCTTTGCTTCTGCTGTCGGCTGTGCTGACTGTCGAGGAATCCCATTTGCTACATGTACCGGGGTCGGAGGGTGTGATTTCTGTTGCGTGGGTAGCGTGTTGGGTTTTGGCTTGTCGAATCCGAGGACGTCTTCCCAGTGCGCATTGTTCCTAACATTTCCTGGCTGCATTTGCATTGCCTGTTTTAGCTTCACTCGGAAATCTGGGGTGACCCCAATCTTGGACGTTCCATGCTCTGCGTTCCATTGTTCTTCGGGTTGCAACCCCCACGCTGATGAGCCAGCCATTCGTCGCAGTGGTCCGGGTTGATCTTCCTCGACATTGCGCTCTCCTTTGACAGGCTTGTTGCGACCCGCCAAACCAAAACTTTTGATCTGTCCTTCATAAGACTTCCGCAATTTGTTGATCTTCTCTCCTGTCCGAGGATCTGTCCGGGCGACAGTTCGCAACAGCGGGCCTAAACCATATAATGCAAGGAGATGTTGTTGCGGATTCGGTCTTTGGCGTTCAACTTCTGTACGAGTAATCATGTTAATAAATCTGCAAACGTGACCTCTGGATGATAACGCTGGAGGAGAGTCTTACTGGATCGACAGAGAAGGAATGGTTCACCCATGTCTTCCTGCACCTGTTCCAGAGTTATCTCATCCGCTGAAGATCCACCAGCAGGCTTTACAACCTGGGCATCCTTGTCTTCATCGACGTCCACGTCCATAGAATCTTGCCGATCGTGGTTCGTGGCATTTGGAAAAGATTCTCCGTCTATTCGATGAGCATCTCTGCTATTATCTAGTCGGGGTCGCTTATCGCGGTGCCGATCAATGTCATCAGCCATATCCAGACCCGGGATTCCTGTCACGCTATGGGCTGGAGTCGGCAAAGATTGTGTCATGCGAGAAGAGGCTTGTTGTGAGTGTGATGCCGCACTCCTTGGTGAGGGCGGAGACGAGTGACCCGAAGCCTCGTCGGTATGTTGGCTGTGTCCATAAGGCGGTGCATAGCTCTTTGTAGCGACTGACATCAACGAAGGAGAAATTGGGGATTGCGGTAGGATGTCAGAGAGGCGCCGACGCTTGAGACCTGATTCAGGCGGAGAAGTGGGTGAGGGTGGAATCGCCGCGGGTCGCGCGGTATGGGACATGAAAGTGCGCAGAAGAAATTGGCGACAATCGACCACTCTCTACTCTCGCCAATGGCCTTGTTGGCCCTCAGTGTTGCGCGAATGTCTGGTGAGATAGTCAATTCTCCTCCGGGGCGGGGACGTCGGTCGTTGTGATCGGTTTGGAGGTTGCCGGGATGGGCGCGAAATCGGTAGATGAGGCTGATTCGTTGACTCAGTCAAAGGGACAAAGGAGGTGTGCCTGGTGATTAAGGCCGCGATAACAATGGCGATTGAAAAAGAAAAAGAGTTGTCGTCGTCGTTTGAAGGAGTGACAGGACGCTGAGCAGCTTTGAATGACAGGAAGAAGAAGCGCAGACACATCGACCCCAATCTTGCGCTTAGTGGCCTCACTGGCCTCACTAGTACAGCACAGTACTACTTATCTAATTATTAACTGGGCGCTCAGTCTAGCCTCACTTTTCGCTAGTGCCTTAGTGCCGCTAGTTGCCCAACCGAGCATCACGTGTGCATTTTTTTCACGTGATATGTAGTCCCACGTGATCATGCAAGATGAATGTCATTCAAATCAAATGACATTCTATAGTCCATCCACCTTCGAAGGAGTTTATGGGATGTTATGCTCTGTATATCCATATATGCTTAGCATTTGAAATTCTATTCTATCAACCAACCCAGTATTCCAAAGTCAGTACCAACTCCTTCATTCCTACAAACACATCCGTACACAAATTGACTGATCGGCTACTCGAGGCAGCACCATTGGCATCCTCAGCTAAATCTCAACCTCCTCAATATCGTAAACCATCTGCTTGACCTCACTGCCCCACTTGTCCATCCCAAGCGCCCACGAGCCATGGAAAAACATCCATAGCCCAAATTCCTTGAACATCATGCCCCAGCGTCCAGTTCTCTTCCTGAGCGTCGCGTTCCCTGACGATCTCGCCGCGATCTCGTCAATGCGAGGCCGTCTAGTCCTGTCATATGTCTCATATACTTCGTTCAAGTCGTCTGTTCCGCGGGCCCAATTCTGCTTTCGACCAAGTACTCTCGACAGACAAAAGGCATCCTCCAAAGCCATACTCACGCCCTGCCCTGCATGAGGCGGCATTGCGTGGGCCGCGTCACCCAACAGGAGCACGCGCCCTTGATGCCACGTCCCTCCGCTCGGTAGCCTGAAGATGGGATAAAACTTGACCACGGACGTCTTGTCGACAAGGCTCCGGAGGATGTCACCCCACTGGCCTGCTGCACCTTTGAGTACTCCATGTAGTAGCTCTTTGAACCCGGCTACTTCCTGTTCTCGACGAACCTCCCATCCATCGCGGTCATTTTCTCCATTGGGTAAGGACACTTCACGCTGGAAACCCCAATATACTTCGTCGTCCTTAGCAGTGCAGGTCATGCTAGCCGCCATACCTTCCTGCATCATGGTTATATGCATGCCAGACAATAGAGACGCTGCGTCTTCGCCGAGAACTGATGTTGGGATGATTGATCCTATGCCGGCCATCCCGGTGTAGTCCGCGCTCACTGCTGGGTCGACACTGACGCGGCGCACAGCTGAGTGGATGCCGTCACAACCAAGCAAGAGATCAGCTGTGTCGACCGTCCCGTCAGAGAACGTCACCTTGACTCCGTCATCTTGATCAGCGATAGATACCAGTCTCTTGTTGTAATGCACAGGTATGCCTGCATTGTCGACTGCTTTGAGGAACACCTCCAGTAGATCGGTTCGCTTGATACGCATGTACCCAAATCCTGTTGCTTCCCTCGCCGCGCCAACGACATCTGTTTCGCCTAGGATGGTTCCACGCTCGGAATGCATGGTCATATGCGAGCGGCTACTGCCCCGGGTCAAGAGTTCGTCGTACACACCTAGTCGATGTAGAAGGCGCGTCCCATTAGATGGGATGCCAATGGCGCCTCCCAAGGTTGTGGGCTCCGGCCGAAGTTCGTAGACGATGGGTGAGATTTTATTCCGTTGCTCTAGCAGAAGTGCAGTTGCAAGACCGGCTGGTCCGCCTCCGATAATAATTGCCTGTAACGAGCATTGAGATGGATGTGGCTTTAAAGAGTGGGAGTGACCAACCTTTTTTGGCATGACCATTTTTGTGGTGGTTTTAAGAGTGGGTATAGAGTAAGACAGTGAGGAACCGATGAATTGATGAATTAATAAATCGATGGAAATGTTGACAGGAGGTGATCCAGGTAGCTATATAGGTACTGCTCTGAGTCGACTCTGTAGGGGGTCCGCGGGCTTCCCTGGAGCACTTTACCCAATTGGGCAAGTCACTCCGCACCTTCGTCAGGGGCAGTGACACAGCCTCGTCACAAACACATTTAATCGCGCCCTGATCGACATTCCCGCTCACGGCTGCTTATTGCCGCAATTGTGTTGCGTAGGCTGCAATGATATCCGCGCTTCTGAATGGAAATTGTGCGGCGTCATCTGTGTAGCGGCTTCTCGCAGATGTTTGATCCTTGTTTGCGGACTTCCGGCAAAGGCTGTGCGGTTTAGGCGCCATAATATTTGACAACACTTCGGGAATTAAGCGAATTTCAATTACTCAAATCTCATGAATACATCATACCGAGTCAAAATTGAAATCCATGTCGTCCAACAGTGAGGTCCATTGAAATGGGGCCAAGTCCGGTACCGCGGCCAGGAATTCTGACCACAGTTCGTCCATGTCTTCTTCAGCTGGTAAGCCCTCACCCAGATATCTGCCACACCGCTGGGTTTGGACTTTGTTCGATGTCAAGATTTTGTCTCCTGTGAGGCTGTCATTCCAAGGAAACTCGATGAATTGCGCCAAAGCTGGGGAATCCCTTCGAGTCCGAACATCTCCGCCCGTCGCAGCTCCCCCGTTGGCCGGAGTTTGCAATGGACCAATTAATCTCTGAGTGCGCTGTGTCTGTAGCGTTGCTAGAAGCGTTTGCATGTTTTTCTGGATGCCTTGCATCAGAGCACTCGATTCTTCCCGAGACTTCTCTAGTGTCTGGTATGCAGCCATAACTTTAGCCTTTTGTGCTTCCGCATCTGCTGAATCTGGATTGAACGACACATCGGTGGCAAGAGTCAGAGCTGCCATAGAAACATGTTGCATGACTGTCCACAAGCGGGCTGGTCGGATTCCAGCGAGTGGGATAAGATCGTCCATTGAGCGTCTGAGATCAAGAATGGTATGAGCCGAGCTAAGACAGGTTGTTCGCGAATATGCGTAGTCCGGGTGTGTAGAGCCTATAAGATGATATGGACGGTGAAGTCGACATAAGCGTGCATGGAGACTGAAATGAATACTAAGTCGCTGCCAGGCGATATATGGCCGTTCTTCACACACTTTCTGGCTTTGCTGGATACTCATAGGATCGAGCTGAAAGAAGATAGGGAGTTCCTTCAGATATTGCTGTAGCTTGTTATCCAGCATCATAATGATGGCGTACTCTGGCTCTTGCGAATCTGAGAATGCAGAGGGAAGGGCATCAACAATTTCCCGGCATAGGTTTGCCAATTTTATTCGTTGAAGAAAGGCAGACATCTCCGTCGGGAAGGACCAAGACAGTCCCTCCTCTTGTGCGTTCGGCGTTATGAGTGTGTCATCGGTATTACTCGGATATTTGACGTTCATGTGTCGTGGGTGGAACGTGTATGCACCTTCCTGAGAGCTACCTGAAAATGCACCAAGCCTAGGAACCGTAAGTACTCCATTGTAGTTCAGAAGCTATGATCAGAGCAAAACACAAAGACCTTGGCACATTAATCAAAAGAAGCACATATCCCCAAGGCCGACTGGTATGGGGTCTTAAGGACCCTTCAACATAGACAAACATAAACATAGAAGCTGGCTACTTTGACGAATTGCCCAGCATCAGGCTGCACAGTTTACGACTTCTGTGAAACTTCATTCGGAAATGGTTTGCCCAGTGTTTGGTCGCAGCAGCACTGACCCGTCCGCAAGCAGTAGGAATTGATAGGGGGAATAAATGGCTTACCAGTCTGAGGACACCATGTGCCACCAAATTCTTCGCTGAACTTCGATCTCAACCGTGTTGTAGCCTTTGAGTCTTCGTTCCTCACGACTCTTGAAAGTGTCCAGTCTATCGATCTGCATGGCCTTAGCCATCAACATGCAACGGCACCTGAGCATATTGACGTCGAACAGCGAGAAGGAAGCGTTCGACACCACAAAGGCCAGAGTTGTGACGGCAGCTAGAGCAGGAGTTGAAGTTGGAAATTTCTCGGGGCAATGCTCTAAGATCGACATAGCGAGGCGAGCATACATTTTGAAGGCAGCTCTCGCTTCTTTCCGTAAAGCCCGCAACTTGCTTAAGAACTGGGTTGTCCATGAGAGTGCCGCCCCCGCGAATATGGAAAAGAGCATTAGGATGTTGGCCATACAGATCTCTGTATCTCCGTTGGAGGCTCTGTGAAACGTCTCCTCCATGGTGGTCCGTGTCGACGGAAGGTGTAGCACTCCGAATGTAGGGTGGAGAGCAAGGGAAAAATGATCGAATAGTAGCCTTGCTTCATCTAACGGGGGCAGCTTATTGAGTAAGTTCGCTACAAATTCAGAGGTGTCTGCAGGCATTTCTCGCATCATATCCAAATCATGAGACGAGAACGGTGTGGAGCCATGTTCAGGGCTGGCAGGTCTCGGGCTTGCCAGACTTACATGGGCCTTCGAGTGCCTGTCATTTCCTTCCGAGACCGTCCCCAATATCGACGAGGATTCATGGTTTGAGGCTTGGAAAACGGCTTCTTCCAATCTTTGAATCCGAGACAGTACATCGCCTGTGTTGCTTTGAGGCATGTTAGCGATAATAATGGTCTTGCGGAGAAGGTGGTCGAATGTACCTCGACCGCACTCCAGATGAATCGACACTTCCAACACAGTCTCTAGCAGGGTCTGATTCTCCTCCATCGAATTCACATGTGATAGCCCTGATGGAGCAATTTGAACATGGCTGCTGACGATCGCATTTTCGTTTCTTTCGCCGGCAGGTCCGACATGATTGCGGTGGTCGAGCCCATTTTTGGGTCATCGTCATCGGGACTCCTCTGTTGCTTCGATTCATGACTTATCTTTGAATGTGACTCATTATTGGCTGAAGTAGCGAAGTACCTGAATCAGAAGGCCAGGGTCCGAACAAAGACAGTGTCGTTCTCAGCATTCCTTCACCCAGGTCCTACGGAGTACAATTAATAGATAATGATGAGAAGGATGGACCAGGGTCGGATGCGGTAAGCGTACGGAGGATTTCTGGCGAATCACCAATGACGCGTTAAGTGGTACTAATTAGGTCTAGAGCAAACACGTACCCGCGACTTTTCGCGTCAGGGGCTCGACAGATTTACCAGAGTATCCCTACTCCGTAGAATCAATCAGCCATAACTTGGTCGACTGCTATATCCTTCTCGACGACCAGAATATTCAAATTTCAAAATGTCGAACCTAGTAGACTCGATCCTCAACTCAGATGCCTTTGGCGCAACACCTTCCTCACCCCGGCGAACACAAAACATCCCTTCCTCTTCGAGGCCGAGACCCCCACCATCCGAAAGCAATGGCATACCTTCCGAAGCAGATATCTTTCCTGATGACGAGGTAGTAGGAGCAGCGCGCGGAAGGAACAGAAACCCTCTCGATCGAAACGTTTCGAAGGTGACAGACCGTGCGGGAGAAAGAGTCCAACAGGCATTTGAAGATTTTCTCGAATCGCACATTGAAGAACCATCCTCCTCTGCGATCCCTCCTTCGAGTGAGCTGAAAACAGACAAATATTACATCAACCAGATCCATGGCTTGCGGGAGTTCCAGCTCTCCACATTGTACGTTGATTACAGGCATCTCCTGTCCTACAAGGAGGGTCCGATCCTGGCAGACGCAATCGCAAGCCAATATTATCGCTTTCTGCCATTCTTGACAAAGGCACTACACAACCTTCTGGCCAAGTATGAACCAGTATATTTCAAAGACCATCGACAGATGACGAGCAATGCTTCACAGGCTGGCACTTCAATGGCCGGCAATGCAACTAGCGAGGCGAACAGCCAGGGCGAGATGACTCTCAACCAGCAGACCGATAAATTGTTTACATTGGCATTCTACAACCTGCCTTTGGTGTCTCGAGTGCGACAATTGCGAACCGATCAAGTTGGAAAATTACTGTCCATCTCAGGCACTGTCACAAGAACTTCCGAAGTCCGTCCAGAGCTGGCTCTAGGCACCTTCATCTGCGAGGCTTGCAACGAACCCGTGTTCAATGTGGAGCAGACATTCAGATACACAGAGCCGAATGTGTGCCCGAACCAGACCTGCGGCAACAAAGTTGCATGGCGACTTGATATTCGAAACAGCACGTTCGTAGATTGGCAGAGATGTCGCATCCAGGAGAACAGTTCAGAAATCCCTACCGGAAGCATGCCACGCACAATGGACGTCATTCTGCGAGGAGAACAAGTTGAGCGCACAAAGCCCGGCGAGAAATGCATTTTCACAGGCACCTTGATTGTTGTACCAGACGTCTCCCAGCTCGGTATCCCTGGTGTCCGGCCAGAAGCCTCGAAGGACAACAGAAACTTTCGAGGGGCTGATGCCGGTGGTGCGGGTGTTAGTGGCCTGAAGGCTTTGGGTGTGCGAGACCTCACATACCGCATGGCGTTCTTAGCCTGCTTCTCCTGTCCTGACACCACAACCCCTGGTCAAACAGCGAACCAGCTGAACGGCCAATCTACCAACATCCTCAACTCCCTCCACCAGACCGACCTTTTTGATCAATACGACAGCGGCGAGCGTGCCCAGGAAGCCTATCTCGAGACACTCACCCACGAAGAAATCGAAGACCTAAAATACATGGTTCATTCCGACAAAATCTACAGCAGACTTGTCCAGAGCATTGCCCCTATGGTCTACGGCCACGAGATTGTCAAGAAGGGTTTGTTGCTTCAGTTGCTAGGCGGTGTTTCCAAAATGACGCCTGAAGGCATGCCTCTCCGAGGAGACATCAACATCTGCATTGTGGGCGACCCGTCAACCTCGAAATCTCAGTTCCTCAAATACATCTCCTCCTTTCAACCTCGTGCAGTGTATACCTCGGGCAAAGCATCAAGTGCTGCCGGTCTGACAGCCGCTGTTGTCAAGGACGAAGAAACGGGCGAACACACCATCGAAGCCGGTGCTCTAATGCTTTCAGATTCCGGTACCTGCTGTATTGATGAGTTCGACAAGATGGACATATCAGACCAGGTCGCGATCCACGAAGCCATGGAACAACAGACGATCAGTATCGCCAAAGCAGGTATCCACGCCACGCTCAATGCGCGCACAAGTATCCTCGCCGCAGCGAATCCGATCGGCGGACGGTATAATCGCAAAACAACCCTGAGAGCCAACATCAACATGTCTGCTCCAATCATGTCGCGATTCGATCTATTCTTCGTCGTGCTCGACGAGTGCAATGAGAACATTGACCGCCATCTCGCAGAGCACATTGTCAATCTGCACATGCTCAAGGACGACTTCGTGCAGCCAGAATTCTCAACAGAGCAGCTCCAGCGCTATATTCGCTTCGCGAGGACGTTCAAACCCAAATTCACGCCAGAAGCCATGAGTTTGCTTGTGGTGAAGTACAAAGAGCTCCGCGCCAACGACTCGGGCGGTCTCGGACGAAACAGTTACCGCATCACGGTGCGTCAGCTCGAATCGCTGATCAGATTGTCCGAGGCGATTGCAAAGGCGAATTGTGTCGAGGATATCACCGTGCCCATGGTTCTGGAGGCATTTGACCTCCTCAGGCAGTCCATCATCACGGTCGAGAAGGACGACGTTGATGTCGAAGACGAAGAGGAGCAAGATGCCACTCACGATGGGGAGGGAGACAGCCCCATGGCCGACGGGGACGATCACGGCGACGCCCACGACGAAGACGAACGAACACACGGCACTCCCGCACCAACCAAGGCGACGACAAAGATCACGTTCGAGAAATACCACACCATTCAGAACATGCTCGCGTCTCATATCCGCGACGAGGAGGACCAAAACGGCGAGGGTCCCGAGCACGAGGAGTTGCTCGTATGGTACCTCGAACAAATCGAAGAGAGTATTTCGAACGAGGATGAGTTGAACGCCGAACGCTCACTTGCGAAGAAGGTGCTGAAGAGGATGATCAAGGTATGCAGCTCTAACCCCCTGCCGCACGTTACCTAGGAACAGAATCCCTCCCCCAGACGCGTGCCAGACTCATGCTAACGACCTGCTCTAGGACAATGTGATCATCCCCATACGCGGCGAAGGTCTCGTCGACGGTGATCAGCAGGATGCTGCTGCGTCGACCTCGAGAGTCACATATGCCCTCCACCCTAATTGTGGCATCTTTGATGACGAGTAGTGGACGGGTCATGAAGGGTTTGCACTTTACACTCTTGCGTTTCGTCTTTTTTGACGGCAGGCATGAGTGAGGGTCGATGAGAAGATGTCGTATGAGAACCATGTCTGGAACGTTGCAAAAGGGGTGGGAACCGGTCAGGCCGGTCAGACCTATCACGCCTATATTAAGTTTTACAACAGGGCGGCTACTGGCGTTAGGTTAGATATTCGTGTGATCTTGTGTACGATTTTCGACAGACGCCGCGGTCTTGAGGGTGTTTTGGTGGTTTGGCGTTTTTTTTCCTCTCGCTGGCTCCTACACGCATGGCCCTGGCATTTGTTCAGCGAGGATTTGTCAGAACCTGTATTTTGTATCAATGACACGTCTTGAAGGAGGTTTGCAGCTTGTCACAACTGATGATGAACACGAGCGAGTGATGGGAGAGTCTCTCTGGAACGCTTTTACATTCCAGCAGCTCATCGTGTATACCAACGACCGCACGTTGGATGCTGCAACCGCGTCTCATGCAAGTGGTCATGGCAATGGAAGTCTTGAATACAGAATATATACCAGATGTGAAACACGTTGATTATCCTGAGTGTCGCAAAAATCGGGGTCCATTGAGACATACAAGTAGGAGGAAGTGCAAGAGACTTGCTAACCCTACAGGCCCTGTATGCCTTTTTGACAACATATTCTCACTCGAGGCCGTTGCCTCCTCTGTTGCGCCTCTTCACCAACATACATTCAATGGGCCATCCAATACCATGCCATCTCAATTATCGAGCTATTCGTACAGTCAAGAAAAAAGGAGGCACTACCTTAGGCATGCAATGTTGCCTCAAGGCTTCGTGGAAAATGGACTGTCTTGTAACTCGAGATGGAAACGTATCTTTCCACAGACATGTCGAGTTCTCCAACAAGATCTGAGGATTTCTAGTGGTCCGATCAATCCTGAAACCCAAATTCATAGCTCTAATGTAGTCATGTCTGGTAGAGGAATAACCTCACAAGGACCGCGATTTTCCTTAAGCACCGCCATCATGTTCGGTCCCTCTCCCGTCCCTCGCAGCAAAAAACTTTCGTCTGAATTCCGATAGTGCATTAGCCACTCCGTCGAACTCTTTGATATCTCGTGCACGCAGATCAGCGATGACTTCTTTTAAACCGCTGAAGAAATCGTCCTTGGTTGCTTTGTCCATATTGCTGCCCGAGGTCATCTCCGCCAGGATTGCATTTTCTATGACAACAACAAATGGTTAGTACAAAGGCCCACGTACTAACCAATCGTAGTCATGACATGGAAACAGGATCAGCGCGCAGTCGTACCTGAAAGACCTATCTGATGGAGATGTTGCTCTTCACAAGATGGGTCTGTGCAAGTTTCTCCAGAGAGTTCGGTGGGGCATATTGGGCGTGAAGGATCAATATTGTTGGAGTAAGTCAACGACTTGTATCCAGTTTTGACATTGTCCTTGTAGTCGGCATGGAAACGAAAGTCCTTGAAGTTTGAAAGAGGGGTTTTATACGGAACAAATCGTGTGATAGGTTCCGCACCATCATCAAGAATGGCCGGCTTTTCATCTTGACTCTTCCCGTCGGAGACAAGCTGCGTATTGACCAAAGTGTCCGCTTCCGTCAACTGGGGACCGGACTCAGCGTCGTCCTGGGCGTTTCCTGGACGAACCTCCGATAATGTCTCAACAGCCGCGGTGGGCTGAGAGGCAAGATCTGCCTCTATTGGTTCTGATATTTCGGCATTCTCTGGGTCGTCGACGTCTTCAGCATGCTCATAAGGGTCGTAGAAGTCCGTTTCATTCTCGAATGGATTTGTAGTCGGGGTAGCATCAGTGACAGGAGCTTCCTCGGGATCATATTCGTCTGACTCCATGGATTGCCGGAATTGTCTTGCGTTTTCAACTTCGGCTGGCTCATAATCATCATCCTCCAGCTCTTCCTCAGAGTCAGACATACTCGCGCTGCCATCACTGTCTTCTCCCATATCCATCGACGTATCTTCCTCTGCTAGCTCTCCAGAGTCCATGTCCCCGGATGATGATTGTTCGGGCACCGAATCTGGCGCAGGGGAGATTTCCATCTCCTGGGTTTGAAGAGTATCAGCTCGTGTGATGCTTTGCTCGCCTTGAGCGTCTTCAGACTCTTCGTCAAAACCCACAACGGGCTCTTCAGGCTCTTCGTTATCCGAGACGATTTCAGGGCCTCCAGAAACATTCACAGTATCAACGTTATCGGCCTTTGGAAGGGCTTTGGAGGCAACGTCTTCAGACTGTAGCTGGTCAAATTTAGTCGAGCCACCATCATCTCCTACCCCTGGCGGTTCCATGTGTGTTGAGGTGGATGTAGCAAGAGTACTGGCTTCAGTGGCTGGCTGTGCATCAGGCATTGTTTCGACGACTTTGGACGGTCTGGTTTCTTGAGCTTCGGCTAATTTTTCCATTTTGATTTGTTGGAGCTCGTCAAAATATTGCTTCTGACCCGTACGGCCTTCCTGAAGTTGCAATTCCAGGCGGTGAAGCTCTTCGGCAAGCTCTCTTTCGAGGTTTGTGGATTGTGCTAACGCTGATCTATAGCTTTCGACATTCGCTCGAGCTTGGGAGAGATCAGCTCGTATCTTGTTAATTCGCAATTCAGTCTTGGAAACTTCTAGATTGAGGTCCGGCAGGCCATCTTGCAAGACCTTCTGTCGTGCCGCGCGCTGTTTGAGCAGGTCAGCCTTCAATGCAGCTGCGCGTTCCGCAAGTTGTGTAGGTGTTAATTTGGTGATTGATCGAGGCTGTTTAGACATTACAGCAACTCCACTCATAGCTGGAGACTGTGAAGTAGGGGGGCTGCTCAACGGGTTTCCGGTCCTTGTCATGACCGGGGTCGGCGGATTTGAAGAAACAGGCGATTCGACTTCGCTTTTACTTCGTTTCAACTTGTTACGCTGCTCGAGTTCAGCAATCCTTCTGCGCATGGCCTCAATCTCTGTCTGCTTTATGCGATATAGATTATCTTTTCCGGCTTCAGTGGCAGAATCACTGCGCAATGGCTGCACCGGTGTTGTTGACTTGACAGTAGCTGGTAATGGCTGTGAGGGAAGCTGATTTTGAACCTCTCCAGTTCCAGATTCGGAGCCCATAGCCATTGCATCGCTCTCGTCTTCAATGATTTCGCCTTCTGATTGTTCTTCAGGATCGTCAACGTGCGTTCGCTTCATGGAAGGTTCGATGCTGGAGGCAGCGGGATCGGATGCCAAGGAGCGCTTTAAAGGGTTGAAAATAGTATGAGGCTGTTCGTCTGACGATGTTACAGACGTTCCGTTGTCTGCATGAGTACCTGGTTCATCGGAAGCAGAGCCTCCTGGCGTCATGAACAGCCCTGGAATCAAGCCAGATTGACTGATCGAACTCCGCAACTGAGTTGTCGTCCCGAAAAACGGCTGTGCCATGTTGGTATTCTTGGCCTGCGCTTCTCGTTTGAGCTGCTCCATTTTTGCACGAACCAATTCCGTCTGAGCTTTCGCCTTTGTATTCTGAGCCTGAGATACTTCAGGGCTCTCCTGTTGCGAATGTGGAGATTTCGGAGCTGATGGAAGGGCGTTGGATGCTTCAGCGGCTCTAGCAGGAGACGCCGCTGGTAGCGACACCTGCCGTTGCGCAGGTGAGCCTGTATTTGGCGTAGAAGGGCTCGGTCGGCCTGCTTTGGCGGCAAGCAATTGGGCGATTCGATCTTTGCGCTCTATGCTGGGGTTCGGAGCTGCTTGCTGCTTCTCTGTCACAGTTGTATTGTGCAAAACGTCACTTAGTGGTGCACCTGATGGTGTCTCGTCATTCGTGCTCTGCAGATTTTGCTGGCTGAAAAGTAGGGCAGGCGCGGCTTCCTGAGCGACAGCGCGATGGACTGGTTCGGCTGACGCATTTTGCGTTGTTTGAACTTGGTCAGGATCCACCTTGATACCCAATTCGGCGTATAGTTCTCTCAGGACCTGAGGATGAATACCTTCTTTAACCAATTCAGGATAGAGGATTTTATGAGGCACAAGTGACAGGAGAGCACCCTTTGCCAATTGGCGAAGCTCAGGTACAGGCTTATCATCATATCTGCGTTGTATTGGCTTCTGCGTGTGAGCTTGGTGATTATCGACCCTTGTACGAAAAGAACCCATAGTTCGATCATCAATTGTTGCTGGTCGTGTGGGATCATATGCTGTGAGCAACTGTTAGTCCATTTCTCGAATGATGTCCATCGACTTGCACCCACGAGACACGTTTCCAGGTTCTTCGGATGGCTGTCTGTTTGCGCCAGCATACTCGCCCATAGATATAGAACTTGCCACATGCTCATCAACCTCTTGTGGAGCTTGGTTCTGAAGGTTGGCAAAAAGTAGTTCCAAATCCGATCGCGAGCCGAAGGAAGGAAGCGTTTGATCTGTGGAAGAATGAGCAGCAATGTGACTTAGCGGATTGAGGCATACCTTTGTCATCGACTTCTCGTGATGCAGGGCGGGCGGGTTGGCCATTGCCGCCTCGGTTAGTGTGGTAAGATCGAGGACTAGGTTCATTTAGATGGCGCAGATCTCTTCCTTCTCTTGATCCCGTCTGCCTGCCTGAGGACGGCTCCTGCTGAGGATGCCGGGCTTGTTCGACCAGGTTGACGCTTGAAGCGAAGGCATGGGATGTTGGTACAGGTGACGGATTGTACGGTGAAGAAGTTGAAGCAGTTGGCTGCGCGGAGAAGTGAGGAAAACCAGCCGTGCTAGGAATAGGCACGGGAGGAAATGAAGGAGGCGGTGGAGGTGGCAAGCCAGCATTGGTAAACTGTTTGAAGAATTCGGCGCTGAGAGTAGAAGGAGGAATCGGCGGAGGGTGGAAAGGATCGAAGGTTGGCGCCGGTCCCAAGTTCTGCGAGTTTGACTCAAATCTGGATGTGTTCGTCACAGGTTGGTGCTGGTAGACATTCTGCAGCGAGTTCTGCTGTGTTAAGCTCGGAGGTGTATGTATAGGCTGCTGGATGCCATTATGGGGGATAGGATAGTAGGGCTGTTGAGGAGCATAGGAAGGTGTGCCCGTGGAGAACGGGTTCGAAGAATATGAGTGCGCCATTGCGCCGTGTCGCGAGACGCGACAGACAGAGCGGTAGATATCACTGCAACACTTTTGCAAGCCAGCGAAGACGGACCTGATTAGTAGAGTCGCTCGAAGGCATCATCGAGCCAGCTGGCGATTCCAAGACAGGTCAAGAGAGGACAGGATAGGACACGCAGAGACAAAAGCTCGAATGGTCTTACTCCTGAGATATGTCCATCAAGGTTGGTACATAACAATATATATCACTCCACGATCAGGGGGCCTTGCCAACTGCTGCTCTTGAGGGTGTGTTCAATAAGCTGAGTGATGAATGGTGTTTTGGTTAACTGGACAGTGTCGCAGGAGGCATTTTCCAAATGGGCGGCACTGAGTGAAATGTCTTTCGCTAGACCTTCCCCTTCACGTGTTGTATCTTACACGTCCGATATGCACCACCGTAGCGTGAGTACGGTCGGCTACAAGAACTGGAGGATTTCCTCTAACTGCCATCACACGCTAGGCTTGTGGAGGAATAGCGTTGTCGGTCTCCAGGGCAATACAACTCGCGAGGCTTTTGTTATTGCTTTCTGAAGCGGCGTCACTTGCATGAAGAGCCAGCCGTCAGTCAAGATTTCATACATCGTGCACAGTCCCAACAACGGTTTCCAAAGTTGCTGAGTGCCTGTGCACTGACACTCTATCTGTTTTGGCTGTCTCTGTATGGTGACAGGCATCTTGACAGTGCAGCAAGATGCTGCTCCATGATCGCAGTCCAGATACTTCCCCATTCAATGGCCATTCTCAAAGACACCACTCCTTCAGCAGGTCATACAATTCAGACATGTCTTTAGCGACACCGATGTCTCCGGCAAGCATGTCGAGATCAATGCACTTTGCGTCTCCAACTCCCGCTTCCAGACACGAAAGACAACAGTCTTACTCGCCTTCAGCTTCCTTCACCTCCATCCCGCACCATGTCCGAACACAGTCCCTCCAGAGGCAGTCCAGTACGTCTAGTACTTTTGCGCCAAAATTCATCAAGTCCGATGAGATGCGAAAGAGTGAGGACAGGATCTCCGCCATAGAGGGCGAGAATGATTTCTCTGGAAAAAGATATGTGTGGGTTAAGGATCCAGAGAAAGCCTTTGTGAGGGGCTGGATAACAGAGGAACTCCCTGGCAAGAAGGTGCTAGTACAGTTCGAAAATGGTTCACAAATTGAGACCGAAATCGACGAGGTGGATAAGGTCAACCCCGCCAAATTCGACAAGGCCGACGACATGGCAGAACTCACCCATCTTAACGAAGCCTCAGTCATACACAATCTTTACACTCGCTACCAGGCCGATCTCATATACACATACTCCGGTCTCTTCTTGGTGACCATCAATCCTTATTGTCCCCTGCCCATCTATGGCAATGACTATGTTAGAATGTACAAAGGCCAGACCAGGGAAGACACACGCCCACACATATTTGCTGTTTCGGATGCAGCATTTCGAAGACTGGTGGAAGAAGGAGAGAACCAGAGTATTCTAGTCACTGGAGAATCTGGCGCCGGCAAAACTGAAAACACTAAAAAGGTCATCCAGTACCTCGCCGCTGTTGCAACATCCGACCTGGACACACCATTAACGGGCAGAACTCCTGGCAAGCAGCTTTCCAACCTCTCCCAGCAGATCTTGCGTGCAAATCCTATACTTGAATCTTTCGGCAATGCACAGACAGTACGAAACAATAACTCGTCAAGATTCGGTAAATTCATCAGGATTCAGTTTACGCGATCGGGCCAGATCGCGGGTGCATTTATCGATTGGTACCTCCTCGAAAAGTCAAGAGTCGTAAAAGTCAGTCAGCTAGAAAGAAGTTACCACATATTTTACCAGCTACTGGCCGGAGCAGACCAAAGAATAAGAGACGCTCTCCTTCTGTCCGGAATGGATGTAGAGAATTTCGCCTATATCCGTGCCGGAAATGAAACCATCAGTGGCGTATCTGATCGAGATGAGTGGAACACCCTGATCGAAGCATTCCATATCATGAACTTTTCAGAAAAGGAGCAAATGGCAATCTTCAAGACTATCGCGGCAATCCTGCACCTCGGAAATGTGGCCGTACGACAAGAAAGCAGGGCTGCTGACCAGGCGACCTTGACTCCGGAGGCGAAAGCATCCGTTGATAAGGCCTGTAGACTTCTAGGGGTGCAAACCGAGCCATTCATCAAAGGTTTACTTCACCCCAAAGTCAAGGCTGGAAGAGAATGGGTCGAGAAAGTCCAAACGCCAGAGCAGGTCAGGCTTGCACTCGACGCTCTCGCCAAGGGTATCTATGAACGAGGCTTTGGGGATTTGGTGAACAAGATCAACGGCCAACTCGATCGGGGCGGTGTCAGCAGCGATGACAGTCACTTTATCGGAGTACTTGATATTGCCGGTTTTGAAATTTTCGAGAACAACAGCTTTGAACAACTCTGCATCAACTACACAAACGAAAAGCTCCAACAATTCTTCAACCATTATATGTTTGTCTTAGAACAAGAGGAATATGCTCGAGAACAAATCGAATGGCAATTCATCGATTTCGGAAAGGATCTTCAGCCAACCATCGATTTGATCGAGCTTCCTAACCCCATTGGTATCTTTTCTTGCCTGGATGAGGATTCTGTCATGCCCAAGGCGACAGACAAGTCATTTACAGACAAGCTCCATTCCTTGTGGGAGAAGAAAACCCCCAAGTATGCGGCGGCAAAGACCAGACAAGGTTTCATTTTGACTCATTATGCTGCCGAAGTAGAATACTCTACCGAAGGCTGGCTTGAGAAGAACAAAGACCCTCTGAATGACAACCTTACCCGCCTATTGGCATGCTCCAAAGACAGCCACATTGCCAATCTGTTTGGCGATTGTGTTGATGAAGTCGACGAGCCGTACAGCCCTCGAAGTCGTGTCAAAAAGGGGTTGTTCCGGACTGTTGCTCAGAGACATAAAGAGCAATTGAGCTCCTTGATGCGACAGTTGCACTCAACACAGCCACACTTTGTTCGTTGCATTTTGCCAAATCACAAAAAGAAGCCCAAACAGTTCAACGCGCCTCTCGTCTTGGACCAATTGCGGTGTAACGGTGTGCTGGAAGGCATAAGGATTGCGCGAACAGGTTTCCCTAACAGACTCACTTTTGCTGAATTCAGATCAAGGTATGAAGTGCTCTGTGAAAACATGCCTAAAGGTTACCTTGGAGGCCAGGAGGCTGCTAAGATTATGCTCGACCGGCTGAAGATGGATGGCCAAAACTATAGAGTAGGTTTGACCAAGGTCTTTTTCAGAGCGGGTGTGCTGGCGGACTTGGAAGAGCAGCGAGACAGTCTTATCCGAGACATCATGTCGAGGTTCCAATCTGTCGCTCGTGGGTTTATGCAGCGACGTGTGGCGTTCAAGCAGCTTTACCGAGCGGAAGCAACTAGGGTCATTCAACGGAACCTCAATGTGTATCTCGACCTCCAGGCAAACCCCTGGTGGCGTCTTTTTGTCCGGATGAAGCCTCTGCTAGGAGCGACCAGGACTGCGAGCGAAGTCAAGAGGCGTGACGAAAAGATTGAGATGCTTCAGACCAAGATGCAACAAGAAGCTGCCGAGCGCCATCGTGTCGAAGACGAACGACGTCGTGCTGAAATCGACGTCCAGCGGGTCCGACAGACCCTTGAGGCTGAACGTGCCTTGGCTCTTGATAAGGAGGAGATATTCAAGCGTCTCCAATATCGCGAAAGTGAATTGACCGAGAAGCTATCCGAAGCCATCACTGAGCAAGAGACTCTGGAGGACCAACTCGACGCAGCTCTCGATTCTAAAAAGAAGACCGAAGAAGAATTGAACACGCGTCGTGAACAAGTGTTGCAAGCCGGTCAGATCATAACAAGACTCGAAGCGGAGAAGAAAGACATGCAGCGACAAATTGAGCGGTTGGAAGAAGAGATTGAGAACGTCGAGAAGCATCACTCGTCAACGGACAATCGGCTCGAAAATATCAGTCAGGAACTCCGCACGCTCAAGTCTCAGTTGGGGGTCAAGGACAGGAAGATTGCTGAACTCGAGTCTTCCCTACATCAAGCCGAACGAGAAAAGGACAATAAATCCACGTCTCTCGAGCAGGAAGTGCGTTCGTTACGAAGTCAAATATCCCAGCGCGAGCGCACAACGGAGGAACTCGAAAAGAAACTCCAGCGCTCCGAGTCATTACGAGCGGAAGAGACCAAGCATAAGACCGAGGACTACGAGTCGCAGATCCGTGCTCTGAAGAGTGAATTGTCCGGCAAGGAACGCAAGGTCCACGATCTCGAAGGCACGTTGTCAAAGATTGACAAAGACGCAGAGACGAAGCTTGCCCATGCCAACGACGAGCTCGGTAATGCCAAGAAGCTTCTACGAGAACTTCAAGGTCAGAACGAGGAATTGCGCAATCAAATCACGAGTATGACCAGCGCCAGCAGCAAGCACGAAGAAGCTCTTCGGCGGAAGGAGGGTGAATTGTCAGCATTGATGGCGGACATTGAGGCTCACGAGGAGGAGAAGGCGATTCTCAGGCGTGAAATCGACGGACTGAGTGGTCAACATGGCGACATGCAGGCCAAGCATCGTGGATTACAGGATGACATTGAAGCCATGCGGACTCAGAGGATCAAGATGGAAAAGGAGGCGATTGAGGTCAGAAAAGCACTCGAGCGAGTTATGCCGTTCTTTTCACAGAACTTTTCTTGAGCACCACGGGCATGATGGATAGGGGCTGTTTTACGAAGCGTGATGAGCATGGTTGGATTGCTAGCGTTTTTTCCCCTTTGGACTTTTTGTTTTTTTGGTTGTGAGTTTTGGCGAGCAAGGTTTGTACTGTACGTGTGTTTGGGTCGCTGAGTACATAATCTCCAGGAGACTTGCGTAGCATGCAAATGTGTACATGAGTTTTATCGAAATTCGTGTCTGCTGTATACCTAGTAACCCCCACTCTTGAGAGGTCTCGAAATGATGGTTTGTTGTTGTAGGTGTGTAGGGCCGTGGAAAGGTGAAGTTGATGCAGAACTGTAGAACACCGGGGGGGTAGTCTGTAGATAGTAGACAGGTAGGTCCTGTACGGAGGCGCCATGGGCTCGAACGTGGTTTACAGGGTACCTGTATGAGGATGTCATCTACATCCACAATGAGGGGGTGGTCAACCTGGTACGGATAGGACGGTAAAACGGTCATCTCGCAGTTCTCCGTGATAGGTAGTAGTACCCAGTACGCATGGATCCCCATACATACACCATATATAGGTACTGTAGCTATATATATAGCCCTGATGGAGGCTAGTGAGCGCCGCCAGGGTTCCCTGCGCGTCCAGAAGCGTTACGCTGGACAAGCGACCTCAGCAAAGCCATTTGTACCAAAACAACTGCGCTGAGACGTCACCCCAGTTCGATCTTCTCCCTCTGAACCAAAGGGCGTATTTCATCCCAAAGTCGTCGTTTTGCCAATACGCACCTCCGTCGCCCTCTCCTTCGTTCGGGCCGACCTCTCCCGGCGAAATAGGATGGCAGAAGCTGCCGGACTGGTCATTGGCGCCGTGAGCGTCGCCGGCCTCTTCACCACCTGTGTCGATTGCTTCGAATACGTCCAGCTGGGTCGCAACTTTGGGAAGAACTTCCAACGCTCCCTACTGAGGCTCGACGTCGTGAAGCTCCGCCTGTCCCGGTGGGCGGAGGCTGTGAACAACTCACCAGAGTCCCATCAGGGGGCCACCGACACGACGGAAAGGGGCCAGAAGGTCAGAGAGATCTTGGGGGAGATCATCGAGTTGTTTGCCGACGCAGAAAGAGTCTCGGAAAAGTACAAGGCAAAGGTCACCGGCGGCGAGCTGGTCGTGTACGACGCCGACAGCGAGCTTGAGCCGGACATCTCATCGATACGCAAGAAGCTGCGAGAACTGGCATTCAGGTGCCAGAAACGAAGCAGCTTCGCACAGAAAGCGACTTGGGCGTTGTACGAGGAGAAAAACTTCCGCAGGCTGATCGAGGATGTCACGGCACTTGTCGATGCCTTGGTGGACCTCTTCCCAGCGTCCCGGGATCGCCAGCGGCAGCTAAGTGCTCAAGAGGCCGAAGAGTTGAAGGAAGAGCACCGTCTTGATGCTTTGGAAGAAGCGGCAGAAGGGGTCGATCCGCTACTCCAAGATTCCGTGCAGCAGGCAATCGCCAGCCAAAGTGGTCACGCCTTCAGTGGCAACATGGCCATGGAGAATGCTCGAGTCAGGTATGGGGATGAGCATGCGGCCGGAGCCACTGGCACTGGAGCTGGGCACAGATACGATAGAAACACAGCACAGGGCAGTTCACGAGTGCACTATGGGAACCAATTCGGAGGGAAAAGTGTGCTCGACGATTAAGGAAACATAAGTCTACTGTCCACACTCCTGGTGGGCCTACTGAACTGGTACTCTGAAGCCCAATGGGCGGTTCGGGTATTGTTTGGGAGTGGTAGGCGTATAATGCCTTCATTTCTGATCTCTGCTCACTTCAACCTTGCACCCCTCGGTGATTGAAACCACTAGAGTCATCGTCTGCTTCTCGACGCCAATTAACTCCACCTTCTCCCCGGGGGGCAATCTAATCCCGGGGAACCTCTGAATCAGATGCACGATAGTGTATGCCGCCTCGGTCAGGCCAAAATCCATGCCCAGGCATGTTCGTGGCCCTCCATTGAAGGGAAGATACCCCCATTTTGCATTGGTTGGATCGTCGTTAAGGGGCATATGTTCCTCCCATCGCTCGGGCCGGAACAATTCTGCATCCATTCCATAGAAGTCGGGCCGTCTATGCATTGAATACACGCTGTACGCAACCGAAGCCCCTCTAGGTACAAACACTGGGGATTTGAGATCCGGCCCGCCACCAACTGGGAGGACAGTGGTCTTCAGAGCTGTCCGAGAGTTCACCGGAACAGAAGGATAGAGTCTGAGAGCTGCATTTGGAAGTCAGGTTGGAAGTGGAGAAAATATGGCTGATGACATAGGGTCTTACTCTCTTTTATGACATTTTGCAAGTAGTTCATTTTTCTCAGGTCCGATCGTGTAATCTCCACTCTACTGTCGAAGATGCATGCGATCTCTGATCTTAGTTTGTCCATGACATTTGGGTGTCGCACGAGAAGGAAGCTGCAATTCTTGTCAGCCTGATCGGTCAATTGGACGGGGCTTTGCATGTCCACTCACAACGTCCAGGAGATGAGGCATGCGGTAGTATCTCTGCCGGCAACCAAGATGTTTATGATTTGGCTGCGCAATGCCTTCCGATCTGGCGTATTTCTGGCGAGAAAGTCAAGAAACACATATTTTTTTTGTCCTTCAACGCGGTCCAAGTCTCTGGATAGATTTCGATCAATGATCTGATCTGCAAAGCGATGAACATCACTGCAGGCCTGCCGAAATTTTCTCCCACCGACAAGCCAATAGAGGTCCTGTAGTCTCATCCTTTTCGCAATGAAGTCTTGAGCTGTGTTGAACGCACTGGCGAATTCAGATTCTCCCGGTGTGCCAGGCCTTTCTAGGGAGTGTACGGACTCTCCAAACAAGAATGCTGTGGTCACATCTAAGGTCAACCGGAAGAAGAACGGTTGGAGATCGACGACCCCATTTGTGGGTAACGCTTCCAGGAGATTGGCGACCGGTTCTCGGAACACTTCCAGATCTTCGTACTGCTTAAAAACAAACTGGGGCCTCAGAATTTCGCGCGAATGTTTCCAGTCAGCGCCTTCCTGGGTGAATATGCCGTCTCCAAAAAAGGGGAACATGACTTTTCGTCTCGGGCCCATGCCCCAGTCTTCGAACTGGGTGCTCAGAATAGCTTCAAGATTGGCTGGTTCTATTGTTCCGAAAGCCTGGGAGCCAAGAAATACTTGCTCGAGGGTTGTGCCCCAGAGCCTGAAATGAAATAAGAACAGCTCCATCAGGCGAGACTCGCTGTCCGCCCTGAATATTTGCTCGAGGCGGTCCAGACCAAGCGGCCTTTGATTCAACAGCCTCGGGGGCGGTTGACACCCACGAGCCACTCCCATTTGCATATCATACTGCAGAGTAATCAGGAACTTCGTAGTTGGATCCAAGCGCTGAACACACTTACACGACGTTGCCGAAGAACGTTGATGGCATGATAAACATAAAATGCGAATACGCACCCCAAAGCTATGAAAAGTGAGGACATTGTAACCATGGTACAGCGTAATATCGATCAAGAGGTGAAAAACACAGCTGTAACTGAAGAAACAGGAAGTAGATGGAGACTGAGACCGACTGTGAGATATCAAACTTGGGCGCTGAGGACCTGCAGACTTGTTCTTGGTGCAGGCGGGTTAGCGCCATTGGCCCCTGACTCATGAGGTCGTATTGTACCAGTAACAGGCCCCTAAGTACGGAGTAGAAGCTGATGGCCAATGGGCAACTAAGAATGTTAAACGCCGTGATCATTTTTAGCTCTCTGTCATGCGGGACGGCCCAAGCGGAACGACGGCTCAGTTTCTGCGCTCCCCGCAGAACTCGCTTCTTTCGTCCTCTCGAAAACTCATTCGATCAAGCACACCAATACACTAAACCAAATCTCCCCTACAAAGTGTTGATATGATATCGGCATGGCTGGCCAGTCGTTTGAGCGCAATCTCATCAATGAAAGCAGAGTGCACTTCGGGAACAATTACTACTCTTACGGTGCGAAAAGCACTTCGGAACTTTCCGGTGTTGCTGAGACTACTGTAGCTCGACCTTCGTTGGAGCCGTCCCTTTCACAAGAAGCAGATGCATACGGCTTGAACGAATTGTACTGCGTACCTCGTTGCTCCCGTCCTCGGTTCGTCGGAAGACAGCTCCTGGCAGATCGAGTCAAGGAAGCACTTAATCCTGACGCCGCACAGGTGGACAATGGCAAGCATATGATTGTGGCCATCTACGGATTAGGAGGTTCTGGAAAAACTCAGTTCTGCCTCAGATACGCGGAAGCGAATCGATCAAGGTAACCTGTCATGGTACTGCATTGGAACTGCTTCTGACAGCAACTCCTAGTTACTGGGGCGTCTTCTGGATCGATGCCAGCTCCCGTGAGAACGCCGAAGCTGGCTTCGCATTGTTGGGGCAACAAGCAGGCAAGGGCTCTACCTTTTCAGCCGGCAAGTATTGGTTATCTCAACAACCCAAGCCGTGGCTGTTGGTGGTCGACAATGCCGACGATCCCGAATTGGACATTTCAGAGTTTATTCCTGCCGGGGCGCATGGGCATGTTCTCATCACGACGCGCAATCCAAACGTGACCATCTATGCTACAGCTGGTTCTTTCCGCCTTCAAGGCTTGGATCCCGAGGAAGCTATAACCCTCCTGCTCAGGTCGGCGTATCCGAGCGATCAGGCAAGTGAGACGGGTTCAACTAAGCGCACCCTGGCCCAGAGCATTGCCGCCGAATTAGGCTACCTGGCTATAGCATTGGACCACGCAGGAGCAACAATTCGACGCAAGGTCTACACTCTTGAGAGATATCTCCACTTTTACCTTGGTTACCGCCAACGCCTGCTCAGTTCTCCGAGGTCCATCAGTGCTGAAGAGGCCGACGTCATCACTACTTGGGAAATACCCTTCAGAAGAATTGAGAAGCGAGAATCTGTCGATTATAAGGACGCGGTTGTCTTGATGCACATATTCGCGTTCCTGCATTTCGGTTCGATATCGGAGCACATCTTTGATGTTTCGTGGGCAGTGAGCGAGAGCGGTTCCTCTTCAGGGATCTTACTGCCGGATCTTCTCCGACTTGATTCGAGTCGTTCTGAAGAAGCACAGACACGGCTTAGACGGGCCATCGGAGTCCTGTGTGACTACTCGATTATTGACCACGATGCGGACCGCGAGGTATGCTCACTGCACCCTGTCATTCACAGATGGGCCAGGACTAGGTTGTCCGATGGAAAGCAACTACTCTGCTGGCTTGATTGTACCATCAAGCTTCTGGTTCGATGCATCTCCCCGAATCTCGAAACGTCAGGACGAAGGTTTCGAAGGCTTCTTTTGCCTCATCTTGAATCATGTCTGCAGATGCTTGAAATTCACACTCCGTCGTTCCCGCAGACGAGTGAGAGGGCAGACCAAATGGAGAGATTTGCGTGGGTATACGCCGAAAGTGGCCTCTGGAAGCCAGCTCTAGGATTGCAGAGTAAAATCATCGCGTACAGAGTTCGAACACTTGGCAGAACGCACGAAGATTCTCTAAGGGCTCAGCGCAGTCTCTCTCACATATATTGGAATCTCTTCAAGGTGGAGGCGGCCCTCGATGTCCAACGACAAATTCTTAATGTGCGATGGTGGTCAAGATCATCGGTTGTGCACTGGGCGCGGCCATGGAGGCCGGATCACATCAGCTATTGTATCGCGCTGGATGACCTTACCCAAACGCTGTGGCTGGCAGGGAGAAGAGATCTCTCAAAATGGACCGGCGAGCGCGCTGTGAACGGCTTGGTGAGAAGGATCGGTCCAGATGACCCTCGAACACTGAACGCAATGTTCAACTTAGGTCGTACATACCTCCATGCTGGAGACCTGGGGAAAGCGCACAAGTTATTACTATCAGTGCTACTGAAGAGAAAGAAACTTTTTGGTCAGAACCATCCGGACACGCTCATGGCAAGAAACGAGCTCGGAATGTGTTTTTGTGCGCGAAAAGAGCGTCTTGGTGTTGCGGAACGACTTGTGGCCAACGTCCTTGAAGCACGCAAGCAAGTACTTGGCGAAGAGCATGCGTACACTTTGTGGTCGGTGAACGATCTATCAAAGGTTCTTTGTGAGCGTGGCCGGCCATTACAAGCCGTAAATATGCTGACAGAATTGATACCGGTGGTGGAACGCACACTTGGGCAGGAACATGTCGGAATGAACATGACCAAGGGCAATCTCGCTCGAGCATATGTGCTTTGCGGGAGATGGTATGATGCTGAACGAGTCCTTCTCGAAATGCTTTCTCTCATCAAAGATGACCATCCTGACTGGGTTCAAACCATGTCTGGGTGCATCCATGTGCAGATTTTATCTGGTCGGCTGGAGGAAGCCGAGAAGAACTGCACGAAGATACTGCGCAAGATTACGCAGGAAAACGGGCTCTGTAAAGATGATCCTCGGACGACTGTCGTTATGAAACATCTTGCGAACATTTATGTCAACACTGGACGCTCTGACCAGCTTTCTGTCCTCAAAGCCATGTTTCCGGGAATGGAAGGGATGGATCTGACACTGGTCAAGCAAGATTGAAAATCTGAAACCGATTCAGCTATAGGTTATAGCCTATGATGGGACAGTTTTCATCCAAAATGTCCGTCCGCCAACGCGTAGAAGAAGCACATATGCAAGGTTTGTGACAAGCACTTCACACGCCTAAGTTCCTTGGAGACACACATGTACGGCCGCGTCCTTTTGCATGCGAGTCGAGGGTTGTGGACGACACTTCACGGGTGTTCCGACTTGCGCCGACACAAGAAGGGACACAAGAAGGTGCACAAGGACGAGACGGGCTTGATTGCCAACCCTCTGACGCGGAGGAGAAATAAACGACCAACTGGAAGGAATAACTGTGATCGGGTAAAGTTACCACCAGCTAAATGTGCGTAACGTTGGCGTGTATGGAACTGGAGCCCGAATGGAAGCCTCCATAGCCGGCGAGGGGGTACGGTAGGAGCGGGCCAGAGCCGTGAAGGTGCAGGAGGAAGCGCAAGGGGGTTGCGCGAAGGAGAGGATGGGAGTGGAAGAGAGCGGACGAGGGAGCGAAATCGACTGTATAAGTAAGTCGTTAGCGGGAGACCAAAGCGGCGGGAGATGAGTCAGCCAAGCGGGCGAGGGCGATGACATTCCGGGGATTACGGAGTATATACGGAGTACCTAGGTACAAGTACGGAGTAAGTGTATATATATATATATATTATATACTCCGTATACCCCGAACTATATTTTATCCCTTGCCATTTTCGTTCAGGAAAGGGAGCGAGGCCGCTTTAATCAGGCACATGCCGGAGCATCGAGGAGGCCCGGCCGAGTACGAGAGAGCGTTACAGGAGCCACGGTAGAGTATAGGGGAGCGCCGAGGGAGCGCGCCCGAGCACTAGGCGAGCTATAGAAAACGCTGCCTAATGTTCGGGCTTAGGGGGCCTTATCTGGCCTTTTACGATCGGATACACTACAGATCTCCCGCCTATCGTACGTGATCTCGCACCGCTTTTGCTTAGGACTACCGAAAGCCTTATGTTCTTCTCGATTAGTAAGGGTATGCCGTGATACCTGGAGGTGATTATTGTCGTTCTTTATATGCCAAGGTGAGTAAAAACTGCTCTCGCGCTCTCGCCACGGATCGGGCCCAGGGTAAGTGCTCATCCCCGGCTCGCGTGCGCCGGGGGTGCGATGTCGACTGTCTTACTGGAATGGAACGGAGCTCGGAACTTTCGAATTGGGACCAACAATTTCATGATGTTCGCGGTCCGTTTTTGCCCTGAGAGACATGCGATGGTTTTGTGGCGTGCTCAACCTCACCTTTACATAGGAGGTTATAAGTCACGTGCCCATTTGCCGGGCTCCCGCCTACGGGTTCTTCAAAAGGTCGGACGCATAACGGCGACTTGTATTGTTACTTTGTCCATTTTGAGGAATATGGTATTTCCCGTTGAGATTTTGCGTTCGAAAGTGTCACTCTAAGGCCACATTATTCAGGGAAGAGTTTCCCATGAGCGCCGAACTTCGTCGAAAAGCGCGGCGGAACGACCTTTCTACCCCGCCAATGATTGACTCGGCTTCATGAAAGAGGAAATGTATCGGCGATCTAGCCCACTCAGGGTCGAAGCTGTTGAGCCAAATCCTGTAGGCGAGCCAGCTCAACGGCATATGGAGCATCTGGTATGGGAATATGGAGATGACAAAGAGCAGTGTGGTTGAACATACCAGGTAGTAGACTCCTAAAGCTACGATTTCCCAGGCCGGGGGTAGGTCGAGATTGGATAGCCAGTCTGGAGTGCTGGGCAGGATAATAAATAGGACACGCCAAAAAGCGCGTGGAAAGGTGTGGGACAGAAAACTCTAGGCCAGTACCTAACTCACTGTTGCCGCGATTCTAGTTGTCTAAGGACTGCGAGCAGAAAGCATTTGGCGGTGACGGAGTTTGATATCGTGATGTGGCGAAGATGCTACGCCCAGCGTCAGCTGAAATACAAGAAGACCCAGTACACTGGTCATGAGATCGGGAATCAGTGTAGCATATACCATACTCGACCAGGAAGTCAAAATCGTTTAACGAAGATTCAGCCTTGACAACAGGGATATTTGTCTCAGTGGAGGAGTCTTTGTTCAGCAGCAGAAGCAAGGGTTTGTCGAATCGCAATGTCAGCAGAGAACCAGTTCTTTCTCTGATGCTAAAGCGCGCTCCTAGGAGGGCTTTGCTTTGGTCGTGACTAACGCCTTCGGGAAACCTCTCTGCCAGTATACAAGTGCCAAACCCTTCGTTATATAGTCGCGCAGCCGCACGCTCCGTTGCGATGCAGGCCTCCGTGGATGAGTGTGCAGAGTCCGTTCCTGGCTCCATCGACTCGTTCACGGTCACAACCCAAGTGGTCTCGGAGCCCCCGTCCTGATCAATGATCCTGAATCTTGGCGCTCTTTCTTGCCTTTCCAAGAACACGTAAGCCACCAAGCTCTCTCGGTGTACAGTTGCCTTATCCAGGAACAAACCATTGGATCTCCACGACAATCCAGCGCAGGCCGAAAGCTGATCGCCCATGATGCCATGTTCGCTGGTTTCGGTCGGTAGCCAACTGTTTTGAGGGCGTTCAGGATCGAGTATACGTGGTCCGGAGTTGAATAGCAGTGAGATCGGAAGGACCTGACAGTTTCGAACGATGAGAGGTAAGTATCGAGCTTGTTGGGGAGGAGTGGTTGTAGTGACTGCGTGAGACATGTCTGGGATATGAGATTGTACTTTATGGGGACTGAGATCGAGCATATTTGCAACAATCTGATATAAATCCTTCTTCTGACTCGTCTCGCGCTGGATCAGGCTATTCCATGTCTCCACGAACTGTGACAATCTCCAACACACAATCGCGGCCTCTCGTTTACTCCCGGGGGCAAGGTTAGTAAGCTAGATCCGTTCCCTTTGCAATGCGCGCTGGGTCAGTGCCACAACTGACATAGGTAAACGAAGTCTGCTGGCATGCAACTCCGATTCTGTTGCGCCGTCGTTTTCAAAAGTCATGCCGTACACAGCTCGAGACCAAACGAAATTGTCAAGAGGATGCTGCCAACTTGGCGCTTCCTCGTCGAGTAGGCCATCAAACCCTAGACGGAAAACTTGAGATTCGAGCTGAAATGAAAGTTCTCGAGCTAGGGCACCCTCCTGTAACGTCCATGATCTCTCCATCCAAGCCGAGGAATAAATCTTTGCAGCAAGAGCCTCGCGCTCTTGTGACGGCAACAATGCGGGCTGAATTGACGACTGCTGCAGCTCAGCGTCCAATACAATCACAGTTTCGGCTCCAGCGTAAATTGCGGCCATGTGTTTAATCGCCTTGTTCTTGATGCGTTCTTCCTCCTGGTCATTGCTAGTAACAATCGGAATACACAGTGTATCAAGCCAAAGGTATTGACGGCGTGGATAGACTATCGAGAGTAAATCCGAGCGTCCGAGGGCCGTTGCCAAACCTCTGAACGTCAGACCTCCAAACACGTTTCTGAGACACTGCTGTAGTTTCTTGACTTGACAGTTAAAGAGTCCATTTGTATCTGGATTACCTAGGCCGTCAGACTAGACGTGCGAAACAGCGACATACTTAGTCCATGGACGAGCTTCCACAATCCTTAAGGCGGTGGAGCCAAACGTCATGCAGACCAATGGAATACCACCCGCTCTAATGATCTTGATGATCTTCTCCCGCTCGACCTTTACCATCTTCCTGCAAGAACAGTCCGCCGTCACATGTGCTGTCCGGTATTGTTCTATATTTCTTCCGTTTGCAGCATCCGATGCCGAAGTCGCTGGTTGCGTAGTTGGGGCTAACGAGACGTTGTGGGCGACACACTTTGGTGAATCGCGGCAGCGAGAGTGATCGATACGTTGCAGGGGTCGTCGATTAACGCTAGCAAAGTAATTTGCAGTGGGTAGATTGTGGAGATATAGGATGCGCCTAGCCTGTGACGGGCACCAGTTATGCTGTTCGAAGAGGCGAAGTAGAAGGAAATCGCTCATACGTGGTTCTTGGCGCTTGCCACGCTCTGTCGGATAATCCTTTAACGTCGAAAGCCATTTATTGTACGCCGAAGCAGATAAAGCATGCAAAAAGAGCCATCTGGTGCTGAAAAATTTGCTTCGAGTGAGATTCCGAGTCCAGAATCCGGGAGATGGTTCCTCCAACAATTCAAATACGCGTTTGACAAAAGCTACAAGTAACCGAATAGAGAGAAGAACAGGAGGCAACGCTGCATCTAGATGTCGACCTTAAACATCGATTGCTGTGACAGTAGTATCGACGGTGTGGAGACACTCTAACAAATTCGAATGCCAGGAGCCACGTTCAGAAAATGGCAGAACCACTAGACGCTGGCGCAAGCGGTGAACCATAGATGACATGTCGTTGAACATAAGGTACTCATACAGACCTCCCAATACCGATTGTCGTCCGATATAGGGGCTAGCATCGTCCAGCAAGGTGAACTCTGAGAATAGTCCGAAGAAAAGCCATGCCTGGGCTAGGGATGAGAGCTCTTCGTCAGACTTAGATCTCAAGAGTTCCTCGTCAATGTCGTTTCGAGAGCCACAGAAGCCAGCTCGCCTTGGAAATTCTCCAAATGGCCTTGTTATGTCGGGTCCATCATACCGATATGGACCCGGGATATATGGAATGCGCAATAGAGGTTTATCGTGGAGAATGAAGGGACTGTCCATGGAATCAAAGGCAGTATATGTGTTGTAGACGTCTGGATGATCAGGAAAATGCTCGATATAATTTCATGGGAAAGAAAAGGAGAAGGTTAGCGCCTTTAGCATTTATATAATAAGGGGGTTTATTATTAGGGCCTCCCTCCAAACACAGCAAACAAGCCAAGCTAGGATAGCTCGGACGCAGAACGGATGAGGAGCAGTGACCACCCGCATCCGCCTCAAAGCCTCCTTAAGGCTTTGAGTCTCTGTACATAGGGGCTATAGCTACCGCTAGTAAGTGTTGTTATCTCTATTGGCCTGTCTGACCCCTCGCGAGCCTCCCCTTACAAGTATAAGAGAGTAGAAGAGGAGCGGAAAGAGAGGAAGGGAGCAGAATGGAGTAGACGAGGGAGCAATTCTACGAAATAGTCGTTAGCGGGGGAGCAAAGCGGTAGGAGACTATTTAGCGAAAGAGTGGTGGGAAACGATGGTTCGGGGATTATATATATATATATGTGGCTTACTCTTTCTCACGCCGATATATTTACTGTAAGAGACGTCAACCCATCTTTTTTTGTTCTTGTTATAATTGTCTTAACACGACACAATCACTCACTCACTCCCTCACTCATCATTATGTCTCCTCGTTCACCTCCATCATCGTCCGACAACGACGACCATCCGGTCGCCGCGGCACATGTCCAAAGAGCAGAACATGAAGCTTCCATCAATCGTAACCCACACCCTGACTTTATTCGAGTTCAAGCCTCGAGACCAGATTGGTCTGAAAGTCATGCGGCTTCCTCGTCGTCCTCATCGTGGAAGTTTACAAAAACTCGAGATCCAAATTGGAAATGGGGTCAAGGTGGTAACGATAACGGAGAGTCTTTGGACAAAGACCATGTCGAAATCGACCCCTATGCTCCTGGGAGACCTTCGAATTTTAATTATAAATTATTGATTTCAGGAATCGTACCTAGACCTATCGGGTTTTATAGTACCGTTTCCAAAGATGGTGAGTTGAGAATTTTTCCATGATGAACCTACGGATGATGAACGTACGGATACAGAGGACGGATATTGAATACTAAATACTTTGCTGGGAAAAAAAAACAGGCAAATCATCAAATTTGGCACCATTTTCATATACAAACCTAGTTTGTTCTGACCCTCCTATGTTCACGGTTGGAATTTCCGGTAATGTTCAAAATGCCAAAGATACACTAAAGAATTTGATCGATACGGGAGAATGTGAGTTTGCTTTATTACCTACTTGAGGAGTATCTACGTACCTACCTACCTCGGTGCCCAAGGGATATCCCTCACTCTTCCTTTATCAACAGTATTCTCGAAGAAACCTCTCACTGACCGCCCACAATTTTTTCTTCTAGGCGTCTTGAACATGGTCTCTGAACATTTTATCGAAGCAGCCAACGCCACTTCCATCAACAGTCCCCACGGAGTGTCCGAGTGGTCCCTCTCCGGCCTACACCCCGAGGCCAGTACTCACGTCAAGCCGGCGAGGGTCAAGGAATCGGTGTTCGCCATCGAATGTAAACTCGTCGAGGTCAGGGAATTCGAGAGTCGATCCAAACCGGGACGCAAATCTGGCGCGATGGTCATTCTCGAGGGAATAAATTTCTGGGTGAGGGAGGACGCCATCAACGAGGACCTGAACATGATTGATCCGGATGTGAGTCTCTCTCTCTTTTGTTTTTTTATATGTGAAAAATTTTCTTACATCCCCCTCCCCCACCCCTACAAGAGTACTCATGAATCGACCGACCCGTCCCTCAAATATACTGACCCGTACTCTATTCTCCCACAGATCATTCGTCCGATATGTAGATTAGGAGGTATCACTTACGGAAGGGTCACGGAGGGATTCGAATTGTTGAGACCAGAGTATGAAAAGACAAAAGCTTCAGGGGCGTTGGACGCAACAACATCTACCTCTACTTCGGACACCGAGGCAACTACACCCAAACCGACGACGACGACGACGACGACGACGACGACCACACGTACCAGGGATAAGTTATGATACACTAAAACATCACCCATCTCAAAAATAAACTTCCTCACCATCGCCCTCGAAGAAACAGGATAGAACACAATAGACTTGTTCTTGTGTATGGAGCGGTCTCTGCCCGTGGAAAATCACCACCAGAAGTGCCATATGTGTATTCCACTCACGAAACTTGAGCTTGATATACAAGGCCATATGTGGCAATTGTCGCTCAACAACCTCATATTCCATATCCACAATACTCCACTAGCATGCCTAACAAAGGGATATCACGAAAAAGGAGCCAGGCATTGAATGATGTCCGAAACGAACCATGCCCATGTTGATTTAAACCGAATCCTTGTACGAGTGACATATCACCGCAAGCCGATGACACTCTAAAGTGGACCATGTAAGCAAATGAATCAGAACCTCACTTTATTGGTGGTGCTTACCATTTCAAGAGTCCATACTCTTCGAATCCAGACCTTCACCTTGCCTTCAACACCTGCAACATCATCCAACTCTACTCCTTCCCACCAGCATCTTCTCGCGGGTTTTCGCCAGAACAGTAGTAGTTTCTGAGCCATGCCGACGGCATTACTGCCTGCGATGTCACCCTTGACGTCTGTCCGTAACCGAGCCAGGGCTAGACTGCAGATGACTGCTTTGTTTGGTTCTCCTGCTCGATGACCCCAGCTGTCATCATGATTGAATCCCCTGCGTTTTGTCAGCGCAGCACGTCGAAACGTATGATAAGCAAACGTACCCGGCAGTCAGCATCTCTATTAGATGCTGCTCGGTGGTTCCGGCTTCTTCACTCCGTTTGAGTCCCGAGAAGATGCCGTTTTGCTTGACTAATGACCTTCCCGCTGCTCTCTTGACTTCGGTCATTTCCAACGCTTCAATGTCGGCGCGAGGAGGAATGACATAGAAGTCGAGGTCTTCTCTCAAGACAATAATCCCCGCCCTGTCTTGAAGCATGTCTTTGGTAGAACCTTGAAGTGGTTCGATTGAGATGGGGTCATTCTCGGAGGGGGTGGTTGGTGAAGGCGATCTTGAAGGGATTGATTGTGCGACGTCACGGAAGAAGTTTAACATATACTGCAGGGATGCTGGGTCATACTGTGTACGATAAGTAATGTCTCCAAGATAAATAGAAGGATTTGCAAGGACAATGATGGGATGGGTTCTAGATGAGAGACGTACGTCGACGGGATAGACATCGCCGTCATGAAACGAGTTCATGTGGCCGTCTGGTAGCAGGCCATTGGGAAAGAGGGAGAGTAGGACGAATTCGGGCAATGTCAATAATTCCTCTCTGGAAAGCGTGAAGCGGGTGCCCCTAGTCACAGTCAGTTTCCCACCTTCGCTTCAGCTCCGGAGTAGACCGTACCTCAGATCCAAAGTGATGTGTTCATCTGCAGCGGCTTCTCCTGCTGAATATTGTATTAGTACGCTGTTTCCACTAGCGCAAGAAACCATTTCATACCTCCTAATGTATTGATCGGCGGTCCGGGGGTTTGTTGAACTTGTGTGATGATGCTGGCTGCACCTCCTGCTGCCGCCATGATGTAGGCAAAGGAATCTAACGGACTTGAACCCTCGGTGTAAGGTGGCGGAGGCTCGCCTTCTTCAACCGCTCTGGAAGACTGCGCCTTGGTATCGGGAGGTAGTGCGGCTTTTGTCTCGGCCTCGGCCTTGCACTCGACCTCGTCTTCGGCGAGAGCCTCCTCAAAGGAGGGCGCCGGGGCACTGGCTAGGAGCGAGTCGCAAGCAGTCTCGGTGACAGTTGCTCTGATTCGATCGAGCTCGGCGTCGGTAGGAAAATAGAGGGAAGAAAAGGGCGGTGGTCGTTGGGAAGGAGAACCAGCGGACGATGCTTCGGAGCTGGGAGAGTGAGGTGGCGGTGGAGCGGTATAGATCTTGTCGTCAGAAGTGTCGAGATTGTTATAACTTGACAACGCCGTGGTGGGCGAGTCTGGAGCAAAAGGTCGGTGTGACAATGTGGTTGATTGGGCGCTGCAAGAGCCGCAGCCAATTCAGGCGTTTGTTGTGTTTTTGAGGATGTCGGTGGATTCGCGCAAGGACAAGACGATTTGCGCAGATCAATTAGTTCAGTTGTTCTCGCTCAACATGGAGCGCGATAATGAAATATTGAGAGTGGGAAGGACACGTGGATAGCTATGAAGCGTTGAAAGATCAGACACCAGCGGAGGGTGTTGTTGAGTTGTAGAAGAGATCGGTGTGGTTGGAGTGGTGGAAGTTGGAAGGAGTATTTATTGGGTCTAATTAATACCGGTTATTGGGAGGAGGTCGATCTTGTTTATTCGACGCTTCACTTTTCACGAACGAAACCCTACAGTAGAGAGAGAGTCTAGCTGACCTCGGTGACGCTTTTGCTGTCACAGTCAAGCCTGTATAATGGATATTATGGGGCCTAAAGAGCCCAAACAGCCTATTGTACGGGGAGTTGAAGCCCACCCGTAGCCGCCCGTTTGACGTTGGTCCTAGTCTACTCCCAGTACTAAATCTATACGCCATTGCGCTACGGAGTAACAGTGACCAAAATCAAAGAACATGTTATTATGATCATAGACTGTACGACTGCAGGTTCCGCAGACTTGACGATAACGATCACAATTTGTTGATAACCCTGTTGTTGTCATTACACTGCCATACATCTGAGGATTCGCAGTGCCTCAGTTCTCACACTCACACTCAGCAGCCCAAACAAGGATGCGTCGCTAAGACATAAAGGCACCTCAGCATTGAACTCCCCAATTTGGCTCTTGTTGCCTCTCGCTCAGTCTCACTCGGGCCTCGAGAGCAGACAAAATGATCCCTCAGGCATCCTTTCCAACCTCTCCAGCTCCTTGATTAGGCGTAAACGACTCTGCTCCTGAACCCGGCACTGCCCCGGTTTTCCCTCCCTGTGGCAGACCAGCTGTGGTGTTCTCAGTGGCTTGCATGGCTTGCATGGCTTGTGCATCGAAACTACCGCCCTTGTTCGCAGCTCCTGGATGTCCGCTTGTTCCAATGATTCCAGATCCAGCACCAGAGCCGGCTGTTGTTGATGCTCTTTTCTGGCCTTGAAGTCCAAATAGCTCAGAATGGGATTCTGTTGGTTTTTGGTTGTCCGCCATGGTGCTCGCTTGTTTCGACTTATATTTTCTTCTGAGGTGTCTGCTTTGATCTCTTAACTGCTCGAGGTTGTTGAGATGTGGCAATGGTATGAGTATGGCGAGCAAGGGTTTCTGCTTAAAACAGTCGAGATTGGTCTGATACCAGCAATGACCTCATCCTCTTATGCGTGACTTCAATGTCTGCTGCTCAATGACGATAGACGAGAGGAGAATTTGGGCTGTGCAGGGATACGTAATCTACAAGACAACAAGCGGAACACGATCCAAATACATCCAAAGGCTTGGTATGGAGTGACCCAAGCACAATCGTGGCGTGTGTGAGTACGTTGATCGCTATTGCCATCTTGCTTGGCCACAGATCATCGCGATGCAAGCCATAACGAAGTATGAACGTCTCACCCAAGGATGAATTGTGTATTGCGCCTATTCAGAGGCACTGCCCACGAGACATACCACAAGAAATCCCAGTGCTCATCTCTCGACATCTGAATGTCTCGTTTGTTTCACCATTTTCACCACAATCAAGTAATGGCCAAGGCGCTTTCGCTCATAACAAGCTCCTGCTACCGAACAGCTGCAATGCGTTCTTGCTGCACAATTTCTCCTGGTCTTCCTCACGTGGAAACACCTCAGGCAGATATTGATCGTGCTGATCCGACAAAGCTTGAACATAGGAAAGTGATGTGAATGGAAAATCACTGCCATACAGCATCCTATCCACCGTAACATACTCCAGCATTCCTTTCATCTGCTCCGTAAATGCCCAACCAGCCGAGTCGAAATAGAACTGCTTGTTCAGCCTCTCCTTCACCCATCGAGGATTGACCGATGCGTCAACACCAGGCACCTTCACAGCCGCAGCAAAGCCGGAGAATCGGTTGATCAAAGGGGGAAACGCTCCGCCCACGTGTGGCACAAGGAAGGTCACATTAGGACAACGGCTTACTGTCCCTGATAGGAACAGATTCATGACCGCTCTCGCCGTGTCGAACAAGAATTCAAACACGGGTCTAGGAAAACCAGGTAAGGGAGTGGCTGCCGTCCCGTCCTTCAGACATGGCGTGGTCGGATGCATGAAGACTTTGGCCTTCCGCTGGTTCAATAGGTCGAAAATTGGGTCAAACATCTTGTCACCAAGATAAGAACCCCCGAAATTGGTCATTACCGCAAATCCATCTGCGTCGAGCTCGTCCAGAGCCCGTGGGATTTCTTGCAAGCAGAATTCCACGTCTGCCAGGGGCAGTGATGCGAAGAACCCAAATTGCTCTGGCTTCTGTTTCTTCAAATCCCCTGCGTAGTCATTGCAGTACTTCGTGAGTTTGCGGGTCAACTCATTATTGCCGGGTACAAGGTGCGTGCCTGGTGAACTAATGCTCAGCATGGACTTGGTGATGTTTACGGCCTTCATCATTTCCAGATGTGCTTCGGGGCTCCATTGCTGTGTATCAGGAGTCAGCGTGATCCGTTAGACATGGAAAGCAGCCTATTCCAACGACGTACCGGAATCGCAGGCATGCCATCTGGGTTTTTGTGTCCGTTCTCGGCGCAAGCATCACGGTATCCTCTATCATTTCGTCAGCAAGTAGCGCTCTACCCGAGCACTCCTTCAGTACTGACGGTGGGAGGTAATGAGAGTGACAGTCGATCTTTACGTATCGAGACATGTTTCTAAAGTCGTACTTGACAGTTTTAAAGGCCTCCGAGCCTTGATCAGTGTGTCGGTATACGTTGAGAGTCGATGTTAGACTACGAGGCCGTTCTTGACCGTAGTAAGAAGTATATGTACCACGTTGTTTTGTGACCTGTTACAGCGCGGGGCGGTGGGGAGAAACAATCGAAGTTCAGGTGAAGCGCCGTGCCCGCCCCGTATCTGACAATTCTTCTACGTGGATGAACCAACCGATCTTATCCCCATGCAGTCGCTTCGTCCCGTGAAGAATCCCAATGAGTGGTTTGTGAGCATGAGCCCCGTAAGTTCGTACAGGATTTAAACTGTAAATGAATTGTACTACTCTGTATTCGTGAATCGTTAGGCACTTGTAGTGTGTCGATATCAGACTGTGTCTTCTTCTGTTGTCGATACCATATACTCCGTACTCGGGGTTGAATCCTGAAAAATATTGAAGATGTCCCCTCCAATGTCATAACATAACATGATGATCTGGATGTTCTTCTTGCATTTGACGCCCACCTTGCACCCATTTGCCAGCATGTTAGGTTGCTCGCCCTGTAAGACTCATTTGCGGTCTGCAAGCACACAAGCTTGAATATGTGGTCTCTCAAAACACCTTGGATTCTGCTTCTGAATGCAGTGAGCCCTCTAGACCCGCCTGGGGGTACTCAGTGGCGACAGGACCTTGACGTGAAAGTCGTAAGTAAACATTGAACTGAGGGTGTCGCTTGGCACCCTTAAAAGCGGCGACCCGTTGTTACCCTTTCGGTTTGACATCAGTTTATTTCGGCCGCGATGCGCGACATGCTTGTAGACTCTAAGATTTGCGACCAACTACCAAGACCGTGTCTTCTAGAGGCTCGCAACAGAGTCCTGCTCCTCTGCATTTTTATTGCTCCGCAGCTTCCTGACAATGGTATAGCCCCGGAAATAAGTCCTCGTCATGGCTCCCGCGCAGTCCTTCGTTACCAGCTATCCCCCGCGACTCCGTCAATACGCCAATACCCTACTCCAACCTGTCCTCCAAACCCAGAATGTAGGCCCAGGAAGTCGCACAACGAAACGAGGGACCACGATCATAAACTATGCCGACGACGCCTACGATGATGACGACTTCGAAGACAGCGAAAATTCACGACGCCCAACGGGCCTGCGATCGTTACGAAGGGAAGAACTCGACAAAAGAGAGCCCCAACATGAAAAGTTAGGAAAAGAGTTGCATGAACCCCTGGACCTGCAGCCCATATACAGGGACTGGATACTTAGGAGGACCGTCAGGCCCCAGTACGTTCAGGATTTTCTCATGTCTAACCCCGACTATTTCAAAGACTCCGTCCCGTTCAGGCACAGTCCATGTATTGACCCGATACCTATGCGATGTAGGACCGACTGCCAGGCCCATATACAAGCCCAGCTACCCTTGACGCTGATACCCATTCGGATCGATCTCGATGTGCCCCAGCACCAGCCAGATGCACCGTATCCCCTGCCCTCGCAGGCGATGGCCGCTGGCCTCAACCCAGCACTTCCAGTCTTCAAGCGACCCGAGCCCACCCCAGCTTACAAGATACGAGACATATTTCTTTGGAACCTTCATGAGGAACTACTGACCCCAGATGATTTCGCTTTGAATTTCGTCCGAGAACTTGACTTGCCCAATCAGACCGCGCTTGCCATGAACGTAAGCCAACAGATCCGAAATCAACTCGAGGATTATGCCGGGGTTGCCATGCATCCGCTGTTTCATACCCAGGGAAAGAGATCACAGATGCCAGAAGTGAATAATGCTGGCACTCCGTCAGCGGTGGTCAATGGCAGTTCTCGCGATGGAACTCCAAGACCTATTAGAGGTGCTTCAATATCGCGGCCTGCATCGACAGCACCTGCCACACCTGCACCTTCAACACCTCGGCAAATCACACTTGCTAATGGCGCATCAGTAACAGCCGTTGCTTCTCCACTGCCAGCAGAGCCTGTCATTATACCTGATGACCCGACTGAAGACCTGTCTCTGAACCCGGACGATTCATTTCGGTGCATCATAACATTGTCGATTTACCTCTCCTCGAGGCTTTACCAAGATAAGTTCGAGTGGTCCCTCTTGCACCCTCCTGGTGCAGCCGAGGCATTCGCTAAGCAGACATGTGCGGACATGGGCCTGAATGGCGAATGGGTTATGGCCATCACTCATGCAATTTACGAAGCAGTCCTGAGATTGAAGAAGGAAGCTTGTGAAGGCGGGATGGTGATGATTGGCGGCGGCGCCTGGGGCGGTGGCGAAATCGACAATCAAGCGGTGCGAGCTGAAGAAGGTGCTGGTTGGCGATACGACGTCGACGACTTTGGTGCTGAATGGGAGCCCAAATTCGAGGCATTGAGCAAAGAAGAGATTGAGAAGCGGGAAGGCGATCGAGAACGACAACTAAGACGATTGAGGAGAGAAACAGCGAGATTCAGCTCGACCGCTGGAATGGTTCCATCTGCACGAGAACAAGAAGCCCAATTACGTGGCAGTTACTTCGACTATACTGCCGTTGGCGCAGGTGGTGAAGATACTCCATCTCTTGGTCGTGGTGAGAGAAGCAAGAAGAAGAGGCGTTTCCGCTCTCTGAGTCCCCTCGGCAAAGCTGGAACTCCCGAGAGCTCTGCCAGTGCTGCTTGGGGCGGCGAGGGTAATAGGCTGCAAGAGTATGAAAGACAGACATGGCGATGTAAGCATTGTCTTATCTGGGGCAATGCCATCTGGGCTGTGAGGGATGGACCACTCGGAGCGAGGGTAAGCAATATTGTTATGTTGTTGATTTTCTCCACGCTAACGTGCTCCAGACTCTTTGCAATAATTGCGGGCTTATCTTTGAGCGAGACAAGAAATTACCGGTCTGGGCAGAAGGACTGCACAAACACGATATTCCTCTTGGGAGATAGGCCATGGTTCGAGGAGTATGGAAAGGAAATGAGGTCCATGTATTGCATTGATGTGGGGCGTTCTTTTTCAATATGTTGTTACGGATCCCTGGAACCTTTCTCCTAGCTGGTCAGGATCTTTCTCGAATCTGTTTTACTATCGGGGCATCAGTAGGAAGGGCGCTTTAATCCAGCAGGGTGTTGCATTGGGAGGCGATAAAACCTGCACTATTGGCTATTTGGGGAGTTCTTGTGTGGCTCAGAGATACAGTCTTCGCCGAGAGTGGCTATTAAATTGCCACATGATGGCTAGAGAGCCATGAATGAACTTTTAAGACCTTTCCACCGTATATACGATTGTCTTTGAAACTCCCATGTCTGTCGATTTGGTGCAAAGCTGCGTGATTAGATAAGATCGCGAAGTCGGTTGATCTGCGGCAACAATTGGGCATGCGCCTTCACCTCTGCGAATGCTGTTTATTGAAGCCAGATCGCAAGTCACAAAACACAGCATCTTGTCCACACTTTCCTTCTTTCTCTTCTGTGTTCCCAGGGTTTGGTATCGCGCAGGGAATGTGGTAGAACACTTGTCACACACACTCTTCCAGCTTGGTTCCGAAATCGAGAGTTCTTAGGAGCAGACCAGGAGCGGCTTGTTGAAAATGGTAAGTGACCTCTGAGAAGAGTGCAGAAGGGCTGTGAGAGATGTCCGAGGAGACCTTTTTGCAAGAGGTGATTCCTGGCCGACTCTGTGCTAATTTTGCCTCTGCGCACAGGCGCAAGTCATTGCGAACTCTGGCCACGATGACATGATTGTACGTTGAACATTCCCATTCCCGCACACCAAGTCCCTCCTACAATACCAGTGGACTCTGTGACGGTGGAGCGATATACTTTCATGAAGAAGACTGGAAAGGAAAAAAGTGAGAAGAGACGAGGAGAAGCAAATGGCTGACAATTGCTGGGAAAACAGCACGACGCGGTGCTAGATTACTACGGTCGACGTCTGGCAACGTGCTCGAGCGACAAGACGATCAAGATATTCGAGATAGATGGAGACCAGCACCGGTTGACAGAGACTCTCAAAGGGTATGCTAACCTACACTCTATTCCTCCCGTCCCCCTACGCCTTTCATTTTCGGTTCTGGGTGGCATATGCGACCGCAACCGGTGCTGCTGTTCATTACACTTGTTCGTTGATCGCTGACCGCGTCGGGAATCCAAAACAGACACGAGGGCGCGGTCTGGTGCGTGTCGTGGGCCCATCCCAAATTCGGCACCCTCCTCGCCTCGTCATCCTACGACGGCCGCGTCCACATCTACCGCGAGACCCCTTCTCAACAACCCAACGCCCCGGCCCAATGGACGCTGGTGTTCACGTCGACCATCCACACCGCGAGCGTCAACATGGTCTCCTGGGCGCCGCCGGAGCTGGGCTGCCTCCTCGCGTGCGCCAGCTCCGACGGCAACGTCAGCGTGCTCGAGTTCCGCGACAACCAGTGGGCGCACGTCATGTTCCCCGCGCACGCCATGGGCGTCAACGCCGTGAGTTGGTCGCCCGCCGGCGCGCCCGGCGCGGTCACGCGCAAGGACGGCGGCGGGCCCTCGTCGGCGCCGGCGCGGCGCTTCGTCACGGGCGGGAGCGACAACGGCGTCAAGGTGTGGGAGTTCAACGCGCAGAGCCAGAGCTACGAAAACACCGTGGTCCTGCCCGACGGCCACGCCGACTGGGTGAGGGACGTCTCGTGGAGCCCCACGCTGCTGAGCAAGACTTACATCGCGAGCGCGAGCCAGGACAGGACGGTCAAGATCTGGACGTCGGTGAACCCCGCGGACGGCACCTCGTGGGCCCTGGCCAAGACGCTCGAGTTCGACGCCGTGCTGTGGCGGGTCAGCTGGTCGCTGAGCGGGAACGTGCTGGCCGTGAGCGGCGGCGACAACAAGGTCACGCTGTGGAAGGAGGACCTGAAGGGGAACTGGGACATGGTCAGAGAGGTCACCGAGTAGTGGTGGTTGGTATCCACCGAGTGCAACCACGCGTAAGCAAGTTTTCTTCACTCGCGACGACGAGCGCGCAAGCGGGTGACGCGTAGAAGACGCTTTGGCTAGGTACACCGTGTTGCAACTTTGATCCGAAAAGAAGAAAACGCCCCGCGCAGGGGTACCTTGGTATGAGATACGAAGTGGTTCAATACTTGAGGCCTCAAAATGGTTCGACTAGTGACTACAGTACCGTACCGTAGGTTGATCGCCTGCAACCCCAGTAATAGAGAAGAAAAGGATGTCGAAACCCGTCAACAAAACCCCTCCTCCAACCAAGAAGAGGTAGATAGACGTAGGTGTCGGTGTGTGGGTACGATATGGAGTACATTGTCCATTTGTTTGGATTAACCAGCCCCCGTACGAAGGGAAGTCTCTTTCAATCGAGTATAGAGTATACACGGACAGCAGCTTTTTGTGACATTTACACTTGGAATACATGTATACGGTAACATACATATAGTAGGACATGATACTATACACAGACATGGTCATGGTACTACACAGGCAGGCCATGTCCGGTCCACTCCTTTTCGATCCTTCTCTTGCCCTCGGCGTGGCCCTTGAAAGTCTCGGTCTCGATCCTTGGTTTGGACGAAGCGGACACGATTTCTTGGGCTCTCAGGTTCGCGGCTTGAAGTCTGAGCACCGACGCCTCCCTCCCCAAAAGTTCTAGCGTCTTCGCGACAGGGGGCCCTCGGGGACCCGTCGCCAACGCCCAGCGGAGGTAGTGATACAGATCCTTCTTCCACCGGGCCGGGTCGATGACGCCTTGGTCGGGCGACACCTCCAGACTCTTGAGCTGTGACAGATGGACATTCTCGGTCCACGAGGTCTGCGGGACGAGACACATCGCCGCGGCCGCTACGCGGAGATAATGCAGCGACGACGCATCGACGTCCGGAGGCGTCGCGTGCGCCGTGGTCAACGAGACGGGTTCGAAGAAGACCGAGAGTTGGTCCGCAAAGTCCGACGGAGACCGGTACTTGAACGACTCGATCTCGAGCATGGACGTCAGGACGTCCGGCAGGGTCCTGGTGCCGATGAATTCGGTGACGTTGCGAGCGCCGTAACGACCCAGCACGGCCACGGCGAGGTCGCGAACCATTTGCTCAAACTCGGGGCCTCGAGCTTGAATCCGACGCCGCGCGTGTCGGATCTGGAGGTACTCGAGCTTGTTGAACGAGACGATGGTGTTGCCCTTTGTGATTTTCAGGTCGAACAGCTTCTCGAGCTGCCCGAGGTCCATGACGTCGTTCTTTTGGGCGTGCGACCATCCGAGCAACGCCGCAAAGTTGACCAGCGTCTCGGGAAAGATGCCCTTGTCCCGGAAACTGGCAATGTCCGAGTCGAAGTTGCGTTTGCTGAGCTTCTGCTTGTTCTCGTCGACCAGCAGCGGCACGTGGGCGTAGAGGGGCGCCGTCCAGCCCAAGGCATCGTACAGAGCGACGTGCAGCGGCGTGCTGGCCATCCACTCGCTCCCGCGCACGACGTGGGTGATGCGCATGTCGTGGTCGTCGCAGACGTTGGCCCAGTGGTACGTAGGGTAGCCGTCGGACTTGATCAAGATCACGTCTTCGTACACGGGTTCATCCACCAGGAGCTTCTTCGTCTTCTCCGCACCGTGTCCGCTCTTCCCGTACACCAGGTCATTGTACCGTGGCCAGGTGTCCGGGGAGCGAAAGCGGACTGTGTGCTTCTCGCCCTTGGAGGCTCTCTCTTCGGATTCAGCGTGGGAAACGTGCGCGCATTTCCGATCGTAGCCCAGACTCAGTCCCTTCTCGTGCCTGCGCCTGTTCAGGTCGTCAAGTCTTTCGGGTGTACAGAAGCACCGGTAGGCGTGGCCCGAGGACAGAAGCGACGTGATGTGCTGTTGATACAACGGTAGTCGTTCGGACTGTCGATAGGGCCCGTAAGGACCACCGACCACAGGGCCCTCATCCCAGTTCAGCCCCGCCCACGTCAAGTCTCTGTACAGTCTTTCTTCGGCACCGGGGATGGTGCGTTTCGCGTCCGTGTCTTCGATGCGCAGGAGGAACTGGCCTTGGGTTGCGCGAGCGAGAAGGTAATTGAAGAGTGCCGTACGAATGGACCCCAGATGGAGGTTGCCGGTGGGCGACGGGGCGAATCTGGTCCGGGCCGGACTGTCTGGCAGTTTCCCGCGTCTCAGAGGAGGGCTGGAGGAATAGGTGCGTGTGTGTAGACGAATGGTTCCCGCCGCAGTAGGAGCATCATACTTGTGCGCCGCTCGATTTGGAGTCTGGCGTGCTCGACATGTGGTACATACCCATTCCGTGAGACGGCCTAGTCCAGCCTGGGCGGTTCGGCCAGTCCTCATGTGTTTTAGCTAAGGAGGATGTGAGAGTGATGGCCAAGGTGTGAGGAGGGCGAGGGTAAGGCACAACGAAAAAAGAACAGCCACCCAAAATGCGGTAAGCAATCGAAGACGGAAGACACGAGAATATTCAAGTAAACCAATTGGAGAGGCGGAGGGCAAGATACTTGTACGTTACTGGCCTACTTGGCTATTACTCCCTGTCGCCGCCTACAGCCTTGTGGACGGGGCCGAAAGACGGATGAATGAATTTCAGGCCCAACGATTTCTTACACTAAATCCTCGTATTTATATTAGTGAGAAGACCTGGAGAAGGATCTTCACTACCTACTTGGTTCTGCAGCCTGACAAAACCCATTTTCACTCGAACTACTTTTTTTGAATAATCAAACCACTCCCTCTCACAGTCGACGTCCCTTTTTTTTCCTCCTCCATCTTAAAAAACTCGTTTCTCATCCCAAAAAGTCCCCCCCATCCTCGCGGACACTTCAAAAGTTTTAGACAAGAGACTGTTGAACCACCCCGTATCCCCCACACACACCAAGATGAACGGCGCACCAGACGCGGCCGAGGAAATCGACCTCTACGGAATCCTGGGCGTGCCCAAGGATGCCTCACAGTCAGATATCCGCAAGGCGTACCGGAAGCAAGCCCTCCAGCACCACCCTGACAAAGTCCCTCCCGAGGAGCGAGAAGAGGCCGAAGCTCGATTCAAGGCTGCCAGCCAGGCCTATGAGATCCTCTACGACGACGAAAAGCGACACCTCTACGACGCCCACGGCATGGCCGCCTTCAACGGCAGCGGGGGCCCCGGCGGCATGGGTGCCGAAGTCAACATGGAAGACATCCTGAACATGTTCGGCATGGGTGGCGGCATCCCTGGAATGGGCGGGATGCCGGGCATGGGCGGCGGAGGGCGCAGGAAGATGCGACGCAGCCCCGACGAGAACCAGAAATACGAGGTGACGCTGGAAGATTTGTACAAGGGCAAAACGGTGAAATTCTCGTCCACCAAGAACGTCATCTGCTCCAAGTGCAGCGGCAGCGGCGGCGTCGACAAGGCCAAGCCCAAGGAGTGTTCCGCCTGCAAGGGGCAAGGCGTCAAGCAGATCCTGAGCCAGGTCGGCCCCGGCATGCTGACCCAGCGCATGGTCGAGTGCGGGGCCTGCGAAGGCACCGGCGAGGTCTGGAACCCCAAGGACAAGTGCAAGAAGTGCAAGGGTAAAAAGGTCACCGAGGAGCGGAAGCAGCTCGAGCTCTACATCCCGCGGGGCGCCAGGGAGGGCGACCAGATCCGGCTGGAGGGGGAGGCGGACCAGATCCCCGGCGCCGACGAGACGGGCGACATCATCTTCCACCTGGTCGAGCAGCCCCACGACGTCTTCCAGCGGACCGGCAACGACCTGTCGGCCAAGCTGGAGATCACCCTCGCCGAGGCCCTGGCCGGCTTCCACCGCGTCGTGGTCAAGCACCTCGACGGCCGCGGCCTCGAGCTCAACCACCCCCAGACCCCGGGCCAGATCCTCCGCCCCGGCGAGGTCCTCAAGGTCCCCGGCGAGGGCATGCCGTTGAAGAGGAGCGACGCCCGGGGCGACCTGTACCTGGTCGTCGAGGTCGTGTTCCCCGAGGACGGCTACTTCACCGACCCGGCCGCCCTCGAGAGCCTCCAGAAACTGTTGCCGGGACCCGCCCCGGCCATCGAGGTCGAAGAGGCCGACGAGGTGCCCTTCGAGGTCGCCGACATTGACGACATTGGTGGCCAAGAGGCAGGAAACGCGTGGGAGGACGACGAGGACGGTCCTCAACAGGCCCAATGCCAGACCCAGTAAACCAACCACAAACAAGACCAAGAAAGAAACAAAAAGAGGACGAGAACAAAGGTTTTCGGGCCTCAATGTGGGTGGGCAAAACGGGCATGATGTGACGAAAGTTTTTTATGACACTTTGTGGCAAGCCAGGTCGACGATGTTGGGGGTTTTCATTTTCCTCTTCCCATCGTCACGAAATCGGCAGAGAGAAAACCCAGAGGACCCCCCTTGATGGCAGCAGAGCATCGGGAAACGGCGTTTTTCAAGGGTGCTTTTTGAAGAGCATTCCGATGACGGCGTTGGATGATAGATTGCTTCTTTTTTTCTTTGCTGTGGGAGAATGCTGCTCCACGGCCCTCTACCCCCCAGGTCCCGTTCGATGGGCCAGTTGGGATAATTGATCAAGATCAAGGTCACTTGCCTCTGAGAGTTGGCCGTGGCTCTTGTAGCTCGGTTAAGAGTCCCTCAGCGATTTCGTAGTGACGGAGCATGTTTTGTGTGTGTGTCAATCGGATCAGAACCTCCCTCTCTTTTTGTCTATCGTTCCTTTCCTCCATTGGGTAGATATATTCCTCTGCCGCACGCATCGATCTTAGGGGTACCAATTAAACAACTCCCCATAAGACCATGAAAGCATATACAACAGAACAATACCTTCTGTTTCTATTTTTAAAAAAATCTGATTCATTTCCCATACTCGTAGTCGTGTGCAAAGGAAGGCGGTACATACAACAAAGTCTATAAATATATATACACGCACGCACCCATGAAACATCGCACATCACAGCCACCAAGAGCTCAGTGTTTTTTTACAAAGACACAGAAAAGGGCGCGACGCCTTATCGTGATGCCTGTGTGTAATTCTTCTAGTCGGCGCCCGGCCAGACTTCTCGCAAGCCAGTCCACCAGCCAGCCTTGGGCAAGTAATCGTCGTAACTGTCTCACTCAACATCTACGTGAGACCTGACCGCCTCGATGTGTATGCGTCGACCACACACCAGGCCACAGGCATTTACGAGGGTGGCGGTCCCTTGCCTTGCCCTTGATGTTGGTCTAGCAGTAGATGAGGCTTGATGAAATCCTCGTCCAATTGTCTGAACCAAGCTGTATGATCGGCCGTCGCTCCACGCAAAAGATTGCGTATACTGCTGCTCGCTAACGGGCCATTTGAGGGGGTTGATGTTCCACCGGTCGTGGACCCTGCGACACCCATATCCCCGTCTGCGCCATTCTCGCCACCGTTGAGTATGATGTCTGGAGCAGACCTTGTCCGCGGGTCAGGCACGTAAGGATCGCCATTGGCTCCTGCCAGAGGGGATGGCTTCCGTCTCGGCGCAGCAGGCGGAAGATCAAGATCTATGGCGTCTTCGTCATCATCGCTGGTAGACCCGCTATTGTGATCAAGCAGCTTTCCTTGCTGAGCAGTAATCTCTCGCTCACGCTGACTGATAGTAGAGTTCTTGCGATGATTTCCGGCCCGTTTGGGCTTGTCAAAAGGAGGTGAGGCGCCGTTGCTGCTACTGTAACCTCTGTCCGAACGTGGACGGGAAGCCGAGCCATTTGCACGGCCCGACCGGCGATTAGGACTGTTCTCAATATAATCGAGACCAATGTTCGATGGTCTAGGATGGTGCCCGAAAGCAGCCCCCGATCGCTTGTAATAGGTGCCGCCATTGGCGGTCTCGATGTCGAACTCGTCGTCTGAATCAATTTCTTCGACAACGCCCGTTCGAATTCCTAGAATCTCGAGCATGCGTGCTGTTGTGCCACCAAAAATGATGACGGTGAGCACCACCACGACAAGAACTGTCGCACGAAGGGCTGGACCTTCGTTACCTTGGAGGCCGGCAGCCAGCGCGACGCCGACGGCACCGCGCAGACCAGCCCAGAAGAGCATGGCCTGATAGTGCCAAGGAAGCTCTTCAGCGACGTCTCGTCCCTTCCTCTTCGCGCGAAGGCGAATGATATAGTTGATTGCCTTGGACAGAGGGAAGACGGCTAGCCACCGTGCGGCACATATACCAACCACCGTGACTAGGATGAATAAAGGTTTGAAGACGAGGTCGGTCTCTGTGAATAAGGTGAGACCAAGATAGATAAAGATGAAATTTTCGGACAGTTGTGCAAGGATCTGGAAGATAAACTTGGTGGTAAGCTGTGTTCGCCTCGACATGTTGTAATAGGCGTAATGCTTGAGTGTGATGCCACAAAATAAGAGGGACACAATGCCTGAAGACAAGTCAGCACCTAGCACCGCTGGTGTGGAAGTTGACGGTCCTTGCGACTCTTACCTGACATGTGCACGCCATTGGAGAAGAAATAGCTTGCATAGGCGATCAATACGACAAGACAGCTTTCAATTTTAGGAAACCTTCGAACGAGGGTGTATTTCAAGGTCAAAGCAGTGCCAACACCCACAATGACACCAATCAACAAGCTAGTGAAGAACACAAGTAAGAAGATGCCGATAGCTTCAAAGAGACTGATCACGTTCAGATTCCCCGATGCGCCCTCCCTATAGCGCTGTGCGGTCTCGAACAGAACGATAGCGATCGCGTCATTCAGAATAGATTCTCCGAAGATCACAGTATACAGCTTCGGCTCGACTTTGTAGAGGTTGAAGATGGCCAGGATGGTGACGGGATCTGTAGCGGATAATGTCGCGCCCACGGAAATGGCTTCAACCCAGGTGATGGTCAAGCCATCGAATGGGACTCTGGTCCACAGCCACAAAATCAGGCCGAGTGATACTGCTGAGATGAAGGTCCCAGCAAAGGCAAAAGTCAAGATTGTACCGATGTTGCGGAAGAAATTGGCCTGCAATATGTCAGCGATGGGTGTCGATCGATTCTTCGTTCTTGTCTCTGACCTGATGTAACTCGTAACCCGAAGCCAAAATGATGGGTGGCAGTAACAGATTGAAGAAAAACTGATAGTCAAAGCTGACAGTATCTTGTATCGCATTTCCAGGTGTGATGCGTATAACCAGCCCAACAACCATTCCTACCATCCATCAGTCAATGCGGACTCTTCTGCGCGCCGTGAATGTGCGCACCTGCAAATATAGATATTACAGTCTCATGAACTGCCTGAATTCTCTTCTGCTGTAGCATGTAGCTTGTAAACAGAGCCGCAATGAGCAGCATGATCAGAATGAACAGCGCCCATGATGAGAATATCTCTTTCTGTCCGGCCTCAGAAGGCTCTGTGGAGGAAACGTCAGCGGTCACTCAGCAGAAGCGCCAGTCAAGTAAGGTCGCACCGTCCGGATCAATCTCTTCGGCTTGTCGACCTGCAAGGCATTAGTATCCTGTTGTTCTCCTTTCCAGGCATGTCTCTTTCTTACGGAGGAGGTTCAACGTTGCGCCAACTAAACTCGACGCCATTTTGGCGCAGGTGGTGCAGCGATCATTCGACACTGTCAAACAGACTCAGCATGGCCGATCGACAAGAGTGAGGAGGGTGTCGAGTATGGAGTGTGGCCGCTGAAGATAAAAGTACAATGCCGGTTTGGAGTTGAGAGACAGACTGCGATGTGTCCGATATCGAGATGTTGACTGGTACTTTAGAATTGGTCTAATTTGATCGATACCACGGCGGGGCGAAGCGCAGTCTTGGGCCCAGCAATAATTGGGACGAATATCTGTACCTACAGGCACTTATCATTTAGGCTGTACGGCGTTCACTTAGGGTTGATTTAGTAGTCCCTACGGAGACATTGTACTCTACATCTAGGTACTCCCCCTCGACTCCGTACCTGATCTTAAACCACTTAGATAGCTGTTATGGACTAGGCCACATGCCATGCGTTGTTCGTTAAGTTGAACAGCCAGGCCAAGGATACTCATGACACGAAACTGTCCTTGATCAAAAGACCCCTTCTGCAATACTCCTTGTAGAGGCGCGGAGTACGTAGTAGGTACTGCGTAGTTAGGTGGTAAATACGCGTCGTCACCTATTTCATCCGTCAAAACCTCCTTATCAAAGAAATCAACAGCCAGCTGATGGCTGTCTATCAAGTTCATGTTCAAACTAATTTAACATTGATGGACGATGTAGCATCTGAATTATCAACACACACATACAATCCATCTCACTCCAAGGTCTCGATTGTTCTGATGACTCTCATCCTACTCCTGAGAATGCTTGCCTGCTTCGACAGATCCCAACCAGCCGACCAGCCATGCTTTGGCAATAGCAACGGAACGCCTCGAATGTGTTTAATGCCAATGCGTTCCTCTCCAAAACATTGATGGTACAATAGTACAGTTATTCCGTCCCACTTGCTGCACCGCTTGTAGTTCCATACCCGTTGCTACCACCACCTCCCAACGTCAACTTGAGCTTGGTAGTTCCCATGGGAGCGACCGATCCTCGAGGTGTCCCGGCGCTTGAACCTGCAGCAGTGGAATCGCCGTCTTGGCCCGATTTGTCACCGATGCTGGCAAGGCTGGGGTTGTTACCAATTTGCTTTGCAATTTCTTCGTTACAATGATTCTAGAGAGGCATTAGTGGGCAGTAAGAAAACACGACATGGTGGTTAACTTACCTCAATAGCAATTGCATCATTATACAACATGCTTCCGTCTTCGTTGTACGTCTTGGCATTCCTCGCCAGGAGTGCAATGTCGTTACTGAAATCTTTGAGGGTCGAGTATTGGTGGTTGTTGATGCGCTTCTCGATCATATCCATCGCGATGGGATCCTGAATGAAGTTGTAGTAGTCGGGGTACAGCTTCCTGGGCGGCAGTTCAAGGAAGGGCCCTATGATCAACCGAGTGGGTGCCTCGTCATCGCTTTCGTCGTCTGATTGCTCTTCTGGGTCTGAGTCGGGGACTTCCAGTGCCTTGATCGATCCAAACACTGCCTTGAGGGCTTTTTGTAACGTACTTCGGTCTGAAGGACTGAGAATGTCGATCGCCTTGGGCTGTCTGCCCCGCTTGCGTTTCGTTGGTGGAGTCTCTTCTTCAATATCATCTCCTTTACGCTTTTGCCCTACTGATTTTCTTGGTCCTTTCTTCTTCGGTGGCGGTTCTTCTTCCTCTTCAGAGCTCTCTGGCTCAGGCTCCGGTGATGATGTGACACCTGCAGCGACACGTTCACGTTTGGCTTTGTTATCACGTCTCTTCTTGATTCTGGCCGCTTTGCGGGCTGCAGCTTCTCCAATAGAGTCATCTGAGTCGTCAACAGCAGCGAGCCACTGCTCTTCTGTCAGGCCGTCGTCATATTTGACTTGAGTCTTGACTCGGGCTCCACGACCAGCATATTCTTCTACCTCTTCTTGGACAGGATTCTCCTCGGTCATGTAGATCTCTGGAAGTTCATCCTCGCCCATGAGACGCGGCAACGGCTTGCCAGGTCCGTATGGGTCGGTGGCTTCACGCTCTTTGTCCATTTGCTTGAAGAGAACCAATTCCTCCTCACTGCGGGCCATAATTTCGTTAAGGTCGTCATCGTCCATCTCCTCTTGTTCTGCAGCCTGCTCCGCAGCCTCCGCCGATTCGAGAAGAGTTTTCAAAAATGCATCCCGTTCTTCGGCTGTAGATTTGTTGTCGAACTTACCAGCTTGAATGACCTTGCCATCCATATCGAGTTTGAACTGGGCGCGTTCTAGAATCTTCTCTTCGACTGAGTTAGAGGTGATGAGACGCAGAATTTTGACTTCGTTCTTCTGTCCTATACGATGCGCACGATCTTGAGCTTGCAAATCCTGGTGGGGATTCCAGTCAGAATCGTAAATGATGACCGTATCTGCAGTCTGAAGATTGAGACCGAGACCACCTGCACGAGTGGAGAGCAGGAAGCAGAAGTATGGAGATCCCGGCTCGTTGAAGACGCGCAGCAAATCCGAGCGATCTTCTGCTTTTGTAGCTCCGTCAAGTCGTAGATACTTAATACCACGAAGACGTAGAAAATCTTCCATGATGTTCATAATCTGTGTCATCTGGAAAAACATGAGAACACGATGTCCAGTGGCGTAAAATTTGGGCAAAATCCGATCGAGAAGCTCGAATTTGCCTGCTGTACGCCAGATGGAATCATTGGTGCCACGGCTGGGATTCATCTGGTCCTCGACTGGTTCAAAGACGTAGGGGTGATTGCACAATTTCCTCAGCTGCATCAACATATTGCTGAGACCACGCATGCTTGTCTTGCCACCCTTGCCATCGGCAATGACAAGTTTATTGTGTGTCATCAACTGCACATTCAACCTGTTCTGTAGTGCCGAGAAACGACATTTGATGACGCGCTCTTGCTTGTCGGGTAGATCCTTTTCCACGTCCTTCTTCAGTCGACGTAGGAGGAATGGTCGCAAAACTTTGTGCAGACGACGAATGATCAAAAGTGACTCTTCTTCAGAGAGTTCCATCTTGTCCTGGCCACCAGTATTGGCGAAAGGAGTATTGAACCACTCATCGAATGATTTGACGGACTTGAAGATGGTGGGAAGGACGAAGTTGAGAAGAGCCCACAGCTCGGGCAAATTGTTTTGCAACGGCGTACCAGTCAGAATCAGACGGTAGCGTGTAGTGTAATATTGAGTGATGGTACTGCTGAGTTTCGATTGTGCATTCTTCATGCGGTGACCTTCGTCGACTATCATGTGTACCCACTTGATCTTACTTAAAATCGGTCGGTCCTTGATGATGTATTCGTAGGTCGTCAGAAGCACCTGAAAGTTGCCTTGTCGAATGCTTGCCTGTTGAGCCTTTCTGGAAGTGGGAGGACCTTTGTACACAATCCGCCTGACTGAAGGGGCCCATTTCTCGAATTCGAGGTTCCAATTAGTTAAGGTGCTGAGAGGTACGATGACCAGAAATGGGCCGACTTGCTTCTTCTTCTCGATGAGGTATGTGACCAAGCTGATGGTTTGAATTGTCTTTCCGAGACCCATTTCATCTGCCAAAATACCGTTCAAGTTGTTGTTGAACAGCGAAATCATCCATTGGAGACCCTTCAATTGGTATTCTTTCAGGGTTCCTCCAACGAGGATCGAGGGCTGGACTGTGACTTCTTCCTTGATACGATGGGCAACGGCATAGTAGTCGACCTTTCCACCGCCTTCGTCGTCAGATCCATCTTCGTCTTCCTCCTCGTCCTCATAGTCATCTTGGCCCCATTTCTCTGCAGTGCTGCGTTGCTGCTGTCTGACTGAAGCTGCCAGTTGTTTCAAGAAACCATCAGTCTGCTTCAGAAGATGTGTGATACGTGAATCCTTGGCTTGCCCAAGTAGTTTTAGATAGGTTTCTTCGTCATTGGCCTTCAGAGCCTGCAACCGCTGCTTGGCTGTTCGCTCAATCCGCTTCTGCTCTTCACGCTCCATATGCTGGTGATGTGCTACCATCATGCGGCCAAGTTTCTGAACACGACCACGCTGGCTGGTGGCGTTGGCGCGAAGATCTTGACCATGAGCGATAATGGATTGCAAGTGATTAGACTGTCTCGTCTTCTCCTTGTTCTCTCTTGCATCTCGTTGTTGCTTCTCAAGCTTCTCGGTGATCCGAGCCTCGCGCAGTGATTGTTTCTTCATCCTACGATGCATAGATCGATTGGCCGTCATGGCTAGATTATCGTAATAATACAGATCTTGTTGGAGTTCCCGGCGGAGATCACGTTGTTTCTGTGCCAAACTCAGTTTCTTGAATTCAATCAATGCCTTGATCTTGAGGCTGTCGTCAGCTTGCGGCTCGGCTGATTTACTTGTATCCCATGTCGCAATATTTGCGACCTGGGTGGCAAGTTCAGCTTTGCGAGCCTGAATCCGATTGTAGAGAAGACGCTCTTGTTCCTCTCGCAGTTGCTCGATATCGATTCCAATAGGCATGATGCTTGGGATCCTTTGTCGTTTGGACCGCTGTGCATGATCTGAAAAGCTAATCATCTTGGTAAGAAGGTCATAAGGAGATTGAGAAGTCTCAAAGTAAGACTTGGTTTGGACGAGCTCTTTGGTGGCACCGTCCTTCTGGCTGACAGGAGCCTTTGCAGTCTTGTCATTGGTTGAGCCACTATCGGATAGGTTGGGTTGTTGTTGTTGCTGTGGTTTATGAGCCGGAAACAACTGCTGTTGAAGCTTTGGAGGAAGCGGCATGTTTTTCGATAGCATCTTAAATGCGTAAATCTGTGTTCGCAAGAGGTTCAGCTGCTCAGGAGAAAATGTGCCATTCATCTGAGCTGCAACGCGTTGGGCTTGCGTTGCCGCTGTTTGAGCACTATTGGATGTAGTCGCAGGCTGAGTAGGTGTTGAGGAAGCACCATTGACTGGTTGACTAGCGTTAGATGTCGGGACATTGGCAGTGCCATTCATCGGTGCCACATTTGAATTGCCATTTGTTTGCTGTCCATTTTGCTGACCCTGTTGTTGCCGGGCTTGAAGTTGCTGTTGTTTTTGCGCCTGCTGCATTGCCGCCATCTTTCGATAGTTCTGTTGTTGCTGAACAGCGGTAAGGAAGCGGTGGGCTTTGAGGTACTCAGGATCATTTTCGGGGACATTTTGGGCCTTCATGCGCTGAAATTTCTGCGACGTGTCAGTGAGGTGGCAACCAAAAACGCGTCTACATGTGGTGTGGTCTTTATCTACACTCCTGGTGTTGCTTACCTGGTACACCTCTTGGACTTGGGCTTGCGAAAGGTTCTGAGGGAGAGCGGTGCCGTGCGACTGCATATTTGGCGCAGACTGGACCGAAGCCATGGTGAAGGGGGTAGGGACCGTTGACTTCGGGAAACCTCAGTCAAGGCAATCAGATTGCGTCTTTATAGGACATCAACAATATTCAATCTAACGTTGCTGGGGATCGATTGGCGGGAATGGGGTTCAGCCTTGTATGTATGGATGAACTTGGCGCCGTCCTGTGATGGAAATACTCCTGGTGAAGTGACTGGAGATACGCAGTTGAGGTGAGGTGGCCAAAGGAGGGGACGAAGAGTGGGTGGCCGGTCTTTGGCGCACTCCTCAAATTAGTCAGTGACCGAGTACGGTTTCGTGACGATGAACAGTGATGAATGCGACGCGTTGATGATGATTTTCGAAGCTGAGAGGGGCTTCACGTTCGGTTCGGAAATGGAGGCAGTGACACGGTAAAGATTCGCAAGTTGCGGCCATTCAAACAGCGGAACGCCAAGCCGATGTCTTTTGCCGCTTTAAAGTCACGTGATTTTCTTGGTTTTGCGCAACTCCGTCTCCAGCTACGTCTGCATATTCCATATGCTGTTTGATACTACTGTATAGACAGATACTGGGGCACGTCTTGCCAGAATTGATCCTAGGTTAAGAATGCTGTGTTGAGCTTGGGAAGTCATCACTTATATGTTTGGGAGCAATACACCACTTAGTGCCTCTTGTACATAAAACTCCATCCATGATACGGCACCTCCTATTCCATGTGCTTTGCAGAATCCTGTGCATCCAACCAACACCATACTGCCGGTGCTACCCAAAATCTTCCAATTCATTAACAGCAAAGTTTATCTCAGGTCCCTCTTCTACGTCAGAAGAGTTCGCTTGGCAGGTACTGGAGGTGGAGGGGGCTTCTTTGCACGAGATGGTGGTGGCGGAGGGGGTCCGCTGCTCTTTTTGAGCGGAGTGAATGAGCCACTTCCATGCGATGTAGCAGGCGAGACTGATTGTTCTCCATAGCCATGGTCAGGACTGCTGTTTGTATAAGAGCCCGAATCGTCCGCAAAGACATCTTGTTCTTCAACGTTTCGGAGTTGTGAACGTGCCGTTCGAATCATCAGGGAATCGCTTGGAACCCGTGTAATGCGGGCCATGTTGGCAGGAGACAAATCTCGCCCACCATCGTATGTAGTTGATCTATTAAAAGCCGGACGTGGCGAGTGGTCATACAACTGTTCGCCGTAACGAGCTGTTTGAGAGCGGCTTGACTTAATGGATGGCCGTACTTCAACAACGGGAGTCATTTCCTCAGCCGGTTCCAAGTATTGGGTATAAGAGCGGACCGTGTTGGAGCGGGACCGAGCATTAGGACGGGAACCTCTGTATTGTTGCGATCTGTGCGACAATGTCAGTAGGCGGGCTTAAAGGAGAAATCATGTACCTACCTCGCCGGCCACTCGTTTTTCAATTGCAACAATGCTTCTCTGCACTTGTCGTGGTATGCCAATTCAGCGTCAAGGAAGGCTGCTAGATCTGAAACACATTCAGGATCGGATTCACGGATTTCCTCCATTCTTCGTTGGACATCATCTGCGGACTCTTCGTATTTCGCCTTCTGGGTCCGCAGTTCTTCTTCAACTCGGAAATCCTCCTTCTTCGCTTTTTGCATCTTCGCTAACGATGTGTCATATGCAAGCCTCCTTGTCTCGAGCCGCTTGCGAGCAGCCTGGAATTCTTTCATCTGAACTTGTGACCTTTCTAGGGACTCTAGCCATGAGTTCGTCGCAGCTATGATGTATGTTTCTTGCGCGCGAGCCAATCTCTCCTGAGTCCGGCCAAACACTTTGTAACTGTCAGCGTCATTCCGAGGCCAATGTCGAGGTACACTCACTGGTGAGCGATTGTCCATAATCGGAATCAGGCTCAAAATCCTCTCCATGCGCTATCATGGTTCCTCCCAGGTAGGTGATTGGTAGCGTTTTCTCCTTGCCCTCTACTTCAGATCTTTTAGAGATTGCCTTTACATATCCGGTCATGGATTTCTGCATCTTCTCCAGACCTAAATACCACAGGTTAGTTTCTCGTCTCCTAGCGCAAATCTGTCGTAACAACGCGGTGTTGCTCACCTTCCTGGCGCAGGCCCATCTCTATTTCCAGCGCTTTGAAATCGTCGGACACATTAGTCTTGACTTCTCCTCCCATGCGCTCTCCAGCCCATTGTTTGAAACGATCCAGCTTCTTGTTCACATTCATGGTTGCGATGGTGTCGCGTCAAGGTTGATAGTAATGTGGTGGTGGTGGGGATAAAGGAACGAGAAGAGCGAAGGATACTCTGATAATATGATGATACAACGATAAATTATGCAGACGAGAATTGTGCTGCGCGGTGAGCGAGTGCGTGAGAGCGAACGGAGACTCCGGCTGATCTGACCCCTCGCGGTCTTTTAACTGGAATGCGGCGGCACAAGGGCTGAACAAGCGACCAAAAGAAAGTCAGGCGAGCCGGAGGGAGCAGCGCCAGGGTAGAAGTTGATTTAAAACGAGTGTCTGCGCTTACAGGCCTAAACATGGAAGAAGACGGACTCCTCCAACAAAACGAGCCACAGGCCGTTGAAGAAACAGCTTTAGATAACGCTGGAAGCGGCGATCGTGACGCGCAACCTTCGTCCATTAGGGTCCAACCGCCAGTGGTTCGTGCCTCTTACCCCTGACTTCAAACCCTTGTGGTGCTTGTGTCTCTGAGACAAAACCCACGCCAAACACGCTGAGCCGCCACCAGAATGGCAAAGTCTGGACTGCCATATTTTACTTGACGTCGATTGGCAGTGTTCCTGCCGAGCACTATTTTCATTGCTCGACAGTCCGCATGGCGCCACGAGTCTTCAACGAAATTACGACACCCAGAGATCGGTCACTTTTGGATTGCATCTAACTACGGATTTGATGATTTTTTGGCTATGTCTGCCTCCACAAACAGTGTCAATGGAAAAGACGTATTGATGAAACTTGGTATCATTCCACTCAAAATCTCGGCATTCATGAGCTTCGTCTTTCCGATAGATTTTTCCACGCGCTGGCCTCCTACTTGCCAGATTCTTTGACCTCCTTTCAAGACTATGTTGCAAGTCGCCAGGTGACCATAATACAATGACGCCGAATTCCGCACCCCCATGCAATCGTCACGTTTAGTCCTTCGTCTTCTGGGTACCACGGAGCAGACCAGTTCTTCTGGCGGCAATGAGACCAGCCTTTTGACCTTGTGCAGCGTATCTGGAGATGGTTGAGGCTTTACCAATGTGCTGATGGTTACCACCACCGTGAGGATGGTCGACGGGGTTCATGGCAACACCACGAGTCTTGGGCCAGGAGTTTCGCTTGACAGCGAACTTGTGCTTCGCGCGAGATGCCTCTGTGGGTATATTGTTAGCAATCGTGGTGTAGTGGAAATTTTTTCAGAACCACATACTCAGCATTGGCTTGTCTGTTCGTCCACCTCCTGCAACGATACCAATCATGCCTCTGGCCGAGCTGAGAATGACCTTCTTCGCACCACTGGGCAGCTTGACACGGGTCTTGCCCTCATCTGGGTTGTGTCCAATAACGGTAACATAGTTGCCAGATGTTCGGCCCAAAGCACCGCGGTCACCGATCTTCTCTTCGACGTTGGAGACAACCGTACCCTCGGGAACTTGACCAAGAGGCAGGACGTTACCAATGCTCAGCGATGCGTTCTTTCCGGCGTAGATGAATTGTCCAGTGTAGAGGCCTTCGTTTGCGATGAATGTCTCGGCTCGCTTCTTGAAGCTGTAAGGATCGCGGAATTCTACCTTGGCGAGAGGTGCGCCTCGGCCGGGGTCGTGGATGATATCCTTCACGATACCTCGCACATAACCATGTCTTTCACTGTAGTCGAGAGTTCGGAACTTGGCTGGGGCCTTGTTGAGGCGAGTGTGAGCGGCTGGAAATACGAGGTTAGTGAGAGATCGAATGAAGGGAAGTGCGACGACGAACTGAAAATGCTCCCACGGCCTTTTCGCTGGTTGCGGATAACTCGACCCATCCTGCGAAAGTCAGCGAGTCCAAGCGATACAGAATGCTCGACAACTTACTTTGCAACGGTGTTGTCAGGACGGGACGGCAATGAGGTCGTGGATTGAGAGTTGTACAACTGCGCACTTTCCAATTTTCCACCTGTGGGCAACAACTGCCACTTCCAACTCTTGGCATTAGTTGTGTCACGTGAATATTGCCAAGCTCAGACTATCCTTGGCTTTTCAGCTTCTACAGACCTCCTATAGACCTCAGCCATCCGCAGCAAGACGTCAATTGTCATATCGAATTATATTAACCTTGTGACTGTCTCCGACATTCCAGAGATCGCTTCGTATTCCAATGCTTAAATGCAGTCTGTTCCGCCGCGCACGAATATTTCCCCTGTACCGGTCAGGTAAGTCAAGTGACAAGGCTCAAAGCCTCCGAATATCCTGCATCCCACCTGATCTTTATGATTCAGAGTGTGACGTTACGCCTTGTTTCAGAGTTGAACTGGTTCTTCTGAGTATCTTCTGATGGATGGATACATCTTTATCAATTGGGCGCTTCCCGAAAGCACGTCTATTGGCTTGGTCGATCCTGCGAATCGAATCATCAGAAAACGAATTACCACACAACACAATCTTTCACTGCAATGAAAGAAGTGTGCGGCACAGTCACATGGGTTTCCTAAAGTTATAGCACCTAATCAGTGCTGGTAATCTGAGCTAGAGTGCTCTTCGTCAGGGTTTCCCATGCACTGCGACGGGTTTTGTCTCCGTTCAAAGGTAGGTTCACTGCATTGTGAGTGATGGATGGAACAGAAATAAGGCGCCCAATGCTAGGTTGCAATCCTAATTACCTCAGTTGCCTTGCTTCTGATCACGAAGCGATGACTTCTACATCTGCACTGCCTCATCGAGCGTTCGCTACTGCGCTTCTGTTGGCGGCCAACCCTGGAATGGGTATCTTCATCAGCACATGATTCAGCAGCATACCTGATTTTCACAGAGATTGATGACTACGATCATGTTTACGAATGTTCTACTCTGTGCGGAGAACCCCGCAGCACTCTCGGGTTGGAATGAGTTTGCCAGAGGCTTAAAGTGGCAGATCATGGCTATTCATCGAATGCACCTCCGGAATCAAAGACAACCGGTGGCGCTCGAGATAAGATTTCACCTCAATGGCGATGGAACGGGACAATGATAGCAGAGCGGATGCGCATACGCTTGGAATGTCTGGTTGCAAGCAACAGATGTCCATGCTTGGCACAGGCGCGATTTTCGAAATGGAACACCCGCGAAGCAAGTCACGGCTTGGGAAGGTCGTTCAACTGCGACAACTTGCAATGACGTGTTGATGAGATGCATGAGTAGAGTGGCTACGGCCAGGGCTCAAGGCTTTCTACCTGCGAACTTGCCGCAGAGAATTAGGTCGAAAATACACTGCATCTGTCGAATTATCGCATAGTTCAACGCGTGACTCGCACGCGCCAAGTCAATTTAGCATTCAGGGTGTTTCCTAGACCGCTCCTGCGTACTCTTCACCTTTGTGACTTCTATAATTCTTTCTTTCGTCCCAACAATCGCGTTACTCATCCCCTACAACCACCATGGCTGACTCGGATTCTTCCTCCCTCTCATCCGCGCCCTCTTCAGAAGATGAGGAGATGGTCCGCAAGATGTCCAAACCTGTCGGTATAAGTCGCTACTTCAAACCTACACTCAAGGCCGAGTCCCCAGAACCACCTCCCAAGCGAGCCCCTTCTCCTCCTCACGAGTACACTCTTGCCGACAATGACGCGATTGCGTTCATTGTTATGTTCACCAGCCGCTTCCACGAAGCTTTCCCCAAATATCTCACAGCACTCGGGCCTCAGGACATTGAAAGAGGAGTTTCTGGTGAACTCCCTGATGAACTTGTGGAAAAATTACTGTGCGCATTGTTGGGGCTCGTGTTGAATAGGAAGAAAGATGTCGAGTTAGTACATCGCCAGGTTAAAGACGATTCATGCAGACAGCTCGACTAATGTTCGTTATAGACGCGGTCACTACACAAGAGCTCTGGAAGACGCGATCTCGTCGAATCAAGATCAATGGCCCACTGTGTGGAAAGGCATCAACCCAATACATGGTGGCAAGAATTTCAGGAATATGACACCAGAAGAGAGAGTACGCTCCCCAATTGCTAACACGTACAGTGTCGCTTACAGAACCCTAGTTGAATCTGCTGAAGGCCCTCATACTATGGACATTGAATTCGTCTGAAACCGTTCAAGGTCTCATCAAAGACTCTTACAAACAGACGCGACGCGATGACGACAAAAACCAACCAAGAAGCGTGCAACCATGGTTCTCAGATCAATGGCGGCGCAAATATTGGCTGGTTGAAGGATTGGACGACTCTTATTTCCGAATCTACCGAGAAAATGATGGAAGAACTGCAAAGACAAACACCTGGTTCAGTGTTGCTGGTTCGATTCCAGAAGTGCTTACATTAGCGGATAAATTCGCCGAGGAACATACCCAGAACTCGAAACTGAATAGCGACAAATTGAGGGCCGCAGTGCCTCGGTTTGAGGCGGGTGAAGAGGTATGATAACGATCGTCATGAAGTTTCTATCACTGACGGGACTACAGAAGCGCAAACGTCGCGAATATCGTCTGGCTCGAAAAGCCGCCTTTGCCCGACCCGAGCCCGGATTCTCCCTCTATGAAGGACGAACACGAGGAAAGAGGATGCGATATACATATTCGGACGATGAATATGGTTCGGACGGATGGTCAAGTCGACCATCTAGGCGTATGTCTATGCCACCAGACAACGGCCCCACCGTCACCGCGAGCGGAAGGCAGGTCAAGTCAAGAGTTGGCGGTATGTACGGTGAGAGCATACTTGTCGATCAACGCAGGGAACTAGATCGAGCTACCGGGGAAGGCCATTTTACGGAGACAAGTGAGGACATGCCTGCGTCTGCACCAACACGTGGAGTTCGCCAATCAAGATCGGGTCGGGTGGTGAAGGCTGTAGGCGAGCGGTATACAAATGGCGGAGATTCAGAGAGTGATGAAGCACAATCTTCGGGGAAGGAATGGAGTGGAAATGAAGATGAGCCCGACGAGTCGGAGCCCGACTTCGATGCGGAGGACGAGGATGATGATGATGATGATGACGACGACAACGACATGAGTGATGGAGCGCTAGAGCCTGATGAGATGGGTGAGGACGACAACACACAGGAGAGTTTGGTGGTCCAATTGAGGTACAGGAAGGGCAAAGAAGGAGGCGAAGCGAATCCAGGACAAACTCCCCCTGGAGCACCGCAGGAACAGCTTGTCAATGGAAACACCATGAATGGCAGCGTGGTCTCCGCCGAAGCACTCAAGACGCTACCACAACCTACCGGAAACACAATCTCAGATACTATCGACGTTGTTCCTCGAGCAAAGAGCGTTAACGGTGGTCAGGGAATCTCAAACGGCATTGAAAACCAGGAACAGCCCATACAGCTATCAGCTCAAACGCTTGTGCAGCAACCGGTGTCCGTACAGCCTATGGACTTGTCCTGAGTGTGCGGATTGAGCATGATCTGCAAAGCGTGTTTTCTGGACTCAGACATGTATCACGAAGTTCGTGGTTATTGTGCGAGTATGGTCAATAGCAACCAGTGAGCCGCCTTGAGAAATGTTATAGCATCAAATAATAATCGGACTGTTCCAATTCCACGAGCTCAATAGTCTCACGAACCTTTAGATCCTGAGCACCTTTACTATATCGACTATGAGTCTGTATGCCTGACCATATTAGTTGTAGCTTTTCTTTTCCTCAGCCATTCACCGCATATTTTGAGAGCAAAGAAAAGGGGCGAAGATTACATATAGGTCCCAGAATAGCTCGCCAGGTATTTTCGGTTGGTAGATAGTCGAATTCGCGAGACATCAACTCCGGGTGGTTGTAGTACAACTGCACTCCATGCTGGAGACATATTGTATGTACCGTACAGTAGGTGAATGAAAGCTCGGTAGAAAGGGCCCCGAGCAGCTACCAAACATGATTGGAGCGTTGCATGCAAGGGTCACTTAGTTGCTATTGATGCTTGTGAATTCCCCGATACAGGGGGCTTTTTTAGGCTATGCAATCGAACATGCTGTCCACTATTTTCAAAGTCTACACTGGGACGACTATGCTTGCCTCACCACGTTTGATAGTTTTGCACGCGTCATAGTACTACTTCGTAGTCTTTCTGACCGGAATTCACACTCCAGAGGCAGATCAAGCACACTGTGCGCGGTCTCCTCTGTAAGTAGTCTCTCACAATGCCAGCCAAGTCGCGGTTCACGCGGCTTGACGCCTTCACCAAAACAGTCGAAGATGCCCGAGTACGCACCACATCGGGTGGCATTGTCACGATAGCGTCCATTGTCATCATCATATATCTCATACTGGGTGAATGGGCAGACTACAGAAAAATCTTGGTACAACCGGAGTTGATCGTGGATAAAGGCAGAGGTATGCCGGGACATGCGTGGACACTTACCTATTCATCGCTGACATGGTGCCATTTTTACAGGAGAAAAGATGGAGATACATCTCAACATGACCTTTCCTCGAATACCTTGTGAGCTGCTTACGCTCGATGTTATGGATGTGTCCGGCGAACAACAGACTGGGGTGGTGCATGGAGTGAACAAAGTGAGGCTGTCGCCTTACAAGGAAGGCTCGAGGGTAATCGACACCACTGCTCTTGTTCTACACGAACAGGACGCAGCAACACATCTCGACCCAGACTATTGTGGCTCGTGTTATTCGGCACCTGCGCCACCGAATGCGAAGAAGCCTGGGTGCTGCAATACCTGCGACGAGGTACGCGAAGCATATGCCGCAAACAGCTGGGCCTTTGGGCGAGGTGAGGGCGTCGAGCAGTGTGAGCGGGAGGGTTATGGTGAACGACTAGACGCTCAGAGGCAAGAGGGTTGCAGGATTGAGGGTGCCATCCGTGTCAACAAAGTGGTTGGCAATTTCCACATTGCACCAGGGCGCAGTTTCAGCAACGGAAACATGCACGTCCACGACCTCAACAACTACTTCGATTCACCCGTCGAGGGTGGACATACATTCACCCACGAGATACATTCGCTACGTTTCGGACCACAGCTGCCGGACGAGACAGCGGCGAAATGGAGCGATCACCACCACTCGAATCCGCTGGATGGCCACAGGCAGGATACCGATGAGGTGGCGTACAATTTCATGTACTTCATCAAGGTGGTTTCGACGTCGTATCTGCCATTGGGCTGGGACGAAGACCGGAGCATGAAACAACACTCAAGCTTGAGCGATCTTATCCCGTTGGGCATGCAAGGGCGCGGGGCGGGCAGCCAAGGCAGTATCGAGACACATCAGTACTCTGTTACAAGCCACAAGAGGTCACTGAGTGGAGGCTCTGATGCAGCAGAGGGTCATAAGGAACGTTTACATGCTCATGGTGGGATACCCGGCGTTTTCTTCTCATATGATATCAGTCCTATGAAAGTGATCAACCGAGAGGCCAGACCAAAGACATTTGCCAGCTTCCTGACCGGCGTCTGTGCTGTTATTGGAGGCACGTTAACTGTCGCAGCGGCCATTGACCGAGGACTGTATGAAGGGAGCGCGAGGATAAAGAAAATGCACCAGGGTTAGCATGATATATGTATTGATGTATGAACTTTTTTGTCTATCTCACAAGTGCACGTATTCTCCTATCTTCACTTCATATCCGGCCTGACCATGGAATGGTAGGTATGTCTTTGAAGGTCTCGATGATCCTGGCTTCTCCCACACATTCATAGCGAAGCAATTCTTAAGCATTACGTTCCCACCTGGGCCAGCAGCGAAGAACGTTGAAATCTCCTACCTAGCACTTCTTTGAGCTGTCAGCTAACATCCACATCACAATGGGAGAGAGAATAAATCAAAAGAGTAGAAATATCAGTAAAACCATTCTAAGCACCGACGTCAGGACACAATTCCAGGATAGAAAAGGCATTTGACGATACACTCTTCCAACTGCAGGATGTGTTACATTCCACGACATCCTTTTCCGGCTCTTCCTAATGCCATAAGGTTTCGTTTGTTCATCACGCAAAGGCCACAGGCCCAAGGCAAAAGCGTGTTCATGATGGGAAGAGAGTAGTTAGCTTACCAGATTCTCGCCCTAGAGTGAAAGGTGCCAGATTTGCGGCGGGTCGGAGAGGACTTTGGTCCTTGAGTGGGTAGAAACGTTGGTTCTCATTTATGTCATGGTGCTATATTCCGACACCAACGATAGACGCGGTCACTTGCGGTCAAGGTGGAAGCTGTAGAGAAATTGCATCAAACAGTAACAAAATAAAACGATAGGGACGCTTTTTCCTCCTTGGAAAAATATCGAGCCAAGCCATTATCGGACTAGCTTGGAAGGTCAATATTCTCCCAGGTTCGAGAGCGTCTTTACCGTGCGTCCCACCTTTCATAGCACTAAATATCGCAGCAGTGAAGATCACCAGTCGATGTGTGCAGTACTATGCGAAAAAGAAATGCTTCACTTATTGGATGAACAAAAGCTGAGCGATGATAAAAGTGGAAGTGGAATCTGTGCGGCCGTCGACGGATGTTCGGAGGCCCGCTGATACGCCTGACTTACCTAATCCCACGCAACTCGGCTAAGGGCATGAATTGATCCAAAACGATCTGCCTCGACCGCCTACTGGTTCTTCGAGGCTCTGATGCCGTGGTTTCATCGTCTGGCTCATGATCGTCCAAGGCGTCAGAATGCTTTACGCATATCCGGATGTTCTGGAAACCCGGTGGAATTGCGCCCTCATGCTGCTGTTGTTCTTCTTCTTCCAACGCGGTTCTCTGTTGAAGCAAGATCTTGACTTGTGATAGACCACTGCTACATGTCAGGTTTTGAAGGCATTATTCTTATAAGACTTCAAGATTTAAGAATCTCCAGATGCCCGAACTCGACGACGCATCGGCTCTGAGAGACAAGACGGTGATCATCACCGGTAAGTTTGAGCCTGTAACCCGATTGATGATGAGATGAAGCCTAACATAGACTGCAGGAGGGGCTTCTGGGCTCGGACTAGCAACTGCTACGCACTTCGCTCGAGCCGGTGCATATGTGACCATCGCCGACATTCAAGATGCCCCTGGCGAGCATATCACGCACGCTCTTCGACTCGAAGGCTGCCATGTTTCTTACACACATTGTGATGTAACGGATTGGCTGTCTAGCGTTTTGGCATTCAAGCACGCAGCTTCGTTTGGGCCGAGCAAAACACTCCATGTTGCCGGCCTGTTTGCCGGAGTCGAAGGTGATCGAGAAAGTTTGGTGGACCAAGTGCTCGCGGCACACGCACCATCCTTAAGTCCAGGCGATATACCAACGAGACCTCGAGGCAGCGCGATCCGAGTTGACTTAGGGGGAGTGTACAAGAGCTCTTGGTTAGCCCTGTACTACATGCGTCTTCGTTCGAAGGTCCCATCAGCAGAGTCATTCTCCAAGTCACTTATCCTCGTATCTTCTCTCGCCGGATACTCTGATATGCCTGGAAATACAGACTACAATGCTGCAAAATGTAAGTCAAAAAGCTTTGCCCAACCTCACGTTCAGCATGGAGCTTGTCAACTACTGTTACAGCACTATCAACAATGCAAGCGGTCGCTAACACTAGGCATAGTTGGTGTTCGGGGAATCTTTCGAGGGCTTAGGCACACCACATCCTCCATGAATGTGCGAGTCAACCTTGTAGCACCTTTCTGGATTGATACACCCCTGGTGCATACCAAACTTGTCGAGATGGCATCCTTGGGCATAACACCTGGAAGTGGATTCTCATTTGCTAGTGTGAACGATTGTGTGAATGTGGCGACAACATTCGCTACTGACGCCACTATCAGTGGGCGAGCCTACGCAGTTGTTCCTGAAGGATTTGTGGACATTGACGATGAGGAAAGCAGCGGTTGGGCCGGGGAGATTTTGAAGGAAGAGTGGAAAAAAAGAACCAGAACGAGTGAGAGGGAGCTCTAGAAGGCGATATATAGGTGGGTTATCTTTGTTGGGCGGTCAGTATCAAAGAGTTATATATTCACAAGAGGCATTGAGAAGGTTATTCCTAAATTGCCCATCGTGCCGTCGTTCACTGAACATGCGGCCTGTGGCGCCACCTAGAACACCTGGACTCCTCTGGGTCATTAAAGCGGCAGGAATCTTTGTGACCGCAGACATGTCTCGGGGAGTGAGACGTGACAGATACTCGCCCACTATTCAAGGCCGATCAAAGTTCTGAGTCGAGTAGTTTCGTGCCGGAGTGTCTTCTGATTTGTGTTCCTGTCTCTGACTTTGCATCCCTGCTGGATATGAGCGATCGGAATCTATGCTGTGAAAAGCGGTGCAACTTGGGGTTCAAGACACGCAGTCCACATGAATGGGACACAGTCGGAGGTAGATCTCCTGGACGCAGGTAAGTCATCTCACTCTGGCCCATATCGCGCGTGTGTCTGATATGTGCAGACGAGTATGACCCGATCGAACACCTAAATCAGATCTTCTCTCATCCCTCCACCCTTTCCTCTGTCAGCCAGACGCACCAAATACTGCAAGCCTATCAAGATGACCTCGACCATGAAATCGATCTCCTCGAGGACGAGCAAGTCAGAGCCAACGCAGAATGCTTGCTACGGATGCAAGCTACAAAGGCAGAACTGGCTGATCTTTTTGAGCGGATCGACAGTGTCCGTGAAAGAGCCCTGCAGACTGAACGCAACATAACCGAGATGACAGCGGATATCAAGCAGTTGGACAATACCAAGAAGAATCTGACTCTATCCATGACAGCCCTGAAGAGGCTTCAAATGCTGACAACTGCCTATGAGCAACTACGAGCATTGAGCAAGACGAAACAATATCGAGAATGTGCCCAACTGCTTCAAGCCGTCATCCAGCTCATGGCGCATTTCAAGTCGTACCGTTCAATAGACCAGATCGCTACTCTTAGCAGGAATGTTGCTGATATCCAACGAGAACTTCTGGAACAGGTGTGCGAAGATTTCGAGATCACTTTCACCAAGGAGGAGGTGGCTCAGAAAAGAGGTCTCTTGCATGAAGCATGCTTGGTGGTGGACGCTCTCGGTGATGCCGCGCGATCCCGCCTAGTTACATGGTACTGCAACACGGAACTACGTCAATATAGACATATTTTTAAGGGAGATCAGGAGGCTGGTTCGCTGGACAACATTGATCGTAGGTACGCGTGGTTTAAAAAGACGCTGAAGGTCTACGATGAAGACCATGCCGCCATCTTCCCTTCTCACTGGCGTGTGAATGAGGTACTTGCAAATGTCTTTGCAGAGGGTACCCGCGACGATTACAAAGGCATTCTATCCAGAACCACACGCAACGGCCAGACGATTGATGTCAAGCTGCTGTTATCTTGCCTCCAACAAACTCTGGACTTCGAACACGGTCTAGAGAGACGCTTCAATCGATCTTCCAGAACATCAATCGATACTGTGACTTCTAGCAACGACATGCCCTTGTTCGGACAACCCATATCGGACGCGTTTGAGCCGTATTTGAGTCTCTGGGTAGATGCTCAGGACAAAGAATTGGCGAGCTTATTGCCTCAATATAAGCAGAGGCCTACAAGGCTTGCAGATGAGGAATTTTCTTCTCAGCAGGTGATTCCATCGTCGACGGAATTGTTCAACTTTTATCGACATTCATTGTCTCAATGCGCAAAGCTCTCGACTGGCCAACCGTTATTGGAACTGTCTAAAGTATTCGGACGTTATCTAGACCAGTATGCACAGCAAGTTCTGTTGTTTCATATCTCCGAAAAGTCATCAGGAGGAACGCCGTCTAGAATTCCAACCGTGGAAGATGTCATATTGGTTCTGAACACGGCCGACTATTGCTTCAACACCTCCAACTCATTGGAAGAAAAGATCAAAAGTCGCATCGACGAGAATCTCAGGGACAGCGTGGATCTACAAAGCCAAGCAGACGCTTTCATGGGCATAGCCAGTGCAGCTGTTCGAGGCTTAGTGCGACGAGTCGAGGTCGACCTTGAACCCAGCTGGAGAGAGATGAGAAATACCGCTTGGTCTAAGATTGAGAGCTGTGAGAACCAAAGCTCCTACATCACCGGACTTCAAAGCCGCATCAAGGACCGGTCTGGGGAGATTCTAGGGATGTTGCACAAACAGCAATATGCGCGAGCGTTCGCGGACAACCTGGTGGAGCTTCTTGCTTCGACCTACATTTCGAATATCGCGCAATGCCGACCGATCTCTGAAGGCGGTGCCGAACAGATGCTGCTTGATACTCACGAAATCAGAAACACCTTGAGTCACATTCTGCCAGGCACTCCACCCACACTGTTCATAAAACGCGTCACGGCAGCCTTTGGCAAGATCGAACCATTGCTGAAGACACTTCAGGTCCGACCTTCGCCGCCTGAAGCTTTGGTACAGGCGTATTTGATCCACATTGCTGATCTCTCTGAAGCGAACTTCCGCAAAATCCTCGAACTGAAAGGAATCAAGACGAAAGCGGATCAGAATCATCTCGTAGAGTTATTTCAGATGCACAAATTCAGCCCTCGTTATAAAGACTCACTGGTGGAGAAATCCCCTTTGATGACCCCGATGAATCTTTCGACATCAGGTGTGGCACCAATGCCATCCTCCGCTCCGGCAGCAGCCTTACACAACTTGTCCGCATTGGGTAATTCTGCCGCAGCATCGCTCAGCACTGCTAACCTTCCAGCCAACATGAAGTTCGATGCGTCTGGATTTGGGAATGCTATCATTGATCGATTCAGCAGTCCAAGCATTGGTACGCCCAGAGACGGAGCACAAAGTCCACCTCCCGTCGGTGTGCCAGCCATCAACGCACCAGGCGAAAGTGGATTCTCTGGGGGAGAGGCCGGTGCGAAGTTGAATGAGAACCTCAAGAACATTGGCAAGTTCTTCAAGCGAGATTTGGGAGGGTTTGGAGGCATTGGTAGATTTGGCAGCAAAGCAACGAGCCCTGCTCCACCGGAAGATAGAGCACATGCTCGATAGAATTGTCCATAGACTTTTCCGCCGCACTGCCGACGCCTTGCTCAGGCCATTCGACCCTTGTTGGGCATGGGTGGTACGATTCCGTGGTCTTTGTTAAGAGTTGATGAATGGTCAGGAATGTACCTCCGTACCCAGTATTTCACATTCACTTTTCTTCACGGAGCATTCACTCCGGAGAAACAGGGCAAGACAGTGGTAACGCTCCGTAGTCATGCTCCGTCCAGGACTTAGTAATGGGCGGTGTCCACTGTGAAGACAACATTGAAGGCTTGTTCCATTGATCTTCGGTGGCTGGAGATGATTGGGGACACCGCTCTGCCTAGCACGTGACCTTGAAAACGGGACCCTCGATCTTACAAAACCACCACACTTCTTCGCCCAATTCACCGATCAACCTCTATCGAAAGTCCAGCCAACAACCACACACTCTCTCAAGTCAACCGATTTACGACTATTCATTCCGAATATCATCACACTCTCTCGATTGCGTCTCGATCTTATCTAAAAGCAATTTTACTCGACATTACCGAAGCACCATTCAGTCAGACATTCCAATTACACGAAAATTTCAGACGTTCGTTCACAATGGCGACAACCCAGCTTGCCGTTAAGGGATGGGCAAACAGCAAAATTGCTACGACCTCGCAGGATCAGGGTCTTGATGCACTCCTTGCCTTCCTCGAAAGAAAATCTAGCAGACAGATTCTATCAAATAAATTGATTGGACGCGCTGTGCTCATCATCACCGTCAACGAAGCCGACAAGAGCCGCTTTACTCATTTGAACGGTTTTCAATTCGGAGGATCCTCGCTTATTGTCGAAGAAGCACGGCCTCCACGGAATGCTCAATCTCAAAACACCCAATCACCTCAAAACACATCATTTGGGAGCAGAGTGTCACAACCATCTCGCCCTCAATTTCACAACGGCCCTTCACAGCCACCTTCTGGTCCTCGAGGACAATTCCAGAATCAATCATCTCAGCCACCTAGCGGTCCACGAGGCCCCGGTCGAAACTATCAGCCACCTAATACGAGAGACACGCGTCGCACCAACGACCCTGTCACAGCTGAGGTCGAAAATATCATCGTCTCCGTGATCCACAAGAGATACAACGCTGGAGACAAACACCTCATTCTCAATCTTCTCAGTGAAGAACCTGACCTTATCAACGCCGGCCTCGTAGTCAGCGAACCCACCAAGCTCTACAAAGCAATTTTTGCTCTTTGTGAAAGCAGAATTTGGGAAACATTACCAAAGCGAAAAGAAGCAGTGCTTAGCGTCAGCCTGCGAGACAATTATTTTCAGACCATCCACGACACACTACCTCTGGCAAATGCCTTTCCTCACATTCAAAACCTCGATCTCGCAAACAACGCCCTACAAGACCTAGAGGCTCTCAAGTTCAGAAAGAACCAATTCTCAAACCTGCAACACATTATCCTCAGTGGCAACCCTGTCGCTAGCAAACCCGACACCCTGAACACTTTACTCAAATTGTACCCAAACCTCAAATTCTACAACAACGAACCAATCCAGAATGATGCTGCCGTCGACGTGCAGCCACAGCAACCAGTTTTCGGTGGTGGTGCCGTACAACCAGTCCAACCTCAACCACAGCCTGGCACAGAGCCGACACAGGCACACCCAGAATTTCCTCCTGGCTCGACCTTCGGGGTCGCCACCCCAGACAAGCCTGCCGACGTCCTTCTCAAGGAGCAAATGGGATTACAATTCAGCTTCGAGACGAAATTGAAAATGCAGTGGGTCGAAAACTGCCTATCTGCAAACAACTGGGACTACCAAACAGCCATGGCGAACTTCGCCCAACTAAAGGCGCAGGGCCAAATCCCTGCCGATGCGTACATCGCGGGAGTCTAGGAGGCAATTCTCGGCCTGGGTGAATTGGAAATGGAGGACTGACGACCCTCCACCATGCCATTATTACGACGATATTATTACGAAAAACGACAAACACAACATCAGTACCTTGTATTGTTAGGGCTCCCGGGGGTATTGGAGCATCATCATTAGCATGGAGTTGGAAAGGGCATCATTAGCATTGTTACAAACATTGATAATTGAAGCGATGGGCTCTACGGAGCAAATGAAAATACTATGTACATTTGGAAGAACTCTCCCCTGATTCTCGTTGCCGCCTGCTACGTAGCCTTTTTTCGTGCGTTGTACTCCGTATCTGTACTTACAATTGCGTTGTCAGCCTATAACAATCGGCATATGTCGTACTCCGTTTAGCCTGTGCTGTGTTGGCTTTAGCATGTGACAAAACGTCACCTTCTGATTAGAACCGGCGATACACCCCTACCAACATCTTCCTCCTTGTCCCAGCAGTGCCAGGTACACTGCTGACGGGTACCTGCATATTCTACCTCTTCCCAACGCTTCCGATACCGCGTACCGGTTCCCCTCGGTGTCCTTTTGAGTCCATATGGAGCACGACGTGACGCCGCCACCCGTTTCGCCTTCCACACCGCTTTCCTCCTTGGATGCTTCCTCTTCCCAACGCGATGTTCTGGTATAGAAATCAAGAGCCTGGCACCGAAGAAAAGGGCGATGGTTCGGCCGAGGAATCTGATTCGAGTCATGACGAGATCGTCCTTGCCCAGTCGCCGCAGGGAAGAACTTTGTTGCCTGCGCCTGCCGCCGCGGTCGTGAGCGGTATCACCGGCCTGACCTCGTTCTACGTTCGTGCTGGCACAAAAATAGGAGGATGGGGACTATACGCAGGAAGAGAAGCGACGATGAAAACTCTGTCTGTGAGCAGAAGCGCTCTCGAGACGGTGCTCATCGCGGCCGGGAGGGATGTTTCTAGTAGGAGCAATGGAGAACTTGGGAGGGCAGAGGCAGAGAACTTGCTGGAGAGAAGTGTACGCAAATGAGAGTCCGCTACTATCGAACACACGAACTGACCAGATCTAGATATCCGCATTGTACTCAGCTATCTCGACAATCTCCTTTGTGGCGTCAACGAGCTTCTACCTGACCGAGGCTTCCATGAACTCGATATCCGCATTGTCCATTCAAGGGCTGTCCACCCTGAATGCCGTTCTTGGCTCAACGGAGTCTTCTCGTGCCGTCGCTGCTATCATAACTTTGATCAGGGACGAGCTCGGCAAACCAGAGTCTGCCAACAGTGCGGAAGTCGCTTCGTACATGGATCTCATCGTCGGGACCGTGAGTTTCGTCATGCTCCAAAGATGGGGCAGGCGCAAGACAGAACTCGACTTTAGGAACGCTGGCGGTGAAGAAACCATTTGGGATGCCGTTATCGACGACAAGGGTTTCAGGGCAGATGTTGTGGGTACTCGGAGGAAAGACATGATCAGCATTCATCGCGCCGGTGGCGGGCCTGCCATGAATTTTTCTTCTCCGGACGATGAAGAGGATTTTGAGGCAATAGAAAGAGGGACCTTATTCGACGCTTCTGCAATGGCGGTGTCACCGCAAGACCATACCAACCTGACCGACCAAGAAATCAGAGAGCGAATTGAGAGACAGCTGCCAGCAGGTGCTCGAGCTACTATCACCTCGGAGACAGTCACCGCGAAAACCATCAAGGTGGATATATATGGTGCGGATACAACGCAAATCGACCCTCCACCTGGGACGGTCATGGTAGCGGAGAGACTGAATCACCAAGCCTCCGCTTCTGGCTCTCTTGAAGGACCTCAGCAGACGATCATCTTCCGGACAGCCCTGAAGAGATCAAACAGCACAGACATTCCTTCTGCTGCGGAACAATTGCGCCTCACCAACGACGAAGAAGCGAGGAGGGATCAGCTTGAACATGATGATGTATTCATGATGAAGTTGCCTCAGCCGACAACGATGGTGGATGAATCTTCTCAGACTGACCATCCTGCTGTCATGGACTTAGAACATGACGTTGAGACTGTAGAGTCATCTAGGCCGCCGACTCCTCCCCCTAAGGCCCCGGCGACAACTGCCAACCAGAAAAAGAGCCGACGTCCAAATCCCCGTGAAAACTCACCTCCTGCCACCAACGTTATAACTCGTGTACCACTGGTCAAGAACAGGAAATCTAAGCCTTCACCAGAGGACAAGGGTGATAGAGGAGGTGTGATTAAAAAGGCCCTCAGGACTCTTAGCCCCAGCCAGTCTTCTACGGCCATCAAGGATCTTCACAAAAGTCTTCCTCAGCGAAAACCTCATACATCAATACCGGCCTCAAACTCCGCACGTCGAGGAACTTCAGCAGTTCGTGGTGACACCACGCCGCGAAAACACTTTGGCTTTCTAAGCCATGGCCATTCTCCCATGACAAGTCCAGGTTTGCAGCGAACCACTCAAACGGAATCATCATCTAGCTATTTTGCAGTACATGATCGAAGGAGGGACTCAACTGTATCACAAACCACCGAAACATACTCGATCCATTCGGTCGAGAGCCGGCCAGGGTCTCCTACCTTTACAAGATGCCACGCCCGAGTCGTGAGTGGCATCACCAAGACGAATTCTGAGCTTGCCATTGCGCTGGACGAGACATCGTCTAGGATTGACTCTGCAAATGGTACAGCTCATCATGTTCGATCGCGATCTTTTGTACCCAGTCTTTACTCGATGGCGACAAAAGATTCGGCTGAGGCAATCATACTGGCACCGAAGACGCCAATTCCACGAAAATCTATTTACGAAAATCAAAATATCCTTAATGCCCTTATCCTTGATGGCAAAGTGCCCGGCATCTTTCCTGATCGTCATATGGTCAGGACAGTCAGACGGTTTGCCAGATTTGCATCCGCCTCGTATGGGTCCAATTTTCTGCGAGTCATGGGCCTCACTTCGGCCGAAGGACAACTCAGCAACGCCACGGACCTTATGACTTTAGACGTACATCATGAACACAACTCCTTTTCCAGTCACACAGGACTGCCACCGGATACAATTTTGCTATCTTCTTTTTACGATCCAAAAGGTGTGACCGGTAATACAGATTGGTCGCCCTCGGCAATATCACCTTTAATTCACTTTATTTCTATTGATGACGACTCGAAAGCAGTTGTTTTGACTTGTCGAGGTACTCTTGGATTCGAGGATGTCTTGACAGACATGACTTGCGATTATGATGACTTACTCTGGCAAGGACAACGCTATAAAGTACACAAGGGCATCCATGCTTCGGCCAGGCGACTACTAGGTGGCAGTGGAAGCCGCGTGATGGCGACAATTAGAGCAACACTGGAACAATACCCCGACTATGGCCTCGTTCTCTGTGGACATTCTCTGGGCGGTGCTGTCGCCGCCATTCTGGCTATACTCATCTCTGAACCATCCTTTGACGGTTCGAAAACTCTTTTTGTCACCGGAAACAAGCCGAAGCTGCTCACCGGTCAGACCTCGAATGACCCTTTTTCATCCTATATCCCACCGATCAGTTTGCCAGCTGGCCGACCCATTCACGTCTATGCTTATGGTACTCCAGCGTGCATGTCTGAGCTCCTCCGTGTGGCCACCAGAGGCTTGATCACGACAGTTGTCAACCATGCTGATATTGTTCCATGCCTCTCTCTCGGTATACTTCACGACTTTCGCACTGTCGCCCTCCATCTCAAATCGGACACCACAGACGCGCTAGGAGCTCTGAAAACTCGAGTATGGCAACGCATCAGAAACGCAGTAGCATCTTCTTTTTACAATAACCCCAAAGGGCCTCCTCCACCTGAAAACATGGCTGGGGATGGTCTGGGTGAAGACACCTGGGCTTGGTCCGCGTTGAAGACGCTAAGAGCATCGATGGTTAACGACAAGCTTGTTCCACCTGGTGAAGTGTTTGTGGTCGAGACTACGCGAGTGTTTGACAGGTTGGATCCGAATGTCGCTCGAGAAGCCGTTTTCGGTCCTGATGACACCAAAGACGACCGAACTGAGAAATTGTATCGAGCTCTTGGCCGGCCTGCAACGAGAGTCCAGTTCAAATTGGTGCGTGACGTTGAGACTCGATTTGGAGAACTGAGATTTGGCCGAGACATGTTTGGTGATCATTCTCCTGGAAGATATGAGGCAGCGTTGGCGGCCTTGGAAAAGGGTATCTGCGAGGATTGAAGCCGGATTTACAGAGAACTATCATCATTCATTTTGGATTTGAAGAAGATACAGAGTATCATCTACGACGTTATGAGGCCACTTGGAATTTATTAGGCAAATGTTTGGATAAATAATATACTATAGCACATAGTTGACCAGATTACTGAGTGTCTTCTTTTATATCTCAGGGAATGTGAAAGCCCCTTGAAGCCCTCAGCCCCGTGACTTCGCGTGTCTATCAACGCGTCTCGAGGCGTTAATGGAATTATTTTGTGCTCGGCCCCCGCAGTGGTAGTGACGTGTACCATTAAGGAATCTCTGGCTATTACATTGTACAAAGAACTTCTGGACAAGCATCGGAACACAAGATGGGCTGAGCCGGTGCCAATGGCTCTTGAATCTCAGTCTCCCTCGATACACAACAGCTTGATGGGCACTCGTATTCCTCATCCTGCCTCTAGCCGCTGGGACGATGACGATGATTTTCCCTCTCCTGCAGCGAAGCGTACCAAGACAGGGCCATCCAGCCCAAAGAGAATCTCTCCCAGAAAGCTTCTATCTAAGCAGCGGATCAAAAATGAAATCCCTGACTCTGAAGATGATGAAGAACAAGATACAGAAGAAGACGGCGGCGTGAAGCTACCAACAGACTTCAGAACCACTCAATTAGAGGCGGCACTTCCTCCCGTTCAGACGGATGAAGAAGCCATTGAGGCTTATGAGGCATATAAGGCGAGCGAGTATGTTGAACAACGGGAAGCAAAGGACGGAGAGAGCACAAGCTCGTCTCGTTTGGAGTCAAGAAGTTGGGTCAGAGGGCGCAGCTCCATCTACGTCGATGCGTTCAATCTCGCACTCGATACTGTACTGGAGGATGAGGGCCACCTCTTCAATGAAGCCGAGCACAGCCTGTTCAGGATTTGGCGAGACTTGAACTACGAAGCTCAGTACCTATACGTCAGATTGTTCCTGAGAAAGACCAGTAAATGGTTTCGAGTCAAAGACTTGCAGTATTACAGCGACGTGGCTGACGTCGACGCAGCGGTGCTGGAATTGCAGAAGGAGAGACCTCTTCCTGCCGATGGAGCCGAGCCCGAAATCTATGCTGGCGAGCTGGAACCGGACAAGGACACTGTGCTGGGCCAGAAATTCGCCTTTGCAGAATGCTCGTCCGACCATATCACAACCCTGGACGAGGCGAGTAGTCTTCTCCTGCTTGACGAGCTCAAGGTTCTGGCAAAGGAAGCGAAGGTGCAAGGCAAGAACAAGCGTGAGCTCTTGCGGAACTTCCGCCGTACAAGTGGAAAGCAGACAGGTCTGGGCTTCAAGGAGCTGAAACGTACAGATACAGAGGACAGTGGCGTGAGCGTCATGTCCGAGGATACACAGTCGGTCTACGATGACGACGACGATGACCAGACATCTGGGTCTAGAACTCCAACAATCAAGAATCGAGATGCACATTTCACGAAAAAAATTCTGAACCGAACAGGGCGTTGTATCAGACTTTCCCTGACGCCATTGAAACTCTTCGAACGGGTCCATCTCGTCTTCTACCGTAGCACTGAATGGACGGAGAAGAGTCTGACGACGCTCATTCTTGCAAAGATTTCGCGTCGCAACTTTCCCGAATACATCGTCAGCCGGTCCACGACTATTTTTGAGTCAAGAACACTCTTGCTCGAATTCGAAGCCAGCCTGCGCACTCAGTTCAAAGTGGACAACATCCTCGAGTTCAATGGCACCCCGGGTCGTAAATCGCTCGAAGAAGTCCTCAAGATCTTCGAAGCCGTCTATCCCCGCTGGAAAATACTCCTTGCGGAAGAGCAGAGAAAGGAAGAACGTTTGTACGAATCTGGCGAGGGTTCGTACCTTCGCCGCTTCAGCCCTGCCTGGGTCTACACCCGCATCGTCCACAAAGGTCTCCAGCCCCTCGCGCGCTTCAAGGAACACGTTCGTGAGCACGAGATCCTCACCGAGCTCCTTGACCAGCGGTTGTTTCACGCCTCCCGTCGCGGTGCATGGTACCAGCGCAAGGCTCTGCTCGAGGAACATTACATGCACGCGCTGTTGCCCTCTGACGGTAGAAGCCTGGAGGCCAACAAAAAGCATTGGAAGCGAGTCGCTCTTTCCACGTGCGAGCAAGGTCTCCAGGACAAGGAATGCCACATCATATACCATTACGACCTGCAGAAGCGGGTCAAGAAGCTCGAGAGAGCGCTACGTATACCGGTCCGCGAACAACATGATTTCGGACACGTCAGACTCGCCAAGCCCTTTGAACGGGATGTCGTTGGCGTCAAGATCGAGAAAGATGACGAGCCATCGAGGAATCTCGGCAGCAGCAATACCAGAAAGTCCAGCGCAAATGCTCTCGTCGCGGATGTCGATAGCAATGACGACAAGGCCGGAGGAGAAGGAGGAAAGACAACCACAAGCGTGGGCGCGAGCAAACCACCACCGCCTACCCTCGTACATCAACCTAGCACCGGTGGCGGTGGCGGCCCGGGTGCAAAGACGATCTGGCTCGACACGCTCGACACCAACGAGTCTGTCAGCGTCGAGGCCATGTGCCTGTCCCACTACCGCCGCGTGCTCGGGTACAAGGGGTACCACAGCGAGGGTGGGATCCTCCGGACCATTTTCGGACTGTTGTTTTACGACATTCTGTTCTTCGACCCCTACATCCCCAACGTGTTCCAGACGGCGTACCAGACGTGCCCGCTGGACCTGCACACGGACAGCTTCTTCTCGAGCCGCGTGCCCGAGATCCTGGCGAGGGCCAACCGGATCTCCAACGGCGAGGCGGCGGAGATTGTCGGGCGGGTGTGGGACGAGAACCACGAGAGGCGGACGTGCGTCGTCGGCGTGAGGTGGGACGGCTTCGAGCGCGAGGACCTGCTGGAGTGCGTGGCCTGTTGGGACGGCCAGGCCCTGGCCACGGTCATGCTGGTCATGGCCCAGGAGTACCAGAGCCGCGGCGGCGGCGTCCCCGACCTGGTCCTGTGGAGGGTCAGGGGGCCCGGGGACGCCGGGGACGCCGGGGGCGGCGGCGGCGGCGGCGAGGTCGTCTTCGTCGAGGTCAAGTCGGCCAACGACCGGCTGAGCGACACGCAGCGCCTCTGGATCTCGGTCCTGCTGGGCGCCGGCGTCAAGGTGGAGCTGTGCCACGCCGTGGCCGGGGAGGTGGCGACCGTGTCGGCGGCCGGTCGCTTGAACAGGGCGACGTCCCGTTTGACCGGGGGAAAAAACCAGCCTTGTGCTTCAGGGTAGGTACGTACGTACGGTAAATGGCAGTGTCAATTTATACATTACACACACGATTATACCTTCTCGTAAGGTAGGTACCTACCTACACTACCACTACAATGATACATCACAAGACAAAGGCGTCATGGCAAAAGGTCGTCAAGGGGAGTACCAATTGGACGGATGATGAAATTTTTGTCTTCCTTTTGTCTCTTTCAAAATGGAGAAAAACAATGGCTCACCCAGCTCAACTGCAAAAGAAGCTCGACTCCATTCTATCTCTATACACACACACAGAGAGAGGCACACCGGCAAAGGGAAAAAGAGCCACCTTGAACTCCGTTACCCCATCGTGTATCCCTCTCTCGGGCCTCAAGAAGAAGCAGAAGAAGAAGCTTTGCCGAACCACTTGGCTCCTTCGGGGATACGACCCGGCACCTTGACTTGACCAAAGTTATTGTCCAAGTCGAGCAGAATCTTCAGGGCGTTGCGGCTTCTCAGGTACGGCAAGGGCGCCTTGGCCTCCCTAAGGCCGACCCCGGGCTCCATCTTACCCGCCGTGCCCATGTGCATCCCGGCGTCCTTTTCACTGCCGGGGTACGGCAAGAGGTTGCTCAAGACCTCGTACGCGGCCAGGGTGAAACCGAACTGTGGAGAACTTCTCAAGATACGGGCCGGACCACCTTTGAAGAATGCCTTGAAACCTTCGTCACGGTACACTTTGCGCGCGCAGTCGACGAGACCATTGTACGTTGCGTCACCTTTCCTCGCCTCCACCTGCAATCTCGTCTTGATCACATCACAAGGAGTCGTGAGGTAGGCTGCCGGCATGCCGGCAATCGCACCGGCCGTGAGAAGCTGCACGACGCCAAGCGACTTCGTGGGTGACTCTCCGAACATGTCCCTCTTCAAGTGGCTGTAGGTCGGGAAGTAGATGGCGGAAAAGGGCACGTCTCGCAACAAACAAGCGGATGCACCTTTGTACAAGCCCATCAGACCCAGGTTGCGAACAATCCACATTGCTGAACGTTTTGGCACGTCGGTCTTCTTGGCGAGTTCACCTTGGACCTGAAGACGAATCTTGACAATCTCAAGAGGGTTCGTGAAGACCTAGGAATTTGTGTTAGCACGCGCATCTCCTCAAGAGAACGTCTTCCGAACTTACAACTTGGCAAGCACCTGCCGATCCACCGGCGAGAATCTCGGCGGGAATGGCAATGGCACCGGTCTGCTTATCCGTGAATCTTCCACGGACCAGGTCGTTGACTGTAAGCTTGATGGCCTTTTCGGGAGCGACACCGACCAGTTGCGGCAGGACACCAGAGTACAAGCCTCTCACACCCTCGTTTCGGATGACCTTGCGAGCACAGTCTATCGAATTTTCGTACAGTCGTTCACCAGGACGTGAACTTCTCTGGTTCTGCATTCGCGTCTTGACAAGATCGATGGGGTACACCATAAAGGCACCGAATGCACCAGCAATACTGCCTAGACCAAAGTGGTGGGCCGACTCGAGTAAGGAATGCAGAAACTGTTGAGATTTGGACACGGCGCGGTCTGCAGCATCGGTGACGGCGCTCAGTTTGGAGCCGGCGGTCTGCCAACTGGCATCGAGGACCTTGGCAAAGTCATCCAGGGCGAGGCGGCCACCGGGTTGATCGAGACTGGCGAAATGGAACAAGATGTCTGCTTCCATGGGAGTGTACAGAGAGAAGCGTGTCAGGCGGGCTGCTTCGTTGAGGAAATCTTGTCGGTCGATACGGCCATCGCTTGACTTGGCGGTGGCATTGCGAATGATGAGATCCAGCAGGTCCATCTCTCGAATGACGTTCTGGAAAGCCCGGACATTGGCGTAGGAGATTTTGGTACCGGTAGAGATGTTGCACAGAGTCGGGAGGTTCTCAAGGAGGTGGTCGGACAGCTTATGGCCGGCAGTAGCTCTGATGATCCGCTCAAACTCTTCGGGGTCAATGTACCCGTCCTTGTCTTTGTCGTACAGGTGGAAGGCTTGACGTATCCGCTCGCCCTGCAGACCGCGCATCATCTGGGCAAACTGCGGGTATGTCATCTCGTGCCTCTTGTTCTTGCCGCCAATGTACAACGAAGCCCATTCCGAGTTGAAGTCAAAGGGGATACTGTCTTGACCCCGGTTCTGTTCGTAGATTTTCTGGAATGCGTCCGATCTGATCGAGCCCGTTCCATCGACGTCGAAGAGTCTGAAAGCAATCTCGTACTCTGCGTCTGACTTGGCAAGGAGGTTGTCAAAGGCGGCCCATTCGGACATGGAGACGCGGCCACGTTTATGTCGGTCGGCGACACCGAAGAGAATGCCATATTGTTCTCGCTTTATCTTGTGCTGTGCGGAATACATGTGTCAGGATATGTGTTTCCAAGGGGGCGGACAAGGATTCTCGGTGTCTTTGGACCGAACTCACATAGTCTTCCTCGGGGGGAGCAATGGCATTGATAAAGTCCTCCTCGTTCATGTAGAGCTCGCCATCATCGCCCTGTCTGGAGTTTTTCAGAAAGGTGGCTTTGGCTTCGCTCGATAAGGATTCGGTCTGGGTTGTGCCGAGCAGGGACTCTTTCACAGCTTCACTGACGGTCGCCATGGCGATCTCTCTTTCTTTTGTTTTATGTTAAACAAAAACCAAATGGACTGTGAAGAAAGGGTTAGGTCAAGGACTTGCGTCGATGACGATGATGATGTCGTTTCGTCGTGCCGAGAAAAAGCAATGAGGCTGCGTGTCCTCTTTTGTTGCGACGCAGTGAAGGAAAAGAGGTAGAAGGTGAGGTCGAGGTGAAATTGGACGTGGGTCGGTCGGTCGCAGGGCGTTCACAGAAAAGTTCCTGGTCGACGGCGACGACGACCACAACAACGACGACGCCGCGATAAAAGACAAGGAGACTCTATCTAGTCAACAGTAGTACAATGAGAGACAAATGGAAAAAGTCTATCCCGAAACCCGTGCATGCAGTAGCAAAAAGAAAGAACCCACGATGCAATGGCTGTAAAGAAGCAGTGGTTGAGCTATTACACAGACAGACAGAGAGAGAGTATCTGGGGAAATGGGATGACAAGTCCGGAGAAAAGAAATTGCTCGGGCGCAGTCGCAGTGTCTCGCAGTCAGATTCCCAACTGTTTTGTACGGAGTTACGTACTATACGAGTGCCCTCTACAGTAACCATCTGTTACGGCTATCAAATTTTTTTTTAACAGCTGCAGCGAAGCGTGTCTCGGGTCGATGGTTCCCAAAAGTGGCGCCCCAGTGTCAGGGATTCGTCAATTTAGGGCCCCAAAGAAGCCCCCAACTGTGGCTTCTCGGGGCTTCCAGGTCACGAAAACAGCCTCTAATGGAGGAAAGATGCTCGCCAAAAGGACTTCGCCGCTCACACTAAACCACGCTTGGGCATCCCGACAGGCACAGCTCGGGCCCGCTGGAAGATGCGTTTGTGGCTTTTAGGGAAAGTCGGCGCTGCTCCCGTACATACACCGTCAAGGTCCATGTCGCCGGCATAAAAAGGCGACAGCTCGACATTTTTGCACAATCTCGGGTTAAAGGGATGGTGATGATGATGATAATAACTTGTACTCTTCTTGTATCCCGTTATTGTAGTGTACAGTTGCGAATCGACCCATGTATCCGTAACCGCAGTCCCGTACTCTCCATAAGGTGTCTGTCTGTACCTGGTTCCCTTTTGTCCTTGTTACACCCTCCCTTTCTCCCCCCCCCCCCAAATATACTGTACTGTAATATCCTATGGGTACTCCGTCCTAATGATACAAATACCTAAACTTGTCCTCCGAAGATCGGCCCCCCTTGCATTGCATACGCCTCACTGTAGAACTCCCAGTACAGTACCCCAAGTACAGTACAGTACGTATCGCTAAGCTGACATCTATGTTCATATAAGTCCACACTCCGTGCTCCATATTCCGTTCATATTGTACAAGTACAAAACATAAGATGCGCATGGCCCAAATCTCAATTTGTCGTATCAGTCGTAAGTACTCACCTCTGTATCCCAGCCACCTTTGGGCCTTTTGCAGTCACTGCCCGCCATCCGCATTGTACGGGGCATATCCATAATGACCACCCGCATGGTGATGATGTTGATGGTGATTGTGAGGATGAGGATGGTAATGGTCCTCACCAAGCAGATAATCTACCCCTGGAAGACTCTGCTGCCGAGGTACCGCTATCTCGCTCGACCGCCGGCTGTGCCCTCCTGACAAGCCGACGCTGATGCCACTATCGTCCGTGTTATCATGCTCGTCTGGCGACCGATCGTGATCCCACTCACTCAATCCTGCCTGGCCCGAACTGGCACGAGATGGGTTCCTGGCGTGTTGTTTACGACTGCGACTTTTCAATCCCCGACAGCCTTGTTGGAGTATCTGTTTTGTGGTTATCGTTTGTCAGCCGTGTGCTCCGCCTAGACAATAGGGGGAAACACCCGTAAAAATGTTGGAGTACTCTAGGTACAGTAATAGAGTAATAGAGAAAGAGAGAAAGAGAAGAGAGGGAGAGAGACCCACCACTTTTTCCACGTCTTCCCACCTTTCTCCAACCTGGTCAGCGATATTACGCCACATGGGCTCTCGCACGAGATTGTATCGGTTCACCACTTTCTGGATTCGAGCTTCGTCCCACGTCGGGTCTCTGGCCTTGACCAACAGCCTGTCGTGCCTCTTGCGGCACGCGTTGCCCGTCTTGTTAGGAAAGCATTGCTTGTGTATTTCTTCCCACGCCAAACCCTGACTTCGTGCATTGACGAGGATTTCATCTTCCCGCGTCGTCCAAGGTCCGCTCTGCAGCGGTCGATTCGGCATGTCATGTTGAGGTCGGTGACTCTTGGTGGACGTTGAACGCACCGATTGCATAAAGTTCTGCATCATGGCCTGGTGAGGGTACTGCAGACGATGCTGCTCCGCTAAAGAAGGTTCCACCCAGCTCATGGGGGGCCCCTGCGGTGGTTGTGTTTGTGGCCACACTGCCATGGCCGGTGTCATGGTGGCTGGCATGTTCGTCGTGGTCGGCATGCTAGACGAGTCCTGCAGACCGTAAGAAGGGACCTGCCGCTCCAGTTGATGAGGCCCGGTCGGCTGAGGCGTCATGCCGGCATGTGTCATGATTTTCATATTCATTGACCGAACAATCAGACCTGGGTCGAGAGTTGGGTCCTCCGTTGAACAAACAAAGAAATAAAGAGAGTCGGGGCTTTCCGAATTATGATTTGGCTTGGTTTGGTTTGCTGAGAAAACGAGTGTTGCGTACCGTACTAAACAGAGACCGAGAAAACAATCAAAGCAGACAATCCCTGGTATGTGTCGACCAACTGGACGAGATGGAGAATTTGAAAAGCCTGGATGACTTTGAGCCTGACCACTTTCTTTTTAACAACAAGAGAATGATATCCAGCACACGCATCCTGCCCAAAATATTCGAAACATATGGGCGTCAATTTCAGATCTGAAAAGATACAACAACAAAGTAAACAGGACTTCTCAGACTCTGTTGTTCCAAGATGACTACAGACCATCGGACGTTTCGGCAGACCTGCAACCAGCGCATCGAGCAGAGTTGCGGCACAACCTCACCGACCGACAGACGTTGCTGCTCGTCATTGGAAGCTTCGTAGGGTCCAGGTGAAGATGAAACCGGAGTCGTTATTCCTCGCCTACCTCACGCTACGTCGCGCCAGACAAACCGCCGGTCCGGGTTGGTATAGCTTAGCGTAGCTTTTGTTTGCCCCCCCAAGGTATATTTGGTAGCATACGTGCAAAGGTGTACACGCCCTGGCCCTTGCTCGGGCAGAGAGATCTGAAACGAACCATTCGGGGCGCACTCACGAGGCGGCTGTTGGCGAGGCGAATCTCAAATAGCCGCCTTGTAGCAGGGATACCAGGATGGACATGATGGACAAAGACTCCATAGGAACCACCAGTCATGCCTGGGTTTGGGTTAGTAAAGGCCTTTTTTTAACGAGCCATGGTCGTTTCGCGAGCAGATCTCGATGCTAGTGCGACTCCATATGCCACGAAGATCCGATATGGTTCGCCATGTCGTTGTTGGTATTGGTTGCAATTGCACACCAGGGCTGTTTAGATGTAGGATAGAATCTCCGACGTGGCGCCCTCTCTTGCAGACATACAGTACAATTTTGTTTGAACTTTTGCAAGTTCCATCTGTTTCGCCTCGCATGAAGGAGGAAAACCGTCTTGGCCACGAAACAGAAACTCGTCCATGAAGCCATCTAAAAATCAATGAATGGCTGTCAGACAACGCTGCTCCAGATCTGCTTTCCGTTGTCGTCCACCCAGAGGCGCTTAGGAGACTAAATATAGTCGATTGTTGATATCGTCAAGCCGATTGGGGCGCCATTCGTTCGCGTATTCTGTACCAATAAAGACGATCCGATCTTCCCACTTTTACTTGTGGACATACCTGTACACTGTTGATTCTGTCCCAAGTACAGAGTCCAGAGTAAAAGTTGGAACGATCCTATGGCCGGCTGGTGGAAAAATGCCCGAAATGCAACAGTAAATCTTCAAGCCCAGAGGGAAAGGGCTTAGGTGGACATTTGTTCTGATAGATACAGACCAGTCTTATCATTTGACTTCAATGTTAGAAGGACTAGGTAGCAGAAGATCATGACAGAGGGGCATTCGGATGAGAAGCTGGGCAATGGGTGATAAAGAGCGACTTTGCATTCCCTATTCTGTGTGCTTTTGTCTGGGTCGACAAAAGGCTGTCTTCCCCAAAAACATCTATCTGCTATCTTGTCTCCTTTTTTTGTTCCTGCTGGGGTTCGAGGGAGAGTTTCTCTCTCTCTCTGTTCTCAATTCGTACATCATCAAAAGCTCTTTCATATCATTAGGTAGTTCCAACTTGAAGTTGTTGTCAAGCCACACACACACACACACATACATCTCTTATCCTTTAATCAAGTCATCATCATGTCATTGGTGTCAGGTAATATCAAATAAAAAAAAGTCCCTCATAGAATAAAGCCACTACTACAAGTGAGGACAAGTTAGCATGATGGACGGTGAGACAGTGATGTTCGACAGCAGTGGTGACGCGAACGTACCTTTCGCCTCTCTCTCATCTTCTTTGCCACCTCCGCTCTTCCTTGGGCATCTTTGCATACTGGCCATAGTACTCCTCGTCCTCGATCGGGGTGATGCAGTGAACGACGGGTGTCTCCGAGAAGGACAACTGTCTTCGGGCCGGAGCGATCGGTTTGCCACTCTTCTTGAGGATGCTCCTCGAAGAAGAAGAGTTGACGTAGGCGTAGGTGGGTTGTTGCATGGTCGAGTACCCCCTCTGGTTCAGTCTGGTGTTGCGTGCCGTGGGGCTGACGGGCGACGGGGACACCGGTGAGCGCAGAGGACCCAAGGGGGACTTGAGAGACAGTGACGGACGACCAGTCTGAACGGTCGAGGTCGTCGAGATGCTGAGGGACAACTTTGGCTTTGCGGCTCTTGAGGAAAGCATGGTTGATATTGATATAGTTGACGGTGACAACGAATGGGGTATATTTGACTTGGTGAATCGTTGGGCTTGATGGAGTAGTCCTTGTGATTTCCCAGATATTTCAAGAACTCGAAGAAGTTTGGCTTCCAGAAGCTTTTGGAATGATTAAGTGTCGAATTGAGAGCGACGTCGTTGGGTAACAGGTGGTCAAGGTATTGGCAGACTGCCGATATTGGGCAAAGAATAAACCAAGGTGGTGATGCAATAATGATACGATGCGCAGCGGGGACAAGACAATTGGACCAGCCAATTTTAGAAATAGCCAAATGAAAAATAGGATGCAGGGAAATGTTCCAGACAGTCAATGCACTGGAGGAGGAAAAGAGAAGAAAGAAGGAGGTCGTCTAGCCAGCGGCCTGGGGTGGGCGCGTATCTATATAGGTATCTTTTCGACATCTCAAGGAACGCGGGGGGGTTGCTGAGTGGCAGCCTCGCCATTCGTCCCGTCCCAGTCACACCTCACCATCGCCTCGAACTCCCAGCATCCTTCCACCTACAGCCAATGACACGGCCTCTCCACGCGCCCACTGCTGTGATACACCACCATCCTACCTGCAGCCATCCAATCGACTGTGCAGGACACTCCCGCCGTCTGCAATGCATGGGCTGGTGATAGTGCAGTGTGATGGGGATTATTTGTTCAATATCACCTCTCCTTTTGGGCCAGCCACCTCAATGTAGTGCAACATGGTAGGCTCTATGGAGTAACTTGCATTCATTCACGGGATTTTTGCTCTGGCTACTGCACTATTCAACTCCTTGCACACGTCGCTTCCGTTCTTGTATCTCTCGTCTCTTGAAGCGATGTCGTAAACGAGGAAACACAGAACATGGGCTGAGAAACATCACGGCTGAGAAACATCACGGCTGAGAAACATCACGGCTAGGCGTCGAGGTGCTGAACAAGGCCACCGTCACGAAATCAACCAGTAAAACGAATTTCTGATAGTATGGCTAGTTGTCAGTATCACTCGCGCGGTAGAGATAAACAGAGCTGGAAGCATGGATAAATTCTGTCAAAACAGTGTAGATAGTGATTCCGCTGTCTAAGCTAAGCAAGACCAACAAGTAGCATGTTGTGATAGCGAAAGGTAGCCCTCACTGCTTGTGTTACCAGAGGACTAGTCCTCCGTGGAATGTCAGATCACAGAATAGGTCCATTGCGGTATTGCCGATCCATTCGAACATCTCGCCACACTCCTCGTGGATAACTCACCGGCTGGGTCTAGGCATTTTCCGGGCATACAGGGAATATGCCTGGGTTCACTTCTCGAAACCATCGAACGCAATCCATGGCATAAATGCACTCATACAGCTGAGACCCTGCAAATCAATCACATGTCTTGCTTTGCTGTAGAGTCTGGTGGAACTGTGGTTCTAGTTTAGAATCGCCATGGCCAAATCCTCAATGCGATGATGAGACTGCATAACTTGCAAGACGCAATGACATCGATACTGGTTTGGATGAAGAAAACTCGGCAAGGGGCAGGAATTCCCCTAAACATTTCTTCAGAGAACATACAGTGAATGAGTGCGTTGGAGTTGCATGCGTGTCCGCAGAACTATCTCCAGGTCAATCTAGTAACTCACTGTTAGTACTTACCTCACGTAGTGTCACGACCGTTGGGATTGTGTAGAAGGATGGCCTGGGTGGTAGGTATTACATGTCGAATTGCTGTCACTCGGATAGCCGGCTAGGTCCGTGCTTGAGGGCGCCCATGCCACAGCACAAAAGGAGGCATCGGGATGGCGACCTGGCAGGATAAAAGGGTGACTTAGACTGCTGTCAGTGGAACTACTGGCGTATTGATCATGGCGTACACGGCGAGTCAGTGTTTTTTTGTTATTTTGATTTGCAATGTGTGCGCGCAAGAGATAACATATGAGTCGAGCTCGACGTCGATTCTTGACTGACAGGGGCGAACTATCGAGGGCGAAGCAAGGCGCTGAATAAAAGTATGCTGACTGCCGCAACAAGACTCATGATGATTTCAGTCGAGGAGTAAAGAAAGACCCAGCCGATACCGTTGTGATACATGTCGACAACCACGTCGTCAATTAGGAGCAAGTGCCGACCTTCTTGCCGTTGCTCGTGCCATGAACCGTAATTCCTCAGCGCCGCGTTTTGGACCACAACCTCTCCGTCTCGAAATAACAAACTGCTTTTGTTGCTGGAGTCTGGATAGAAGACTGTGGAAATACATGGATGGAAATCGAAGCCAATTTCTCGAATGCCGAAATGCTCACGACTGGAGTTCGACGTGCAGGAGAGTACTCTCTGCAACCCGCTTATCTGCTGGCATAACGATCTTCACGACCGTAGTCACGGCCGCCAGCATACTCACGAGGCTGCTCTTCGCGCGCTGGAGGAGCGTACCCACGGTCGTCGCTGCGGTCATAATAGGCACGACGATCGCCGCCACTTCCGCCGCCACGACCACCATAGCCGTCCTCACGTCTGCTTTCGTATCTGTCAATGTTGCGACCACTGTAGCCATCATCACGATCACGTCGGCCACCACCACCGCCACCGCCACCGTAGCCACGACGTTCGTAGTCATCGCCATATCCCCGACGATCGTAGTCATCGTAGCGAGAGCCACCACGATAGTCATCACGACGCGGTGGGTAGCCTCCTCGGCGATCGTCGTAACGGTCACGATAGCCGCCACCTCGAGGAGGGCCGCGGAAGGCGCCTTCTAGAATATTTAGCAATAGCTCTCAAAAGGGAATGCATTGTACTTACCACGCTTGGGAGGACCGAAGTATTTGCCGGGGGTCGGGCTACGAGGACGGGCACGTCGAGCCTTTTCAATGCTCAAAGTGCGGCCTTCAATGACCTCTCCTTGCAAGCCTTCCTTGGCAGCCTCAGCTTGTTCAGTTGTAACCATCTTGACGAAGCCAAAGCCACGGGATTCCTTGGTATGCGGATCGAGCATGATGGAGCAATTTTCCACGTCGCCGTATTTCTCGAAGAGTCTTGAGACGTCGCTTTCAGTCAATCGAGGATGAATTCCAGTGACGAAGAGGTTGGATCCGGTATTGGCAGCGCCTTCCTCATCTATATCTTTCATTCTTGTATCAGATGGAGGGGGTGGCCTGGAGAATTGTTAATTGAAGCACCAAGGTATTCAATTGATGACACGTACACTCGATCACGACCATTGGGGGATCGGCTGCGGTTACGATCTTCTCGGTCACCGCGGGGCGAAGCTGATCTGTCACGACGCTCATAGCCACGGTCATCTGAGTTGTAAGTTAGCACCAGTGACACGATCCTGCTGGAGTGAGAAGTCTCACCTTCGTAACGAGCTGCTGAGTCCTCGAAATCCGCCATTGTGACGACAGAAGTGGTGAACAAAAGGGACTGTAAGACGGCCAAGAGATGTCAATCGCGTTCTGGCAAGTAGCAAAACACGGAAAGAATGAGATAACAAGAAGCTGCGGGGGGGAAGAAGCTTCAAATGATGCCAGATCCCAGGTAGATACGAGATTTGGATTGAAGTGATGAATGTTTGGAAGTGAGGCTGCGAAGCGATGAGAATAAGGCGAAAATTAGAACGACGCGCACCCCAATGCAGACTAGCGCGTTTCCGGAAGCGGTCGATTGTTATTCCGATCAATCCGGCCAGATTCTCTTCTCGCTTAAGCCCCTGCCCGCATAGCATTAATCTGGGGGTGTGGAACTGACAAGGACAAATCGCGTGAAGACGCCTCCGTTAATACAAGAATATTTATTATCCAAGTGCTTCACGCAATTGGCTTCTGCACCGAAGCAAATGCTGTGTTATTCAAGAATAGTGTATGTAACTAGAGTACACAATCGTACAATCAGACAGCCTGGCCCAAGCATCACCTACGAAGCCGGAAGGATCTTGTACCCCATTCAGAGGCTCGATTGCGTTTTCCTCCCTTCCGTAGCATCTTCTTCTTCGTAATGGGGTCAGCAATGCCGGAGTCAAGCTCTTTCCCAGTCAAGGCTTCATCTCCACCTCCTACCAAATCATCCCCAGGGCCAAGACCTAAGAGCTCGTCCTCATCCATTTCGCTCAACTCCTCACTCAATTCTCGCAGGACTTCGGGTCCAGTCCAACGTTCTTCATATATAGTCAAGCCATCAGGGTCGAACGCAGCCACATACCAAGGGATCCCGCCTTCGGTTACAAGATTCTGTGATTGCCCTTCGAGGCTCATTGGTGGAGTAGGTGGTTCAATGTGTTGGACTTGTGTAGGCGCCATCTCCTCGGCGTGATTCTGCTCTTGTTTAAAACCGTTAGTGGATGCTGGTGGAGTCTCCACTGAGGCTGCTGCTGTTTGTAGATGGAGGGTTTCCGTCTTCAGAGGTTCTGATGGCTCTTCCAACAGGTCGCGGGACTCTGTAGGGTCAAGCGGAGGAGCAGTCCCAATCGCTTCAGTTGTTGCATCCACCATCATTACATCACCATCATCCGGGCTTGCAATGCCTGTCGCGTGCTTGGTCTCGACCGACTCGAGGATGGGCATGTCCATTGAGCCAGCCAGCGAGTCACGCCTTGAGAGGAGTGCTTCATCCATCTCACGTATCTGCTGCGCATAGGGTCGTCCATTGAGCTCAGCCTCTTTCCTCGCAATATCTTCAATCATCGGCTCGATGGCTTTAATGATGCGCCTTGCCAGCGTTCGTCGTTCACGGGCTTCATACTCCATATCTTCAGCCCTACCACTGACGAGGGTGATGAGCTCGGTTATAGTTGCGGCACTGTTGCCAAATTGCGAGTTGATTACCCGTAGGACATCATGCGAAAAAGCTGCCACAGAAGTGTGCTCTCGTCTGCATACGCGAGCACGGAGTTCTAGAAGCTCGCTTCGGAACAATCCCCGATCAAGCCTGCAGAAGAGGTCAGTACAAATCATTCTCTGGACTGTAGGGGCAACTTACTTGAGTGCTTTATCAACGACTGGTTCCAGCAGATGTGGGACGGGAAAGTAGACCGTATCCACGATGTCTTTCATTAAGGCAGCCTCTTGCAGTTTCAGAGCTTCTCTTTGCTTGATCCAGTCGCAGATTTCGACAATCTTTTCCATATCGCTGGCAAGCATCTCTGCAAATTCGATTCGACGGTCTAATCTTGCTCTCCCGGCTGCGCCCTGGGCTTTGTAATCGCGGCGCGTTACTTCGAAAGAGCTGAAGGTATCCATTTGGAGTTGCAACCTCTTTAGTAACGCCGCACCTCTGCGTGCTTCACGCTTCAGGGTCCAATACTTGCAAATTTCCGAGACGTACTCCTTCTTTCTTTGAACAGTAAACCTGACTAGAGATTCTTCGATAGACTTGAGAATAACCTCAGGAATGACAGGGGCACCTGATGGAAGGCGCCAAATCGTTTTTTGTTTTTGGCCCTTCTTGTTCGTCAGGGTCACCCTCAGGGGGCCTTTATCGGCACTAGGCATATCATGAACATCGTTGATCGCCAAGGCTGAAGCTCGGCTGTCAGCCCATATCTGACCTCGGAAGTGGTCTTTGAAGTACTTCTGAGCTTCCTCGAAAGCTTTATCCGTATGGTGCTCGTGTTTCCAGTCTGCAGGTGAATGCTTGTGGCAGAATGCTCGTAACAGTGATGAATCCATCAGCGTATTTTGCCCACCCCCAGTCTTCATCCGCAAGTAGAGACCTGCTTGACGAGCACATGTCAAATGAAAGGGCTCATAGCACCGGCCATCACTACATTGAATGCATGCACCCATCTCTTGCTTGCAAATATAGCACAATAGCTTCCATCTGCTGGGGGGAACCTTCTCAACATCCGTTATGGGCTCCATCAATGATGGATTACCAATGGTAACCTCTGGAATCCAGGTTGCGCAGAAAAGATGCGCCCATTTAGAGTTATTCGTCTGTTTGAAAGCACCTCCTTCATTCGGACAGAAAATACAACTCGGGCGTGAGTTTCCCACAAGCTGGCATTTCCTGCATAGCCATTGACCTTCTGGGATGTAAGGAACACCGTAGCATTCCTGGTGAACAGCAAGGTCGCAGCCATCACAAAACACGATTGCGTTGGCATTTTCGCAATCGCCATCGTCGCAAATAGCACATTTGCTATCAGGTTCCTCACCTGAAGGTTCGCCTTTGACAGCAGCAGCACTGCTAGACCGCGGTCGTTGAGTCTGTGGTGCCTTCGGATTTGGCTTGGGTATCCGCTTCTCGAGAGCATGCCATTCTTTCTCAATCTTGGTCATGGTTATCTCAAATATCGCAGGCTTGATGGTTTGAACTCCATCTTTTGTTCTACCCCTGTTGAAAGCCTCGAGCCATTTCACATCCTGTTCGTCCATATCATACTCCACACGGCCAACTCCTGTGCTCCCTATAGCTGAGTTTTCTCCCTTTGTGATGAGATCGGGCGTCAGGTCAAGGTCCTCCTCAGCAGAGCCTTCCATTTGCCTTATGAGTGTGCGCTCTGGTCGTAGGAATACTTCGCTCTCTTGGTATCCGACGTTGGCCATTGACTTGTCAACAAAGTCCACCTGCGCAATGTCTTTCTGTTCGTAGGACAAGAATGGGTCGAGCTCTCTATAGGAGGGTCTGGGTAGTGTAAGTCGTTCTCGGGGATTTGGTCCGGGCATTGGCACAAATTTCGGGGCTTCTGGCGTCAGAAGAGCGTTCACCATAGCGTTCTGTGTGCGATGTGGTCTGCCCGGCTTTCGTTTAGGAGGTGTCTGGTAGCCGAGGTTGACGGTATCGCCTGTTTCTGATGCTGAACCAGCGATATGTCCATCGCTGATTGCCGAAGCTGTGACCCCATCAATATCTTCAGCGACAATAACCGCAAAATCTTTATCGAGTTCTAAGTCTGAATGGAACTCTTCCCAGCCGCGCTCCTCTCGAGGTTTGTAGCCATCTCCATGCGCCACAGCGGCGGATGCTGCTGCTGCCGTGCTATACCGAGGACGAGCACCACCACCACGATTCCTACTTCTTGCTGAGAATCGAGGGGTCGAGGCCATTGTCTTTCTTCGATCTCGGCTCGATCTGGGACGCGTTCGGGGCACCGTGTACTCATCATTGGCGCGCGATAGTCGTGAGGTGGTGGGAGTTTTCTCATTATCTACATGTCTTCCTCCTCCCCCACGTCCACCTGGAGCCCATTTTGGTGTTGTTTGAGACCTTCGAGATGTTCGCATGCGCTTGGTAGGAGGTTCTTCGTCTTGGAAATCCGCATACTCGTCGCGATCTGAATCGTCAAACACACTGGGAGCCTTTGTGGAATCTCTCCGTGGCCGGCCCCGTGGCTGGCCACTTCTCAGCGACGCCATCGTGTCCACGTTGCGCTGAAGGTGGACGCGATGCGGCTGTTGAACCCCTCGACTAAGAGGCGCAGGTGAGGTTAGGATCGGGTTCCCGCAAGGGTGATTCCATTTAGTCCGGCGATTCGAGTACAAGGTCACCAGGCAGTCAAAGTAGGTCTATACAATGCAATTAGAAGTGTTATCTCGACGTTGGCGAGGCCGTTCTTCGGAGGCGTCTTCGCAGGACGTCCCTTCAAGATGCATCGCCAAACTCGGAAAGGCAAGCGCGACTCAAGTCTTGGCGATCACTTCACCTCGGAGCCACACAAACCACGCTGCTTTTATCAAACACACCATTCAGTTCCCCCTCGCCTCGGTCATCCTCGAGAGATGGCTTTCGCGCCTGGTATCAAACCATGAATCTTTTACACGCTCATCGTGCTAGACGAGCATCACCAGAGTGATGGAAGGATCCAGGAGAGTCCCGCAAACCCTTCTAGGCCGTGGTCTGAATAAGGATGCCAGGATAGTTGCCCAGCCAGGTTTGATTTTCGAGATAGTGCTGAGAGGAGACGAGATGGAAAAGAAGCTGTAAATACAGTTCTTCAGTTTCCTAGATGTCCCCATTCTCGAAGCCTAATAATCTCTGGTTATATTACTAACTTTACTCTCGACTATGGAAGACCAACATCAAAATCGACTGTGCACATACAACATGTAGGCTTAAACTTGTCCAAAAAATGAGCATTAGATCTTTTTTCTATTCCAGCACTACGTAGCCTGCGGGACTACTGTTCCAGAATTCTATGTGAGAACTCACAGAACCCTTCTTGGAATCGGTTTGCGGGTTTCCATGGTCAAAACAGCCGTAGTCGCTCTTGAACGCTGCTGAACAGCCCCAGCGCCGGTTGTCAGAACTCCAACTGCGGTACATCTCAACGCCGCCCATACAACTCGATGGGCCTAACGATTTCGACATGTCATGACTTGTGTCCTCACGTTCCCCATAACGGCTTCTAATTTATGCGCCTCTTGATGCATCTTAGATCATCAGTCTCTCCACCTTGTTCTTCAACTCTCTGATCTGAGGCATGAGGTCGCTGCTCTCGTTCGTGGTGATGCTGGCCGCAATCACAGCCCTGCTGACGCCACAAGCGCGACCAAGAGCCACCTTGCTCGGTACGTAGACGTACGGCACGTTCTTATCCTCAGCGAGTAGGGGCAGATGGAGGAGAATGGCGAGCGGCGAGGTATCGGCGGCGAGGATGAGGATCTCCGAAGTTCCACGGTTGAGAGTCTTGGTGGCTGTTGGGCTCAGACAATTAGTTTCTCCGTTCACGACAAGTTGTTTCTGGACGAACGCACCTTCGTTGGCACCTTTCTTTAGCTGACGATAATGACTAGCTTGCTGGACCAGGTCCAGGGTAAGTTGCGCCAGTTGCCCATCGGCGATCGGCCATGCTGCTCGAGAATCAGAAAACGTACGCAGCAGAAGTAAATGGGTATCGGTGATCGTACCTGCGCTTTCAGACATGATTTTGATGACTTGCCTCTGGCTCACTCAGCGGATCACGGCCAGGATACTGCGGTGTGAAAAATACAGGGATGCAACGTGAGATAGTCAAAAGAATGCAGACTCCCCAAAAAAAAACTTGCAGTCGACGATCCTCATCGGCACGGCTATGCTTGGCACCAATAATTTGGCACGTGATCTGCACCCCACGACCCACCCAGATCTCCCCGTAGCGAAACTAAAGCCACAACTCATCCGTAGAGCCTAGACAGAGTACAGGGCGGCACCACTGTAGTCCCAAATCGCACGGGAAGGAGGAGGAGATGGTGGTGGTGGTGGTAGTAGTACAGAGATGTTGAATCTCTGACAGAGTGCACATTCGCGCAACACACAAGATCCAACTCCAGAACCAGAACCTCGTGATGCAGGGCGGTACCCAAGGAAGACTTGGCTCAAGATTACTGCAGTCTACAGTCTACAGTCGTCCCGTCATGCGATCCAGCAGCGGGAGCAGCGGCACAAGGAGGTTGTGGAGGACTGGAATCGCTGGCTAACCAGAAGAGCTCAGGCGAGCCCCCGATGTTTAGTTTCTCGTATCGTATGTGTGTGACTGTGTATGCCGGTTCTTCCAGATATACTCTGGGGGCATTTAGGTATGGTCTGGACTAGGCATTAAGAAGCTTGGAGAGCGAGAAATCTGGACCTTGTTTTGCTATTCGCGTTTCATGTCCATTTTGTCCTCTATGGGAGAAGGGTATCAGATGGGATGCGCTATTGTGTAATGAAATGCGGACCCTCCTTCGGAAACGAGTGCTATCATTGCCAAAGACTGTCTGAGCATTCGAAACCTTTATCAATGACAATATGCCCTGGTTTCAAGCGGCGTCCTTGAATGAACCCGGCATACAAATGCTGCATGTGCTGACCTAACCTCTCTAATTCCTCCTTCGCCCCGGGACCCTTGAGCATAGGTGCATCTTGCCACGCACCCGGTCGGCCCAACACGAAAGGGATATCGATGCAATGGTTTGCCTGGAGTTGACTCCCATTCGGACACCACCGAAACTCACAACTTGTGGCGCTGCCCCCGGCGTCATCCTCGACCTGCCTGCGAAATGCTTCCGACGGCCAGGCGAAGTAGCTTTTGGTCACCCACCACGTACCAAGTGACTCCAGAATCCGACCGACAACGGGCAAATTGTACAGGGACCTGAGGGGGCCCATCCAGCTAGCGAATGGGCGTCCGTCGTGCTCAGTCCATCCGATCATGATCGGGATGTTCTTGAGGCGGCTGTTGAGCCGAGTATCCAGGTCTTTCTCCTCCGGCAGAGGATAGTGGCCGATTGCAGGCCCAAACGGCATGACCTGTGGCCGGACTGGGTTCATCAGCATGCTTTTTTGAAGGCCCAAGAGCTCAGACGTAGACATTTTGCGTGGATCGGCAGTCAACAGGCTCGTTGCCTGACGTGCGAGCAAGTCAATAGTGGGGATTCGATCACGGATTTCTCGCAGCGGAGGACTCATCAGAATGGCTCGGTGAACGAGACCTTCGGTGTCGTCTGAAGCCAGTAGGCATATGATAGAGTCTGCCCCTGCAGACTGTCCCATGACGGTGATCCTGTCCGGGTCGCCACCGACGCTCGAGATGTTGGCTCTGATCCATTGTAAGGCTGCTCGCTGATCAAGCAGGCCCAAGTTGGCCGGTGCGATCCCCTCGATCATGAGGTACCCGAATACTCCGAGGCGGTGCGATACATTGACGCAGACAATCCCATGGTCTCTGGCGAGGCTGATCGGCGCGTAACAGTCGAGGTCACCACTGCCACTGATGAATGCACCTCCGTGTAACCACACCATCACTGGAGCTTGGCTGGCATTCGCAGGAGCGAAAATGCTAAGGTGCAGGCAGTCCTCGTCCATGCGTCTACCTGCGGAGATGGGTCCTAGAACAGACTCCAGGCGTGATGGGAGCTGTGGGCACATTGCCGGGAGTTCTCTGCAGTCCTTGGGATCTGTCCACGCCAGCAACTGTCTCGGACGCCCAAAGCGAGATGCACCGGCGTATGGAATGCCGTGTGCAACGATGAGGTTGCCATCCCTGTTGACGAGGCATGGTCCGGAGGGTGTTCTGATGGTTGTCGATTTAGCCTGCTCCATCCTGGGCTCTCTTGCGCATTTGAATCCAAAGCGCCACTGTTCGTGAATCTTTGGCTATGTATTCAAAAGTGCACGCGATCGAAAAATTATAAGGGTCGAGATCAAGTGATTATATGGAGGACTGCATCCGCAATCTACCTTGGGTCATGTATCCGCAATGAGAGGAGTCGGCGTTTCAGCAGCGGCAATGTTCCAGACTACATATGCCTTATCTCATCCAGTGTCCTCTCACGCCTGATTTCCGAGCTTACTAGTAAATCTAAGTGACGGGAGCAGGTCCCTCGGAGGTGATACTCTAGTCTGTAGTTCTTTACTCGCATCAGTGAGACAAGATGACTGGGGAAAATCTACGGACGGTTCAAGCCCAATGTACAGCTATGGTCATGCTACAATCTCTGCGGGCACTGGCGTGGGACCTGGAGTCAAGTCGAATACCGCCCTCTCTTCCTTGACCCTCGCATTGAACCCTGAGACCTGGAATACCTGGCTGTCATCTCGAAGATTGTCAAGATCATGGCACTCCAGGCACGCAAATCTACTTAGAAGTACTGCTTCATGTGTCCGCTCAACGACTTCGGCCTGGAAATCTCTGAGAGCTTCCTCACGAGATTTGACTCCCCTCCGCCACTGATTGAGCTGATGCACGAGTGCAGCCGCATCATACATTCCGTGGTTAGCTGCTTCACCACGATCTGTGTATCCAATTTTAGTGGATTGGTTGAGGAAAGAAATTGTTTGGAGACGGATAGACTTACACATTGTCATGGTATGTGCTGCATCACCAAGCAGTGTCACTCTTCCCTCACTTAACGGCCACTCTTGGGTAGGCCAGTCTTCTAGCACGATCTCGAGAGCATGGGTGTCTTCAGGAATGTCAAGAATCGCCTGTCGGAGTAGTGGGAACATTCCACTCGACGCACAGGCAGCCTCTTTCGCCTTTGCTAGTTGCTCCTGTGGTGTTTTGGGCGTTTGGCCGTGCCTCTCAGTCAGCCAGCTCATGTTGAATTGACCTTCGTAGTAGGGGTCCGCGGTTCCGGCGCTGTCATTGCTCTCGGGCGTCGATAACATGGAGAAGAAGACGAAGTAGCCCGAGCCCGGATGGCAACCCTGCCACAACACTGGATGGATATCCCTGAAAGGCTGCATCTTCTCTGGTGGGAGTCGCAGAGTCAAACCCATGAAAGCGACCGGCAAGGGATTCAGTCGTGATTTCTCCTCCCCTAACAGCTGGCGTTTTATCTTACTGTTCTTACCATCAACACCGAGCAACATGGAGCCTTCGACACAGTGGCCGTCAGCGAAATGGACAATTACTCCATCCTCTTTCAGCTCGAGAGACTTGAAAGATTTTCCCCATTGCACGGGAATATCTGTGCACAGCAGCTGGCGCAACTTCTGTCGATTGAGCCGGTAGTGATGTCCTGATGGCATGGCATATTTGTCTTTGCCAGTCTCAAGATCCAGGAATCTGTAGCGGTCATGGGCTGGTTGATTTGCCGTCAGGCCACTTTTCCATCAAATGCAATGAAGATGGCTCACCTCGATCACCTGCAGCAGGATCAACCTGAATGGAGGGAATGCTATCGTACAGCTCCTTAGGCAGGCATGCCTGTAACGACGGCAAGCTCCAGTGAACTGTTATACCCCATCCTGCCGGTCTCGCATTGAGCGAGGTGTCTCTATCGTATATCTCGAAGGGGAAGCCAGCTTTCTTCAGACCCTGTGCCAGTGTGAGCCCGACAAGACCGGCACCAATCACAATGATGGGTTTTGAAGGAGTTGTCGCCATAATGTTAGGCAATATCAACTGATAAGCAACCACCCTTTACAGACCTGGGACAAGGCACTTGGGAAAAAAAACGAGACTCACATGAGCTTGTGACTATTTATTGGCTTACTCGATACGGTAGAATCAACATCTGTCCTTGTGACAAGACTGCCCAGTAATGAAAGGTCGCGATCCTTCGGCGGCATGGCAAGACGATGCCCAGACTGCGGGAAGCAACGAGTCGCCGACTTGACACCAAACTCGAGGCAAGAAGCCGACTAAACTGTACCGAGTTCAGGGTTCCCGCCCGCTTCAACAGGCCAGTGCGCCACCTCCTGACAATCACTCATCGTCGGCCCGACACAAAAGTGTTGTGTAAGAGGACTAGGTACTTCTTAGGGTGCAGATAAATACGAATGATCGGATCATGATGAATACACTGATACGGTAGATCCCCTCACCCCTTCAGCTTCATCACAAGGCGATCACTAGTAGCCAGCAAGAAGTCAAAAATGATGTTCACCAAAACCATCAACGGTGTCGAGATAGCCTACGATGAGTCTGGCTATTCATCCGGGCCGCCCATCGTGCTTCTCACCGGATGGGCGCACGATATGCGACTCTACGATGAAATGCTGCCGCTGCTTGTCCCGACACACCGCGTGATCCGGATGTGCTGGCGGGGCCATGGACCAAGTCGCAACGATATGCCAGACTTTGGCGTCGAGGAACAGGTCCAGGACGTTATCGGCCTCCTCTCGGCATTGGAGGTTGACCAATTCTACCTGGTCTCTCACTCGCACGGTGGCTGGCCAGCTCTCGAACTTGCCGATCGACTGGGCAGAAATAAAGTCTTGTGCCTCCTGATGATCGACCAGATTATGACACCACCTCCCCCGGCATTCGCAGAGGGCCTGCAGGCCATGCAGGGCAAGGAGACCTGGCTCGGAGCTCGCCGAGAGTTGTTTGAGCACTGGCTTGCCGGCAGCACGAACAAGGCCGTACACGACCATTTCTACTACAACATGGGCAGCTTCGGGTATCCGATGTGGGCGCTTTCGTGCCGGGTCATCGCCACGGCCTACAAGACACACGGGAGTCCAATGGATAGAATGAGCAAGATCGAGAACTCGCCGCCAATCCGGCATGTCTTTTCGCATCCACGCCAGAGCGCCGAGTATCGGTCGCTACATGAGAGCTTTGCGTCGAAACATGCCTTCTTCTCACATGCCGATCTGGAGGGAGAAACACACTTTCCCGATCTAGAGATTCCAGAGAAGGTGGTTGGGCAGATTGAGGATTTGATCCGGAGCGTCAGTGGTGGTGCGGTCAGGGTGAATGGCACCAGTTAGTTGAGGAGATTCCAAAATGAAAGACCATTGATCCAGAGAGCATTGTCAGCCATTGTATCACAACTTGCCGATTCTACTGTACCCTGATCGTGGTCATAGATTATGAAATCCTTCTTTTTGGTTAATTAGTTCATGAGTGTAACCGGGGTTGTAATCCGGAAGCCACAGTACACGGCCCGTGTCTCCTTTCACCACATGATTGCTATTGTGTATATCTTCTTCCTGGCGGATGTTGCACGGAGAGTCTTCGTTGGGCCCTTGGATCAAAGACTGTACCCTGAGAGTTTCTGGTAGAATAGGAAGAGACGCTGACCGAAACCCCCGAATTTGTGGGCCCATCTCCATATTTTGCCTTATCAGCGGGAAATTGGGGTGCATGGCCCCTCCTTCTCCATCCCCATACCGTATCAAGGCTAGTGAACAGATAAGGGACAGTGAAAAGAGCCCTTATCAGCACCTATTGTACCTACAATAGGTATAGATTCAATAATAGCTCCAGGTATCCGTACTCCGTAACTTTTCTCCCTGATTATTGTATGTATGAGATTTAGGGTCCCTTGGCCTAGATTCGACCTTCATGACAATCCTCAAGTCGCCGATATGCTGTCTTACTAGCCCCAGCCTATGGCGGACAAACAATTTGGTCCACCAACTTACAGGTCCGCTCTGCCTGTTCTCATACCAACATGTGTAGTTACTGTGTTGTGTGTGCGTGTGTGTATTATTATGTACCTATATCAACACCTCTCGGCCCACGTGGTGTGACTGTCCTCTCCTTGTCAACACAGGGATGCCCTTGGAATACCTGATCCCCGGCTCAAACATCATGTCCATGTCCGGCTCGGTCACCACTCGCCACGCGACCAGCACCACCGAACACACTCCACAACACGACAAGATGGCCAACTGTGACGTTGAGTCCGCCATGGCACCAGAGTCCAAGCTCGAGTTGCGCCCGAGCATCGAAGTCCCTGAAGAAGGCACCATCATCGACAACTATGTCGCGCCTCAATCACTCAAGAGCTTCTTCAAGAGTTTGGCAACTGCTGGAGTCGAGCTGCGTGGGCTCGAGCCGGTCCCGCTCCAGGCGAGGACGCACACCAAGTACTACAACATCTTCACACTGTTTGGTGGCAGTTTCATTTCATTGTTGCCGTAAGTTTGAGCAGCTAGCGGTCTTTGTGGGAATGCTAGAAAGTACATACCTCTTTGCTGACACCGCTTTGTCGTGCAGAATCTCGATCGGGACAACACCAACCTTGGTCTTTGGTCTGTCGTTCAGTCATGCAGCAGCCATGATTGTGGCTATGCAATTCATATTCATCATGCCTACGCTTTACATCCTTACCCTCGGTCCGCTACTTGGTATGAGACAGTCTGTCCAGTTTCGTTATGTCTTTGGGTACGTTAAACCAAACCCAAGCCAGAGAGAGAGAGAGAGAGAGAGAGAGAGACATCTCCTGCACGACTTGAGTTTGCTGACTCGTGTATTTCATGAACAGGAAATATCCAAATGTGTTCTTCTGTCTGATTGTCGTCGTTGAAATCGGCATCTTCGGCATCCTGGCTGCGGTTGGAGGCGCTGAATGTTTGACCGCAGTCAGACAAGGCACCCTTCCGATCGAAGGAGCCATCAGCATCATCATGGCTACTGCAATCCTTATCAGCTTCTTCGGGTACAGATGTCTCCACATGGTTTGCCAGTACATTTGGATTCCAAACACTATTTGCATCTTGGTCCTGGTCGGCTGTGCTGGTAAGGGCCTACACCACCAGGCAGTTCCAGTGTCGACTGGTAGCGCAGATCCATACCTATCGACCCTGGCAATCTGTGCGGCCAATATGGCTACCTGGGGCACCATCGTCGGCGACTATTCATGCTATATGCCTCCCACGGCTCCAAGAAAGCGATTGGCGCTGTACTGTTTCCTAGGCCTCTACGTCCCTTTCACCTTGATGATGTTGTTTGGTGCTGCCATTGGTGGTGCAATCCCTGCCAATGACACCTGGCTGGCGGCATATGGCACAGGCAGTTTCGGTGGAGTTTGTGCTGAAATACTAATCTCGCGAGTGGGAAACTTTGGCCGCTTTCTCCTGGTTCTGCTGGGGTTCTCCATCGTCACCACCTCAGCACGAGACATGTACAGTATTTCCATCTTCGTCGTTGGTATCGTTCCGTGGTTGCACAGAGTTCCACGCGTCCTTCTATTGTTCTTGGTTGCTGGGGCCATGATTGGAATTGGTATTGCAGCTTCCCGCTCCTTCTTGCCCAGTCTCAGCGCACTGGTCAGCATTGCGGGCTATATCACTGGTCCAACAATCAGTGTCTTTCTGGTCGAGTGGTTTTTGTTCCGGAAAAGCAATCCCGCCAGTATGGATCCGGCAATCTGGAACAACCGCAAAGCCTTGCCATCTGGAATCTCGGCACTAGTTGCGTGTACTGTGCCATGGGCGTTGATTGTTCTCTCCATGTCAACAACATGGTACGTGGGACCCATAGCCAAGCAAGCTGGGGATTTGGCATATTTGCTCGGCGCGGCATCGTCGATCCTGATATATATTCCCTTGCGAGCAATGGAGGTCAAATACCGAGGCCGGTTGTGATCCATCATGGCGGCAACGAGGACCGAATGAGATGTCTAATTTTGAGATAGTTGAAATGAATGTTGCCTTGAAATCGTCAATACATCTCATACGAGCCATTGATCGAACTCTGTGACATCCTCAAGCAAGCTATTCCAAGGGAGCATGAAAGGGATCGGCGAGAAAGTCCCGTCCATTCCAGTGTCGAATCGCAAGTGATCGCGTTGGTCAGAATGCGTGTCCTGTAAATTTGCGCTTGGATCTGTGCTCCTACTAGGGTTGACAATATGCTGAAGATCCGGAGGCAATGAAGCAAGCCCTAGTACGTCATCTTCCGTCCCTGAATGATTGGCAAGATCCGATGACCGATAGACCTTATCATGTAGACCATGTTCTGAAGACGATAGTGCTGGCGGCTCAGTGTTCTTTAGAAGCACATCGAGGAGGTAGCGTGTCCATACAACAAATGGCCACCTATCCTGCAACTGATCCAAGACGAGCATTGCCAGTCGAGCTCGGCTCTCTGCTACCAGGCGGATGTTACCAGATTCCTTCCGCAGAAAGATGATATGGACGAGTATCGAACAAAAGATTGCCGGAAACGCGACATACGGGAGTCGAGCCACTAAGACCGAAGGGCTCGACAATAGATCTTCCAGTAAACGGCAGATGGAACCTGCAGACTTGAAATATGATTGCATTCCTGTAGAAGCTGGGACGTTCATGTCGGACAGCAACATTCGCTCGACTACAATTGAGTAGTCAAGACAGATCAGGTTAAGTAAAGCAGGATAGAAGCCTCGCTCGGCGGTCAGGGAACCGACGGTGTCAGTTTTGCTAGTGGATAGTGTTTTAGAAAAGTCCTTGAGTGCCACCCAAGCCTCACTTTTCATCTCCGGGCTTGAAGCTGCAGAGTATTTTCCGATCAGACATTTGTCGACCAGAATTGCAAGTTGACAATACTGAATTAGGAAGACGTCGGACTCCTCATTTTTTGTGTTGGTAGACTCCGATGCCTCCATGTCACCAGGAAGAAGAGCCTGAACATCGGTGTACTGTGAATGAATATGTGGTGGGCGACCAAAGACAGCGGCATGGTGAATGTCATTGATAAACAGCACCCACCAAATTCTACGCCAGAGCTTCTGTCGCTTATCGCTAAGAATCTGGTAAGATTTCCTAACCGCCTGAATGAGCGGATGCAGGTTACAAGAGTCAGTGGTACTTACGCTCTGTGCATTCCAAGTGCCTGCGCCAGGTTGGAGCCCACCCCCAACCAGTACCAGGTGTCCTTCTGCTCCATTGGACCTTGCCACCAGTTCATCAATAAGATGCATGCTTGAATGTTAGCTATACCATCAGTCTCGTAATTGCTGTCGTGGAGGGCCTTGGCACGATGATAGAATGTCGAGCAAGTAAGATAGCGAGAGTCGTATCCGAGTCTTCTAGTCAGTTCTTCAGGACAGTGGATAGCTGAGACACAGAACAACGCATTTAGTACTAGCGGTGATATTTGACCCCGTTCGTACGCGGCGGAGAACTCTACTCTGTCGAAAATTGGAAAGAAGGGGTATACATGTTCGAAGAAGACCTTGATAAGTCCGTCAATGAGCGAGGATTCAGGGAAATTCAAGGCGCCAATGCGTCGCAAGTGCTCTTCATCCGTTGTCCGAAGAGCTGCAAGCTTGAGCTGAGTTGACGTGGAAAGTCGATCCATAAGACTTTGTTGCAAATGATCGCCCCAGAGTTTACTACGTCCAAGGTTTTTGAAGGGATCGCCAACCTCGTGAATGAGATACTTCATGTTGCCAGAGTCTCCCATGTAGACGACGCGTTCGCCACTCCCTGAACTGCGGTCGAACACCAGGTCTGGGAGGGATGGACTAGCATAGCGATTCGCTTCTGATCCTTGGCCCGGTGATCGTGTGTGGCTTGATGCATCCGGTGAAAATGACAAGGCCGGATCCCGAGACTCAGACCCATCAGTTGCGCCCTGTTTCGGCTGCGTTCTAGTTGTTCTCCTTTGATACCTAGATTGTGCGGGATCAGCACCTAGCTCGTGGGTCAGAGGAAAGGCGGTAGAAGGAATCGTACTTTCCGCGCTTCGACTCGATCAATTCGCATTCAAGGTTGAGAAGCCGACAATTGGTACATGTTTTCTCTGACAATGGTCGATGGCATCTCACACGCCTCGCATTGCAGGTCTTGCACGCGACTTTGGTGCGAGAACCCTGCTGACCTGCACCGGCATTTCGATGTGCAGACATGACTGTGTTTTACTACATGAACCTAGGCAGACAGTTGCTACACTCCAGGCAGGTGGTTTGAGACATGATACAGGAAGAATGCCCAAGAAGATAGCCCAGGAGGACTGGGAGGAGGGAAGAGGGAACATAATGCCAAGGAAAGCTTATCGAGTCTCAGCCTCGTGAGCCTCGCTTACATATATAACTAGATAGACACCCTAGTCACCTTGGCATCTGGGGCCTGCGACCTGCGCTCGCCAACTCCGCTACAGGCGCAAGTCACAGTGAATTGCGCAGGTACGACTGGCTTTCCACCCTGCCACGTATATTTCACAGATGAGAGATGAGTGCCATTGAAGAGTAAGTCAACACACTCTCCATCTTCCAATACTCACAGCAGCAACATTCTGTCCACATCTAACTCATTAAAATCTGCCGAATTGCTGGACTTACACTATGACTAAATTCAGGAATCGAGGAGGCGGCCGCAGAGGAGGACTAGACCCCCGGGGCGCCAATCAGCAGCGCCAATCTGGCGGCTCTCGAGATGGCACTCCTGGCGCTTCACAAGGCAGAAGAGGCGGAAGAGGGGGATCGTCTGTGAACAGAAGCGCCGGCAGCATGCAGAATGGCTCCGTGTCCCACACCGCCAGCACCCCAACCGACGATCACAACCCGATGAATGGTTACAACTCTGGTGCCGTCGAGGCGACGTTAAGGCAGGGCTACGACGCGAAGGCGCTCTTATACAAACCGGATGCCAAGGCACCAGCTACCAAACCAGAAAGCCCGTGGGGTGCAAAACGTAAGTGCAATTGTTGTTGCTTCCTTCATATGTCGATGAGAACTGACGTATATCGTCACGAAGCGGGAGCCATGGCAGGTGGTAAGGACTTCTGGCTCGAGCTCCGAAAGCAAATCGCGGTTTTGCAACAGTCCGGCGGTACCAGTCGAGGTGGTTGAAAATAACAACAACATTCAAAGGGGGTGGGCGAGAGCTCCATTCTCTCTTCAGCGGCATTTTATGTAAGGCGTTCACCTTGGTTTCCACGAGATACCCACTGGGTTGGCGCGCATTTCAGCATGCAGGAGGTCAAAATTGTACACCTGAGTACGAGGTGCATCACGACAGTGGTTCGGGAAATATGTTGCGTTTTCATAATTGCTGATTCCAGGATATGCCAAGTCATCAGCATATCACTCACCACGGCATTGGCGAGGTCTATGCGATTGGGTACCTATGTGCGGCAGACTATCATAGCATTGGCGGGGCTCGAATTGGCGACAGTCGCGTGTTCGATATGAGAAATGCTAGTACCTGGATCATTCGTGGTTCTTTCTTTGCTGCTCCTTTTTCATATGATATAATGGCACGAGGGACGGGAAACAAAAGGTCTACCACACAGAAGAGGTCCTGTAATAGTGGATTGCAGTCGAATTCAACGATCGTTGAGGAATGGAACGACATAAAACCAATTGGGTGGCATGCAAATCGTAACATTGAGCATAGCTGCCTCATCTATTGATTTTTCGAGTCATTGACCTTGCAACTCTCCAGCTACGGCTAATCGCCCACGATGGGGTCTGCGCAGTCTGGACGTATGAGAACTACTCTTCTTCTTCTGAACCTCCCCAGTCCTCATGCTCCTTTTAAAACCGCAAAGCCTGTCGACGCATGCTCACGCAGACACATCTTTTACTTATCCCATCACTTTGAACGACGCGTTTATGCCACAAGGGTGCTTGCGGTGGCGCTCTCGTACTTCCAGTTGGGTTGCAAGACACCGACGGTCTTGTAGTATCTGCTCAGGCGGTGGATTCTGGATTCGATGAGAATGAGACGGAACTTGGAGTCCTTGTCCTTGCGGTTGCGCTCGAGGTGCTTGCGGACAGCGACGGCCTGATGAACAGAAGTCAGTCACCATGTACAGAGCCTCCGGGTCAACATGTGGAAATTTCGCATACCTTCTTGATCAACATGTAGAGATCTTCTGGAACTTCGGGGGCAAGACCTATTTGTCACTCTGTCAGTCTCAGGAGACCAAAATTCAGAGGCTCTGGTGTGTGCCAATTTCACCTGGCAGAGAAAAAAAAGCATGTCGGGAATTTTGATTTTGTTTCCGAGCCAAAAATTTGACCATGAAATTGTTCTTCCTCTTCTTCTTTTTCGGATTTTTCTCTTTCAAGGAGGCACGAGTTGAGGTTTGCGCATACCGTTAGACTTGAGGATTCTTAGGATCTTGTTACCTGTGTCGCGAAACCGTTAGCCCCAGCTGTTCCCATAAAACCCCAAGCACCTGAGGGGCGATGATGATTCCTTACCGGTGACGACCTTGACTTGGGCAACACCATGGCTGTCTCGGAGGACGACGCCAATCTGCGAAGGAGTGGCACCCTTTCTGGCGAGTTTGCAGATGTTCTCGACCACGGTCTCGGGGGTGCTCTTGAACCAGGTGGGCACCGATCGTGAGTATGGGATGGCCGAGGCGCTGATACCCTTTCCTTTGCTGTGAAGACGACCCATGGTTGCTGTTGTCGATTGTCGAGAATCTGTTCGTCGTTGCGATCAATTCTCCGCAGGTGCTTTGAAAAGAAGTTCGAAAAGGTGTGACTTGTGCCGAATGCCAAGAACGGTGGTCTTGGCAGTCCAACCCCGAAACACGGGAACTTTTTCAGACTTGCACCCTAAGACTTCTTCAAGATTATCTTGTTGTGAAGGACTTCTTCACATGAGCACGAAAATGAATTGTGCCATGATAGATCTTCAGTCTTACATGCGACATTAACATGCCTAGCAAGCTTCACTTTACAATTCTCGGCAGCTGTCTCCCGCGCAACACTTCTTCAGACCTGATACCGGTATGTATGCTTTGCCTTGTCACGATTCTCTCCCTTTCCTTCTGTATTTTTTTTCATGATGACAAACAACACAAAATATTCAATATTTCTGGTACCTCTTATGTCAGAAGATACTGGTTGCATAACTGGTCTTCTTCGATGATCTAAATGGACTTCTGATTTGTTTATACCTACCTGAAGCCGTTGCACAGTTACGAGCGTCTGCACCGAGTTTCTATGCTAACTTTTGCACGACACAGGCTGGTTTGATCAACGATATTATCATTTTGATTTTGGTTTGTAGCCTCGCGACATAGAAAACATGTTTCTGAGAAAGCAGCCTCCCTCTCGCATACCTCGTGCAAGCCACAAGATCTTCTTTTTTTGTGTTTTCCGGGCATCTTCTTAGCTTCATGCCAGTAGCAGCTTCAGTTCTGAACCGTACAGTATTGCGAATCCGTCCAGCCACCCAGGGGTATCGATGTTGGATTTCTTCCCTACCAATCATTTTGCAAATCACCAAACGCCGTCGCTATATGTCCGTACAAAGTATGCGTTACATGTTCTCATGATGTGCCTCCCATCTCTGTATCATCATCTTTTGGAGTCTCCTGTGCCGTAGTATCTGCCTGCTCTGATGTTCCATTCACAACCGGAGCCTCAGCTGCGGAGCTCGTGGGTTCAGCAGTCGATCCAGGAACGGTTGAAGCCTCCTCGCCGCCCGTGGGCACGTCGTCGTTCATTGCGACCTCTGGTTGCGCATGAGGAGGCACCTCCGCCTGGGCCGCCTGTGGCTCAGGTGCTGGTGGTGCTTCTGACGACGGCGGTTGCTGCTGCTCCTGCTGGACAGATTGCTCCTGTGGCTTGGGATCTTCGAATCTGTACTGGAAGCGCTCGCGAATGTTCGTTCGGTCAGGGTTCCCCTCATAGAGGATCGATTGATGGATCAGGCATTCTCCGAGCCATTGCAGCGGGAACTCTGCTCTAATCGTTGAAGTCAGGTCAGAAAAATCTTTTGAACGCCACGGGCCAATGGCTCTGTGAGCAGCTACATACTCGACACCCAGACTTTCGGTAATGGCTTTCTTCAGGAATGGTGCGACTCGCGCGTTGAGATAGTCTCTGAGTGGGACCTGTTGTCTGCTATTTTGTGAATTCACGACGACGGACGGCGCGTTAGGCGCAGATTGGGACATTTCGAAATCAGATCTCTGATCGTTATTTCCACCGCCACCAAGTCGAAAAGGAATACAAAATGTGGCAGCACTTGTGGCATCTCAGTAACAGTTGTTTACTATCTACATTCCTCGGGAAAGTTTGCCGGACCTTGCACGTGATCGTGATCGTTCAGCAGCGCGAGCGTCTGCGGCCTCTATTACAATCATAGACAGAGCAAGTATATCTGCAGGGACATAATGTATTGACACCTACTGGTCCGTACAACAGCTTGCGCATCGGCACCAAACTTGTCCTGAACAGAACAGAGGCACGGGAGAAAATCACATCCGAGACATACAAAATACTGCAACGCCGTCGAAATATCGTACACAATAAAATGCAGTACATCGGCTATGCTGCATATTTCTGTTATCTCGTGCGTCTGTAAAATCGTTTAGGCCAAGTGACAGGTCTTGTCGCATCTCTCTGTTTCACCCCCTCGAGCCGAGGAAAGGAAGGCCATCATGAAGCAGTCCTCCATATGGTTCCGAGGTTCTGAAGCCTGTATCCAACTACTTCTGCTGTGTAGGTTGACCCGATGTCGGAAGGAGTGGTGTCAGTTTCTGTGTTTCTTATTTTGAGATAGACATGTCTGATGTTTCAGAATTTTGCCTGAAACACTTCCACCTCCCAACATTCCCACACCTACCTTTTCTGCCCATACCAGACAGCAATGGCAAGACTAGATGATATTGCGTTTCTCTCTTTCTCGTGTATGTCAAGCAGGTGCCAAGTCTTGAAGGCTTCTGTTTCATGTTTGTATCACGGTGTTCCTAGAGCATCCTCTATTACAAGGACTCTAGCCGTGGAAAAGTCGGATAGCTCTATTAGATAAAAGGCCGTGAAGCTGCTCTATAAGAACTTCTGTAAAAAGCCCATCAGCTGCCGCCACGTGTTCGGGTTGTAGTGGTGACAGGGAGCAGACACTCCGTTCACGAAGCGGAACTCGGAAATGGTAACTGGTGCAGCTGAACAAGCGACTGCAAGTCATCGGGCACCTGACCGCAACAAGGTGCGGTGTCCAGTCAGTGAGTATGTTAGCGCATCTGTCGACTTGTATGAATGTTGACTAGAGTGAGGCGAATATGTTTTTAGCTCCCGCCTTCGAAAGATGTGAAGCTCTTGTAGGGCGCAATGTGGTCCTGCATCACTGCCCGATACCGTCATCGGAGATGCGCTGGCTTGCATTGGCGTAGCCGAAAGCTAACGGCAAGGAGCGGTCAGAGCGCGAGGGAGTCTATATAAGCCGACAGTGTCTTGCTGGCCGGGAGACACGATGGTAGAGGAGGAAGAGGCGGAAGTCGAAAAACCAAAGTTTCGACACCTACACTTGTGTTATTGTCCCGGAGACTGCGTCATCATAAAGAACGAGGAAGTAGATGCTAAGAACCTTCACACCTTGATCCCGCCACCAACTGCCATGTCCGAGTCAAGGCGTGTTGTTGCGTCTTCGGTTATAGACAAGGCTGAGGTGCAATAGGGAATCTTGCGTCCGGGGCGAAGATGTTGGCCAGCAAGCATCGATGGCGGTGGTGATTGAGATGGTGATGGATGCATGGGTGGGTTGAGGATGGAGAGAGATCACAGCTGGGGCACCGAAGCTTGGGCGTGTTATGGGCTTTGATTCGGTGGCGGAGGAACGCCCAAACACGCCTTTCCAGCCTCCCATTCGACCCAGGGCTCCCCCGACGGGTTGCGCCGCTATTGGGAGATGTGCAGCCCTCGAACCCACTCTCCTCTATCAAAAAAAAAACGACCCTGCGACGATTCGCGAGCCGCTCGTACTCGACGCAACTTTTGGCCAGGCGAAATATGCGACCGAACAATCTCTCGCAATCTGCCGCGTGCTGCAGGGGAACGGAGCTTGAAGCTTGCCTGCTCGAAACTTGTCGAGACGCGTATCATCAAGTCGCTCCATTTAATTTCTGCACAGCATGAACCAACAGCACCAAGACCTCACCGGCTAAGCCTGAAAGACACTGGGACGCTGCAGGAGACAGGATCTTGACCATTGACATCCTCGTGCAGCTCCATTCCAACCACTACCATTTCAACGCCCGCATCCACCAAGCCGCTCTAGCTTTGTATTCTGCAGCTGCGAACGCCGAACAGCTCATGACTGAAATCTCCCATGACCCAGAATCGCCCTGCAAGCAGCTGCCTCCGGACGGAACCTTGCCTCAGACAACCCTCAGATCCCAAACCCTCCTCCATGGCCGCGACCCGACCACTCACAGCGCGCCGTTGCATGTCTTGCAGCTGCGACCTACATTGGCCTATCCGCACCTCCTGATCATCTGCCAGTGTCCTGTGCCCAGTGGCTCTTCGTCAATGGCTGATCGTTTCCTCTGCGCCTCGAACGAGCAAGGCCAGGAATTTTTGTTCTCACTCCGTGCGCTGAGAGCGACCAATCTATCGCTCAGAGAGAACCCCCAGAAGACAACCACCGGCCGACCCTCTGTCTTTCCTTTCGCTCACAACGTCGAGTCTACCATATAATTCACGGCTCCCTTGTTCCTTGAATGAACGAACCCGTTGGTGCCATATACTGGCCACTATTCGCTTGAACTCAGTCACATGCAGCCCGTTCACTTAGACAGCCGGTTTGCGCTGCCCTCCCACCTCTCCCCATGTCAAATTTGTTTAATGCGCCCTGGTCAAATGCCGAAAAAGTGGCTTTGTTGACGTACATTCTCGAGGGCGCTGGGGTGGATGTTCCTGCAGTTCTGCTACACAGCATAAACAGCCATGCTCTTATGCCTATGTGGAACGACATTACATTGCCGCCAGGTACGTAGTACGACGGAAGGCACCCTACGCGCATCTGGAAAAGGCTGATGCCTCTCTGCGTTGCCGCCTATGTCGCGTAAAGATGTCGCCGACTCTCTCCTACGTCTGGTGATCACGAGAGCTAACTTATCAGTAGGCCGCTCCCTGAACGCTTGTCGCAAAGCGTATGAAGACATGATGGCTGGCACCGGCGCCCGCTCCTTCTCTTCGATGGCTGTTGCACCCTTTGCGCCTCAGCAATTTGATCCTCACGCAATTCAAGGAAGAACAGCGTCCGGGCAAGAACCTCAGCCGCCGACACATCGTAGCATAAAACCCCGACCTCCGCGTTCCACAGAATCACCGATGGCGTCTACCACAGCGACCGAGGGATTCACCATTCTCGGTCCGTACGCGCCTGACACCGGGATAGAACGACGTAAGAAGCGCGGCCGTCCGACGAAGGAGGAGGTTGAAGAACGCGAAAGGAGACTTGCTTTGGTCGGGCAGACGTACGAACCCAAAAAGCGACCGGCAAAGAAGCCTAGGCCCTCTGAAACTCCTGTGGCGCTGTCAGAATCACTCGCGGGAACATCGCCGACTTTACAAACGCCGGTGGTGCAACGTACTGAGCCAAGGGAAGAGACGTCCAGTGGCAAACGAAAGTCGCGGCGACGAGGAGAAGGTTACGAACCTTTTTCTTCGCAGGCTGCGGCACCTCCCAGAGCATCACCAGGGGAGTCAGTCGGCGAGAGGAGTACAGATGCCGCTCAAAGTCCGTCTGACAGACTTTTGCACAGGTCAAGTGAACGAGCTCAAGCCGTGACTGCATTGTCACGCGACATACAACAAGATCAGAGTCCAAATCTTGAAGGACCGGTAGAACGATCCCCTGAAGGTCGACCATCTGGGCCTCCCTCAGTCTGACGATGGACGCCACTGACCTTTCGTTCTATGCGTCAACTCTACTTTCCCGAAATATCCCTCATTGCTATCGACTCGCGACATTGACTCCTTCCTTCTACGAGCTACGACCATAGAACACCCAAACCGGTATACACGATGATACCCATGGTTACGACGAACAGACAGACCAAACGGGTGGTCAAAATTTGTCACATCTTGCTTTTTACCTTTACAATTCTATCAACAAGGGAGCTTCATTTTCGAGTTACCTACGAACATACTTTAATCGCATTTAATGGCTCTCTTGCGGCAGATGATACGAGCACAAACAAAACCTTTGCCTTTCATTGTTATTATTCCCTGTATTTATAATTTCTTGAGTCGAAACGAGTCATGACTGCAGGCCAGGACATCTCTTTCGGCTCCATCTTATTTCATAATTGTTGAAGGACAAGGACTTTGATGACTCTGTCTTTTCAGGGCAGTTTGGAAGCGGCGGGAAATGAAGCATACGGCTTGTTAATATTTTTCTTGTATATTTCTTCCGGGGCGGCTCTTCCTTTGGTCAACAAAAAGCGGGAGAAATGAGAATACAACATATCATGTTACAGGTGAAGGCGTTTCTATTCCCGACATATTAGAAGCAAGATTGGGTTGGGCAGGGTTTGGACGGGGGGGTGTTTTCTCTTCGACTGGCCATGATTAAGTTCCTTTGGTCTATCATTTTTTTTCTTCTGTTTCATATACATATTCTATGGCATATTAGATAGGATGTGGGTCTAGGCTCACGATGTGTCGAGGACAAACATGCTTTTGTGATTGCTATAAAATAACATTCTTCCAAGTACGGAGTATTCAGCAAGAGACATCTCCGTAGTGTGTAAGAACTGCCGAGTGTTCCCCGTTGTTTGTCACACACAGCCTTGACGGAGAAGGTAAAGCACACGAGATGATTATTGCGCCATCAATCGCCAAGTTCTTTTTCAGAAACCTCGTGTCACTTTTAGTGATGACTCTAGTAAAAACATGGTTTGTTATCACTATCACAATCCCGGCAGTTCAACAACCACAACACTGTTACAATGGCGACTCGTACCAGGGTGACGAGGACGGGAGGAGAATGGGAAATACCGTACTCCGTACGCTCACTCATGTACTTGTACTGTACGAGTAGGGAGTACGTGGTAGTCCGCTATACCTGGGCAAGGACCTGGCGAGGGTAGAAGAAGTGGGAAACGTGGAGACTGGAGACGTTGGGACGCTTTTCCTAACCTTTTGGTTCGACTCCCTATGTACTCCGTGGACGCTACAAGACTTTACCGAGAAGGGGATGAAAAGAGAGTTTGTTTCCGGTCTCGGTAAGCGAAATCATCCACGTCCAAAGTCATATGTAGACGAAGTAACTCACAGTTTGTTTTACCATACGGAGGACGGAGGACCGTATCCATGTACGGAGGAGACCAACAAGTCTGATCACGTTCAATTGAGTCTCCATCAAGTTGGAATACCCATACAGACGACAGACGACAGAGCACAAACTACAAACTACAGGTTGTTGTACTCTGTACTCCGCATTAATTCCAGGTATTTGGATGACCGAGTCAAGTCTCTGCCAGAACGAGAGCAACCACACAATAGACTACGCGGGGCCGGCTTTGCTTCTTCCGTACACACAGCAAGTTCCAGGACTGGTACTCCGTACACTTATTCCGTTCCAACAAGAAAGAACTAGTAGAAGGCCTCGCAAGATCTTTCGGGCGGACCACGGGACTTTTGCACCGATACCTACAGGACCTCTATTACTCGAGAAGGAAAAACCCGTGTGCCATTTGTATATATGGCTTGATCCTTGGCGGGCGAGCAAAGGGTCGCTTCAACCTGAGCTTTTGCCTGAGCATCACTGAGCGCTCCGGGGACGCTCCCTGAGCACCGCACCGAGTGCCTAATCAGGCCCCCTAGTAGTCGGCCAAACCTGCCTCTCGACTAGGTATCTGTTTCAGACAGGCGCCAGGGGACATGGCAGATCGCCTCTAAGACCAGATGGCTCCCTACGCTACGCAGCATGTACACACTCCCCCACTCTGCCCTTCCTCAACCTTTGACTCATGGAGGACAGGATAGATTCTCAAAGGGCTCCGAGGAAGCGCCTGTGCGCTTGGTTCAGCAACAATTATCCTAGTTAGAGCCAGCCTGCAGACGAATCATGTGTCGCAGAGTTCGAGGCCGGCACATACCTACATCAAGAGGCATAAGGCACCTGCATACCATCAGTCTTGTGCTGCTAAAATGAAAGTGCAGAGATGGACAGTTCCCAAGTCACTGTTAATATGGTCGGGTGGCTTCGTGTTGGTCGGTTTTGCGCAGGAAGCTTGGAAATGTACAGCTGATACGAGTTGACCCGATGTAGAATCAGGACGTCAATGTACACTCTCCAAGATCGACCACGGATATGATCGTGATAGAATCTCGAACGGGTCTTTGAATGGGTGGACTGAGGAGCAAAAGTCCTGAAGAGGCGGAATTCCGGTGGTATTGCCCCGGACTCTCGAGGGCTCGGGGGCTCGGGGGCTCGGGGGCTCGGGATTTTGTTCTCTCGGTCCCGCGGCTAGCTTACATAAGTAGTAAAGGCTACGGACAAGGGTATACATACCGCAGAGCAAACAATTCAGAGACGAGGAGAACCAATAAACCATGCCACCTCGAGAGAGCAATACGAGCTCTTGACAAAAGGTGACAGCTAGGACGCGCTCGGCACTAGCGATGAATGTTGAATATGATGTGTCTTTTCAAATAAGAGACTTGGACTCAGCGACAGCCTGATATCCACACCTTTGACCAAGAACAGGCGAGTATATTGCTGGCATATGGGGAATATGGTTGTGGCTGTAGAGCCTTCTCACGGCGTTTAAAGTGGCGTTCCATGCATGCCATGACCAGAACCCAGGCAAAATTAAGTATTTTGGAATCCGATGCTCGTCAGTTTTCATCGTGGATCAAAGTCGAACAGAATACGGAGTAATTCTAACAGTATAGGATACAAGTTTGTCGACCAAGTTAGGAGGGAGCTGTTGTGATCAAGTCTGTTCACATAGACGAGTATACACACAACGGTCAGGAAAGGATGACAAGAATAACCAAGATAGTCCTGATGTGCTCTGCTCAAGTAGAATAGTTCATGCTCAATGCTTTTCCCTCCCTCCTTATTTGCGCCCACAAGACGACACGACTATTCTACTTGGAATATGTAAGATGTGCCCCAGACCAAAAATTGTAGTTGCTCTTTCTCCCGCTCGGCAGTTCAAACTATGTCAGTGTCGCCCAAAACAAGGCAAAAAGAGAAGCTTATTGTAATGTATCATCGCTTCCATCAAAAAAGGGGGTCGTATCTTTTCACCTCATTACTTCAGTCATCATACAAGCCCTCATCGTCACCTTCCACATCATCGAGAAATCCATCCGGCACCCCCGTAGGTGTCAAGTTTTCGTTCCGTACACTCTTCCCTTTGCCTTTGATGTCGCCCCCCGTAATGCCATTGACAGCTGATCCGTTCAAATGAGACATGCTCACTCCATAATCATCATCTGCGTCCGAAGAATTGCCAGAGTCAGGATTCCCAATTCTCGCGGCTTGCTTGTATGTGTTTGTGTTTGCGGGATAAGAGCTAACATTCGACGACGCGTTTGTTCTTTGCTTGCCTTTGCCTTTATTTGGTACCGTCTGTTGCGTAGCCTGTCCAAAACTTGACCGATCCTCTCCAACTGGGATCGGGGGAGGCGGGCGCTGTGGAGGTCGCATGGATAATCTCGCTTCTTCTGCCTTTCTGACCCCTGCAGGAACGCCGTTGGTGTCGTTCCCGTCTTTAGGAACGACGGTGATGTCTTGCTCCTCGAACAAACCACGAATCCGTTCGAAATGTTCCAGTTCTTTCTTGCTCACACTACCAACGAGCTCGTTCTGTGCAGCAACGAAGTCCTCTTCGGCCACAACAACCTGCACGTCCTCATCCGTGGCCAGATGGTCGAAGAAGTATCCTGTACTGATAGCCTCGCCACGTATTTTGCTGATCTGCTGAACTTTTTCATCGACGGCGTGTGTCTTCCGTGTGATGGCTTTAAGCATAGCGTCACTGCACAATGCATACAGATCGGCACCTGTATACGTAAAAGGTAGTCGGCTGGCAACACGCAAGAGGTCAACATCTGGCGCAAGTGTAAATTTCCGTGTGAGAGCTTTGAGGATGGTTAGTTGTTGATCATGGGAGTCTGCCACTCCGAGGTACAACATCTTGTCAAATCGGCCAGGTCGGAGTAAAGCTGGGTCAAGAATATCAGGTCTGTTGGTAGCACCGATGACAAACACCCCTCCTGCGTTTGACGTTGAGTTGCCATCTTCATCCTCACCACCACCACCGCTCGACATCCCATCCAGTTCGGCGAGAAGTTGTGACACAATCCGGTCCATCACTCCACCACTATCGCCTTGGTTTCCACGTTTGGGAGCCACTGAGTCAAGCTCGTCAAAGAAGACGACACAGGGGCGTGCATCCCTGGCGCGCTGAAAGACTCGGCGAACATTTGCTTCAGATTCACCAATGTACATGTTCAGCAGCTCAGGCCCTTTGACGCTGAAGAAGTTGAGACTGAATTCTGTGGCGATCGCCTTGGCAAGTAAAGTCTTTCCGGTTCCAGGAGGACCGTAGAATAATATTCCAGATCGTTTCCGGATGCCATTTGCAAACAGTTCTGGATGTGTGAGAGGAAGCGAGATTGTTTCCATGATAGCATCCTTCTGCGAAGATAGACCACCAACATCGGCCCACGTGACTGTCGGGATTTTAGGTGCACCAATCGCGTCGGAGAAGGTAGCTCGAGCAGCAGCAATCGCACGGTTAAAGTCAGAAGAGAGGAGATATGCAGCGGCATCACCTCCAGCGAGGTAGATATCTGAGAGACCACAAGATTGAGAATCTGCAAGCGAAAGGAGTCGGGATTGCCGCGCAAGTGAAGCACGATTGACAACATCAAGAAGGTCGCCGGCCACTAGTGCAGCGGTTTGAAGCGCTACAGTTTTGAGGTTAACAGTGCTTGACAGAGGCGTAGAGTCAGCGACACATGTATTTCGTAGAATAACTTCTCTTGCAGCCTCGTCCGGTGCTGCCACTTCAAACTCGTGGGTGAATAGACTTCGGATACCTTGAGGTATGTCGTCAATTTTGGATGTTGTCGCAATCAAGACACGGGACCAGGAAATGATCTCTTGGAGTGTGGGCACCATTCGATCTGCCGTCAAAGCATCGATATGCTGGATTAAGAGCGCAGTTTGTTGATAGCCTCCAGAAAGAGCACGTTCGGCACGCGTCCTCAGTAAGGCTTCGGTCTTGACATCACCACCACCAGTCGTTGAAGCATTCTCTGAAAGCAGATCGTGTGCAGATATAGGAAAAGTATGCATCCCACAAGCTGAACAAGCTGAATTGGCAATGTAAGATTTGCCTGACTGGCGTTGTGTCGAATGAAGGAGTATCACTAGAGGGGGAAGGCCTAGGCTCACCGCACGATTGCTCACAGCAGCCGACATTAACCCTGATAGTTTCTTCTCCAAGGGTAGCCTCTCCGATGGAGGAATGTCGGCCGCTGTGGAAATGTGGTCGACCTTGTGCGTGACTCCACGCCTAAGCCTCTGTATGCCAAACCAGTACCGGGTCCAAGTATCAGTTGAATATGACACGGATCGAACACTATTGCCGCTCTGTGAGACATGAGCAAGAGAGGTATCAAGAGTAGCAACACCTCCCCATGCAGTTTCGTCTCGCTCGTGAGCTCCATCATTCTGTTCAATCTCAATTGACTCGACGCAAAACCAAGCCAATGCGAAGCGACGAGACCCAGTTGGACTTGGAGCGTTAAGCTTTGCGATAGTTTCATCATCTCCTTCCTTCTCGTCCGATGCTGGGGAGGATGTGACTTTTCCCAACTCTTGATCCACAGGTACCGCGATCAAGTCTCCCTTCTTTAACTTGCGCTTTTTGGATTCTAGGTAATGTTTGAGGGAGGAGAACAGCGTGGATTGTAAGGATGGATTAGTCGTTATCGGGTCGGCAATCTTCGAGAATTGCACCTCTTTGGCTAAGGGAGGCGACTTGGGAGTCCCAGATCGTGGCAGCTGTGAAGTTTTGGGTGGTGATGGTAAAGCTCCTACTTTGACGAACTGTGCATTACCCAAGTTGGCAAGCAAAATTGGCGAAAGGTAGATGGCGGGCGACAGAGGCATCATTAAATCTCTTTGAGAAAGACTTGACCTTCTGTCGCCTTTCTTGTCGACCGCATATCGTGGCTGCTGGTTTGATAGGCCTGAGATGCCGAAAACCCTCACTGTTCGCCAATCTGATTCCTCTTCGCCTGCGAGACCGCTGAGAGACTTCATGACCGAAGGTGCGAAGCCATGCAGACTCACATTTTTCGCCACTTCGATCCTCACCCAATCGCCAGAGAAACATCCAATTTTGGCCAAGATGCTCGTGTCAATAAAAACAAAGGACTCCTCGTCTTCGTCTAAACTGGGTTTTGGATGCATCAGTTCGACGGGAACTTTGCGCAGCAGAGCCTCGGTTCGGAAGACTTTTCCTGGTCGGTTGCCGGCTCTTGCGGTGGTCGAGGTGAAACTCGAGTACAGAGACCCAGGAGTATGCATCCCACTGGCCCTTTTCCCGCCGGGTCGTGGTGTGGCAGCAGTCATTGCTGACAGGGTCCCGGCCTGCTGAGGAGGCAGGCCTGGTGCACTGAGGGAAATCATGTCGTCCATCGAGTCGGAATCCTCATCGCTGTTGTCTTGTGCCGCGTCATCACTTTCAGAATGCTCGTCAGATATGTCACCAGAATCGGATCCAGTTTCTGTCTGCCTGTCCTCGGCGGCAGAGAAGAACTGATCGTTTGACGTGTCCTCCGCGGTGTCTTCCAATGACTCTTCAATAATGGGCTGCACTGGTGCTAGCTTCTTCAAGGCCTTCTCTTGAGACGAGCCGCTCTGAATCAATACTATTTTGGTCTTCTCGGATATTCGTCCTTGGGAGACAGGCTCGCAGTCCACAACGATGGCAGGCGCCGGTCGGACGTGGGTAATGGGGTGGGCGGGAAGCGGCAAGGAAAACACATCCCCAGAGTGAACGATGGGTATCTGAGAGAATGCTTCTCGCACAAGAGCCGTCATACGAGACATGTGTGCAGGGACGTTCTGCAGAACTCCATTCGCCATAGTTGACTTTCTGGAAGTCTTTCCATATTGGAAGCCACCCCCGAATTTTGCCTGAATATCGTCCACCTTTTGAAGTAGATCTTTCTCAACCGATACGTATATCGTCTCGAGTGTAAGAGGCTTCGTCGGGATGACACGCACTTCTATCGACTTGGGGACATGTCCGGGATGACGGTCGCGATCGATGGCAGTGTATGTTTTGAGAAGCGACTGGCAAGCGAAAGCTGTGGGAGCGAGTCTGATTACATCGGGTTGTCCAGCGGGCTCATGCTCAGGCTGTGAGGCATTCTCTTGTACAGGCAGGATCGTCCATATTGACTCCTGCAGCTCGGTGTGCAAAGGGGACCACGGAGTGAGGGCTACGAATGCAGGAGAGACAAGGTCTGTACACGATGGTTTCATTAGTACAACTTCTTAAGAATGGACAACTGAAAGAGCAAGTACTTGCCTTCGTCGGCACCTGCGAGCTGAGTCCAGAGCCCCTGTGGTACAAAAGCAGCATTTCCCTTGACACTGTCATCGAATGCCAGACGAGCCGACAATGGTCGTCGGGAAATCTCACGCCTACGGCGTTTCTTTGGGTGCTCGAGCTCGTGTTTGAGGCTCATGGTGCTTTAACAATCGACCACCAATATCTGCATACTCCGATGACCAAGAGCGCGGCGATTCGTCTGGAGGAGTCTTTCTTGTTTGATGAAAAAAAAAGTCGTATGGATGAGCTTCTCGGTTGCGTTGCTCATGGAACGAGGATTGACCGGCTGCAGGCAATTCAAATGCCGAGGCACAAGTTTCGTGGTGGCGCACAATCCTTGGAGCAGAAGAGGATCCCAAGGGTCAGGCTCAGGCTCAAACTTATCGGAATCCTCCGCCAGGAAATCAGAAATATGCGTTGTGTATACGGATATAATTCAGAAAGAGCCGAGTGATAAACAAGACTTGAGTTGAGAGGGCATGAAGCCTGCCTTACATAGGTCCCTTACCCCGAAGACTCGGGACGCATGGTCATCAACACCACCACCAACCACTATCCACTACTCGTACTTGTAACACCAACTATGGCTGTGACAAGCTTCTCCGCTTCTCCTTCTCGCACTTTTTGCGGAGGTGGCTTATGAGAAGCGTACGAGAGGATTCGTTTCTTCCCGCCAGTGCCTAATGCAACTCACTCATTGGGCCCTCCGCATCCTTACGGGCAGGGAAAAGGTGCGTTGCATGCACGTCGCTGGGTGCATATGCGTCGCCAGCGGCTTTACCGGTTCTAGATGATGGGATGTTATTGTTCCGAATCCTCAGAGGGAAAGTCATGCAGACCCCCAAAGCTCAATGATCACAGGGTGGTTCAGGACAGAGCAGGACCGAGACCATAAGGTACTACTTTAGGCCAGCCACAGCTCAAAAGGCAAATTCGTTTCATCATACGGAGTACCAACCATCCAAACATCATTTAATGTCCACTGAGGTTCAACTCTTTGCTAAAGATGGAGTCCACCAGCTCTCCACCCCTTGTCGACACAATTGATAGCAATGAATCTGAAAGTCCATGAGTACCTTCGTTACACCCCTGCAACCATATCCCCATCCCTTCATCCACGCTGTGGGGATCCAACTTCAACCCATAGTCCCGCCCTGGCTGCCAATGGCCGTTTCGATTCGCGTTAATGCTTTGGCAGTCTCGGAGCATGTCGATATGAGCATCGCGGCGATAGCCAGTCGCCAAAATTATCGCATCAACAGGCAAATTCTCTGTCGAGCGGTTGCTGAGTGGCTCTAAGTTGGTCAAGGTAAGTATCAAACCCCCAGTCGCCTTGTCATCCACTACCTCGGTAATGTCCCTTGAAGACAGTACCTGGTGTTGCCACATTGTCCGGTCCGGCTGCTTGATCCCTTGCAAGTAAAGGTCATCATATAATTTTTCGATCAGCTCAAGTCGAACCACACTATAGTTCGTGGCCTTGTTCTTCTTCAGGGTGGCGCTGCGGAAGTCGTCCGGCTGGTCGAAGAAAGTGTCTACCGCCTCTGGGTTGAAGACTTCGTTCACAAACGGAGAGTCGTCGCTGGGACGCAGGGCGGTATCGCGGAAAATCAATCGGGTGCTTGCATTGGGGTATCGAGCCTGTAGATCATTGAATACCTCGGCGCCACTTTGGCCGCCGCCCATGACTGCTATACGATAAGGTCGTTCCTTGTCCGGCAACACTTGCTCGATCCTCGTATTGTATTCCGACGAGTGCAGAATTTTGTCGTGGTAGGTCGGGAATTGAGGAGGTCTCGATGCCCGACCACCTGCAGCAATAACAACGTTTCGAGCGAAGAACGTGCTGGTGCGTCCGGTGGAGAGGTTACGCGAGACTACCTCGAAGCAGTCGTATTTATCTGTGCCGGCAAGTCTCCGTGGATGTATAGATTCAACATCTTGTCCGTATTCGACGACATCATCAAAGTGTGACGCGGCCCATTGGAGATAGTCGTCAAATTCCAGACGGGAAGGCAGAAATGTCCCCAGATTAGAAAACTGGACCAGTCTGTTGTGCTGCTTCAGATAGTTGAGAAAGGTGAAATAGCTGCAGGGATCTCGAAGTGTGGCAAGATCTTTAAGGAAAGAAATCTGCATTCTCGCTCCCGGAAGCAGCATACCGGCATGCCACTTAAACGTACTCTGTCGTTCAAGGAATCGCACCTTGGGGCTGATATGTAGGTCTTGTCCGTGACCCTGAGCCTCGAGTAGGTCATTGAGCGCAACAGCAATCGCAAGTGACGCTGGTCCGAATCCCACACAGACAAGATCGTGCACTTCATCTAAACTTGTGGAATACAAATGAATTGGGGCGCGTAGTAGACGATTGTCGTCGTCCTTGGGCAGAGACACTGGCTGCCAGACGTTGGTCCCATTGGTGTGGCTCGTCGCGTGGTCGCCATTTTCGACTCTGACGTCGTTTGCGATAATGCTGGGAGCCATCGACACAAAGCCCCCGAGGCAGTATTTGTATCCCAGGCACACTCTCTATCGAAATGAACGAAACTACAGACAGAAATTGGCTACGGGAACAAGAAAAGAATAAGAAAAGATGCCCAGGAGCTCCTTAAGAAGATGCAGGTCCGGTGGAGGGTAGTGGTACGACCAGCCAATTGTCATCGACGCATCATTGAAACGGATTCCTCCGTTTACCAGTGTTTCGGCCAAAGCTGTTGCTGGAGAGAAGCGTAGTCGCAACTTGGTTGCAATCGAAGATTGTCAGTCCACATGAGTTGTCTCAACGGACTCCTGAAAGTCCCAAGTCACGGTGAGAAACAGGAAATGAGGTGCTGTCGACCCATTGTGTCGCCGATGAACGGACCTTTAGCAGCGGGGCCAAGACGCCCGATTATCAGATAATCAGAATTTTCTGTCTCCGATTATCTGATAATGTCGCAATCTCTCAATCTCGGCCCATTCACAATCACTTCATCAACCCACACGCCCTCTTAGCGGCGTGGATCTCCATGCATCAACATGGGTTTCGAGCTGCTCGATTGCATGCGAGTCTCGGTCGAAACAAAATTTCCTCTTCCCATGTGCTTGGGAGGAACCAGTCTGTCCCTATTCCCGTCCAGTTACGAACAAATCACGGCTTGATACTGGGCTGTCACAATGCTTACGGTTGGGATGGCCTGACTTGCCCGTGGTTGGCGCCGTGAATCTTGTTGAAGGGCTCAAACCGACCGTTTGATGGACCGCGTAATGACTACATACGCAACAACCGTGTTTTCATCACCGATACAGCCGAGATATTCTCGACGATTCGCACATCAATATTTCTGGCCACCGTAATATTTGCGTTAAATCAAGGCCAGTCTATCAACAAACCGCCTGCCTCTAGGATCCTATGCCCGTCACACCGAGCCTGTCTATGACGTCGAAGCGAAGGTTGCCATATCTTCTCTGCAAATTTCATCAACCAGTACGGCGCAGCTTCACCAAGCACTAGCAACACTTCTCCGGCTAAAACTCGAAAGGCTGCCGACCAGGGATTCTCATCTCATTCCGGAGTTGGTGCCGTAGCGCCTCCGAGACTCAGACATGCCTCGAGCTCCGACCAACCACTCATCCGGCCCACGTGACTTGGCCATACTCAATGCAGACCGCGATATACTACCTGGGCCAAGGCTGCTGCATGAGCTTATTGCAATTACACCAGAACAAGAGTTGATTCTCGACTTCCTCGCTGCAGACGGATCCCGAATCCAGCTCACGTACCGAGAATTCAGCAATCTCACCGATATACTGTCCAATGATCTGCGAGCACGACAACGGAATAATCAAAGTCGAGGAAGTATTATACCAATTCTCATACCACAATGTCCCGAGCTGTACATAGCTTGGGTCGCGGTTCTGAAGGCTGGCGCAGCCTTCTGTCCGGTTGCTCAGGATGTCCCCGTAGAGAGATTGAAGTTCATGCTCCAGGATGTTGATGCGTCGTTGGTGTTGACTATCCCAAAGACGTCGCAATTCGCCGCCAGCGTTGCGAAAGACATTACATGCTTGAACATTTCACTCGAGGACTTACGCCAGAGGTCGAGGTCTTGTAAAGACGACGAAGCTGACGCAGACCAGTATATCCAAGCAGACTCTCATGGCCCTGCTTATGTCATGTACACTTCAGGCTCTACAGGATTACCTAAAGGTGTCATGGTCTCGCATTTTTCAGTATCTCAGTCTTTATTAGCGCACGACGAGCATATTCCCCATTTCAAACGGTTTCTACAGTTTGCTTCACCGACTTTTGATGTGTCAATTTTCGAAGTTTTCTTTCCATTCTTTCGAGGCGCAACCTTGGTCGGCTGCGAGCGTGAACGTATGCTGAGTGATCTCCCAGCCACGATTCAAAGTCTTGATGCCGATGCTGCTGAATTAACCCCCACTGTAGCAGGGACACTTCTGCAGACAAGACAAGCCGCGCCTTGCTTGAAAACGCTGCTGACAATTGGAGAAATGCTCACCTCGAAGGTAGTGTCAGAGTTTGGCGGTGACTCTGAGAGACCAAGCATTCTCTACGCCATGTATGGACCGACGGAGGCTGCCATTCATTGCACGCTCGCCTGCAAACTTGCATCCGTGGCATCTCCCCGGAGCATTGGGCGTCCTTTGAGGACCGTGACAACTTATGTCCTGAGTGAAACCGACCGCAACGTTGTTGCGTCGATCGGAGAACCAGGTGAACTAGCTGTTGCAGGCCAACTTGCCGCCGGGTACCTCAACAGACCAGAACAAAACAAGGACGCCTTCGTCGACCTTCCAGGATACGGTCCTGTTTACAAAACTGGAGATCGAGCCATATGCCGTCTTGACGGCACTCTGGAGATCCTGGGTCGGATAAGTTCTGGGCAGGTGAAGATCAGAGGTCAGAGGGTCGAGCTCGGTGAGATTGAGGAAGTGGCCTCAAACACTAATGGAGTTCAACTCGCTATTGCGCTCGTCATTGACGATGCTCTAGTATTATGTTGCGCGGCACAAGCAAGCATCGAGGCCAAAGACGTGTCCGCAACATGCAAAGCATGGCTACCTCCCTATATGCGGCCTACAAAAGTCATATTGAAGGAAGACCTGCCTCAACTCCCCTCTGGAAAAGTCGACCGTAAGACTCTTGAGCGAGAGTACCGAGACTACGTCCAGGAATCTCTACCAATGCAGAGTTTCCAAGATCCAATCGAAGCCGACATCGCGGAGGTACTACGGCAAGAAATTGCTCGGGAAGTTAGCCGATCGACTTCTTTTTGGTCTTTGGGGCTCGACTCTTTGCAGAGCATCAAAATTGCTTCACGTCTTCGCGAGAAATATAGACAACTAAACGCTGCAATGGTAGCAGAAGCCGAGAATATTGCCGACTTAGCGGCAAACCTCAAGTTACAGGAAAGCAGGGCGATTTGCGACGATGCGGATCCTTACAAGACTTCGGATGAGTGGGAAACACTCCAGAAAGCAATGTTGAACGATTCTCAAGTCTCGAAATTGGGGCAAGACTGGGAGCGGTTTCAGCCTTGCAGTCCTATGCAACTGGCAATGCTGGTAGAAACCGCAACTGACGAGACGTTGAACTTCAACCAGATTTGGCTCAGTCTCTCTTCTAATAAGGCTTTCGAGGATATTTTTTGGGCATTACAGAAAGTAGCACAACGCAACGAGATTCTAAGGTCCGGTTTCGTTTCTACGGGTGACGGCAAGATGCCATTTGCACAGATCTTGTGGAAAGACTTGCAAGTGAATGAGTTGAGCCTCCTTCACCCCCTACAGCTCGTACAATCTGACAGTGATGATGGCCAGATTCTCGTACGCATCCATCATGCACTTTATGATGGCTGGTCATGGGATCTGGTCATCGAGGATCTCAACGCCGTCTTGAACTCCAAACCATTACCTAAAAGACCACAATTTTCGCAGTTGATCTCATACCAGCATCAACAGGCCCTTGCTTCTGAAGATCTCACTTATTGGCGCGATCTGCTTCAAGATATTGTGCCTTTAGAATTTCCAATATTGTCCACCTCAACGTCACATTCAAGGCGCAAAGATTCCATTACTATAACCCTTTCAGTTCCTTATCAACATCTTTCAATAACAGCAAAGAAGCTTCACTGTAGCCGAGAAGCCTTGTTCGAAGCGGCTTGGGCGTTCTTGTTGTCTTGTTATATCGATAATCCCGATGTTATTATCGGAGTGGTCTCCGCTGGTCGACATCTACCAATACTAGGGATCGAATCCATCATTGGCCCTTGCTTGTCAACATTTCCACTACGACTCCAATTGGAGTCTTTGAGGACGGTGGAAGATGCAGTCAATCTTGTTCAGAAGCAACGTCTTAGAACTCAGGTATCCGGAGCCTTAGCGCTTCGAGATATCTACAGGGCAGCCAATGTGTACTCTGGAACCAAATTGTTCGATACTTTGTGCTTGTGGCAGCAAGGCTACGAGCACAGCCAGTCCGGCGAGCGTTACGTTCGCACTACCAAGACGCAGGACAAATTGGATTACACCTTCGTCCTGGAGTTCGAGCCTTTCGACGAAGCCGTCTCCCTGCAAATGACCTTTGATGTAGACCGGATTCCTAGGACCCACGCCGAGATACTAGCTGCTCAGCTAGACAAGATCGTCTCTCAAATGGTGCAAAACCCTGATACCGAATTGAAACATCTGTGGGACGGCTGTGAATTGGAATTGATGTCAGTCGTTAACGCCGAATACAACAAGTTCGATTCAAGCTTTGACCTGACAACCACAATCAGGGATGTTGCGAAGACAGACCCACAAAGGCGTGCAGTTGAATATGTGCGCCGATATGACGCTGACTCTGGCGTGGTAGAGAAAGACACTCTTACCTATCACGAGCTGCTCATTCAGGCTGAGGGGCTTGGGTCTGCCTTGAGGACTACCTATGGAATTCAATCTGACGATATTGTCTGTGTGATCGCGCATAGATCAGTACATCTATACGTCGCTATCCTAGGCATCGTCATCTCTGGAGCGGGTTACATGTGTATTGACCCGCAAACTCCACCGGAGCGGCTCAGACAAATATTGAAGCTCTCTAAGAGCTGCCTGGTCCTTTTGGGGGACGGTGCTGGAGCAATTTCAACGAAAGAACGCCAGTCAGCGATGATACACGAGCTTCTCAAGCCGACGGAGCAATCAAAACAGGCGGCTGAGGTACTCGAAGTGACCAACGATCATCTTGCCTACGCAATATTCACTTCGGGAAGTACTGGCATCCCGAAAGGTGTCCTTCTCACCCGCAAGAATCTCCTAAGCAATCTCAATGAATTATCGCACATATATCCCTCTGAGCCGGGTAAAGACCGACTCTTGCAGTCGTGTTCCCCTGCGTTTGATGTGTCTGTATTCGAGATTTTCTGGACCTGGCATATGGGAATGACTTTGTGCACAGCGCCAAACGATATCTTGTTCAAAGACTTCCCACAATTCATTGACAGCTTGAATGTTACTCATCTTAGCATGACGCCTTCTGTGGCCGCACTTGTCCACCCAGATGCCGTCCCACAAATCAAAATGCTGGTGACTGCTGGAGAGCCAATGAATTCTAAAGTTTTTGGAGACTGGGCTGGACGCGGCTTATATCAAGGGTATGGGCCCAGCGAAACAACAAACATTTGTAATGTTCGACCGGAAGTGTCACGATCGGATGCACCTAACAACGTGGGTCCGGCGCTGTCAAACACTTCGGTTTTCATTTGCCAAAGACAGAAGTTGAACTCAGACTCATCCGTACAAAACGCGACAAACAAGCACCCTATGGATTTTCAATTGGTCCCGAAGGGCGCCGTAGGGGAGGTTTGGATAGGCGGAGAGCAGGTTGCCCGTGGATACCTCGACCCTGAATTAACAGCCAACAGCTTTTTCGAGCATCCAACTTTCGGACGACTGTACCGGTCTGGAGATATTGGGAGACTGCTTGCAGACGGAACGTTGAACATATTAGGTCGAGAGGATGACCAAGTCAAATTGAGAGGTCAGCGTATCGAGCTAGGAGATATAAACTCTTCATTGCTGAGGAGCAACGAGGTGAGAGATGCTATTTCCATGGTCATTCCAAGAGAGAGCGGAAACTCCAGCCTTGTCGCTTTCTGGACGTCTCGCTCTTCTATTCAAGCAGGGGATGATGTGAAGTCGATTAGGCACCTTTTCAAACAACTTGCAAGCATACTTCCAACTTATATGATACCTGATGTTCTCATTCACCTTGAAGAGATCCCCCTGACAAGGCAGGGCAAAGTTGATCGAAGATTGCTGACCCGGGTGTACTTTGACACCGACCCTGAACACCTGCAGATGATTTCTCGAGATAGTGGAGGCCATGTGGACATGACAGAGTTTTCTGAACAAGAAAGCCATATTGCTAATGCAGTATCGGCAGCGCTCAACGTTCCGCTCTCTACTATCCGGCGCAATACGTCATTCTACGGACTTGGGATGGACTCTATCAGTGTGATCAAGGTGGCTCGAGACCTCAGAACTCATTTCCCAGATGTCGAGATTTCCACATTACTGCGAAATGCTTCCATTAGTCAACTCGTGGCGTTGCTTGTATCTGAACAACGCCATCTAGTGATTGCACCAGCCAATAAGCCACCGAAGGAAATGTTCGACATGGCGACAAGGTCCATGATTGTGGAGGCTTATGCAAAGGAAAGACTAGGTGTTGAGAAAATCCTCCCTTGTACGCCTCTTCAGGAGATAATGGCAATAGGGTCCTTGACACCTGCGTCCAAAGCCTACCAGAATTCTTTACTTTTCCATGTTCGAGGCGATCTTTCGAAGCTACATTACGCATGGACACAAGCTATGTCCAGACAACAGATTCTCAGGACTGGGTTCATCTTTCTAGACTCAGCCGAGAATCCTGTTGCGCAAGTCGTCCTACAGCATTTTTCCCTTCCCTGGTTCGTTGATGGCGGTCCGTCAAACATCACCCATCATCCTCAACCACTCAGGTTTCCACCCTGGAGTTTGCAACTGCAGAGGAGGGAATCAGGAGACCACGAGCTGATCTTGAAAATTCACCATTGCTTGTATGACGCAGAAGCCATGTCAATACTCTTGAGCGAAGTCCAGGCTATCTATAATGGCCACTCATTGCAGCGTCCCATTGCTTTCGACACATATCTCGACTATATGGCGACGTATATACCTGACGCCTCCGATGAATTTTGGCACCGTCTACTCAAGAACAGTACGGTCTGTAGACTTGGAGATCATGTAACATCACTCTACAAGTCTGAAGATCCCGAGTCTGCTGTTACCAGTCGCAGTGCATCTTTGACCGTAAGAGAGCTTCACGAATTTGCCCGACACCTTTCCTCTACCCCGTTGTCATTATTTCAAGCTTGCTTGACTCGGTTATTATCATACCTCTTGGGAACTCGAGATGTTTTGTTTGGCAGCGTCCTTAGTGGCCGCAATTTGCCAATCAAGAACATAAATAGGGTTGTTGCACCTTGTTTCAACACATTGCCAATCCGTGTCAACCTCCGTCGTGACGCCACGAACTCAGACTTGGTCCAGAGTCTGCATGACACGAATCTTGGAGTAATGCCATTCCAGCCAAGTTCACTTCGCCGTATACAAAGACAAAATTCGACGAATGCTGGAGCTCTTTTTGACACATTGCTATTACTACAGCATGGGGAAACAAAGCTGGACGAGCACATCTGGTCTCTTGTCGAAGAGACCGGAGACATGTCCTTCCCATTCATCTTGGAAATTATTGTGGGAGTCGACACTGATGTGATATGTCTAAAGCTACACTCGGAAGTTGCCAACGAACAGTTCTTAGACCAGCTTCTAGCTGGATTCGACTGTCTGCTTTCACATACTGCAAAATACCCTCAATCGCGAGCTCACGACTTCTCTGTTGTTGTCGATAGCCTACCATCAACTAAATCAATTGGGACTGCGGCCTCAGACAGTCCAAGAAAATCTGTATCAATGGAGGTGAACGGGGTCCACGCTACGCAAGAACAGCTTTCGGACCTGGAGACCTTGGTCGTGAACATTATGAGGGAACTCAAACCGGAATTGCCAGCGTCAATCCACAAGAACACTACTATCTTTCATCTGGGTTTCGACAGTATCAATGCTGTTCAGATCGCAGCAAGTCTCCGCAGACAAGGCTATACTGTTTCGAGCGCAGATATTATGGAAGCTGCTAGCATCGGCCTCATTGCAGATGTTTGCGGGACGAACAGTGGTAGGCACACGCAGTCATTGACCTTTGACCTCGAAGCATTCGACCAGAAATATCATAAGGGGCTTTCCCAAGAATATCACCTCGATGAATCAAGTATCGGAACTGTTCGACCATGCACACCAACTCAAGCGGGAATCTTGTCACAGTGTCTCCGCTCACGCAAACGCATGTACTACAATTCCATGTGTTACATGCTCGACAAAGATATTGATGTATCGAGGTTGAAGATCGCGTGGACCGAAGCTCAGCGCATACATGAGATGCTGAGGACCGGATTTGTCGAAACGGACGACCCACGGATTCCCTTTGCCATGGTCACATACCACCATGAAGCCATTCAGCTTCCCTGGACCGATGCACGATCTGTGGTCAACCCGAGTGACCGAGAACATATGCCGGACCAGTCAGACCTGACCAAATTACAATGGGCAATTCACTTGACATCGCATAATGGTAATACTGCACTGAATATTTCTATGCTACATGCTCTCTACGATGCCCGATCCCTGGAGATCATCTTACAAAGCGTCGCTGCCCTGTATATGAACCAGCGGCCTCGAGAACCCGTTGCTATCTCCCCAGTGGTCTCCAAGATTCTAGCTATGAGTAGGAACGAAGAATCTCAAAGCTTCTGGAAGCAGATGGCAGTGGATTTGTCCCCGACTCGTTTTCCAGATATGAGAATTCATTTCACCGACGATGAGAGTGTCTGCACGATATCTTCTCACTGTTCCATGTCATGTACAGTATTCGAGACTGCATGTGCTGATATCGGATCAAGCATACAGACTGTCTCACTCGCTGCCTGGTCGCGCATACTATCAGCATATACGGCTCAAGATCGTGTTGCCTTTGGTGTCATCTTGTCAGGTCGAGATTTTGAGCAGGAAAAAGAGAACGACGTTGCTTTTCCTTGCGTCAACACTGTTCCTTTTGCCATCAAAGCAACCCAGGAACCGTGGGATCTTCTGGAGAGCATTTCAAGACGCTCCGCAGCGATGTTGAGGTACCAGCAAACTCCGATGAACTCCATCAAACGATGGATCGGAGTCGAAGAGGAACTATTCGACACTGTTCTTGTCGTGCAAAAGTACAGTTCTACATGTTGCACTGCAAGCCCCTGGAAGCTATTCAGCGAGGAGACTTTGACAGAGTATGCTGTCTCACTCGAGATCATTCCTACAGATACGGATGTAAATCTCCAGCTCACGTTCCGCCAGAACATCCTCCCAACGAAGCAAGCAAGAATTATCCTTGATGAATTTGACGGTATAGTGAGAGGTATTCTCGCATCGGCTTCTGAAAAGCAAACGACACCTCCCCAGTCATTGTTGTCGGTTGTCCCTCCGCTAGACCAGCGGATTGCAACAGACGTTGAATTCCTGCACGAGTTCGTTGAAGCAACAGCCAGCGAGAAACCAAGTAACGTGGCTCTCGAATTCATCATCAGTATTAAGGACTCCATCTGTCAGAAACAGAGCTGGACGTACTCACAGCTGGACGGCCGGGGCAACCAGATTGCTCACCTTTTACGAAACCATGGTGCTTCGATTGGAGACCTTGTCGCCGTCTGCTTTGACAAATGTCCTGAAGCCTACTTCGCTATTCTAGGAATTCAGAAAGCTGGCTGTGGCTATCTTGCGATAGATCCAGGCGCTCCGAGGCAGAGGAAAGACTTCATCCTTCGAGACTCGAATTGCAAAATCTCACTCACGATGAATAACCTGTCAGGGCTCGATGCTCTTGAGGATATTAAAGTCCTTTCCCTTGAAAGTGAGGATTGGCAAAGCCTCCCACTTGAAAAACCGGTGTTGTCAAGACACCTGAGCATGCAGGACACGTGCTACTGTCTCTACACCTCTGGAACCACTGGCACACCAAAAGGATGCCTGATCAGCCATGACAGTGCAGTCCAAGCCATGTTAGCTTTCCAACGCATATTTCGGGGACGCTGGAGCGACACTTCCAGGTGGCTTCAATTCGCTTCGTTCCATTTCGATGTCAGCGTGCTTGAGCAATACTGGAGCTGGGGTGTAGGTATCTGCGTCACCTCAGCACCAAGGGATCTCCTCTTCGAAGATCTACCCGGGACCATTAATTCGCTAAACATAACTCATCTCGATCTTACCCCTAGCCTTGCACGATTACTGACCCCTGAAGATGTGCCTAGTCTTTGCAAGGGTGTCTTCATTGTTGGTGGCGAGCAAGTTACACGAGACATCCTGGAAATTTGGGGTGATGTTGGATGTCTTTACAATTTCTACGGGCCAAGTGAAGTGACCATTGGTTGCACTGTACATCAAAATGTTCCCATCAACGCAAAACCCACCAATATTGGCCAACAATGGGACAATGTGGGCTCATTCGTCCTTGAGCCCAATTCACAGAGGCCTGTACTTCGAGGAGCCGTCGGCGAGCTTTGCCTCTCCGGACCTCTGGTGGGCAAAGGCTATCTCAATAGACCTGAACTCACAGCCGAAAAGTTTGTGGTTCTGAATGATTTCAAGACGAGAGTATACCGAACAGGTGATTTAGTCCGTATTCTGCATGACAATAGTTTCGAGTTCCTGGGCAGGATCGATGATCAAGTCAAGCTTCGAGGCCAGAGACTTGAAATAGGCGAGATCAACCATGTTGCAATGAATGCAGACACGAGCATCAAGGATGTGGTAACTATGGTATTGAAGCATCCCATTCAGCAGAGGGAACAACTTGTCACCTTCTTCTCAACCGGACAGCGACATTCTCAAAATTCAAAGCCAGAAGTCCAATGGACCGAGCAAGCCGAGACTTTAGCCAACAAAATACAAGAACGTTGTTCCGACAAGCTTCCCGGCTACATGGTGCCAAACGGGTTTTTGGCGGTCGATTTCATTCCACTTTCTGTGAACAACAAGGTTGACAGTAAGGCTCTAAAAGCAATGTACGAGGCTAATTTGTCTCAGGGGCGGCCTTCTCCATCGACTGGCGTGGAGGCAGTTGCCCCTGAAAGCTCGGCATTGCTTGGTGAAGCAGTGAAAATCCTCTCTAACTTCTTACGAGTTTCAGAATCGATGATAAAGCCAACCTCCAGGCTCTTCGAGCTTGGCCTGGACTCTGTTTCTGCTATTGGCCTTTCTCGATCCTTGAAGAGGAAGGGCTATCAGAATGCACACGTGGCTAACATTCTACGCCACCAGACAGTCTCAGACCTAGCTCTTGCTATCCATGAGAAACCGTCGGTGGAGCAAAGTGAGGTGGTATCAGTGGTACAAAAGCGCATCGAAGCATTCTCTCAAACTCATCTCCGAAGAATTTGTGAAGCGCTCAGAATTAGGGATGACGAGATCGAATCCATTGCGCCTTGCACGCCCTTGCAAGAAGGTATGGTATCCAGGGTCGTCCGCAATGAGCTCGAGGACAATACCTATCTCACATGCTTCCGGTTCCAACTGAACTCAAGGGTTGACATTGAGCGTCTCAGACAAGCATGGTTATCAGCATGTCGATCGGTTTCGATTTTAAGAACATGTTTTGTCTCGACGACTGATGGGTACGCACAAGTGGTTGTTCGAACGTGTCCAAACATGAAAATCCTGTATCATGACCGAAAGGCAAATTCGGGTGCAAATGCCTCTGTCACTCCGATTTCCCAAGACTGGGACTCCTTTGGGGCCACACCGCCATGGAAGGTTGACTTGGTCGATCTTGCCAGGACACAACAAATGGTGTTGCAGATATTCCACGGGCTTTACGATGGAATTAGTCTTCCACTGCTACTGAATTATGTCACCAGTCTCTACCATGGTTCAAAGGAAAATCCCAAGAATTTCTACGAATCTCTGGCTAGCGGTCCGCTTTGTCATATGTTGGATGCAGAGAAATTCTGGCGGTCAAGGTTGTCCAATTTCGAGCCGCTGAGACTTCATCAAAGGCATTCTGCCAATGAGTCTTCAAGCAAACTCGTTCATATTGATGCTCAAGTGTCTCTGGGAATCATACAACAATTATCCCAAAAGTACAACGTCACGTCGTCAGCGCTCTTCCAAGCTTCATGGCTGTACACTTTACACAAGACTTTCAAAAGTCCACCCTCGATGGGTGTTGTACTATCAGGAAGGTCGACCGTCAGTGGAACCTTCGAAGATGTGATTGGGCCCATGTTCAACACGGTTCCTTTCGCTGTCAGCACTCTTTCAGAGGGTTCTACCCTCGGCGACCTCGTCAGAGCCTGTCACAATCTGAACGCAGAAGTGATGCAATATCAGAGTACGCCTCTACGCAGGATTACGCATTATCTGAGAGAAGATCCAAGATTCAGCTTGTTCGACAACTTGTTTGTCTTTCAGGCGCCTCGACAAACTCAAGATGAAGGGAAACTATGGATAGAACTTACTGAAGACAACAGACCAGATTATCCCCTTAATGTCGAGGTGACCCAAAGGGAAACAATCTTCAACATTTCCATCGTTGCAAAACCGGAATACCTCAACGAGATTGAGACCCAAGAGATTCTCAACAGCTTCATCGAGACAGTGCAAAGCCTTGAGAGCGTAAACCATGTGCTTCCCAATATCTTCTGCCAACCAAAACAACGAGACGCATTGTCTACAGCCACAAGAAGCAAGGAATTGGCAGATCCTCAAAGGACTGGCGGAGACGAAAACATGAACAGGACACAACAATTGATTCGTCATCAGCTTGCAGAGATGGCTTCTGTCGAGGAGGAGATGATCCGTCTCGAGAGGCCTACCATTTTTGAGCTGGGCCTAGACAGCATCGAAGCCATGAAATTGGCTACTCGTCTAAGAAACACCGGGCTCAAGATCGCAGTCAGCGCCATCATGCGATTTCCAACGGTTGCTGGCATTGCTGAACACCTGCAGGATGGAACACAAGACCCATTCTCTGGATCCTCAAATCCATCGGCAGGATCCCTGGATTCGCAGAAAGACCGGTATCGGCGAATATTGGACCTTCAAGGAGTTAATCTACGCAACGTACAGACCAGCTTACCTGTGACGCCATTGCAGGAAGGGCTCCTGGTAGAGTCTTCGAAGTATCTAAACATGATGGCCCTGAAGGTGAGAGCCGATGTCGACATCAATCGATTGGTCGAGACTTGGATAAACGTGTCGAGACAACAGCCGATATTGAGGACTCGTTTCGCCCTTGATGAGTCACCAGTTGACAATGCTACATTCTTCCAGTTTGTGTTGGAGGAACATGTGAATGTGGAAATTGTGCAGAACCAGGATCTGTGGCGGATCATTCAGAACCTTAGAAACGATGCCACGAGTCGAGCAATCAGCGATCAACGCACCAATGTCCGAATTGTCATCGACGAGGACAAGGTCCCATTCATTGTAATCGCCCTGCCACATGCACTGTACGATGCATGGTCGTTGCACCTCTTGCACCAGGAGATTCTCAACAGTTATCGGTCTCGACAGACCATGCCGACTAAGATTGTGGCTATTGAACGGCATCTAGAACGGGTTTTGGAGAGCTCAAAAAGCCCAGAAAGTCACTCATTTTGGCAGAAGAGGGCGTCAGGGACACGTTCAACCTTGATCCGACACAGCATCAACAGTCGGGACCGAGCAAACCCCAGCCTTTTGTTACAGAGAGTATCGAAGATAAGTCAGGGTGATACCCTGGAATTCTGCAAAAAGCAAGGTATTACTTTGCAATCTCTCGGTCTTGCTTGCTGTACAATTGCTCTGGCATATTATACTTCTCAACTTGACGTATGTTTCGGACTTGTTTTATCTGGACGCACGACTGACGATTCGGCACGCCTCATGTTCCCAACTTTCAACACTGTGCTCTTCCGCCAGACAATTGAGGAGAGTGATACCAAAACACAGTTTGTGAAAAGAGTACATGACACGGCTGTACAAATTTTAGAACACCAACATTTTCCCTTGCGCAAGACCCTGCAATACGCCCGACAACAAGGAGCGGGAGGAGAAGTATTCGACACGCTCTTTACATTTCAGAAATTACCAGACGCTGTTGACGCAACCGAACAGTTGTACGACGAGATCGAAGGTACTGATATCTCGATCAATCCGCCTTATCCTGTAAACATCGAGCTCGAAGGTCAAGGTCAGGGAATAACATGGACAGTGGCCTTCCAGAAACATGTGGCCAACAAGATCGCAGCTGACAATATTTTGGAGTTGCTCGACAAAATACTGTCGACACTCATGTTGCGTCCAGACTTGGCTATGCTCGAGAGAAATGCTGAAGGCGTCTCCATCTGTGGGCTCCCAAAGATCAAGGATGTGTTCAAGCTACACAACGGCAACCCAGCTCCGGTCGAGACCCACGATGCGAAGAACGATGGCAATGAAGTGACCTGGAGTCCAATAGAAACAACACTGAGGGTGGTTCTGGCCAAAGTATCAAACACTGATCTCAAGTTGATCACGAAGAGCACCGGAATATTCCATCTTGGCCTGGACAGTGTCAGCGCGATCAAGCTCTCGAGCGTTTTCAGAAAAGAAGGGATCAAACTCGCAGTCAGCGAGATCGTCAAAGCTCAAACTATCGAGGCCATGGCGGCGACAGTGCAACGTGCGACAAATGGAGGTACACGGCCATCTGACATGCCGTCTGATACACGAACAAGTGACGAGGAATTACATGCCGTCCGCAGTTCTGTTGGTATACCCTCGATAGACATTGAAGAGATCATACCATGCACTGCTGGACAGATTTTCATGCTCGACATGTGGAACGCAAGTCAAGGCAGATTGTTCTACCCAACATTCTGGTTGGAAGTCTCCGAGGTCATGCCTGAAACCGTGTTGGACGCTTTTCAGGTTCTGACTGACCGAATGCCGATTTTGAGGACTATATTCGGGAATTACAACCATGATGGTCATGTGAGAACTTGGCAGATTGTTGTCAGAAAGGAGGTGCGACGCAATTATAGCTTTCCTTGGACGTTGGATGTGAAGAAGCATGGTGGTGGGTCGCTCCTCACTCTTCGGATTCATCACGCCCTCTATGATGCTGTGAGTTTTCAACTCATGGCCACCGAGCTAGAGAGATTGTGCCGAAATCCGAACCTCCAGGTTCGGATTCGTGACAGTTTGTCGGACTTTGTCATCAAGACTATTACGGGCCGGGAAAGAGCAAGGAAGTTCTGGAGCGGTTATCTGGACATTGTTTCGCGTCCTCCTCTCGTGGGGAGAGGCACGTTCGATTCTTCCCGAACCGAGAGATTCAACCCTCGTGTCTTGCAGGTTGCTCAGCTGACTGACAGACTCAAACACCACGGTGTCAGCCTTCAAGCACTATTCTTCGCCGCGTACGCCAGGATATACACTAGGATTTGCGTGGGATCTGAAGAAGACAAAATCAAGACCAATGCACCTTCGGATGTGATCGTGGGTGTTTATCTTGCAAATCGATCACTGGACGTCGAAGTGATAGCCAATCTTGTTGCACCGACTTTCAACATTGTCCCCCTGAGAGTTCAATTTGACGCTGGAACGACAACTGTTGAAATCGCGAAACAAGTGCAAAATGATCTTGCCAATATCACGAGCATGGAAAATTCCGGTGTGAGCATGAGAGAAATATCCGAATGGACAGGTACCAGGGTTGATACCTATGTCAACTTCTTGTCGTTACCTGGCGAGGACGACGACGAGGAGCCTGGGGATGTGGACAGCAATGCCCAAGGAGTCAACCGGCAAGTCCGAGTGACGCACGCCAATGTCGACTCGGGAGGAAGGGATAGCTTGCCGGAATTGGGCAGTCCTTCTCCGTTTGTGGATGGTGATGGAGATGGTCCTGCATCGCGAGAGGTAGTGAATTGGTGTTTGGTAAGTGTCCTGCTGTTTGTTTTGATTCTCTGCACCCAAAAAAAGGCTGACTTTTAATTCAGCCTGCTATCGACATTGAAGCGAAGGTCACCGATGGATATCTTGGTATTGGAGTATTTGCTCCGAATGATATGTTGTCAATTGATCAAGTTGAGGGGACCGTGGATGAGATGGCAAGATTGATGCTTGAAATTGAGTAGGTCTGTGGGGTTTGATATTTACTTTACTTCTTCACTAGAAATCGAGATGTCATTTTCATGGAGGTGGAGTACAGGTGTGTTGAGATGTCCATTTGCAATATCAATTTTTATTCCTCTGGTCCTTTTTCAGCTGTCCAGTTCCCCAAAGTTCACGGGTGCTGGATAAATCACTCGCTTGGACATACCCATCGCATTTATTTTAGTGTCTTGTTCGTAGCATCTTGAACGGCGTATGTCCGTGCCATAAGCCCCAGATGGCGGATACCACAGTCATCGGTCAGCAGTAAACCCCAAAGGGGACCTCCAGAGTACTTGAACAAGTGTTGGTTACTTGACCTACCTTTGTAGTCGTAAGTGCTTAGTACTTGTTCTGAAGAAGTACTCGATGCATAACCGTAAGTTGCTTCCTTGTTACTCCGTACCACATTCCCTCTTTGTTGAACACGTGTTTACACTCACTCACACTCACCGAAGTTCTGGAGTATAGCCACATTACAACACGGCCCCCGATTAATTACAAGCTATTCATTGGCAACATTGGGACACCGAAAGCCCGAACTAGTCTGGACCGTTCTGTGACCTTTTACCACGCCACACCATGTTAAGGTATAGGAGGGCACTTAGGTAAAGTTCGTAAGCACGAAAGGAGCCACTTGGTCTACTCGTGCTTGACCATTTAGAGGACACTTTGGGGTCGAACTTCTGCCATGCCGGACAAAGAGCGACGAAGCGATGAGTAATGTTAAAGTGGTACTACACGACTCTACGTTGGATGAGTGACGCTGCCGAAGGATGGACCGATATCCATCCAGAGGGGCCCAAACTTGGTAAGACATATATAGTTGCAGTACGTCCAGTGTACTACTGCCCAGGTGAGTTAACCCAAACCCAACCCCTTTTCAGCGGCAGCCTTTCTTTGGTTGTATCATACCGTACATCCGAACAAGTCTTGATACAACAACACGAGTACGGCCTCCCCGGCAAAACTTGACATGGCGGCGGGAGCAGGAGATCCAGATCCAGAACCCGTCATAGGTGGACCATACTCTTTATATCATGGATCATTCATATTGGAGTTTCTGAAGCCGAAGCCCTCGAGGAATGCTTCGTCAGTTTGTTTACCTCTTCCTCCAAATCCCTCGAAGCTCGACATCTCTCAGTCACTCACACGCACACACCCACACTCACCGTTCGTTTCATCGGTTGATACCTTTGTTGCTAATTATACATCATACAGTGTCCTAATGCGCGCCACATACAAACACGACCATCCCATGTGTAAACTCGGTAAAGGTCATAGTCAGGTTCGTCATATCCCTTCTACTACCCTCTCCTCTTCCTCCCTTCCTCGCCCGGTTAACTCTAACACCATTTCATGGCTCCAAGCGCGTGCTCACAAAAGGACTCACCTATTCCACTTACTGACTCACTCGTGAACGAAGTCACCCCCTCTACACATACATTTCCAACAATACGAATCCTTCAGCGTCCTCAGTGGTTCCGTGGGGACGACGTCGACCTACTTGACCATCGACACGATCCACACGCCATCCACGACGGGTGAGAACGCACCACACACCATGGACCCCTGGACGCCCCATACGTTTTGGCCCGACCCGAACCCGCAAGAAGACACGACGATCCTGCTGTGGGCTCATCCAAACCCAAACGACATGGACGACAAGATGGACCGGTTGTTTTTTCAGAACCTGTTGATGTACGTGAGTGATGTGGCCGAGGGGAAGGAACGGTTGAGTATTTTGCAAGTCATGCTTATTCAGTATGTTGTTTCTTTCTCCCCCCCCCTTTCCTCTTCTTCTTTACCCGTTTCCCTCCAAAAGGCCCAACATGCAGCATCAATCAAATTCAGCGGTGGATCACCAAGAAAAGAAAAGAGGATGTCCATACTGTATAAGAGCTCCTTAAACTGACGGTCACATCAAACAGACACGCATCGGCAACGGCAATGATTTGGTTCCCTTCTGCTTGGTTCTTGGGTCCGTTACGATGGTGGATCCCATATCAATTTCAGACCTTGTGTGTGGCGATTGCAAGATTACGGGGGATGAATCCCTTGATGAAGAAGTACATTTCTGGCGCGGAATGGGAGGAAATTCGACTTGGAATGGAAAAGAGGAGAAATGGTGAAAGGGGGAAAGTAGCTTAGCTTTGATTACCAATGAATCAAGGCGTTCCAATCTCAGATAGACATCTAACCTTTAGATTGATCTGGATACTCGGCGTGGTCCCATGCAACAACAACCTCTTACTCGGAAATAGAGGCAAATTGGTAGCCGCTGCAATATCAAAAGAATATCTTGACTCCTGACGTGGACAATCTCGAATATCAACGATACTCGTAGTACTCCATCTCCGTACCAAACCGTTTCATTCTCACAAGCTATAAGTGAACTCGGGGTTCTCCTTGTCGGTCAAATCGAGCCATCTATCAAACAGGGTCAAAACGTCAGTCCTTTTTTCTTTTGTTTTGTTGCCACTCGAGAACAGAAAGAAGAAAAAGCCGGAAAAACTCACTCTTGGTTTTCCAACTTGACATAACCCGGTTCCGACCTGATTCTGGCCTTGAGCTTGTTCTGACGTCTACAATACCACCAGATGAAGGCGAGGTCAATCAAACACAGACCCCAACAGACGATGATTGTGATCTCGGCGGGTTCGTATCTCGGTGCATCTTTTGGTCTGAAAGTTTGTGGACCGATCTGTGCGTGTGGACGAGCGCGCAAGAAAAAAGAGTCAACAAATGCATGCTCTAGAGGGAATTTTGTCGATATCCCTTGTCCCCAAGAGAAAAAAAGTACTTACAATATTACCGACGCAGTATCCGATCAAATACAATGCCGCAACGGTGGTCTTTTTGGTGTACCCGGCGACATTGGTGGCGATCAAACTGAGCAAGGCGACAAAGGGGGTCGGCGAGGCCTGAGTGAGATAATAGCCCGCCAGGCGACCAGAATTGTTGTCCAGCGGCAGAGCCACGATGAGGATCATCCCGAGGAGTGCAATGGTCAACCCGCTCATCGAGACCAAGATGCGTTGTCCGAGTTTGTCGCCCAACCACCCACAAAACATGAGGGAGACGACCTCGACGGCTCCACCTGGCGTGCCGTACAACAGGGACTCTTCGGCGGTGTAACCGAACGAAACGATCTGTGCAAGTTTGTCACTAGTCAGAATACTTTTCTCAACACTCTGCAGACCACGGCAGGCCATGGCAGGCGACAAGGGGTGTTTGTTGCCACGGGAACAACACCTACCAATTGCGAGAAGAAATTGCTGATTCCGCCGTTTGGAATATCGGCTGTCAACTGTTCATGAATATCATCAGCCGAGAAGACCAGAACTCGTTCAGTCAAAAAAGAAACTGACCGCATAAAACACAAATGCCCAAGTCAATGGGTCCAGGAGCGCCTCTTTCAACTGATACAACTTGAAATGTTTGTTACCGATGCCTTGCTGATTGACCCGGACTCGTTCAATGGCCAACACCCGATCCTTGGGCTTCAGCCAGCGTGCGTTGAGTTGATTGTCCGGCATCACGAAGAAGAAAATGATGCCCAGAAAGGCGGTCAAGCATCCATTGACCAAGAAGACGATCTTCCAAGGTGCGATGGCGGTACCATGCTTGCGGGCACCGACGGCGATGCCGTACGCGACGAGACCTCCAAAGATTTGTCCGAACCCGTTGAAACTGAACCATATTCCGGTCCGAGTGCCTTGTTCTTTCTTGGTGTACCATTGAGAAGTGAACAATGCGAATCCCGGTGTGACGGCAGCTTCGAAGACGCCCAGGAAGACTGTCGAGATAATGACAACATACGTTAGCGTTTTTGTCAACGACAACAGCACCAATGACAAGTATCATGTTGGTTTAGCCAACCCCAAAGAAGAACTTACATCGGATAGCAACAGCTCCTCCAAAATTGGAAACGGTGGCGAATAACGCCAAAACGGCTCCCCAAGCGACGACACAAAACGCGGAATACTTTGCCAGTGGCAGTCTCTGAAGGAGTCGATTCGTGGGATACTCCCATGCCAGGTAGCCAAAGTAAAACATGCTACCGAGCCATTGGTAATCGTCGCCCTGGAGATTGATGTCCTTTTTGATGCCCATTATGCTGGCGTAGGACAAGGTTGTCTTGTCGAGATAATTCAGACCGTAAATGAGACACAGCAGGGGCATTAGATGCCAGTCGATGATGCGCAAGAGTCGCTTGTTATCGGCTTCGGTGACCTCGACGACTTCGCCGGAAGCGTACGCCTTCATTGCCTCGTCGGCATCTTGACCGTGCTCGAGGATCTTTTGGGCCGCCGCGGCGGTTGAGGCGGTGGATCCACGTTTCTCGTCAACCGGCGACACAGAGCGGACACCAGGAAGGTTCTGGACGGGGACAGCTTTGATATCTTCTTGAAAGTCGGCCATGTTCGCTTGGAAGTTAACCTGAACTGCGTTTTGACACGTGGCGTGCCGCAGTTCTGGTTTGACAACGAGTTCGATGGGAATGACCTTCGATGGTGGAAGTGTGCACACACACAGAGAGAAAAGGGCCGAGGTGCTTATTACAAGGTCAAGAGACTATCCGTCCTTGTTAAGCGACTTATCTCTTGTACATATGTTTGTGCAACAGTAGGTTCAAGAAAGCCGCTGCATGAAGATAACCGAAAGGACAAGTCAAACGTCACGGAATGACGGAGCTCTCACCGCACATTATTGCTATCTCGAACGATTGAAGTCGCCAATGGTCGCCACCCCGCGAACCATATTCAGGGTAGTTGGTTGTTGTGGTTGCATTGAGGAACGACAAGGGTAAGGATAAGCTCCCCCGGAGGAGGGACATTCGTCGGACAACAGGAGTGATAACTGTGCTTCGAATCAGGATGCAAGGACACACAGACTCCGGCGTGGTTATCGCCCAAGTGGCAGGTTTGGTTGCACGAGGTCTGTGTGGAGATGTGCGATGACGAGAGGCGAGATAGTATGTCGATCAATTCCCTGGAGACACGGAGTCACTCGTACTCAACCGTCGTGTCGTTGGTCAGAGAAATATGCCGAACGATCTTCCATTGCCGGTTTGGGAAGGTCGTTCATATCAACGGCGAATGATAGTGTGTGAGGAGAGAGGTCCGAGTGGTGCTCGATGCCCCTGGACAGGCGGTGACTTCCGCCGTGGAGAAACCGGGTACTGATTCGGTATATATCTAAGCGAGAGTACGAGACGTTCAAGAGTACTGATACTCTTAGAAGGGCATGAGAAGAGCTATCACGTTCAGCTCCCAAGATACAAGCTTGCTCTTGTGCATGCCTCCCCGTCACATGGATCGTTTACCATAGGGTTCAAAAGGCATCATGATCGCCACGATCACCTAAGGGGTAAAATTGTCAGTGCTACAAACCCCTTCACAGACGAGCACTTGACTTGACCTACCATTGCGATATACAGTGCAGCGCAGATGTAAATGGGAGCACTGGTCGCAGTATTTGCATATGTTGCGACGAATGCACTGATAAGGCCCATGACTCTGTTGCAGCCGACAGCAATCCCGTTTCCGGTCGCACGATGTGCGGACGGGAGACTCTGAAAAACAAGAGATCAGCCTCCGCATGCCTCGAGTACACGCACTTTTAATCTCACCTCGGGAGTGTACGCGTAAAGCGTACCATAATAGATGTTGACGGTAAAGTAAATGGCACAGGTAAATCCCAGGTTTTGGGCTGCTGTTCGTACCGCCGAATAGGCAAAGAAGAAGGCCATGGACAGCAACGCTCCGATGACCATGGTATATCTTCGACCCAAATATTCCCAGTTGCACATGAATCCTGCGGCGACAGGACCGAAGATTCCCACGACGTTCGTGATCATATAATCTCGCCAGACATAGTAAGGGCTACTTTCACCGGTGTCGGCGCCTCTACTCTTGAGGAAATCAGGCAAAAAGACATAGAACAGGGGATAAGCAAGACCTGTTACATCGCATTAACACATTGCACAATCGTCCATGCACAGAAAATGCCAAAACAGCTCACCGATCAGTGTCCAAGACAACCAGATCAAAAAGGTCGAAAACCCAAGCTTCTTCGTCGCAAACAAGCCTCGAAGATGTGCCATGAACTCCGAAAACCCATACCTCGTCTTGCCATAAGTCGACTTGATTGGACCGCATTCATCGAGCTCGTGAATGGTCAAGGAGCATGGCCTGTTGTACTTTGTCGCAATGGCCTTGAACGTGTCCACAACCTCTTGGTCCTGACCTTTCGCGAGCAAATATTTGGGTGTTTCCTTGAGTCGAATGACCGTCACTCGGAGGATACTGAGCACAAAAACCAAAGCCCCATTCGAGTACCAGACATATCGCCATCCCTGTTACTGATTGTTAGAACGTCACCCCTCCCCGGGTCATCCTTAGGAGGTCAAGCTCGGAGGCTACCCACCATATTGTTATCGTAAGTGCAAGTGGCTGCATCTTTACAATAGTACCGATCAATGGATAAGAAAGGCCAGGCAAAAGCCGCTGCAACCACTGGAGCAAGGCCCCACCAACATGCCATGAGAGTAAGCAACCACTGCTTGTCACCAGGCAAGAATTCCAAAAACACGGTCGTGTCCAGGATCAAATTACCTCCAGATCCGAACGCCGCGAGGCTGGTGAACAAGCCTAGGACGATCCAGTTCGGAGCTGCACCCGCGCAAATGGCGAAGACCGAACAAGTAAAGAGCGATACATTGAACGCGAACCGTCTTCCGATCACATCGGCACCTATATCGTTTCCCAGTCAGCTTCGCCATACACTCCCCCTTGCTCGATCGCAACTCGCACAACGGCGACTGGTCGGTAGTTGTAGTACGCACTCAGGCCCCAAAACAACGCTCCCACCAGCATGCCAGTGTACGCGGCGACGGTAAGTCCCTTTGAAAAACTCGGCTGGAACTCCAACGCCGCTTGCCCTGCCGTGACAGACTGTAGGAGTAGGATCAGAGAGTCAGCGGCATACCCGAAGCCGTTCAAGAAGAACAACTTGAGATGCATGTTTGTCCAGCCGATCTCATCGATGGCCTAGCAATCGAAACTCGTCAGTACATGATCTGTGCCTTCGATGCTGGTGTCCGAGTGCAAAATTCCTACATTGTTGACCAGCCTCATTTTCGCATCGAGAGCTGGATCGACGTCATTCATCGAAAAGATCTGACCCTCCTTCGTGTCATTGTCGAGGGTCTGAACGGACATACTGTTGCGCACGCGATGCGCCAGGCCATGGTGGTCGAGGTTCGGGTTGTCGTCGTGTTCATGTTTGGTCGTGGCCTCTCCATGAAATCGATCGCCGGCCTCTACATCGTCGGATATGATCTTCTTCGGGTCTTCAGACATGTTTTCTCTTCTTTTGCTCCTCGTCTTCCTGGGACACTGTTCAAGTTGTGTCAATAAACGTCAAAAGCCACAAGGAGAGACGGAGGAGGAATAAGGGTGCTCCAGCGTCGGCCGGGATCCATCAGCTATATCAGCGCTCCTGCCACAGGGTACACGCGCCACCGAGGCTGCCATTGGGAACATGGGTCGTTCGTGTGCTGCCCCATACAGAGCAGGTCCGACAAACAGGCTTCGATAACGCCAGTGGGGATAGTACGTAGTGTAGTCCGTTCACTTTGCCCACAAGACAACTAGGCCCAGGCTTATTCAGCCCATTGGAGGCTGTAGTACGGAAGACAGTAGATCGTCTGACTTTACATCTTTGCTGTGGTTTCTTGGTCCAAGAATCGATCTCGTTCGGATCTAGATTCCCAGTTGGCAGACATCCAAACCGTCAGATTTGAGCACGAGGGCAGCTTCCAGTGTATCGCTACTGTGCTTCTCATCCGATTTCATTGGCCTCTTAGCATCCAGTAGGAGACGATCGAATGGCAATTTGTCGCCATGGAGAAAAAGCGAGAGGCGGCGAGAAAGTGGAAATGATTGATGGGCTTGAGATTCTCTCGGCTGCAAAAGCACCAAATACAGGCTTCAGTCTGCGCACGTGCTGGGCATGGGCTTCCCCTTTCAGTGGACACCATCATAATAGACATTGTAAACCTGACAGGCCAAAGAACATGTGGCGTAACAGTGTTACCTCTTGAAATCTCAATCGGATTGAATTGTCCTATAACAAGCAGGGGGTATCTCACGGTGTATCCGTAGGTCGTGCTAATAAAGAAATTTGAAAAATCCAGTACTCATCATGACACCTTTCGCTGATTTGACCACAAACATGGTAGAGGCAGCCCCTTCTCCTCTTGACGACAACCTAGATGCCTGTACACCATCAGATTGGTCGGAATCTCTCATCTTCATACCAGTTGAACCCCTTTCTCGTGAGGGTGCAAGCTGTACGCGACTTTAACTCAAATCTCATAGAAATATTCTTCATCCAGTCCTTCTCTGCTAGGAATTTCAGGGCCGTCCATTCCATCCATGCCTTCAACAATCCCCTCCTCATCATTGAAGCGGACATTCAGTAGCCGAACTTTCAATCCATAGTCACTCATCATGTGGATCAATCTGTTGGTTTCGGCGGTGATGGGTTGTTGATCGAGCAGCATGAGCAGACCATCTAACCATTCAGAAGCCACAGCATGACTGTTCGGCTGGAACGTGAGCAGAACAGTCTCTTTGCTCACACTCCGGCCCGAGGAAGCTTTCGAAGAGGCTCGAGAATGTCCACCGCGTGACTTTGGCAAAAAGCCATGAATAGTGACCTTTGTCGTGGTGAACTTGTCGTGTGTCAACTCCTTCAAGGTCGAATCTGATGCGATCGAAGACCGGTCATTGGCTGTCACGTTGGACACGACCGAAGACACAATCGACAGATCGATCTTGTCTCGCAGACTTGAAATAGCAGGTGCCTCCTCCTCTTTCTCGTCAAAGGTCCCCCAGTGCAGGTACTTACGGTTTTCAGAGAGCCTGATAAAACGGTAGCCATGCGACGAGTTCTGGAGAAGACTGTCCGCAGTGACCGGACCTCCGGTCTCCTGATCAGAATAGTTACCACCATGAGGAAACCATGCTCCGACAAGCAAACATCGTATCCTTTGTTCTTTGACGAATTGTAGAGCCTCCGTCTGCAATTCTTCCTTCACACCACGAAGATGTTGGCCCCAAACGTCGTCGTAAGTCAACTCCAACAATTCCATCTGAAGTTCTCGGAGTTTCCTATACTCAAAAGCTGCCATCTCCTTTTCGATTTCTTCGATTCCTTTCGTGCGATCGGCTCCACCAACCACACTCTCGACCAATATCCGGACCAACTCGGTAATCTTGACAAAGTCGTCTGCTTCGGCTCCTGTGGCCTTCCACAACCGTAGAAATGCATGTAGACCGGCAACATGAAGCCTACTCCAGTGTAAAAGCAGAGGTTTGAAGACTTTGTCGACGTTTGTTCGGCTTTCTAAAGCCAGATAGCTCTTGGAGTCTTCCAGATCCATCTTGTCCACCTCAAAATGCTCGAACAGAATTGCTGTCAAGAGCAAGCTCGCCCGAGCTAACGGACATCGTTTTTCCTCAGGGCTTACCGCCTGCTCAAGCAGGATGTTCTGAAACTCATCCTGGTGTTTGCGCACATAGTCGGACAGGTCCATCATTCCAAGGAATCCTATGTCAGCAAAGTCTGGCTCAGGGTTCTCGCAAGAGAATCCTAGTCGCCGCCACTTGTGCGGGTTGTGCTTCGGCTTGGACTCTCCGTTTGATTCGTCATTCTCTGACGGCTTCTCGGGGTTGCTTGACAGGTGAATGGCCTTGATCGTTCGTCTGTGTTCCGGCTTCACCAGGTCAACTGGTACATCCCTCCATCTCCTAAGTAGGATTTTAGTAAGAGCCTGGAATTCCAGCAGCGGATGAGCCAAGTCCTGCAAGGCCGAACTCTGCATGAGCACATAGACAGCCTTGATGACCCCAAGATCTTGGATACGTTTTATAAACTTCGGCCACTCCGTCTCGTTGTCATTCGTTATAGCATCTCTCATTAGCGAGTTGATCAGCTGTAGCGCATTCGCGCACAGAGCATGATCCGCGGATGATAACCTTGTCACCAGCATTTCCAAGAACTGTGGATAAACCGCAATCGCGGGCTTGAGGGCCTGGAAGCCCCCCGTGCTGTTATTCGACGTGCTGGTTTGTGATGATCGGTCCGCATGGTACGGCCGCGACACGACCGAGACCAAGATCGCCATGGCGCCTCGCAGAATGTTCACCAACGGCTGACATACGACCAACTCCACGACCTGCTGCTGTCAGTTCTTCGTTTTCGCTCCCTCTTGTATGTATGGCGGGCGTCTTGCCTTTTCTACCACTTGATCGTTGACGGCCTCCCATCCCTGGTCGACTTCCAGTAGCCGAGCGAAGCTCGCCAAGCTGTACGCCAACGTGTTTCCATTGCTCTCGAGAATCAGACTGCGCAGTCGAGGAAGACCGCCCGAGACGACAAAGTGTTCGGCGAAGGACGGGTCGTTGATCAGCGACTGCAGCTTGAATGCCGCCATCTTTCGACTGGCATCTTCATGGCTAAAGAGGCCGGTCAGGAGATTCGACAGATTCGGGCTCTGCGCTTGGTTGGGAATGTCCATGGTGAATAGATCGGCCTGGACATGCGCTCGAGGTAGAAGGGGCGTGCTGATCAGGGCAGGGGCAGGGTGCAGCGGGTTTTCTTCCTCCGTCTCTTGGACTCTGTCATGTCGAGACGACTTTAGAGGCCTCTGTCCTGGATCGCATTGTGCCGAGGGTCGTTTTGAAGAGGAGTGAGGAGGTGGAGGGAGAGAGGTGTGTGTTGGAGCGTGGCTGTTCCAGGTCAAATTGTGTGCCAGGAACGGCCAGGGTCTGCTGCTAAGTCTCCCGCGAGCACTGTTTGGGGAGCCCTCGATGCTGTACCTGGGGGCGTCGGCGGGCGTCCCTGAGTGCCTAATGGTCAAACTCGTACGGTTACTCGTGCTGGTCCCATGCCTAAAGAGCCCAGTAATTCGGCTAATGCCGCTGTTGGCGTTTCGCGTGGAGAAATTGAAGGGTGTCGTCGACTTGGCCGATGCTCGCCGACGCTCCTTGCAGTATGACGTCAACAAGGAACTTCTGTCACTTTTGCTCGTGTGAGTGCTTGTCGACGTCGGGAGCAATGTCGTGTCTCGAGAGTCATCACTGCTAGATGAAGTGCTGTTGTACGATACCCAGTCGGCGTCTTCTTCCAAAACAGACTCACTTGAAGCCATCTCTTCTGACCTAACCAAGTGGACGGAAAATCAACGTGACTGAATGAAGCGACGCAGACGAAGTCGACGAGATATGATTAGGCAGTAATTCATGATATGTATCCTGCAAGATGAAATGCGAGGTGAAGTGAAGATAAACCAGAGACATGATCTCTGCTCGTCTGAAGTACTCCGTATGGGATCCAATTCTCTTATTGGCACTTTCATAAAAGTATTTCCAGCCTTCACTTCAAACAGGTGGTATATAATCACTTGGGCCGTTGACATCGGTATTGGTCATATCACACCCGAAAATGGTTAATTGCCTCCCTTCTTCTTCGTCTCGTCCTTCATGTCGATATTGTCCTCAGGTATCGCGGGGTATTTCTCGGTCAACCAGTCATAAAGATCATCACTAACATCCCCCTGTACTGTGATTTCTTCTCCGCCGCTGGCTGTCTTTGTTACACTACTCCCTGTTGCAAATTTCTTTCCCAACTCTTTGGCCACCTTTTTCAGGTCAAGGCCGTGGTCTTCGAGTCCCGATACCACCGTGACATATTTTCTCTTGTTCCGCTCAACCCGTTTGATCAGCACCACTGCTTCCGCCTTTCTCTCTGCCTCGCGCTGTTCGGCCGCTGCAGCCTTTGCTGTCTTTTTCGCCGCATCCTTCTCCGCTCGTTTCTGTGCTTCGACCGACAGGGCAGAAAGATTCGCGCTTAATGCCTCTTTTCGCTTGGTCAGTACCGTAGTCGTCTTTGGGGCCGTTGAGCCACGAACCTTCCGAGTACAACTTCTGGTGCATATCAGGGTGGTTCTTGTGCAGCCATTCCTCGCACTTTTTCACCGTGCCGCCAAATTCGCAATACTGCCCGTCCACAATATTAGCGTCTGTTCCCCAACTCGCGATGGAAATGCCATACCTCTGGTGGGAGACTGCACACTATCCGTACGCCATGTTAGCCACCAGTATCAGAGTCTCAGGCACGCACAGCAAATGCATACCTCCGCAATAGACAACGTGCCGCGCCGGAGGGCCAGAGGGATGCTCTGCGACCTCTGCCGACATTGTGGGCACAATAGCCTGAATTGATTATGTCTGATCAAGTAACACCCCTGGAAAGTGTCAAGCCGCGTGTAGGGTATGGTTTCATGTGGCTGTCGTCGGTCGTCCAGCGTACTCTCGACCTCCGCTCACAATTCGCCGTAGACTTGTGTTCAACTGCGCATGTGGCGAGGCCGGTGAAGTCGCCTGCCAAGCCCCTCTCTCTCCGGGAAAATGTCGGCTGGACGCAACCGACTTTGGTTTCGCTTCCGCTTCTGACTAACACGAAGTGACTTGCATATTTTCACGTGCAATGCGCAGAGAACACATTGGGCATCACGCACGACAAGGGAGGAATGGCACCAGGATGAGGGCTGCCGAGTCTAGAACAGAGAGGGAAGTCTCGCCAGTGTAGGGTGGGAACGCCGGAGGGTGGTCAACAAGGTCTCCTTTCCAGTAAGGACGGTTGAGACAGTGCCTCTCCCCCTCGGACAGCAAAACAACCTCGTGTCGCTCTGCGCTGTGTACAAGGCTTCTCTGTCATCATCTATCAAGGTTCCCCTCACTTGCGAGCATGGTGTGCGTATTGCATCTGCGAGTGGTCTTACTGCCCATATCCTCCGCCCCCTTCTGGGGAGAGGCTTAACCCCGTGTTATCCAACCTTGATTGCTCTGCTCATTGATGCTGTCTATCCTGCGTGAAGATGGGGAACATCCACGGGGAATTCCGGAGGACATGGCTGCAAATGCTTTTGGAAACTCGGTCTCAAAGTTGTGTCAAGGTCCACTGTGCTCGTCGAGTCTCGACCATGCACCTTCATCCACAGGTATGTACCTAAGTCTTTTCGTCTCCCTGACATCACGTTACAACGACGATGGTGGGCCGATATGGGCCAGTTTGATTAACCTGCTCACCAGCATGTGAAGATGTCGACCGACCCAGCTTCGTATCATCCCACAGCTGTCTCAGCTGTATGCTCGCTACCCTGGAGCCCAGCCATCTACGCGCCGACAGCCCAAAGAGCGGGGGTGACAGAACATCAATGTTTTGACTCCCTCGAATGCCCGAAGAGGTCCATCATTCGTCGCTTCCATTTGGCCATTGTCGGCACAGCTCAGGTTTCAGGGATACCACGACGCTCATATCGTCACTAGTACAAACTGACTTACCTAGCAAGCTCGTATTCTGATCTTTCAACAAACATATTGCGAGCCATCGCTTAACACTGGCCGTTGCATGGGGATCATACTTTCGACCCATCGCATCAGTTTCCATGACAGTTGAGCGGCGACATTGGCAAACTCTGGGGCGCAACGAGCTTGGAAGTCGACGTCTATACTCGAACCACCGCGATCGACCGTTGGCGACTGCCATTTCCTTGTGCGCACGCTCCTATGGTAAACTTCGTCCCGTGGTTGCCGGTGCTAGTCAGGGTTTGGTCTTTCGCATACAGCTTACGGACCAAGGCCAGATCGTCTACGATGAGTTGACGGGTGATGGAGATATCATGGCAGGGGAGTTAGTGGAGTGCATTGAGAGCGGATCGTCTGCTTCGCTGTCAATCAGAACCTGCCAAACTTCCTGTCACCGTGGTCTTTTGTTGAGAGTTGTTTGTGTGACAATCGTGCAGTGAGCAAGCTATGGTAGTCGATCAACGACCAACACTCGACTCTAGAATTACCTATCTGAGCAAAGAAATCATGATTGTATCGCCCGTGGCCACAGAGATGTGTGTTCCGGTATGCCTGTTCTTGCACACGATTGCAGCAGGAGCTAGATTTCATTGATCCAATCCAAGATAGACGTTACCTAAGTTTGCAATCTCAATAAAATGAATGTCCATCTTACGATGGACAGATCCCTTCAACACGCTTAAGAGGAGTTGTAATCCGGAGACTAAATCCGTCGGGAAAGCTAGTCTCTTACCTAGATATAAAGTTTGGTAAGCTGAGAAACGAGGACCCCGGGAACGACTGTTTTGGTGGTCTGAAAGAGAGTTGCTCATTGTGAGGTCCCAGGAAAGCATTCCAGACAGCATCAACACGGCTTGCTGCCAGCCGTGATTGTAGCCGTTGTTGACCTACGTCTTGCATGTTGTTGTTTACTCTCTGTCTTGAGCCAAGAAGCTAGGAGATGGCTCGATGCATGTACTCATGTACAACAATAACCGCTGCGTTATCGTGCACGTCAACGATAGCGATGTCCGCATTGGATCAGCACTCATACGTGCAGAGATAGCTGCCGCACCATGATATCCCCGTGTCATCAGGGCCGATCTCCCGCCCACGGGCAGGCTTTGGGTCTTATCAGCGGGGCACGTTTTGCTATTGATATGCATAGTAAATAGGTTCCAACATGTGCTTGACATTTTCGGGCCTCGTTATCCACACAATGCCAGGCTGGCAAGCATAGTGGACTTCCCTGCATCAGGTCAAGTTACAGTTGACGCCCGTGTTGGCCAGTCAGGCTCAACGGAGAAGGATTGCTGGTTCGACGCTGACGAACACTGCAGCCTTGAACCCGCCGCTGAGCCATCCTCTCACCAGGATAGCACGGATGATAACAGTGCAGCAGGGCCTCCAGTTCGAGCACGTTATCAAGGATCACGGCACGATGGCACTGCCGTGCAGGTGATTGCACGGGACAAAACTCTAAGACAGCATGTGCATGAGGTGGACAAGGGAGGCTCATCTATTGAAGCCACAGCTCCGCACAGCCATGGGCATTCTCTTGACTGCAAAAGTAGATTTCCATCCCTATGCGCCGTTGTGATGACGATGCACGGTCTGCAGTAGACTCTTCTTGAGAGCGTCGTGTCCACACCACCAACTGCGTCGTTGGACGGCGAACGATATCCAGTAATCTTATGCTTGTGTTCCGTGGCCTGAGATTAGAACACGGGCTCGCGAGCCAGGAGCTTTCCGACACAAGGAACTGTTCATTGGCAAGGAAAGTTTCGGGTGGCGAGGGCGACTGTGGCTCAGGTTGCGATGCAGAGTGGCATGCCATCCGGGTGGATAAGGAGGAAATTTTCGTGGATACGAGTATCTATCCTGCGACGGATGAAGGGCGAGGGTCATGCTCAAGCGCGATTGACTGATGGATCAGAGGATACTCGCGGCGGAGATCTTGACTTTCGGTGAACAACAGACCGATGCGACACACATGGTCATATCGAGGAAACTGAGCCATGGCCGTCCGGAGCCTTGGTAGTTAAACTTACCTCTACGGATACTCTTTGATCGAGTTGACAGCTTTCGAATGCAACATGAGAAGCATCTATTCGTAAACAATTACGGGGCAAAGGCTGTCGAATCCAAGGCTATTTGTGGCGTGCAGGGTTGGATAGTAAACGTGGGATGCATGGCGAAGGACGAGTTAGAAAGGCTGGTGATTACGAGCAGCAAGGGTGACTTGCATGTGCAACGCTTGCCAGTAGGAGGGTGAATCCGGGAGTATTTGCTATTCTAGGCTCTTTTGCATGTCTTGGTGATCCTTCAAACGCTCAAAAGCGATAAGTACCTTGGTAGGTAGGGTATGTTTGGTGAAGAAACTGGTGGTGTGTTTGATTTTCGCAATTTTTGGGCATGGAGTCTGTCCTTTTGGGTACCGATACCGAGTTACTCGACGGCGCTGGAAGCAAAGAACTATTGGCGGTGCTCCCCGCGAGTTCTGGCCTTTGCTGCAACGAACAACGGCCTGTGTTTCGAGCCTTCTAGGCATGATCGACTGTGCCTATGGAGCATGACGATGCCCCTAACGCTTGGTTAATCGCAGGCGCCTGGGGCCATAAAATGCCAATGGGATGTTTTGCCTGACGGTGTAATTTGATTGAATAGATTGTGGCATTGGGTACCGTAATACCTAGGCAAGGCAGCAACAATATGGTCAGACGTGATATATCATGCTCACCCTACGGGGACGCGAGTACTGTATGTACAGTAATAAGGAGGTACTCTGTTGCCCGCCTCCTGTCAAGAAAAATACAACCAGGGATGTGGCATCATCTGCATCTGCATCAGCATCACTAACTATCAATATTATTTGATTGATTTTTGTCTTGTCTCTGGATGGCAATCTTCGCCACGAATTTTTGTCTCGCTGATTTTCTCGCTCCCAGCCAACTTGATGACGACGATGGTTTATTTCCCTGCCGAATCCATAATACATTGTGTACGGAGTACCTGTTATTGTTTCCGTCTCTTCCTTTCCGTGCACACACACACATACGTCTCACATCAACCACCTGGGCAGGGTCCATCATTGTCTCAGCTTACAATTGTTACGTCGACAGTGCACCCGCTAGTAAGGAGTGTTCTAACGCCATCGTTACGAGGAACTCCATACTCGGTACTAGTATTTGCCTCGACCCGTAGCCGTCCATCCAGGCCTGTTCTTAGTTCTTAGTGTGGCCTGCATCAACGCCACAACTTTTTTTCACCCTCTCCCCACGCTTGCCAAGCGAGAAAGAAGTCGATTGAATCCCACGAGCCCTGGATTGACAGGTTCGCCTACGAGGATGGAAGCATGCAGCTAATTCACCTCATCCAGGGTCCCCGAGCAGTAGCTTGCAGTGCAGAGAGATTTTCCGTCTGTGCTTTTCCTGCACGGCCGTTCGGGAAGCGGCTCCTCTTGCCATCATCTTTTTGGGATTGGATTTTCTCGCGTTTTCGTGCTCGGCGCCTCTTCCTCCTCATCCTCCTCCTTCTCCTCCCTCGATCCCTCCCTCCTCAGTGACTCCACCGCATTACAGTAGAAGCATCTGCACCACAAACCTCCACCCGCTTCTCGATCCCAAACCACCACCTCCACTCCGCCTTTCTCTCCCACAGATCAATCCTGCCAGTCGTTACGTTCCTACGAGTATAATCTCGTCCCTTTTCACCCTCACATCCTCCCAGAGTCCACGATCCTCGATCGCTACCTTAGACTCCCCCGAGCGCAGATCATTGGAAAATCTTCGACCGCCGGCGTTTCCTCAAAATCCCCCACCTCGTCACAAGCCGGTATCTTGTCGCACATCCTTGGGCACCTGCATTCTCATATTGTAACCAAGTAGACAAGCAAGACGGGATTTTGGGAATAGGCCAAACACGGCACTACACAGACAAACACAACATAGCTCACCTATCTCTAGCCACGGCGCCCCCAATCCTCCATAGTCGCGGTTGTCCTGCTCCTTGAGCACTTTTTTCCGACCTCGACATCTCGAATTGCAAGAATTGCAACCCATGAGTCGCTTCTCATGACTACAATCCTGCAGGCTCCTCTCCCAGGAGCCTCACCTTTCTCATCCAGCCCCCTCCAATCAGCCTCATATTCAGATCTTGAGGCTGTGAACAAGTCTCTATCCTACGGCGAGACAACATCCAAGCAGACTCCCTCTTACTCGCCTCATGACTTTTCCAGGATGTTTCCAGATTCTACACCCTCAACCGCACCGTCTTCCCCTCAGCTGACATACACGAGTTCGTCCAGGCGGGATTCCTACTCTTCGACGCCGGCCAGCTGCCTTTCGTTGGAGAGAGATACTGTTGAGGACGACATTACGGAAGAGGATGACATGGCATTTCCTGCCTTTGAAAACTCCCTCATACCGCACAAGTCCTACCAAAGCCCGGCAGAACAAGAGGACATCACATCACAAGTGCCCAGTCCTGCCCCTACTGACGACGACTTATCACTGCCGACCAAGACCAAGGACGACCATGCTGTGAAGCCTGAGCCTACAAGGCACGTGGACTATTTGTCACACGAGTGGAAGGAAGAGGATATCTGGAAGTCATGGAGCTATGTCTCTCACCGGAGGCGGTCATTAACGAATGGCACCCGGCTGGAAAATGCCTCGTGGAGGTCGTGGATGAAGGCCAAGAATCGCCTCAAAACAATCTCGCCTGAGACGCTCAATTGGCTCAAGGATTGTGATGTGACCTGGTTGTACGGTCCGTTACAGACCATCCGAAGTACATCGCCGTCCACGGAACAGACATCCCCTCCACCCAGCCGGTTGTCACATTCATCCTCGTTCATCTCCAAGAAGCCGATTCTTAAGAAGAAGTCGGCTTCAGCTGCCATCCTCGAAAGGTCTAGGTCGCAACAGTCTCTCCTTCAAAGGGCCAGCGACATCATAAGGATTCAGCAAGCGAGTCCTGGCCATAGTCGCCCTATCCTTAGAAGAGGCAATTCAGAGTTCACTTTGCCTCGGTATCCCACTAGCTCGGTAATTACCACCCCTGCCGAACAGGAAACGCCTGGCTTCACCGGACCTCGATCGTCATTTGGATTTGGAGATATCCCGACTCCATCCGAGTGCAAGCACGTTCTCTTCGACGAGGAAGTACGACAAGTACAGGCGGTCGACTCTGAAGAGGATGACAAATCCGATGAAGACGAAGCAGCGAGCTTTGAAGAAGAAGATGACGACGACGACTTTGGCTTAATGATGGCTCCATCTCGAATGTCAGGCAGTGCTAGCAATAGGGCAACCCCTCGTGGCAGCTTCAGCAATGACTCCAAGACAATAGTACCGCTTCCGTCGACTACATTGAAATATCGGAGTGACACCCCTGAACCCAAGGAGGGAGCCAATGGCCAGGTTGGATTATGGCCCAGTGGCCGAAAGTTGTCCCCTTCGCCGTCCCAAGAGACTCTCAGACCTTCCAAGCCTTACCAAAACTTCTTAATTGACGATGATCCCGAAATTAATGATGAACCATGGCAGCCTCAGTCATCTTTAGGGGGAGACAGGTCCCCCTACGATGACGATGATGACGAGAATAACGACCATCCACATATGAGACGAACGGAGTCTGGCATGTTTATGCCCTATGATGAGAATGACGAAGAGGCGGTGATGAACAATACGCTCTTCGGACAGGCAATGTACGCGGTGAATACGTTCAGAGATATTGCGCATGTGGTCTGGAATGTGGGATGGAATCGGCGCTGAATATAACGACCAGCCAGGTGGAATGTTTATTTTGCTGTTTGGGCACGATACATAGCGTGGGCGCTTTTTTGGAGGTTTACTGCATGTTTTTCAAGTGAGGGCTCATTACGCGTCACTTCTATTCAAAGATGTCCTGCAACATGGCAATGCAGCCTCATGAATCTGGGCGGGAAAAAGTCACATATCCTATGGGTTTTGTCGGTACTCGGAATGGTAGACACCTGACTTGTGGGAGGGCATCAGCTGTATATATGATGGAAGGGTTAGGGACAGGTTGCTTGAGGGGTGGATGATCTGACAACATTCCCAGCAGATATAGACGGCGTCCATATAGAAGCGCAGGGAGTCACTTTTTCAAGGTTGATTGAAGTTTATCGGTTGTGGTGGTTAAGGCCTAGGATGAGTGGTATGCTCTACGGAGGACGTCTACATGTTCCCCACCGATTTATTCCGTACTGGCAATTATACATATTGATCAACCACCAGGTTAAAAAGAAAAAGAAGGCTCGTCGACCCTCTGTAAAAGGTTACGTAAGGATTTTCCAGGAGATATCTGTACTTGGTAAAAATATGCTGATAGTACATGAACGATGACGACGGAATGACATAGAGTTGTCCTGTCGAGTACCCGGTACGTAGTACAGTACGAGTATATCCGTGCTCAGGAAAAAGAGGTACGTGACTTTGACGTGGTGGTGGTGGTGGTGGTCAATGCTACAAGATCCCAATTTCGAATCCGGGGTAATAGTTAGATTTTGTACCCAGGTGGTTACGATCTTGGGGGCGGACGGGGAAGAGGGAAAAAGGGGGGGAGGGGGCCAACAGAGAAAGTGTGTTGTTCTTTTGAGAATGACAATGGGAAGTCGTCATAAAAACGTCAATTGACATCGGTATGTGAGGTTATTGTACAGCCACGAGTACAATGAATCACGTTATAGTATTGTTCTCATCCAACCAGAACGATTTGTCTGTACCATCTTTTTTTTGACGTCTTTTGACATCTCAGATGTAGGTTGACAGCTCTTTGACAGGATGGGGAAAAGGAAGCGAGGTTTCTCTCGTGTGTGCCGCGCGTGAGGTTGTAAAAGTGTCGGTGTACATACACAATAGTACTCGTACTCGGATACCTTGTGAGGTCTTTACCTTGGCCTGGTACTTGGTCAAAGGTGAAAAGGGCAACAACACGAGAGACGGATCAAAGATCAATATTGTCAATGGAGGCCGGTAAAGTCGTCTTTCTCTCCGAATCCGTCGTGGTGGCGTTGGTTGTACTGATACTCGTACCAATCTACTGTACTCGGTACTTTACGATTCGTACGAACGACTCCGTACGTATCTAATACAGTACATACAGTTACTTCCGTGACACAAACAGGGAGGTTGAGGTGATGTTCCGGCGACAAAAAGGTGTGATGCAAGAAGGGCGAAACGTGTATGATGTCATGTCACCTGATGACCCACCTGCTCTCCATACTCGTACTCGTACTCGTAAAGGTGAAACTACGATTTCACCCGCATTCCAACATTCCGACCCCGGAGAAATACGGGAGGGGTACTTCAGTACATACTGTACAAGGGAAGATTCACATCAAGGGAGGAAACAGCGGCCTTTGTTCGGCCCGGGCCCTCGTCCGTGAACTGAATTCGGAAAGAAACATTGACTAATACTTTTTGTAGTTTCAAGGCACGCAACGACCGCAGAACCCGAACCCTCATGCAGAGGGCGACTACACGATGGTGCCGCCAGACCCCACTCTCTATGAAATGTTCGCCACGGAAGCGTCTACGGTGGTGCTCTTCCCAACTCAGAAGAAGCTATTCCCAAATTAGGGAAGAAGACAAACAAGAAGTTAACGTCAGAAAAATCGAGGAGGAGACTTTACCATTCTACAGCCGTTCGAACTTTTACCCAGTCTACATTGGTGAGGTTCTCGCTTCAAGGTACAGGGTTGTTGGGAAGCTCGGATTTGGTGCCGGTTCGACGGTTTGGCTCGCCAGGGATTTGGAGTTTGTTTTCTTCTCCTTGGGTAAAAAAAAAGATGAAAGAACGCCTAGCCTAACCACACCTGTCGAACATATAGGAAACAAAACTATGTCGTCCTCAAGATCTATGCCCGAGGTCTGAGTTCGACCTCGGAGCACGAGGTGACAACCTACAAATACCTAAACACAATTGAATCTGACCATCCAGGACGGAAATATGTTCGAACGTGCCTTGATAGCTTCGAGGCCGAAGGACCCGATGGCAATGCATACCAATGTCTCGTGCACCGTCCTCTTTGGCAAAGTCTCGGGATGTTACAATACCGACACAGCAGGCACAAACTCACGGAAGAGCTCCTCAGACAGGTGCTTTCTTGTGTCCTTCGAGCGATAGACTATCTGCACAGTGAATGTCACCTGGTGCATACAGGTATGGAAGATAGCCTACAGTTTTTCTACACCAAAATTGAGTCTCAAGCTGATGTATACGTAGATATCAAAGCAAGCAACATTATGCTTGGTCTCGACGACGATTCGGTTCTGCAAGCTTTTGAGGCAAACGAGATGGCCAACCCTAGCCCTCGAAATATCTATCCGGACCGCACGATTTATCACTCTCGGCTCATAGACAGGCCAAAAGCGATCGGACTTCCCGTCTTGAGCGACTTTGGGCTGGCCCGATTCGAAGGGGGAAATGCCGACGACGATATTCAACCAGAGATTTACAGAGCACCGGAGGTCTTGTTGGACATGGACTGGAACTACCCAGTTGACATTTGGAACGTTGGCGCCATGGTATGGTATATCCTGTGTAACGTTGAATCAAATAACAAGTTGCTTACCAAGTCTCTGCTTTTAGATCTGGATCTCTTCTACGACAAACATCTGTTCGATGCTTACGATCCCGCCACGAACAAGCTTTCAAATAAATATCACACCTCAGAAATGGCAGCATACCTTGGCCCGCCCCCTCGAGAATTTTTAGAAAAGAGCGAGACAAGCTGGAAGTATTTTGACCGATCAGGTAGGGTTCTTTTGTTTTTTAATTGCCTGTCTGTTTGTTTGGTGCGAATTGAATTGCTGAGATTTTTCAACTTTTTGTTCCAAACAGGCCGCCTGATAACCGGATTTGACCTAAGCGACAAACTATCACTCGATGCTAGAGAAGAGCGGTTGGAAGGCGAAAAGAAGGAGCAGTTTCTCAACTTTATCAGGTCAATGTTGCGATGGGATCCAAATGACCGGCTTACTGCTCGTGAGCTCCTCGATGATCCATGGTTAAACGACTACAAGATTTGAATGTACAAGGGGCCTTACGCAGTACGGTTCCAAACCTCGTTCCTCTGGATGGTAGACATTGGCTTAAAAGTGCAATGCTACCTACCTACCTTAGACCAACCTACCTTAGACCAACCTACCTTAGACCAACCTACCTTAGACCAACCTACCTTAGACCAACCTACCTTAGACCAACCTACAATACCCAGCCTTGTGTGATTTTGTGGGATGTGTTCCCACAAAGCTCGCGCAGTAAAAGAACTATGGGCCTACTCCTTACGGAACTGGCCATGTCCATTTGACTACCACGGCAGATTGTGCACCTTCCTATTAAGACTCCTTCGTTTCGGGTCGACACGGTCGATGTAGTCGAAAGGTCCGGTGGCGAGACACTTCGTCAGTAGTTGTTGGGGGTTTTGGTTGACGCTGTTCTTCATTCTTCTCCAGTCGGACCCGCAGTCCCCGTCGACCACACTACAACTGCAGTTGGGCATGTGGGAGGACCGGTGGTGGCAACAACAACAACGAGGAAGAAGCTCGGTTGACTTCCTTGCTTGTCCGCCTGCTTGCCCGTTCGGCTATTTCCAAATCCTTGCAAAGTGCTGCATGACGGCGTACAGGGATGGATGGCGACCGAAGAAGTGGTCGGCTTCGGATCCGATCCTTTTGATGCCGCTGAGTAAAAAGCTCGTTCGTGAAGATAACAAGTATTGTTGTTTCACTTTCTCGTCACATGGGTCAAGGTCTCCAATTACCCGTTTGATCTAGATGCTGAAATGATGTGCATGAATTCCTGTGGGGTTGGGAAGTTTTAGGGCGCTAAGGTGTAAGTCGAGTCTGTAGAAATGAACATGCGCTGTCGAACTTGAAAGACGTGTACACCTGTCTCGCTCTGGGTGATGACCAGGGATTTCAGTGGAGATTGTCTCAACCGCCCGGCAGGACAGTTGTGACTCACACATGAATCGTTTGTGTCGCTGTGCGCCATGTACGGCTCGCATCGCTTGTCGCACCGAGTACTCGCAAGGGGACAAGCTTGAGATATCGCCTGCTGCACCCGAGCCAGTCGATGCTTGATGCAGAGTTCTCCAACTAGGTGGGCGTATGACACGGCGCCTGGAATGATTCGACCTCCTTTGTACGCAAGATAACGAATCGGTCCGGGTTCGAAGAAGAAAGAGAGCCCCTGGCGCAAGTTTTGTGATACGGCGCCTGTTGATAAACAAAACATGAGTGTTTTGATGATGACCAAGGAAAACCGCAACGGTGTGACTATGACAACTGGTCCATGTGTTTGGTGGCCAAGTGATGCATTCCAGGTGGTCGTGACAATTGGAACCTCTGTTCCCTGTACTTGCTCCAGACATACAAATCAGTGCCCTTGGGGTGTTTTGACTTGGTTTCCCGCAAAGCCTACCTTGTTTTTCCATTGCCTCAACAATTGTGTCAAGCTTGATGTGAAAGTCCATCAGTCTGGATCCTCTCATCAACACGGGATATCGGTCAGTATAACAAAGGACCAAGCGTCATCAGCCCCGGAAGCAGGTTCAGAACAACTCGAAATGGGAGCTAGTTTATTCACCTACATATGCTGCCTGCAATACAGATATTCCAAGGAAAACCGAGATAGATCCAACAAGACCACCGTCGCTATGCCTCTAGCAGCCTGATTGCTGCGTCTTGCAACAAAAAAGAGACCACAACGTATATCGCAGAATGTCCCCCTCTTCCTCGATTTCCGTGTCATGCTACGAGGTTGACACTGCCCGAGATTGAAATCAAACATGTGCAAAAATGAATCCACAGAAGGAGCAAAGTCTGGCACACGTACAGTGAGGAAGTGTGACAGCATACCGATCAAGACGTACAATGAACTGAAGAAACATTATATAAACAAGGGATTTTTTTGGGACTCGGAATAATGGTCTTGAGATCATTCAGGGGTATTTTTGACATGTTGGAAGGACAAAATGTGAGAATATTGTTGCATTTACAAGACTGCAATGGCTCCGACGACCATGGCGAGGAGACCGCTTTGCACTTTGAGGCCAGTTGCACCGCTGTTGGAGTCTGGAGCAGTGGTTGTCTGGCTGGGAGAGGCAGATGACGATGTGGCCGAGCTGCGTGAGGATGAGGATGAGGTTGCGCTTGCTGACGACGATTCAGAACTTGAGCTCGAGCCCGAGGTCGTGGCTGCGGAGGATTCAGTTGAGCCGGTCGAGGAAGCGGTGCTGGTAGAATTGCTGGCAGAAGCCGTCAGAGATCCTGTACTAGCGGTGCCGGTGCTCGATGCGGTCGAAGCAGATGCAACTCCAGTGCCGGTGGCACCTTCGATACCGAAGTTGGGGGAGAAGTTGATGTTGGAGGCATCGGTGTCGTCGATGATTTCAATGGTATAAAGGTGGGAGTTCACTTCGTTGGCCGGGGGGATATCGAGAGTCGCGGTGCCATCGGACGCAGGTACGCCAGCTGTAGGACAGGTGAGTGAGTGCTTCTTGATCCCAGTGTATTTGGGATCCAGTGATGAACTTACAAGCGAGTGTAATACCACCATTAGGGGTAATGGGGTCTTGTTGCAGCTTGATCGTGACGGTTCCGCTCGAGGGATTGGTCCAGTCGATGGTAAGAGGCTTACCAGCTGTGACGTCGAGAGTGCTTTGGCCTCCAGGGACGCTGATGGCGTTGTTCTGAGCTGCAACGACAGCTGCGCAAAGCGCTGCGACTGCGGTGGAGAAGAAGCGCATGTTGAGTGGGAGGAATGTGGACGCGTCTAGAGACTGGATTGAGTTGGACACACAAAGTTGCGCGGCGGTAGCGATCGTATAATAATATACAGTACTACTGGTACGGAGTACAAGAAAATTCCTATATACAACCCAAACGAAGGTGTTTATGACCAAAAATATCCTCAGGAGTCTCAGGCGATGGCGGCGGGCAGTGTTGACGCTGAGCAAAAAAAGATGCGTGTTGCGCGACGACCAGAAACCTTAGCTCCCAAATTAGGCGTTAGTGGCGGCGACTAACGAGATGAGGTCAAGTTGCTGAAGATTGGGGGGCTTCAGGGAGACTGGACATTGGACTGTCCCGGGGACTGGGGACTGCGCCAGGCCTCGACGGGCACCAGGGCACCCCCCCAAGACACCACGAGACGCCCCTGTTGCCGCTCTTCACACCACCCATTGGTCCTGTGCCCACCAACCGAGAGACATGATGACGATTCACCAGATTAGCAGGGATCGTCGTCACTCTTTTTCTTCCCTTCAGCTACACACCAAAAGCGACCAGAACCCAAGACTCGTCAGTAGAGTAACAGCTCGTGGTCGAGGCTGAGGCTGAGCTCCTCGTGTTCGGCAACTAGGGACACGATGCGATTCCCACCGTTGCAGTCTTTTTTATTTTTATTTTTGTCTTCGCAGTTTCGATGCTTCAGCTTCGCCAAATAATCGATGGGATTGATTTCGACATGGTCATCTATAAGCTAGGCCATGGGGAAGTGAAGAAAGCGAAATGTTACAAGGGCTGCTTCAGTCGGCTGGTCCTCCTTATTTCGACATGAGACGTGGCTTTGGAGTTTGATCACCTCCCGTCGGTGAGAATGCTCGCAGCGACCTGGGCCTGACTCAGCTGAGATGCCCATGCTGCATACGAGTACGAGTACTGTACGGACATGCCAGATCCTGCTGACCTACAAACTGGTGTTCTTTGCAACATCGCAGCGGGATTCTAGGCAGGCATCCGAGACAAGGGCGAATCCATAATTTGTTCGTGAGTCGACATCCGTACTTGGTACCGAGGTCCGCCAAGTCAAGATATCTCACACTATCAATGCATTACTGCAGTACCTATTGCAGGTGACAGCGGCATCAGCAATGGTTTATTGTCTCCTGAGATTGAGCGAGTATAGTAGGCTGCATGATACGTAAATATAGGGCACAGGGTCAGGCAGTAATCCGGATGGGAACCCCTGCATATGTATGTCAAAGGTGAGCCCTAATCTGCCAGTCGATGCTCACCATTCGTGGTGTATCCCGTATCGCAAGGACAGTTGCGACCTGAAATGTGGTGGCACGCAGCCCAAGAGAGTTGCCAATCAGTAGCAGTCCGACATTGAACCCGTGGCTCTCATTTGGGTCTGCGGGAATTGTACCGACAGGGTCAGACTGTTCTTCCAGACCGTCGCACAACCGTTGGAACGGGGGACTGTCTCACGTCAATCGGTAGAGATATCCAATGAGATACCCCCCTTCGGACTTCATATCATGAGCCCGGGGAATAACAAGTCGCTCGCACGTTTACGGTCAATTCCTACGTCTACCACGGAGTATAGCCGGGGCACTTGTCACATCTATCGATGAGACCGACGCGTTGCATACCTATGTAGGTACACTCAGCCATGGATGTCTTGTAGAGACAAAATAAGCACCATCCTAGTAATGCAGGTACAAGTTCGGAGGAAGCCCGACTGCAAGCCCCAGGGACAAAGCAGACGCCATGGCGCTGTCAAAATTCCCCTGATGAAATGCACCACTGATAGAGTGACAGGTCCGATCTGCCTGCCACCTCCTCAAAGATCTTCAATGCAGATGCTGTTCTTGTACCACAACCGTGTTTGCTGTGATGCGGTGGTTGTTGTCGTTGTGAACCTGATTTTTAGGCAGGACCTCGATAAACAAGTGGTCCAGAACTCAGCAGCCGAAGATGGGCAGCCACTGTGGTTCCAGACCAGTTCATTTGCTAACCCTGGTCCGCCTCCTCGGCAGGGATACGGCGGGGATGTCGCGCGTCGGCATGAACTCGACGAGAACCACACGACGCCATCCGAAGAACATGAACAGCTATGCCCTGAACCGTTTCAAAGTCGACGAATAGTGTACTGTTGAAGGAACCACAGGAGCATGCAGCCAGGCGACGAAGTGATGCGCCACAAAGGAACTGAAGAGTGCTTGCCAGGCCCAACCCATGTAATCGTACTCCGTACTTTCTTTTTAATCTCTGCGATGGAGATGGCAGGCTTCAATCCGTTAATTCATGACTGTACGGAGTATCCGTAGCATCATCCTCCCCCTGGCATGTCCGTATGTACGTTAGGTAGATGCTGTACTCCATACTGTACTCCGTACATATATCGCATGACAGCACCGGCATCTTGTCTAGCACTGCCAACTACAAGTGTCTCTCACTTCACTCCTTTCATTCCTTTACTTCTCGCACGGCCCTTTCTTTTCTTATTACATTGTCTTTATAGCACGACCGCGAGTATACGGACTGCGACTGATTTCTAATATTCCCTTCAAATCCCCTACGAGCTCCTATGTTTGCCTCCCAACTACCCACTCCCAAAACTAAGCCAGGCGATACGACGAAGTACCACTAGGGCCTCCTTCCTTAGGTACATATTGCCACACACACACACACCTACACCTACACTACGCCGACCACTCATCAGACCAACAATCAGTCCCTCTTTCCCTGAGAGGCGTCTTTTTTACCGAAGGCGCTTAAATTGCAGCCAGTCAATCGCCAAAGGAGCGTCCTAGCGAACAAGAAACAAAAAGCCATGCGAGGGTGCCCCAATTGGTGTTAGCCCTTGTGTTTTATTGACTCGTTACCACCAATAATCATCTCCGACATGCCGAGTTCTCGACGCAATTCTCATGCCTACAGCAAAGACGACGTGGCTTACGAGTCATTGCCGCCCGCTCTCCGACGAAAGGTGAGTCCAATCCTTCGGTCTCTGTCTCTTCACCTGTTCGGCGGACATGGGGTTCCTCCCGCACAGGTCCCCTGCCCGCGTCAGCATCCTTTCCCTCCTCATCCCTTGAGGAATATGTCGGCCGTCAGCATAGATCCTTCCCCCTTCTCCACTGGCAAAACTGGAAGTCTGCCTTGTCCGTGCGAAAATCCATCCGTCAACGTGTGGCATGGCAACCGGGTCCACGTCATAACAGCGACGGTGTGGAATGCAGGTCCAGTTCGGAGGTCGACTCGGGCCACCCAGTCTTGCCATGGGGGTACTGTAGGGGGTTTAGGCGTGTTGCTCCCTGCCTGAATAGGCTTGACATGCCCATTCCCCTACGTACCCTAGATACCCTAGGCACCCGTGACCCTGCCGACTTTCCTGGACCGTGCCGAATCCAGGGGCACCAGCATGCGGCTAGTTGGCGATCTCCACCACTAAGCTGCCTTTGTGCCTGTCCGACCAGTCAAGCATGCGCCCATGCCACTCTCGTTTCCCGCAACCGTTTGACTACCTCTGTCGATCGCTGATGCTCCAGGGCCCTCCGCTAACGTGTCTGTTGCACCAGTATTTTAGCAGTTTAGAACGTCTCAGACTAGCTCAAGATGCCAATAATGCCAGCAGTCTTTCACCTCCTCCTTCTCGGTTGTCGATCCTCCCTTCGAAGGCATTCTGGTCTGCTACAAAACCTTCCAGCCTCGATTGCCTCAATCTCACAGTCCTAACCGACACGCTGGTACAGCCGGGCTTGCTGTTAAGCGGAAACAAATTGCGCAAGAGAAAGTTGTCGGCCACGAGGTTGAGAAACCACCTCAGTCAACCCACTGCTCTTTGGTTCTCCTCACTTCCACCAGCGGTCCAGAGAAGATTGTTTTCGCCAGAAGAGTGCTCTTTCTACGCGCGAGAGAGGACCTCGTTCATCCTAGACGCTGCCGACGAAACCCTCCGCCGGCGCAGTTCGCATCCCTCCCACCTCCCAAACTTCCAACGTCGGGCCTCTGACGAAGACACAATCGTGGTTGAGGAAGATTCTAAATGCGAAGAGGAGGTAGATTCAGCCGTGGATATGGGTGAATACTCGACAGAGGGCTTTCGGTGGCTAGAAGACGAACCAGACCTCGACCTGAAGATTGACGACTATCATGCAGCCATCGCCGAGACCAACCGAAGGACAGCTTCGATATCAGAGCCCGTGAAGCGTACCACTCTTCAAAAGCGCACTGCATCATTGTCAAGTCTTTCGATACGACGTGGTCGAGCGTCAACATCCTCTGCCCGGCCAATCTTTGACTCAAGCTCAGAAGCGCCTGCCCTTCCCTCCAAGGCCTCGAGCATTAAATCCCCGTCCTTTTCTCTCAAACACCTCCGGTCTCAAACATCATTATCCTCGCTTGATCCTCGAGCAACTCACTACCAGGATCCTGCGGCACGTATGAAGCTGAGAGTATACCTTGCCTCTCCACAAAAGTTTGACGAGGCCATCGAGTTCGGGTTCCCCTCGGTTGAAGAGAGAAACCGCTGGGATTGCATGCGACCGATGACAAGCCCTCACCCCAGACACGAGCCAAACCGGACCTTCTTCCACGACGACACACCGTCATTGTCCGGGGGTGACAGTGATAATGAAGATGACCATCCTGACACCTTGTTTGACCCAAGAACTCCAGAAGAAGCCGTGTTCCACATGCACCGAGCTCCCCCTCCTCCCCCTTCTACCAAGCTCAGTACCGACGGAGATGGCGGCATCAGCCTGCGAAGACCGTCCTTCATGCGGAGACGAGCAGAGACATATGCTCGTGGATCCACAACGGACAGAGAAATGACACTGCGCATGACATTGACACGACCAGACTTACGTTCTCCTGATGAACCCCAGCAAGAGCATCGGAATAACATCAATGCCATACCGTTGGAGCGACCTGAACTCGTGGCACAGCCTAGCCCGGTATCCATCTGGGACACGTTACCGCCTTCAGAATCGAAAATGAAGAGGTTCTTCAGAAGACTGAGAATGAGATAAGCATTGATATCCTTGATTGTTTGTTGTTCGGCTGTCGAATTGCATGAAGCGCCGGCAAGCGCATGAGTGCGTCAGACTTGTCATTGAGCGAAGGAGTTTACGGGGATAATGATGGGTGAACGTGGAAGCCTTTTCAGGTCCACCAGGTTACTGGGAAGATAGGGGGCGTAATTTTAGTATTCAGCTACAGGAGGCCCAGGTGTGAAGATAGAACACGAGTATGGGCAGCAACACAGAGCAGTTTCTTCTCATCAGAGTGTCTCAATGACACTATTGTTCATAATGGTCAAGTGGTAGAAAGTCTAGACTCTTGGTGTACGAGCAAATGATGAAGGCGATGTATCCAAAATACTAAGGTAGCTATTACTGTATTGTCTGCAATTGTGATTTGGCTGGTGATGTTGGTGAGGAATGTGTGACTTTCATAAAAGAGCGAACAGAGTAGGTACAGTACTGACCATCTGCCCGTGCAAGATATTCTGTACTATCTCCTGGTATAAGTTCTTATCAAGGTACCTTATGGCTGGACAGAGAGACTGTAATAGGTTCATCGGCCTCACCAGGCCACCATATGGCATGTTCTCTGATACGCGTTCCAATAATTGGCAGATGACGCACGCTAACGACTGCGGCCGCTGACTTGACGAGCCGCGCAACTTTTCTGGCCCCGAATAATATTAATGCTGTGCTAATAACTTAATGCCGTGTGTCGAGATCCATTTGGCAACAGGCACAACTCGAAACAACAGCTTGTCCATTTCATTTCGCCAATTGTTCTTGTCTTTGGATTTATCACATCGCTCATCTAATCCCGCTCAATGTGGTAAACAAAGATGATACTCCGGTCCTTCTGTCGGCGAGCCGTCGCCTCGTCGTTAGCCCTTCTCCTTGTCCTCTCCTCGTCGCAGCCTGCACAAGCCAAAAAGGATGGCCCTACCATTTCCTCCACCAAATTCGAGCATGCCCTCGAAAATGTATTCTACTTTGACGATAGCGATATAATCCTTGCCCAAGACCGAGATGCTAACACCATCTGGCGGAGTGCGGATGCGGGTGAGACCTGGAAGGAGGTCAAAGGAGGCGGCCAATCTGGGAATGCTTGGGATCTGGTATCCCACCCTTGGGACAATCAGCGCGCGTACATCCTCGGCCTGGGATCTGAACACTGGATAACGACCGACCAGGGTGAAACATGGAGGGAGTTCAACACCAATGGCGCCAGCCTTGCGCTCTTCCGCCCATCACCTCTCAGCTTTCACGGCCAAGATGCGAAACGAGTCATCTGGAACGGCGAGCAGTGCGCGGGTCTTTCCTGCTCCGAGGTCGCCTTGGTGACAGAGGACGATTTCAAGACGGTCAAGAAGATGAGCAGTCAGACGAGAGGGTGCCAATGGGCGCTAGGAACCCCCGAATTCGCGGAAGACGTTGCTGTCGAGCTTCAGAACCGAGTCTTTTGTATTGTCGAGGGCTTATACTCTCCATGGCCCAAAGACAACCGGCTCCTTGTGTCGGACACCTTCTTTGACGAAGACGAAATCGAGCCGGCCCTCGACCATGGCCGAGCCGTCACTGGTATTATTAGTATGGCCTCTGTCAAGGGATTCTTGGTTGCAGCTGCAAAGTCTGCAGGTACCGATGAGCTCGCTCTCTATGTCACCAAAGATGGATCACAATGGCATCGTGCAGAGTTCGGCCAGCATCGCATCAACGAGGATGCCTACACCATCCTCGAAAGCACAAACTACAGCATGCAAGTCGACGTCCTCGACTCAAGGCCTGCAAACCCTATCGGTTACCTGTTCACCTCGAATTCGAACGGAACCTACTTTACCCGTAACATTGATCACACGAATCGAAATATCTACGGACGAGTGGATTTCGAAAAGGTTTCAAACATACAAGGTATCGTACTTGTCAATGTGGTGGAGAACTTCAAAGAGGTCCAGAATTCCATTCTTGTTGAGAAGAACATCTATTCACAAATAAGTTTTGATGATGGACGAACGTTCCAGGATCTGAAGGTCAAAGACAAGAGACTCAACTTGCATTCCGTGACCGATGCAAAACAAGGCGGGAGAGTGTTTTCCAGCCCGGCCCCTGGTATTGTCATGGGCGTGGGTAACACTGGCAAGTTCCTAAAGCCATACAACGATGGTGACCTTTATGTCTCGGACGATGCAGGTGTCACCTGGTACAAAGGGCTGGACGGTGCGCACCTATATGAGTTTGGCAATCAAGGTGCCGTCATCGTGGCTGTCGACGATGAAGATGCCACGAGTCACATCAGATACTCTCTTGATCATGGTAAGACGTGGAAAAAGGCGGACCTAGGAGAAAAGGTGCGCGTGAAATTCCTGACTACTCTTTCCGACTCTACCACCCTCAAATTTTCTCTTCTGGGCTCAAAAGGATCTGGTTCCAAGACGGAATGGTTGATATTCAAAATTGACTTTGACGGCCTACATGAGCGCACCTGCAAGGAATCAGACTTTGAGCGATGGCCGGCTCGCGTTGATGAGGATGGAAAGCCGACATGCGTCATGGGACACAAGCAATTCTACCGCCGTAGAAAGGCAGAAGCGGAGTGCTTCGTCGATGAGGAGTTCAAAGACCCTGTACCTGAATTCGAACCCTGCAAATGCACCATGGCGGACTTTGAATGCGATTACAACTTCCTCCGGGATGCAGATGATCGCACTAAATGTCTGCCTGCTGCTCCAATCCCGGTACCGAAAGGCGAGTGTAAAGGTGATAAGGATACGTTCAAGGGTCCTTCCGGTTGGCGCTTAATACCGGGGAATGAGTGCATCCATGATGGAGGAGAACAACTGGACAAAGAGGTCGAGAGACCCTGCTCTGACACAAGCAAGAAGCCGGCCAGTGGCGATATCGAGATCGAAAAGACCAACTTCGATGCTGATCGATTCTCTGAATGGTACTACCTTGAGCGAGCCGACAAGGCCACTGGAAGCGATGAGACCCTCATCATGCGTACAAGTGAACAACATATTTTCCTGACGCACGACCACGGGAGAACTTGGGAGCGGATTCTGAAAGGAGAGCCCATCACAGCAATTGCTCCCAACCCTAATCATCACGATGTGGTCTTTTTCCTAACGGGCTCCAAGACGGTGCATTATACCATCGATAGAGGAGACAGATTCGACAAATTTGAGGCACCGGAACGGCCGAGCACCTTGAGGCTACCAACGCTAAGATTCCACCCGGAATACAAAGATTGGCTGCTCTGGTCCGGGTCTGTTGGCAAGGACGATCATACCAACATCTTCTTCTCAAAAGACCGTGGCGACAATTGGGAGACCATGGTTCGATATGCAAGGAAATGTGAATTTATCACACGAGAGAGTCGACCGGATTCTGATCAACTCATATACTGTGAACAGTATCAGGACGAAGATCCAGAAAAGGCCCTGATGCTGTTGTCCAGCGAGAACTTTTTCGGCAAGTCAGAGGTTCACTTCCCTGACATTCTAGACTTTGCAACAATGTCTGAATTTATCATCGTTGCGGCAAAGACCGAGGACAGCCAAGGTCTCAAAGTCGATGCCAGTGTTGATGGACATACTTTCGCCCCGGCCGAGTTCCCCAAGAACTTCCAAGTTGCTCATCAGCAAGCATATACCGTGCTGGATAGTTCAACCCACGCCGTCTTCTTGCATGTTACTGTCAATGCGCTTCCCGACCGAGAGTATGGTGCCATAATCAAGTCAAACAGCAACGGCACGTCCTACGTTTTCACACTCGACGCTGTCAACAGAGACACCGAAGGGTATGTTGACTTTGAGAAGATGCAAGGTCTTGAAGGTGTGGCAATGACAAATGTAGTGTCCAATCTTGATGAGGTCAACGACGGTGGAAAGAAGAAACTGAAGTCCATGATCACGCACAACGATGGTGCAGAGTGGACACTACTCCCACCGCCCAAGAAGGACGCCCTAGGGAATGACTACAAATGTGTCAAGGCAGACAACAAAGCCACTGACAAGTGCTCATTACATATCCACAGCTACACCGAACGATCGGACAAGTCTGCAACTTTCTCCAGCCCTAGTGCAGTTGGTTTGATGATGGCTGTGGGCAACGTTGGAGATCGGCTGCTGAGGAAAGACGATGAGAAGACCGACACATTCATCACGCGCGATGCTGGCATTACATGGTCTTCTGTGATGAAGGGAAGCTACATGTGGGAATATGGTGATCAAGGTAGTATCATCGTCATTGTCAAGGAATCTCAACCGACGAAGAGTCTTTACTACACTTTGGACGAGGGCCAGTCGTGGAAAGAGTTTGAATTTTCACCCAACGTCGAGATGCAAATTGACGCCATCACCACCGTTCCATCGGACAATTCTCTCAACTTCCTCCTCTGGGGTCGCGAGGTCGGCAGCAATGCCAAGCGAGGTATCTTCACGGTTGCCGTGGATTTCAGTGGCCTCAAGGAACGCCAGAGACCTTGTGAGCTCGATGAGCAGAAGCCCGAGAACGAGGACTACAGTCTTTGGGAGCCAAAGCACCCCATGCAAGATTCCAACTGCCTTTTTGGTCATGTGGCTCAATACCACCGCAAGCGTACAGATGCGCAGTGCTATAACGGCAAGATGATCACCCACATCCACAACATCGCTCAAAACTGTAGCTGTACGCGACAAGATTTCGAGTGCGACTACAACTTCCAGCCCAAAGCGGACGGAACGTGCGCTCTGGTGCCGGGCTTCGATCCACCTGACCATGCAGAAAATTGCCGCAAGAACCCGGATCAGGTCGAGTTTTGGTATCCCACCGGTTACAGACGAATTCCTCTTACGACGTGTCAAGGCGGACAAGAACTAGATAAGGTCGAGAGCAAACCTTGCAAGGGCCACGAAGAAGAGTACAAGAAGAAGCATGGTATCGGTGGGGCTGCTCTCTTCTTCGCCATCACCGTCCCGCTTGCAGCGGCGGCAGGAATTGGTTACTGGGTGTATACGAAATGGACAGCCGGCTTCGGCGGCTTTGGCCAAATCAGACTGGGTGAAAGTATGGCCGCCTCGACCGCACCGGGCGAGTCGCCTTGGATCAGCGTCCCTGTGGCCATTGTGTCGGGGATAGTGGCCGTGGTCAAGGCGACGCCTTTGCTCGTCATAAGTATCTGGAGAAGTGCAAAGGGATACATGCCAGTCGGTGGTGGCGGCGGCGGCGGACGATTTGGACTCGGGCGAGGTGCCAGTGCCGGATACGGCGCGCCGTACCGGTCGAGGGATGCGTTCGCTCGACGTGGGCAGGACTACTCTCAGGTGGTGGAGGATGACGAATTACTCGGGGATGGACTGGACGATGAAGAAGATGTCTAGGAATTTTTGGGGGGGACGACGACGTCGTTGTGGAGGAAGAGACACTTTCTTGCTCCTGTAACTGTGCTCTATTGTGAGAATACGAAAGTGAAGGCTTCTTTCCTTACCCTACCTTGTAAGAGCTCTTTTGCTCCCTTTCACAGGATTGACAGTTAGAGCAACTATGAGGAAATAGACCACGGAGAGAGCCAGAGAGAGTGAGGGCGCGTTGGGTTGGGCCAAGACAAAGCCTTTGTATGAAAAGTGTATATGATAGGAAAACCCACTTTTTGTTCTGGGGGGTTTCTAGGGAGAACAATTCATGCCACCCCGAAGGAACGATGAGGTTCGACAACTGTACCACAAGGTAAGTGGAAAAACCAATGTGTATGTATACAAGGGGATAGTAGACGGCTATAATATTCCGTACAGATGTAGGTACTCTTTTTTTTCCCCCTTCTCCTCGGTGAACATCTTTCGAGGAAACGATGGTGTGTCAAAGAGAATAGACGTCTATGGAGTAGGTAGCGACGAGAAGAGGCATATAAAGAGCTAGCCAAAAAGTTGAAAGCGAGGGAGCCGAGATTACATCACAGTCAGGAGAGGCGAGGGAGAGAGAAAGGAGGGGCGGCGGGCTTTGGTTTCCACGAGGATCGCAAGTAGACGTTGGTCGATTCAGAGGTGGTGTTCCGGGACAACGACGACATAACATACTCTCTTGTCACAGCCAGAAATGATCAATGCTGACTCGGGTAGTTGTGACTCTTTTTTCCGAGATGGTGCATAGATATAAAACTGATTGTATTTGAGGAGGACTCCTTTCGCTATGGGACAATTTTCCCGATCATTTTCCCCAAAGTCGTCTCAGTCTCGTCGACCTCCTCCCCCCTCCCCCCTCCCATCCAACTCATCACTCCCCACGATCGTCCTCGGATTCCAAACCGCACACACACACACACACACACACACACACACACACACACACACACACACACACACACGAGAGACAAAGTGTCCACCTGATAAGACCTATCCTCTTGTCGAGAGAAAGAGGGAGGTTTGTGTTGTTTTGTTTCCATGCTTCCCTTCAAAACCTCTTCCATTTCACCGGCTCTTCGAAAGAACGAATGACATGTCTCTGTTTGAAACTCGGACTTTTCGGTGACATTTTGGGGTGTGGCCTCGTGAGTCGTTGGGGGATGTTCGGTAGTAAAGTGAGGAGGTGTGTGGTTGGGTTGGGACGAAAGGTGATGTGACCTTGACTGGAAAAAAAAGGGGGGGAACAAAAAAGGTACAGCACCCTTTTTTGGGGGGGCGGGGGGGGGGGGGGGGAAATAGGCCCGGGGGGGGGGGGGGGGGGGGGGGGGGGGAGTTGAAGTCGTGTTGATTTTATTTGGCAAAGGCCTCGTTGACCTGCTTGACGGCCTCGTCCTTTGAGATGGAGTACTTCTCGGCCACCTTGTCGGCGAGGGCGTCCTTGTTACCGGCGACGGAAGCAAAGTCTTCTGGGGTGAGCTTGTCAAAGGTAGCTCTGAGCTTTTGCTTGGTAGCCTCGTCAGCCATTTTTTTTTGGTTCTGTTGTGTTGGTAGGTGAAGGGTGATGTGTGTGTGTGTCGAAAAAGAATTGGAGTTGGAGTCAAGACGGGTAAAAAAGTCTGGCAAGTTGGGTTATTGTGTGTTTTTGTGTACGGGAAGAGAAGAGAGAGGGAGAAAGAAAGGGTTGTGAAATGGAAAATCGAAAGACGGTCATGTTTATATATACACAGAAAGAAACCATCTTGTTACGTGGCTATTTACATTTTTGCCCCTCCTTTCCTCCCTTGCTTTGCCTTGTCCGTTTCGTTTCGTTTCGTTTTCCCTCCTCCTCCTCCTCCTCCTCCTCCTCCCCCCTCGTTCGAACCCAAGAACGCAATCTTACCCCTCTACGACTTGCAGTAAATGACTGAACCACTCTTACCCGAGTAAACAAAACCAGTACCCACCCAGGGCGCCCCTCATTTTCTTGGAATTTCTTCGTCGGTAACGATACGGTCCTGTTACAATCAAGTCAGGTAGGTGGTTCTATGTAAGGTATGTGCCTCGGAGGGTCATCGAGTGAACTGTCCCTGCGACCTGCTGAGTTGGGTCGTACTAAAATCACCCTAGACAAAGTGACTACTGCATGTGCTATATTCTGCATATCGTGTACATAGGTCCCCCCTTCCAACTTGGGAGATGACGGGTGGTTTTTAGGGGGGAGGGGGGTGTTCATCTCTGTGACGACACGACATTTTTTGACACAAAGAAGAAAATGGGTGATATCGAGTGACGGGGCAGTGTGATTGTAAGTGCTGTCGGGCTCACGAACTCTATGAAATAAAGATTGAGAAGCACCATCAAAATCCAATCAAATAAACCCCCCTTCAGTGCCTCACCGAATTCTTCTTTTTTTTTGTTGTTGTTGTTTCCATTTATTCCGCACCCACCACCCACCACCGCACGGGACTGTCACCGAATAGAAAGGTAGAAAAAAAGGTGTGAACGGTAAAGTGACGGCCCGCTGCTGGATCAGAAGTAAAGGCGCCCGTGCCGTGTGGTGGTGGTGTGGTGTATGTACGTGCGCGGACGGGACACTTTTTGGGGGCTTCTTCTTTTAGTGTCTTGCTGTACAAAAAGGTAACAAGTGGTTCGAAGGAAATCGAAACAGAATCACAGAAAATGGTGATGGTGGCGCATTTTAGGAAACTCCCTTGACCCACGGGACTTGTACGATACGAGGATCATTGGTGATTGATGATTCACACAATCTGGCGGTGAAGGGAAAATACCACTACCAACTAACTAAACCATTCTATCCTATTCCCAACCGAACAGAAGGGGAGATGGGGACTCGATGGCGACAATGGGCGGTGGGCGATGAGAGAAAGAGAGAGAGTGTGTGTGAGAGAGTGAGAGTGAGAGAGAGAGAGAGAGAGAGAGATGCTGGAAGCGAGTTTTGTTCGTCACAATGACTTGTAGACAACAGACGGCGAGGCATATAATAAGACAAGGATGTAGAGACTGTTTAATTGTTATTTTTACTTGTCGTTCATACCCCCTCGATCCAACCCCTCGGGGCATGTGCTGGTGGTACAATATGCCTGATTTATTACATACAGTGGGTGATCCCCATCATCTGTCAATGATCCAAGGTAGATCATGATCCAAGGAAGGGTGTTTACGGGCACCATCGACCCTTGATTTTCTTGAGCCTCCTACAATACTACTCGTAAAGGTCAGACGCCACTGTACAGTTTGGTGGGGACCTGAGCCATGTTTATCACCCGTCACCGTCACTTCCTCTTGTCCATTCCAAATGGTCAGATTTAATCAAACACTTTTCTTTCATCATCTCTTCTCATGGAGATGTACTACCGAGTAGTGTACAGACCCAAAAAATTCTTGCACGGCGGACAAAGACTGAGTCAACGACAACGCAGTATTAAATCCTTGAAGTCTCCAAACGTCCATCCAGACCCGTCCATGCATCCCAAAAAGAGAAAAAACCGGTGAACACAAATGTATTGCTAAGAAATCCTTCGAATCGGCCCCCTTGGGTACTCCGTACCTTGGCCAAGTCATGATAGAGAAGGCTTTACGCTGGCCAACACCCGGCACATGAACTAGGCATTTCGGGTACAGTACTAACTAACTCATGCATGTTCGGGAACGACGGTCTCCGAAATCACTATTTGGGCACCCGTTTTCTTTTTTTTTCCGTTTTTGTTTTTGAAAATCCTTTGAACCTCGTCTTCTCAATTCGTCATGCTTTACCGAAGGAGCGAAGGAATAACGACCTGCATTGGTGGTCTTGTTTTGACTTGGCTTTGCGCGAGTGTAATGTGGCCATAATATGGGGACCACGGGAGGATACCATATCATTTTAGAGAGTACAACGCACAACGTGCCATTGCCATTGCCAGCGTGGCAGGATTCTGTCTGTCTGTCTGTCTACCTACCTACAATAGGCACCAAGTGGGAGTCAAGTGGCGGTCTGTTATGATGGGTTTGCAATTTGATCGATCGATCTTTTCCGTGGTTCCAAATACATTTCATCCAATTCCCGAGCCTCATTGTGTGTCCTTGCATCAACCATGATTCCATCTATTCCGCAGTATCAACAATCACACCGCGTCATGCTCATGTCCCGATTCCTGTCTAAGCCTTGGTCGCATTCTTGTCACTGGCAAGGACAAAGTTGATCTTGTAAAAGACGTGCGAGTGGACGAGGATGGCCCTGGTCCTCGCGACCCACGGTTGAGCGTGACGGAACGCGTCAAAGAGCTCGTCCTTGATGTCCGCGTCGTCCCGTTCCATCCTGTCCACCTCCTCCTTGACTTCCTCGAGGTGAGCCGAGATTTGATCGAGCTGGTCGAGGGTGATGATGGTGGCCGTGTTCTGACCGATGAGGAAGTCGGGTTGGAAAGTGTGGTGCTTGCGTGAATTGATGGCGTGTTGGTAAGCTTGCAGTCCGGCCTGCACCTTTCCGACCAGATCCATCTCGGCGATCAGAGCGTCCAGGAACGCCCCCTTGGTCTTTGGTGGTGCCTCCGGTTCGTCAAAGGATCCGGTGAAGCCGAATGCACAGTCAAACGCGAATCGACGCTTGTACGCCGGTGGAAGCTCCTTCGTGATTTCTTTCGCATTGTCAATGGTCTCCGACTCAAGGTAGTTGGACAACTTGTGATCGAGGGTTTTGTTCAACTTCAGGGTGCCATCGTTCACTTCAGTGCCCGTCGGCTCAAATTGGGTCAGGGCGAGATCGGTGAGGGAGGACAGAGGAGTACTGGATCCAGACGGATCGGTGTTGGTCGTGAAGCTTTCATTGGGCGAAGTACTCGCTGATGTTGCCTACAAGATATCGTCAGTGATGCGACACACATCAACGGGAGACAAAACGAAGGGCAAGGTACCTCAGATGATGCCTCAAAGAGGTTTGACATCTTGTCCGTAGTGTTTGGAGTGTCCTTGGTGGCCATTTCGGATGGTGTAGTGAAGTAGCTGGCTAAAGATGACAGGGGAAGCAGGAGATGGTCGGTGTCCAAGTTTCGACCTGAATGATGCCAGTATCTGGACGACGGGGAACGCGCGGGGAGATCGCAATCAGCGACGAGGTGGTAGATGGTGGAAGAAGCTGGTGAATGGATGAAGGCTGTGATGGGAGAGCAGCAGCAGAAAACGAAAAAGCAATGGGCTTGTAGAAAATCATCAAGAAGTCGGTCTGAAAATCAACCCAGCAGCACAAATTCACAGCTTGTCCAGCTTCCCATCGACCAGCCTTGTGGCCTTCGTCATTATCACTGCCGGCTTCGTAGTTTTTTTGCTGCTCTTGCATATTCATTCACCACTCGCTTTCAATGTGTCGTGTCTTTGTCCTCAGTAGGGTGAACGATGGCCATGTTTGCCTCCTCGTGCCCTGGTCGCTCGCCGACCATACGGTTCGCATTGCTTGCTAGCTGGGCCTTTCGATCCAAGACGCCTGGTTCTGGGAAAATCCCTTTGACGGCGAGTATATGTCCAAGGGGCCATCTTTCAAAACTGGAACCTCTGTCCATGTTCCCCTTCCACCGAGTAGTTACGACTATACCGACACATCTCAGTCCTTCTCTAGGATATATTTTCTTTGACAATCATACAATGGCAGTATGTGCTCAGCCTTTGTGATGACAAAGGCGGCCTTTCTTTCACCCTGGTCGCTGCTGTTGTTGAGGCCGAAGGATCTTCACAACAATGCAACATCCGATGTTTAGCCGGCCGACGACCATCTTTCTTGCTTCAACATTCTCGGACAGACATGCAACTCAAATCTTGTCCCATCGGGAAAGAATATATAAAAAATAACTGTTCCGAACCCAGTGGTGACGTGGAGCTGCTGGTCATGGTGCCAAGGGACTCAGGTACAATGCCAGCTAGACTTTCCTCGTGGCTGTGGTTCGAAAAGATTCGAGACGATCCCACGCACTGGTCTGATGCCCTCAGATGTGACAAGTGAACCTACCTGGCTTTATCAAAGATACGCTGCACGGCGATTGTGAAATGGATCCTGGGTGCTCCTGGTCCAAGTCCTTCCTTCTGACTGCCAGTGTATAGTGGTGGTTTGACGAGACACATTCATGCGTTATCGTCCGAAGAAGAAGTCGTGGAGAAGATCGAGACAATGGAGGCTGTGAGACCCTTCTATCCAGGTCATTGTTCTTGTTACTGCAGTATGATGTGTCATACAATACCTTGTCGTCCCAAGTCAAGCAGGAGGAGGTGACGAGGGAGAATGAGGGAGCAGACAGGAGGGCGCCCGCACCGAAGGAGGAGGATGAAGGTGAGAAAGATGACTGAATCGTGAAGCAACAGATCTTCTCGTCCGAAGACAGTCTTGCAACAACATCGACTCAAAACAGAAAGGTATTTGTCAATCAATGTGGCCCCGAGGCTGCGATTGTCTTGTGAATGGGAGATATTGGCTTCTCACACTGATGCAAAGGTATCAACACTTGCCCTATTCATGGCTCGGCGAATTTGGTTGTTAATTCTCTTCCACGCAAGACCAGCAAAAAAAGGATTTGCTTTTGTCCCTCTCTCATCTTCCACACACTTCATTTCCCTCCTCTATCATTGACAAGTCCTCCATCTCTTTCATCATCATACTCATCGTGATTGAGAGGGTTTTCTCTTTGATTTCATCCCCCTCTATCTCTATCTCCACGGCTATCCTATTGTACTATCGATAGAAGTGCCCAAGTCCTTCGCTTTTCGAAGCAAACCAACCATCCATCAGTTCTTGACATTGAATTGACACCTCATAATCAAATCCCACAAACTCACTTCCCTCCTGCGGAGGAAAACCACCTCTCTCACGTCTATCTCGTCCTCCAAGACCTCTATCTCCTTCCTCTATCAAGATACCCGACAGTATGGCATCTGAATCAAAGAGCAATCCTTTCGAGATGCCGGACTCGTCGCCGCCAGAAACTTCTGTCAGCAACATGTCATCTGCTCAAGAGAATGAATTGGCAAGCACTGCTGCCCATACCACTGGACCATCTGATCTAGAGAAAAAACGTTCCGAGGCTCCAGGTCCATCATCGATAGGCATTGGTGCCCTCGACATGGCACCTGACCATGAGGAGACATCGAGGGACGGCGATGCTAAAAACGTGGTATCTGACCAAGAGAATGCCCCCTTGGAGACTTCTGACCCGTCATCAGTTCACACTGCCAACAGTATGGTATCTGAACGAATGGAGACATTGACAGAACCCATTGGTGATGGCATGGCATCTGATTCTGTGAATTCATTGGCAGGATCTACTGTTCACAACATGACATCTGACCAAGAGAACACTTCGATAGCATTGGATATCGGCAGCATGGTATCTCCCCACCGTACCAATCATCAGGACACTCAATATGCTCATGATTTCTCTCATGCTCCCAGAGATCCAGGATTGCATCCACAGACTGTCGTACTCACTCGGCTAGACACCATGTCTCGAGAAGTCGCGCAAGATTTGATCGACTTTGCTACTGGAGAGACGACTCAGGTGCGGATCCCAAATCTTCAGGTGACTTATCAAGATCGTCAGAGAGATTTAAGAGATGATATTGGAGCTGTTACTGCTCTAATTCAAATTGAACGCAACGATACACATGAGATGGCCGCACCAGCTCACAGAATAATTCGCACGAGCCCTGGCTACACAGCATACATTCGAAGATATCTTCAAGCCCCTATCAACTATAATATGGCACAGAATGTAGACTTTCATGGCTGCGTCTTTTGCTTCGACGAGTCGACGGAAGGTCTTATCTTGCTTCCATGTGAACACAGCATCTGCAGAATTTGTCTAAACCACCATATCACCTCTTCCACACGGATCATCAGCCAATTTCCTCCACGATGCTGCTTCCATGCCCTCGATGTCGAGGCTGTACAAGAGCATCTGGACCCTGATGTTATTGAAGGTTTCAACGCCGTGGTCGAGCAATACTCCGATCGCAGTCAGTTCTTCTGTGCCAATAAGTACTGCTCTGCTTACATCAACACGCAGAGACTGCAGCAAGCCCAGGGACAGTTTGTCAAGTGTCACGACTGCGGTCAAGACACGTGCAAGGGTTGCAAGCAAGGTGCTGACCAGCATCACTGCCCGGCACCAAATGAACAGATGTCCGCTGCTGATCGTGAGTTGATCGAACAGCGAGGATATAAACGATGCCCAGCATGTGGCACCCTCTGTGAACGGGAAGATGGCTGTCCAAAGATGCCATGTGTGTGTGGCCAGTCTTTCTGTATCTTGTGTGGACGAAAGTGGCCAGTCATTGGCATGTGCAAGTGCTCGCCAACGCAAACCATGGGTGGTCATCGCGTCCGAGTCAGACGCAATTTCAGACAGCCATACATTGGTAATGCGGCCCGAGTGGCCACCTTTGCAGACCAACACCTCAGGCTCACGCCTGAAGAGCAAAACCGGCACCGCGTGATGGCGCAAGCAACCAGGGAAGATGCTTCTGGTGGCGACCTTGCACGTAGCGAGGCACGCTTTTATGCCACCATCAATGTTCCCTCGCCACAACGAGATCGACCGCCTCAGGCCACGGTGCCTGAACAGCCAGCGGCTGAAGCTGGCAGAGACCTCCGGAGACAATTGCAAGAGTTGCCCCATAGGCTCCAACGACTATGGCAGGGTGACAACTCTCGGGGGCAACGAAACAGTGCCAGGTCTGTACCAGATGAGCTGCGAGAGGCTGAACGCAACGTTCAATTTTGGGAGGACTTTTTCGGCAATGGGGCCAGAATCGCAGGGAATACACCGCCACGTCGACCAGCAAGCAATCAGCCCATGGCGAGGGCGCCCAGCGCACGTCCAGTTGTTTCGCCTCCACGTCCTGCGCCAGGACTTTCGGCCAACACCTTCCTCAATGCCTATTTGAATCCACGCCAGGCTCCAATGCCTCCAGGTGACGACAATATAACGATTACACGACCTGGTACAAGAGAACGGGCAATAAGATCTGAGGGCAGCCCTCCAGACTCTGCTGCTCTTGCTGCAAGTGATACACGAGATCATGTGCACAGATTTGGCTGGCTACGGTCATTTCGCTCGATTTACCGGCTTAGGGATGGAACCCCAGGCTACTTTTATGCGAATGGATTGATCGCAACTCGCAGAAGTCACGAAGAACCACCAGCAGCACGCCCTCAGGACTTGGAAGCTGACCAACAATCTCGAGATCCGCGAGCCAGTATCTTCTCGCGAGCCTTTGACCGGAGACCATAAAGAAGAACCAAGAGAGAAAGTGGAGTGATAGTTTTGATATCCAAGGTAGGCGCCACAATTGTCATGAGTTGAATCTCAGATCTGACTGACCCATGAGATAGCGGCAAAAATCAAAGTACTGACAGAATAAATGCAAATTGAGACAAGGTCGTGAGAGTCAGATTGACAAACTGGTGATGAACGCAACAAGGAGCTAGGATGTAACATTCGTGACATCCGTGCGTGTGTGTTGCCGGATCATGGGAAAGTTTACTGGGGTCAAAGGTTGATAGCATCGTGGATCAGGGAGTTTACTGGATGGTGACCTACCAGAAAATTAGGTCTTGCTATGAACGGAAGGAGTCCTGGGATTCAAGCACGGCGAAAACAGAAGACAGGGAACAGCGAAACAGCCGAGTAGAAAGAGACATATTTTGTGGGTATCTCGAATACAAAAGTCATCTCCCGTGATGGCTGAACTTGTCTCTTTTATGGTCTTCGTTTCCTTGTTTGAAACACAATTCGCCATCGTAATCATCTGACAAAACTTCTCAATTCGGCGAACTCTCAGTGGCGCAAGCTTGATACTTTTGTAAGCTTGAATCGATGAATCGGTGTTTGTTTTGCTGTTTCAACAACCTGCTCCGTCGTCTCGCTAGGCCTTCTCTTTCTCTGTTCCTCTCTCTCTCAGTAAAGGTCTCTGTATCTTCGTCCACCACGAAACATACACCAATCGCACTTTATATTGTTGTGTATAAAGGAGCCATGTCAGCGAAGGTAACCCGAAAGTTAAAAGTACTTCGACAAGACGATTTGAGTCGAAGACGTTTTAGGGTGTTGGGTGTCGGGTATTTGTGTGTGTGTGTGTGTGTGCAATATACGTACATTCGTCTCATCACATCCCGTGTTGTGATCCACACAATACACGCTCTTGCAACGTTTGCATGTCCTCCTGGATAAAGGGGCGCAAAGGCCACACAGTCGACCACATTCGTAACAGTCTCGCTGGACGGCGGGGCTGCCCTTGGGGATGGGCATGTGTGGTTGTCGTCGTCGTCGAGGGTCCTGTAAGGAAACCGAAACAATGTGTGAGAGTTTTGATCATCTGAAAGAGATCCTAGTGTCGTTTTTTGCTCGGGTACCACCAAGAGATAGAACCGAGAGAGGAAAAGGAGGAGGAGGAGGAGGAAGAAGAAGGGGAAAAAGGGGACAACCATTCTTTAGTTGGTTTGAGGGTAGTCGATTGTATTACTTACCGTTGTATAATAGTCAGGTTCTGATTCCGATTCTGTTTTCGGTTGTGCTTTCGGTTTTGTGTTTGGCTCGGTCGTCCTCGTCTCCGATGACGACGACGATGATGACGACGGGTTAAAGCAATCCTTGCACCACCATCTGTGACAATTCTCGCAGTACCGATTGGTGAGACACCAGGCGCACGAGGCGATCAATCTCTGCGGCGGAAGTGGCTGCTCGGTATGGCTATCACCGTCGGTGTCGGCGTTGTCCGGGTCGTGGTGGAGGTGCAACGGCGGCGGCGGCGGCGGACGGACGGCATCGACGAGGTTGCCTGACCACGGAGGAGGCCAGAGGAGGGGAAACTCCCTCGGCGAGGACCTCCCCCAGACCGGCGTCCCGGGCGGCGCGCGGCCGCACCCTGCGCACCCCGACGGGCCCAGGGCGACGCTCGCGAGGGGCGGGACCCCGGGCTTGTTGTCGTCCAGGTACTCCCTCGAGGCCGGGTGGAGGACGGCGTTCATGTCGGCGTGCATGTGCGTGCAGAGGACGGCGTCAAAGTTGACGACGCCCGAGCACGCGGCGAGGGTCTCCTCCCACGAGCTCCGCCGCATGTGGCCCGTGACGATGGCCTGGCCATTGGGCTCGTACCACAGACAGTAATCCCCGCCCGGGTCGAAGCTGGACTTGGGCTCGTTCACGACCAGGTGGCCGGCGAACCCGAAGGGAGGAGGGCCGGATTCGTTCCGCACGGCTCGGTGGTCGCCGGCGTGGTCTACAGCGGTGGCGGTGTGTGGTGAGGGAGAAGAGGAGGACGGGGAAACCCGCGGGGGAGGTTGGAACACGTACAAGCCCTGGAGGCGAGGCGTACCTTCGGGCCGCGAGGGTCGACAGATGTGCCGGAGGAGTTGTTGGAGTTTGGTCTCGTTGAGGTTCAGGCAACCCCTGACGCTGAGCAGGCGGACGTGGTAGTCCGGGGACGTGACGAGTTCGTGCAAAAGGTCGTTGGTCACGGAGGCGAGCTTGTCCATGACGAGAGTCTGCACGTTGGCGAGGACCTTGAACCTCCCGAGCTTGGAGAGCACCCCCCTCAAGGGGCCTGAGTAAAAGTCGTCCTCGGTCAGGGCCTCGTCCATGCGTACGTTGCGCCACCGGTTGCCTCCGTTGTCGATGCCGAACCCCTGCTGCGGGCTGTGTTGGTGGATGACGACCCAGGCGCCACGGCTCCGCGACACGTCGGCGTACCGAAAGACGCTGGGCGTGGACAACAGGATCGACCTCAACTCCTGGCAGGTCTGGCACAGTGCGAAAATCACCCGGATCGGGAGGTAGCGGACGATGTGATCCAGGATGAGGCCGTTGGAGAACAAGTCCAGTAGTGACGACGATGACGATGGCTCAAATATATCCGTCGGTGTCAGTGTCGACAAGGCCGTGGTGACGACGGACATGGTGGTGGTCGAGGGCTGCGGTGGTGTTGACTCTGATGGTGACAGAGGAGTCAAATCTGAAGCCATGGTTTGTCACATAACAGCCCCTCAGGAAGCCCCTCGCTCCCTAAAAGGGGACTTGATATAAAGACAAGGATGGGGAAAATAATGAGTGACAAGTAGAAGGAAGAGGTCGATGGTGGACGAGGCACAAGACCAGAGACGGTGAGAATGATAGTTGACTATTCCTTTTGTGGAAAGTCCAAGAGAGAACTAATTCCTCTTTGGGACAGTCCAAAGAAGGCTGAGTGAAGATCTACTCAGGTATTATACAACAGCTAATTATATCACAAGCATGTTCAAGACTAGGATTGAATAAAACATGTATTGATAAGAATAATATGCAACACTCACTCCTATGTGATGCCATGCACCGTACCCAACCATCCTAATTATAATCCTGTAGCCTCGTTCCCATGGGAACCCTTGATAAGCCCTCGTTGAACCAAACGCCCTCGCTCGATGTCTATCTATTCGGTGCTATGTCCATGGAAACCTGTGAAGATCTTGTGTATGGTACCCGACCTTTGCCCTGCTCACAGTTCACGAGCCGGTCTAACACTAGAAACACCCATGGGGCCGGGACCACCAGATTGCCAGGCGTTTGCTTCCATGATCGTGAGCGTCGTGAACCCACTGAAATAGTATCCCATCACGACCACAAGATATGTCATGACCAGGATACTACCTTTGAAGTAGTTGCTCTTCCCTTCACCTGACATATAACTCAACAAGAACACGCACAGGATAACAGTCACCATATCCCACTGCGGAAAGATGAGGTTGAAGGTGTGATCAATGAGATCGCCAGCATCGATGAACCGACCATGTACCGCTGAGAATAGCACCAACGCTGGGATTTGCAGCAAGCAAACTTGCAGTGCATATGCCGAGCCAATTTCCATGCTCAATGCAATGTTTCCGTTCATAGCAAAGGAAATGGCGTTCAGGAACTCGGTGGTGTTGGGTACCAGCGCGAACAGAGTTATACCGAGGAATTTCTCATCAATGTCGACTGACTCAAGAACGACGTCTACCGTATCGACCAGGATTTCGGCGACGATCGCATATGCCACAGTCGCGGTCAACAGGATGACGGACGATTTGGTTCGACTCCAATTTGGTGCGTCATGTCCACCTGGTTCTCCAGTTTCAGCTCCTCCATGTGGAGCGGCATGCTCAAGAGCAGGTGTGGCAAAGGCGTCTTGGTCAGTCACAGTTGTCTTCCGGCTGACGCTCGGTCTTTGAATTTTAACAGTGTCCAATTTGTATGCATGAGTTGCCTGGTAGGCCGCAGTTCGTGGGTGATTAACCGCGTCTCTTGCGGCAACGGTGGCTGCGGTGGCTGCAATCTCTGCAACCTGTCGGACCAAATTATTGTTGTCTTCTTCAGACAAGGAAGGTACAAATGGTAGACTTTCAGGACTTGCGGCCAGATCCGTCCCATGGCTTGATTTAGGTGGTACAAGGTGTGGGAGGTCGCTTTGGTCGCCAAGGCGTGCATGGCGAACTGACTTGGGCGTGACTGGACGCTCGCGTTCATTTTGAGCATCACTTTCAGATGGAAGACCAGCCGAGCGAAGTGACTGTCCTAGGATTCGCTTGTAGAGTTGTGACTCGCGGATCGCTGTCCTCGGTACATAGCCGTTTGGATTGTTCAGAAACTGCGAATTGACCACACTGGGATGCCGGGTGTCCAGGGGACTGACATCCGTAGCTTGCCCACCAGGAGGTGCCTTCTTCTCCTCTGGATCTGTGCTCCAAATAATGGCAGCGTGTGTTCTTAGAGTGAAGAGTAGCCCAATGATGTAAGAGGAGAACAAAAAGATAGCTGCCATCCAACAGTATGGTCGGACTGCCTTCACGTAGAACTCGTCTGTGATGGCTGGAAGTTGCCGGAAATAACATTGTCGACAGTCTCTCGGGTCCAAGTCATCGTTTGTGCATGACCTGCAAATCAATTCGTGGCTGCCATATATTTTGTAAAAGAGCGTCGGCCCAAAGGCTGCAATTGTCGCAAATAGTAGCATAGTGGACGTGGCGCCAGCAGATCTGACATTGAAACGTTGAGTCTTTCGCTTAATGGCACCAAAACACATGGAGAGTCCAGGAAGGAGTAGAATGCCAGCGAAAATGCTGCCAATGATACTACCTTCCACCAGTGCCCCTTTACCTTCGTTGAGCGCGATGCAATATAGATAAACCTCGACGACAGTGGAAAAGAATGCATTGACAGCAGCCCCCATTCCCATTGAGGATTGTGCAGATATCGATGCTACTGCTTGCCCAATGAAATATGCCAAAGGAATGATGGAGATCAATGCGAGCGTGAACGTCAGGGCCGGACTGGTAAGCCAGAAGTTGATTCCCAAGGCCACCTTCAGGACGAAATAGTCCAGAATGACGAAGACCACCACAGCGAGAAAATTGATGAGGAAGATGTTGGTCCCGTCGACAGTGTATTTCCAGTATTTGATGCCGACCGCACGATAGGTGCATAGAAGGATCGATGATGGCTTGGTTGAGCTTCTAGCAGTCGAGACATCGCGATGGAACTTGAGTGCAAGAGGCCGTTTTCGTAAATTGGAGAACAGGATGAGTGTAACTCGGCCCATAGGGATCCAGAAGACCATCAGCCAGCAGATACCAGAGGCGAGAAGCAGGAGGGGCGCCACATAGAAATAATAGACGACGAAGAAAATAACTCGGCCCAGGGTCCACTGACCACGACCGAAAAGACGACGCTTTTTGTTAGACATGGTGGTATTTTGTCGGTCACTTCTACCACTTCGAGCCAGGAGACTGTCGGTCTCACTTGCAGAGTCTATGCTGTTCCGATGTCGACCGACAATTGAGCCTGAATGAGTGAGCGTTGGACCGAACATGAGTCGACCATATTCAAGATCACCACTCTGCCATCGTTCGTATTCGCTGATGCTTCGGCCTTCGCCTTCGTCTTCTTCCACATAATTCTCGTCTTGAACAAGTTTGACAAACTTCCCAAAGGGCCAGAAGAGATAGTTGGACAATTCCAAGAACACTCTGCCGTACGCAGCCGCACTAGGGTCGAAGGCGAAGATGAAGCAAGCAAGGGCTGCAATGGCCGCGGTGACAGCTAACCACCAGCCAAAGAAAACAGTCCAGAGGCAATTGAAGAACCATAGCCACGGACTTACGATCTGGCTCGGAGATGAATGGATGTCCTCTTCCGCAGCTTTCTCGACAGATCTCCCTTTCTTGTATAAGGCAGGCTTCCATATTCTGATACCAAAGGGGTGGGTTTGATTGATAGCTAATTGTCTATCCCGTAAAGTGAAGCTCTCTGCATCACTCAGCTCTTCCTCTTCATTGTCCCCCAGATTCCCAGCTTCGGGATCATTTGCAGGCTCTTCGGGGTCGGCCTCGACAGGCTCCTCTGGGGTGGTCTCTTCGGGTTCCTCTTCTGCAGAATCGACACGTGCTAGAGGCGCTGGGTGAGTTCTTCGACGAACAGTAGACTGTTGTCGAGATATGCTGGGTGTAACTTGCATACTATTCGCCTCTTCAACCTCTGACGGGTCGTCGTCAACCGAGAATTGCTCCCCACGGTGAGGCAGTAATTTTCCCGCTCGAGTGGACGACCTTCGCATCGTTGGCGGTTTCTTGGGTCTCGTCAATTGAGGAGAAAGGGGTGGGAAGTCGGAGACATCGTCGACTCGGGAAGTGAGAGGTCGCTGGCTGGCAGTAGCCTGTACGTTGCCGAGAGTGCCTGCAGTTCTGTTAGATGTCACTGCAGAATTCTATGTGTTGCCAATTACCATAGTCCCTTCTAATGGTGTCCGGGGCAAGTGAACCGCCCGTGGGTTCAGCTTGCGTGTCTGGAACAGACCGGAGCACTGGGCTTTTCGCTGGGCTCCTCAGAGGTGTCTCGCTTCCAGACATACTGGATGTTCTGATGTACTGAGTTAGGCGGCAGGCCGAGAGAGACGAATCGAGGGCACGAGGTCCAAGCAAGGCAAATGAATGCCTGAGACAGGCCTGCAGCACATCAGATAATCATAAAGATACAGATATAGTCAGTTGATCTATCGGTAGGAAAGGTATGAGGAGTAATGGCGACGATGGCGCTGTGGGGAGTTGAACTGGCGGCGAAGAACCAGCGACAACACGTCAATCGAGGCACGTGCGAAGGATATCAGCAAGTCAGAAGAAACAGATGATGCATGAAATGTACACAAAAAGCCTGCAGCTCCGGCCCACTTGTTGATGGATATGGAGACGGAGATGGTCCGGGGTGGCTCACCCAGGCTGCCCTACACCCACTAGAGAGGATGACACCAGCTGAAGTGTACCTATGTAGGTAGCTAGGTTACCAGACATGTAGAAGTGTGTTATCTAAAGGTCTCTATCATCCGAGTACCCGTACCGCATTATCTTGAGCTCCATTCCTTACCAAATAGCGGTTGTAATACGTTTCTTATGCAGTGATGTTCGGTGTTGCGCTGTTCTTGTAATAAGACCAAAGATGGCAAAGATGAAGTAGTGGGACACCAGTGCCCGAGCGTGACCTTGAGCATGCCTAAAGTGAAGCCAATAGGGCATGTCAGGCGGTACGGTTAGTGCCTATCGACGGGTTCCAGGAGGGTTGCATGAGGGTCACAGAGGGCGCCAAGGGCCCTTGTCCTCGCCTAAAAACCCGAAGTCTGCAAGAGAAGCATCGGCTTATGTAAGTCACTCTCAGCCTCGCCGCAGCTGCGCCAACGAGGCTGTTCCCAAGGCTGCGTTTTGTAAACGCGGCCAATGTGTCTATTTCCTCCCTCGCCATCAACGACCGCACTCATTGTTCCTACCGCCCTCCATCCTGACAATACCTCTTCGTATCACCCGAGTCCGCGTCTTGAAACATCATGGCTCTTGACAACTTTTATCACAACAAAATCGAATCACTCAAGCTTGAAATCATCCAAGGTCAAGCCGTCCTCCGAAGACTAGAAGCTCAGCGAAATGACTACAACTCAAGAGTACGGCTATTACGAGAAGAGCTGGGGCTTCTTCAACAGCCAGGATCATATGTCGGAGAGGTCGTGAAAGTAATGGGCACCAAAAAAGTACTGGTCAAAGTACATCCAGAAGGCAAATATGGTTAGTGTCGATTGTTTCGCTGGTACCACCTTAGCTGACAGGATTTTAGTCGTCGACATCGCAGACAATGTCGATATCTCCAAGCTGACGGTCGGAAAACGTGTTTCCTTGCTCTCGGATTCCTACAAGCTCGAGAAAATGCTCCCCTCATCGGTCGATCCTCTAGTGTCGCTCATGATGGTCGAGAAAGTGCCGGACAGTACATATGACATGATCGGTGGACTGGATCAACAGATCAAGGAAATCAAAGAGGTCATCGAGCTTGGTTTAAACCATCCAGAACTATTCGAATCCTTAGGTATCGCCCAACCGAAAGGTGTTCTACTCTACGGTCCTCCTGGAACCGGAAAGACCCTCCTGGCTCGTGCTGTGGCGCATCACTCCAATTGCAAATTCATCAGAGTATCTGGGTCCGAGTTGGTGCAGAAATATATCGGCGAAGGCAGTCGAATGGTCCGAGAACTTTTCGTCATGGCAAGAGAACAGGCCCCTAGCATCATATTCATGGACGAAATCGACAGTATAGGTTCCAGCCGTGTTGAGGGAAGCAGTGGAGGTGATTCAGAAGTACAGAGAACCATGTTGGAATTGCTGAATCAGCTGGATGGTTTCGAGCCTACCAAAAACATCAAAGTTATCATGGCCACTAACCGACTGGATATTCTAGATCCTGCAGTAAGTACAAGAACTCCCATCGTGACATATGCATACTGATTCTCATGCGACAGTTACTCCGGCCTGGTCGCATCGACCGAAAGATCGAATTCCCCCCGCCAACGGTCGAAGCCAGAGCCGATATTTTGAGAATCCACTCAAGAAGCATGAACTTGACCAGAGGGATCGACTTGAAGAAGATTGCAGAGAAGATGAATGGATGTTCAGGCGCTGAACTCAAGGGTGTCTGCACAGAAGCAGGCATGTTCGCCTTGCGAGAACGAAGGATTCATGTCACCCAGGAAGATTTCGATCTTGCCACGGCCAAAGTACTCAACAAGCACGACGACAAGGAAGTCTCGCTGGGCAAACTGTGGAAGTAGATGGTTTCTCATATCCATCTTCTCGTCATTCATGTTTCTGCATAGCGACAAAATGTAATGTTATCAAACTTGGGGTCGGGCAAGGATAGAAGTCCTTCTGGTTTCAAGATGGCAGGCATACCCGGCGTCAAAGTGATACAACATATCCGAATGTTGAAGATGCGCCGTTTACAGGATAGCCTTTTCACTCCTCTAGGGACGAGGCCTTGGTAGACACAACACGACTTGTTCAAAGTTCAAAAGAGCTCCCTGTTGTCGTTGATGTAATGTTGATTTCTATGGCTCTATTTTCTTCCTGTATCGCTGTGGTACTGCCAGGCAATGCTATGCTGTCTCACTCCCACTTGATTTTCTCGTTCCAATTTTCCAAGTCTGTATCAGATCCAACCCAGGGCGGTGCCCAACCCATGTGATACTCTGTGACCCCAACGTGGAGGGGATGGCGGTTCTGGTTCAGTGCTCGTACACCATCTCACCTTCGATATGGCTCCAAAATTCCTTGACCAACTCCTTTTGGCCCTCCCCGTCCTTGGCCCCTTTTACGGCGAGATACTTTCGGTGGGTGACGGGGATGTCGAACCGTCCACTCGGGTTCCCGTCGACGATGACACCTCCCGCCTCGGTCAGGATCACCCACCCAGCGCAGACGTCCCACGCCCAACATCCGCCCTCCCAGTACGCGTCCAGCACCCCCTCGGCGACGCCGCAGAGGTTCAAGGCCGCGCTCCCCAACGCCCGGGCGCTGTGCACCATGGCGCCCCCGTCCTCCTTGCTCCGGCCCAGGCGAGCCCACGTGTCGGTCTTGGTCTTCCAATTCCGTCCCGACCGGTCGCTCCCGAACTCGATGGCCACGACACACTCGTCGAGGCCACCCAGGGCGGTGAGTTCTTTCGTGGGCAGTTTCGTACCTTGGTCGCGACTCGGGGGCTGTCGTCGTTCTTGGGGGTGACCGGCAGGAACGTCAAACACAAAACTCCCTTTGCCCTTGACGCCAGTGTACAATCGGCCGGTGAATGGGTTATACACGACACCCACGCTGGGGGTCCTGTCGATCGCGAACCCCAACGACACGGAAACATAAGGAAACCGGTGTACAAAGTTGGTGGTGCCGTCGATCGGGTCGACGACGAACGTCGGTTCCGGCCCAAGTTTCTGACCGGGTTGGTACGTCTCTTCTCCCATGAAGGAGAACCCCGGGTACAGGGTGCGCAGCTCGGACGAGATGAAGGCCTCGACGGCCTGGTCGGTCTCGGTGACCAGGTCGGCGCTGTTCTTTTTGGTGTTGCTGGAGCTGGTGCTCGGCCGGGCATCCGTGATCATGCGTCCCGCTCTGAGTGCGATGGAAACCAAATGGTCCCGGAGGAGGTCGAGGTCGATGTCCACACCTGTTGTTGTGGATGACATTTTTTGGATTTTGTAGGTATAGATATGGGTTTAGACTTAGTCGAAGTGATTTCGAGTTGTTTTACTCTTTCCCTGTGAAATGTCCAAACAAATATGATGGTTGTTGGATAAATGTTGAGGAGGCTTGCTTGTCTGTTGGCCTCTCCTAGTATGGACAAGAGATGACCAGTCTGTCCGGGTCGAATTATAGGTATCTTTGTTACGCGGTACGCTATAGGGGGATATTGAAATCAAAGTACAAAAATATTTGAAGTATCAAGATCTATCGGACAATGACGGCGAACTGCATTGTCCCAAGACCACAAAAAAGTTCCCACCAACTTGTGGTCGAATCATAACCCGAACTATCACCACGAGTAGATATACAGTGAACTGTATCAAGACATTGAAATTATACCATGTACTCGTATCAAGCACCCCCTTGATATGCTGATGAGAACACTCTGATACACATGCCAGGCCTTTGATGTATTCGTCTTGAAGGGAAGAAGCGAGAACGAATCTCTCCAGGTTTAAACAGCCAATATAATAATAACAATAATACTGACTCACGCCAGAAACGCACTCGCTCAAAAAGGACAAGACTAGAAAAACACCAGACATGGTTCGGTACAAAATCACTGACATTATGGATCTCATGTTCGTCCTCAGCGATCAATCCCCGCCACCATCCCCATCCCTGGTCTCATCACGATTCCTCTCAGGAGATTGTCCACGTTCACTCCTCGCATCCTCGTACAGCCCCTCGCTCTCTTCCGATATACTACTCATGGTCCTCGCGTGACTGATGCTCCTATTATGCCCGTGCCTCGACTTTCCCGACACGGGCATGGGCACAGCGACACCGATCGCACCACCCGTGGACCCATTGGTTTTGTTATTTTGACGTTGGCTTCGACTTCCAGAGTCATTGGTTCTTGCCGCCGCGGCACCGTTCAAGGGTCTGCTCTCGATTTGCTGGGTTGTGGAGGGCGTCGAGAAGCCGAAACTGAAAGGTCTCGGTATCCGACTCCGCGGGTGAAACGACATGAGGGGGTCGTTAAGCGCTCGGCGGTACGCTGACCGGTTGAGACGCTTTTGACGCCATTCCCGGTACTTTTTGTTGAAAGGCGGGCAAAACCGTAAAAGGAGAAACAGAGCCACTAGCAGACCGAAGACGGGGAGAATGACTGCGACGACGACTTCGCCGGTTGATAGGTTCGTGGTTTTGCCATGGTTCGTCGACGATGATGACGGAGAAGAAGGGTCTGAAGAGGAATTCGGGTTCGATGATGATGGGTCAGTCGAGTTGGGGTCTGAGCCCGAAGTAGATGACGAGCCGCCTTCGCCGCCATTATTGCCATTGCCGGAAGACCTGCTGTCGCCGGTCGTGGTGGGATTGGCTGAGTTTGTGGTTGTTGATCCTGAACCTGAACCTGAACCCGAACTCGGTCCAGGGAGAGTGCTTTGCGCGGCGGCCGATCCTGTTCGTGTGCCGATGGAGCTGGACCCTTCTGGATCCGTATCGCTTCCTGAAGAAGAAGATTTTGTCGCTGCTGTCCCCGTCGCTGTGCCTGTTGCCGTGGCATGATCAGTTCCAAATCGAGTGCCCGTCGTCTTCTGGCTTGAAGTTGGCCCTGTCTTAAGGGGGTCAGGACTAGAAGCCAGGGTAGTTGCTTCGGGTCCGATGGTGAACAGTCCATCTGTCGAGGTCGCGGCGCTAAGAAGACTGTTTGCGACACTTTCTAGAGGAGTACCTGGACCTGGTAGGACTGGAGCCGGAAGATCTCGAGATCGGAAAGGTATTGGTATTACATGGGCAGTGATCGGCGTCAATGAAAGAAACAGCAAGATCTCGACAGGGAGCATCTTCAAGCGCCTGTTCGAGTCTGTGTCGTCTTTGCTGATGTTTCTGTTCGAGGTATACAACAACAACAACAACATCAAGCACATCTGTGCCAGGCACAAAGTGTATCCGCCGTGTTTGACGAATGCGCCGAAAACTCCAAGCTAGAATTCTTTCGTTGCTTTGGAAAACAAGACGGGAAGTAACAAAAAGGAACCTGATACACGCCAAAAAGGAGACGAAGAAACTCCAAAAGGAAGCAAAAAGGAAGGAAATGACACACGAGGAAGGCCGTAGGATGAACGATATGGAGGGCAAAGACAAGGATATCCCAAAAAACCACACCCTCTTTGTTTTGTTGACACCAAGTGCTCTAGTGATGTACTTACAAGTTTGCTCCGTAGTACGGAGTAATAGAGCGTGCTTCATATTGTTCCCCACGCAAAAATCAAGACGAAGTACTCAATTGGCCCCCGGCGAGTCGGGTACCTTGCATTTTGGCGAAAACTCCTCCCCGGGGTGGCTTATACTGACTGGCACTGGTACAAACCTGTTAGAGGTTTGACCGGAGGGTTGGCCTTTCCTCCATTCTGGGGGCTGAGTTCTTCTCCGTGGGTAGTTGAGATAACTGTACCTGAGGGAGCAAGGTGCGTACTTGGCTACTCCGTATGAGGCCTCCAACGTTTGGCGTTTCAGGTATTTAAAGCAAGGCAGAAAAAGGCACTAGGATCCGACCCAGCCTTGCGACTAATAAGGGAGGGAATCGGGCACGTACAAGGCCGACATGGTGATCATGACCAATCTGATTCATTTGGTTGTCTTTTGGAGTCATCCTGCTGTAGTCCGGACGTACTTGTAGACTTTCTTGGTTGGACGCGTGGAATACGGGAACGGGTGTCATGGTTCCTCCGGTAAAATGTAGTTAAACAAAGCCTGGGAGACGAATCGTCGATGGCTGGTACGGAGGACATACGCGTACTAGCAACGATTCAGTTGAATAAGCACCTTGTGGGATGATTTACGCAGTAACACCAATTGATCATCGAAGAAATAAATTCGAGAAAGCTCCCTGGACTTAAGAGGTACGTACAGTAGGGCTGAGAAAAGGCCGCCAATCCTATTGGTGGCCTTGCCGGAGGATCGTCCTTGAACTTTCTCTGGTAGAGCTTAGACTGATGCGAGCACTCCATGCTCCAATCCTCCATGATGGAAACCTGGGATTGTTGTATGTAGGTAATCGAACGACTTTATTGACCCTCGAAGCTCCTAGTTCAATACGGTACGGAGCCTTACGATCTTGTTCTTGACGAATTGTTTTAGTTGTTTTATGGATCATAGAAAAGAAAGCCCGACCAATGTCATTCTCAACCATCACACCAATGTCAGGATGTTACAGAGTATTGCTACGGAGTCTGGATACGAGTAGGAGTGGCCGCAATCATGTTCATCCCCTATCGACGTGGACGAGCAGCATAAGACCAGGCCTTATTTTCAGAGGACACTCAATGGTTTTGGGCCAGCCTCTTCGCCATTTATCTTTGGCGGCTACAATGGAAAACCCAATCACCATCTCGAATGATCGTCAGAAGATCACATTTCGCTTGAAGGATGGTTCCGAAATCACACAGCAGTTCCACCCTACGCCAAAAGCAAAGACCGACAAACTCACAGCGGCACTTGCGTCGTTACTGTCGGACAAGGCCGGTACGAGGAATGCCACAGCGCCGTCGACATCGTTTGGCACGAGCCACTGGGTCCTTGACCCCCTGGGAGACGCCATCCATAGACACCTTGCCTTGACGTCGCCAGAGGAACGTGACAGGGTCGAAAAGGCCATCATGGAGGAAGCGGACAAGATGAACCACCACCCTCACATCGCTCGAGTCGGCGAGGGCGACAACGGTCAAGGGCAGTTGAACAATTGCTTGACCGTCACGTGTACGACACATAGTCCGCGAGGACTGAGTGTTCGAGATACGAGGCTGGCCGCGAAGATCAATGAGGTACTCTCAGAGATTGACGTGACGAGGCCTGTCGTGGGATCAGTGCCCGGACAAGGTTCGAATGAAATATCAGAACGCGTAAAACTCAGCCGCAAAGCTTCTATATTCGAAAACCGGCAAAAGATCCTGGAAGCCCTAGACAACTGCGGTTGTGAAAATGCAAAGTCATGATCTGGCGAAAAGTGGACGAGAATAATAATATGTATTTCCTCATTAAAAAGCCAGCAAGCATGCTAGGCTAATTCAACGCTATGCCAAAACCCGGTCCCTGATCCTCAGTCTAAGAAACCCCAAACCACACGAAGAACGCCCGCTTATGCAACCCTTTTTTTGACACGCTCTCAGGCATTTCTTCTGTTTCGACCAAATATATACAACGAAGCCGGTCGAAGAGCTGCGTCTTGACAGAATCAAGGATGATTCGGTTGTCTTTGTGGCAAAGCAAAATTTATTCAACTTTTTTCGCAACAGCAGCCTTCTGTTCCCTGGTCTTCGGGGCTGAAGCACTACCGGCCTCGGTGGCCATCATAGCATCCCACCATCGGAATGAGCTGGCGTAGTTTCCGAGGAATTTCTCGTGGTGGACATCGTGGTGGTCGGCACCAGCCCAGAATGGAAGGAAGTGGTGCAAGCTCCAGGGGAATTCGTAACCAGAGTGAGCGTCGATTGCCTGGAACAGACGGCCAACAATCCAGAGGTACATTGTCATGATGTGGAGATCTTTGAAAATGGCGCAGAAGACAATGGGAATGCCGACAGTGCCGAAAGCCAGGATCATGGTCTCGATAGGGGAAGCATATTCAGCAGCAAGACCGAAAGGTGCGCTGTACTGGTGGTGGAGCTTGTGAATCATCTTGTACAGACGAGGAGTGTGCAGAAGTCGGTGAAACCAATAATGCCAGGCATCTTCGAGGACGAAGAACAAAGCAATTTGCCATGCCATCTTGGTCCAGTGAGGGAATGGAACCGAAGTCGAGAGACCAAAGTATTGTGCCATCGGGTGGAAGAGCCAGATTTGTGGCAATTCGACGGTAAAATGAGAGAGGAGGACGAGTTTGGCGCATTGCCATTGTTCGGAAAGGGTCGGCATTTTTTGCTATTGTCATAATATTAGCCGGGTGTTTGTGGTTATGTGTCTGTGGTATTCAACTTACGCCCTGGATCTTATATCTGCGGAAGTAGGGGATCTTGTCCATGATCATGAACGGTACACACCGACCAAAGTAGACAAGCTCGTGCATTGCGAAGGACATGATGCCGGTGGCGAGGACGTCGTTCTGCATGTAGGCGTACCACGCTGCCCACGCCTTTTCGAACACATTGAGGTGGACATTATATTGTGAAATGTCGTTGAAATAGTCGCCATAAGTGACGGGGGTGGCGTAGGTAGAATTCCTGGAGGGGGAATTGTTGTTAGCAACGGTACAGACGGATGCGATAGGAGGATGCGGGATTCATACATCTTGCCGGGAAAACTCTGCCCAAGACGGCCTTACAATGAGTGTGTTTTGCTTGTTCGACCTCCGGAAAAGAATGAACAGTGAGAGAAAGCTCGTAGGTGAGGTTGAGAAGCAGGGGATGTAGAGGACGAGAGGGAAGAATAAATTCAAGATGCGATAGACGGTCAGGGACTTTTCTTTGATTGGAGGTGGGTTGGTTGGGAAGGTCTAATTGGCCAGCTGGGGTGGTGGCATCACTCGGGGCTTCAAGGGGCATGAAGTGGAAGATGAGATTTTGAAGATGATCTGACCCGTGCCGAGTGTGGACTGACCAGTGGCGTGTCTTTGTGCCTGGCCAGAAGCTGGAAGAGCTGGATCCGAGATAGCACCACTAGTTACTGCACGTGATTTGATGATGCATTTTCAGACTTATATTCTACCGTATAGGATTAGTGCGGAGTACAGCTCTCTTCTCGTGCATTTTAATGCTCCGAGGTCTTGGTCGTTCGTCCATCCCACCCACGTGCTTCATACCAGCAAATATACTGGCACAATTTCCATCACCTCTCTGACCAGGCTTGATAATGGGCATACATCACCATACCAGGCTCGGCTGCCGGGTACGGACTTATGACGGATCCATGTAGGTATGTATGTAAAGTACATATGGATGGATGTGTCTAAAGTTACACACCTTTAGCAAGCACCATTTCACGAAAGAGTCCTAGGAATACAAACTAGTTCTAGCCATACTAGTACTCTTTGCACAACCTTGACAAGCCTTTTGACAAGCGCAAGATCGACCGCACTGTTCACGAGTCACTTACCTACCCGAGCAACAATGCCTTCCATCAAATCCGTCCCACCTCCTCGACCTTCTCGCCCTGCAAGCGTTTTCTCCGCGTCTTCGATCGATACCCTCGTTGCAGATCAAGGCTATCGTGGTTTCTCATCCCGAGAAGCCTACCTACAAGCCTTGCATGAATGGGCGGAAGAGAAGAAGTATTATCAATCTACGGAACAATTGCACGGCTTCTACGGGAGAAAGACAGTCGATGAGATTCTGGGCAATCAAGGTGGCAAGGCTCCAACATCTCGAAGAGCCACTGTCGCTCGATTGGACACTGTCCAAGAGGGCCGGACCGTCCAAGTCGTGGATGCGCCGGCAAAAGAGAGTACAGGAAATAGACTGAAGAAAGCTTTTAATCGACGAAAGTCCACTGCTTGAATGGTCTGGTACCTCTCCCATTGATGATATTGGTATGACTGCTTGTGTACATATACGACTCACATTTTTGGTATTTATGGAGCCAGAAACAGATTGATCAGGGATCTTTCATTTTGATTGAACATACAGGCTCTATGATGAATACATAACACACAATTCCACGGCTCCGGTTTCTGACATTCTAGTTACATCACATTCCTCTTTCGCCATCAAGCGGTGAGCCGAGTGCTGTTTGCATGCTCGATTCAGTGCCTAATCTCTGCTTGGGGTTGATGAAGCTCAGGCTGGTGAGGCACGAGCGTGCTTACTGGAATTGGCTTTGCCTGTTGCTGGGGACTTCTCGGTCTTGGTGGGTGATTTTTTTCTCTTCAGCAGCAGTTGCAGCATTCGCCACTTTCCTTCACACCCGCTTCCTCACCAGCGACGGTTGCTCCCTTTCCCTTTTCTTCGTTCTTTGCACCATTTGCCCCATGTTCCTTGGCCGCCTTTTTGCTCTTCGCAGATGCACCCCTATCCCGATCTTCGTCTTCGCAGGTACTGTCCTTGTCTTCGTCCATCTCAGCGTGACTCTTGCGCACTTGCATTCAACCATCAACAATGCCCATGGGTACCCCATACCGACCATCATGCCCGCCATGGCCTGAATTGCAACGAGCTTGCTCTGATTTTCGTTGAAATGGACTATACCGGGGCTGTGGACCTCGCAGGCGCCGCCGATGGGGTCCTCACAACGGAACGCGGCGAGCTGAACAGCGTGGGAACCAAAGTTGGCGATGCGGAGGGTAATTTGCCATGCTGGTATGCCGAGGTCGTGACTGACTTCCTCGAGGCTGCGGCCGGCGATGATTGCTCGTATGATATCTTCGGGTTGGGCCACGTTTTGGAGGCTTTGAAAAATCGTTTCTTCAGAAGGACCGCACATTTTGATGAAACGATTCTGGGCTGATTTCGTGACTGGAAGGTGGGATGTGTTGTTTGTGGTTGTTGATCTGTTTCTGTCTGCCTGTTGGCAAAAATTCTGAGACTGCTGTGGTATGATGAGAAGGAATAAGGAGAAGTAGCAGTGGTAAGTAGGACTATTTGAGTATGCAAGAGGGACTGCATCTTGTTTGTCTGCTTGTCTGCATGTTTGCCTTGTTGGTGTTGATTGCTGCCTTGGCCATCAACTGCTGTCAACCCTGCGCATGCTCCCGCATGGGCCTCTGATGAGAATGCGTTTTGTTGTGTTCCTTTCTCGGGATACTCACACCGGCATGCATCTTCCAATGCATCTCAAGCCTTGTAGAATGGTCTGGAAGATGGAAAGAGTTGGTTTGAGGTTCCTTTCCGCACGATACGGCGAACTCTGCAGCGCAACAATTGCAAGGCAAATATCCTGACCATCACCACGGCGTTATGGTCGGGCAGTAGTGATGGTCAAGCTCACTGGGCTCTGCGGAGGCTCAACGAAGTCCTAGAACTACACTAGTCTTGGTACTCACAAAGTCATGTCACTCACTTTGTGCCTTGCTGGCCTTGGGAATCTCAGCTGGTCGTTGCCTCTCGTCGCCTATATCTTGGAGGGAAGAACGTATTACTCTTGAGAACTAGATTGAGAGTAGGTAGTTCTCTACGTCTCCGCCATAGTTGTCGAGTTAGGGCTTTGATTGATGGAATTGGCACCTAAATAGAGCCAAGACTGCCAGCAATTCACAGACTTTGGGGCTGATACCACCATCTGTTCTCGATTCTTTTCAACCTTGTCCCGTATTCACTCTCACAGCTACGACGACGCTTTATAATAAGTGCCCTCTAATTGTCTGTGCCCATGACTGAAACGATGTCCGCCGATCCAAACAGGCGAAAGCCTCCGTTGGCATATTTGGAAGAAGCGCTGTCGACGATTCCCGTGTATCAGAGAGTAATTATGTATCTGATTCCCGAGCAAGACAGCCCTTCCAACCAGCGATAAGAATCTCACGAAAGCGTTATGGTAGGATCGCTATTTATCGCAACGCGCCGTCTCACTTGAAAAGCCCACGGATCTGACCAGACAGAGAGATTGAAGATAAGGTTGGCACAGGCAGCATTCGCCCTCAAGGCGCCGATGATCTTTGACTTCTCGTCCCATTTCCATTCTTTAAACGAAACAATATGAGGTTGTCCACCAAATGTTTGTTGCTGACATTGGTAGGATTGGGTTCTGCTCAATTCTTTCCACCAACACCTGAAGGTGTGACAGTAGTCAAGTCGAAAACCCAGGATGGAGTGTCAATTTCGTTCAAAGAGGTACGCACTACATCAATGGTCTATTCACTGCACTGACATGATGACTTCCAGCATGGAATCTGTGAAGCAACTCCTGGCGTCAAGTCATATGCTGGCTATGTACGCCTGCCACCAGGGGTTGTAGACGATTTGGGTGTCTTCCAGAACTATACCATCAACACCTTCTTCTGGTTCTTCGAATCAAGAAAAGATCCCGCAAATGCGCCACTGTCGATATGGATGAATGGTGGCCCTGGAAGTTCCTCCATGATCGGCCTTTTGCAGGAAAACGGTCTCTTCAAGGGAGGATCTCCTCACTTATCTATGGCTTGCTCATTCATGCTACAGGACCATGCAATATCAATTATGACTCCAATTCAACAGCACTAAATCCATACTCCTGGAACAATGAGGTGAATATGTGGGTGCCGTCTCATCTTGCATGACTCTTCGTCGCTGACCATGTCTAGGCTTTATATCGATCAGCCAAATCAGGTGGGATTAAGTTACGACGTCCTTGTCAATGGCACACAAGACTTGCTTAATCCCAGTGGCGACGTTATCGTGGATGACTTCACCAGCGGAGTTCCTAAACAGAACAGCACGTTTCTCGTGGGAACATTCCCGTCACAGCTCCTGAACTCGAGTGCCAACGGAACCACAAACTCTGCTAGAACGCTGTGGCATATGGCCCAAGTCTGGTTTCAGACGTTCCCTAAATATAAACCTAACGATGGCCGGGTCAGCATCTGGACAGAAAGTTATGGTGGGCATTATGGACCAGCATTTGCTGCGTTCTTCGAAGAACAAAATTGAAAAATCGCAAATGGTACTTGGACCGACGTCGGTGAGACGTACGAGATTCACCTTGATACCCTTGGCATCATCAATGGATGTATTGACACTCTTGTCCAAGAACCTAGCTATCCTCACATGGCGCTCAACAATACCTATGGCATCAAAACGATCAACCAAAGTGTCTATGACGCAGCCATGAAAAGCTTCACCGAGCCTGGTGGTGTACAAGTACTCATTGAGACGTGCAGAGCTCTGGCTGCCGAGGGAGACCCTGGAAACCAGGGCAACAATTCGACCGTTAACGATGCTTGCGCAGAAGCCAACGATGCCACTTGGGATATGGAAGGTCCTTATGTCGAGTACTCGGGCCGAAATTATTATGACATTGCGGCCATCGACCCTGACCCTTTCCCACCGAATTACACATCGGCTATCTCAATCAGCCACATGTGCAGGTGGCATTGGGAGTTCCTCTCAATTATACGAATCCGGGAGGCAATGCGCCATATTATGCTTTTCAAGATACTGGATATTATCCTCGAGGAGGATACCTGAAAGATCTCTCGTACTTGATCGACAATGGGATCAAAGTTGCTTTGGTGTATGGTGATCGTGACTACGCGTGCAATTGGATCGGGGGAGAAGCCGTTTCGCTGGCCGTCAACTACTCGCACGCCTCTGACTTTGCAGCCGCAGGGTATGCCAACATCAGCGTCAACTCGAGTTATGTCGGCGGTATGGTCAGACAGTTTGGTAACTTTAGCTTCTCGCGTGTCTTCCAGGCCGGTCACGAAGTTCCTGCGTATCAACCAGAGACTGCGTATGAAATTTTGCGCCGTGCGCTCTTCAACCTTGACATTGCGACGGGCCAGGAAGATACGGCGAAGAACGATTCCTTTGCGACCATAGAGTTGCCTGACACTTGGTCGATCAAAGACACTCCTCACGAAACCAAGGAGCATATTTGTTATTCACTTGCTTCAAGCTCCAGTTGTACAGACGAGCAACTACAGAGTATAATTGACGGGTCGGCCTTGATTTCAAAATATATTCTGGTCGATAATTATACGCTCGGTCAGTTTCCAGGCTTGGCGACTGCAGGTAATGAAAGTGGTAACGGAAGTGGTAGTGGTAATGGTAATGGGGGAAATGAGAGTGGTAACGATGACAACGATAGCAGTGCGACGATTGTTGCTATGAGTTCAGGGATGTGGTTTTTGATTGCTGTGACGGTCATGGCCACGACTGGTGTATGAAGTCTTTGAAACGACGTTCCATTGACTTTTGACAACCTTGGAATATGATGATGCCGGTATGTACAAATATCCGACGTTCCTGACTATTGCTGTTCTTGGGATCTTCGATCGTGCTTGCGGCTTGTCTCTCAACCCAACCTAACATTTCCCCTTCTTCGTTCCTTGTTTTCCCGTCCACTCACGTCCGCATGGTACTTGAATTTAGGGCTGGAGCGTGAGCCTGCGTGATTGCTGGTGTAATGCCTCACTTTGTCTTATTCTCCTCTGCCTTTTTCTGTTGCTCTAGCGTCTTGATGGGACTGTCTCTCGGGTCTCGAAACTCGTACTCGGTCCCCTTTTCCCTCCTCGCCTGTTGAATTTTTGTCTTCTCCGAACCGAAACTTTTGTTGGAATGGAAGATGTAATAAAATGGGACAAAGGAAACGGCGGCCGCCAAGGCGTACCTATTCAACGGAGGTATGGGTTAGTCCTTTAGATCCCTCAAAATGAAGATGGCGGATGATGGTGAACGGGATAAAGCAGAGCGTGAGGAAAGTGAAGACAAGTAAGAAGAACTTACAAAGGTAATCTACTATTCTGATGCTGTGCTTCTGGCCTAGAAGGTGCAGCCTTTTCGGCGTAGGTCCTTTTGGGTGGTGCGTGTTGTAGTTGTTGTAGACGTGGTACCCTCAGGTCTCCGACCCTAGGTATTTGTTTCTTTGTCTGTACAGATCCTCGCATCATGACAGTCGATCCTCGACCTAGTATTGATGCCATTGTTGCGAGATGTTTCTGGTGCTGTGGTGATGTATATATGTAGTGGTGTTTGCTTGGTGTGTGGATGTCGGTAGAAGAATTGTTTCCACTCATGTGCATCTCACCTTTTTCAATCAAGAGCAGACTGACCCCGTGGGTTTCGACCTTTTCCCTCCCAATTACATACCTTACCTAGAACTCTTCCCGGAAGTGCATCACGGGTTGAGAACATCGTCATGACTTTTTTTTAGTTGGTCCGGACACGAGTATCGTTTACATCATCGATAGCTGGAGATCCCCTCCGAGACTCCGAATACTGTCGTAGGTCAACCAGGGTTTTGTACAACCAAAATTCTAGGCCAGGCATCCCTGCATGAATGCCCGATCCAGTAACCCGACTTGCCTCTTTGAGCGATTCAGTGGTGTTTTGCTCAACCGACAAGACATTTGATGCCTGAGGATGAAAAATTTCCTGCTACTCTGGGCCTTGGATACTGTACCTCGTTTAACATGTATGTACAAACCATCAACAACTCTATCTTCACCTTTTATTGTTTATTTCCATTGTCATGACAGAAACAAAACATGTCAGCTAGCTTCTCGAGTAGTCAATACATACAAAATCATACCAAAAACTCATTAAAATTTGATGGTACATGAAACATGGTCAATCAATGACAATGACACAGATCCAAAAAAAAACATAGGAAACAAGACCCCAAAAAACCCTCGTCAGTCTCAACCGTAGTTACTTCTTCTGTTCCTTATTACCCAATAGAATCGTAACGGCCTCATCCCAACCACGTTCCTCGACGATTTCCATCACGGTCCTCCCAGATTCGTCCTGGGCCTCGAGGTCAACCTTGCCTCCATGTTCCACCAGACATTTCAAAACGGTGGCGTCGCCATTCTCGACGGCCTGTAGGATGGCGTTCCACCCTCGGTACATGAGGTTGATGTCGGCGCCTCGAGCCAGGAGCATCTCGATCATCTCGGTGTCGCCGCGGAACCGACGGATGGCCTTGATGATGGGCAGATGTTCACCGGGGGCGTTGACGTCGGCTCCGGCCTCGTCGATCAGAAATTTGACAATCTCCTTGCGACCTTCGCGGATGGCCGTGGTCAGCGGGGAGAACACACCTCCGTTCTTGTCCTCGACGCTCACGCCGGCGGCGAGGAGAAGCTTGATGCTCTCAAGTTCGTTGGCCGTCACCGCCATCTCCATCACGCCCTTGATGGCACGAGGGTTGTGCACCTTGGGGAGTAGTTTCTTCAAGATGGCAGGCTGCTTCACCGCCATGCAGATGGGCCAATCTTGGCCACGGATTCCCGGGTCGGCCCCGTGCGCGAGCAAGACGTCCACAAAGTCGACTCGATTGTCCCGGATCGCCGTGGTCAGGGCAGTGTACCCTTCGGGCGTGCGATCGTTGGCACTGACGTCTTGCTCCAACAGGTACATCAGCGCGTCCTTGTTGTTGTGCGCCACGGCCTTTTCGATGATGCCCTTGGGCCTGTGGAGGTCGGAACCGGCAGCGACGAGTTGAGGGAGGAGGTGAGTGCGGTGGTGCGTGACGCATTTGAAGGCGGGATACTCAGCAGCGGGTTCGTTGGGGTCGGCTCCGGACGCAAGGAGCAGCGAAACGAGTTCGGTGCGGTTGTCGCGAATCGCAGTGCAGAGAGGCGTGTAAGCGCCATCCTTTTTCGCGTTGACGTCGACACCGGCTCGGATGAGGATCGTGACGGACTCGATGTTATTGATCGAGGTTGCGAGTTCGAGAATGCCAGGACATCGCTTGAATGTGGCACCGCGAGAAATCATGAGTTGGAGGGCCTTGGGGTGGTACGTGGCTGGCCAAAGAGGGTGTTTGGGGCCTGGTAGGTTCGGGTCCGCACCATGGTCCAAGAGGAGTTGAACCAGGTCGATCCGGCCTGCTTGGATAGCGACAAAGAGTGGAGTTTCGCCGCGATTGCTCTTGCCGTTGGCGTCAGATCCATAGATGAGGAGAAGCTCGGTCAGACGTCGAGGCGAAGTCTTTGTGACCGCCATGTCGAGCAGAGTATTGCCGTCGGAAATGTTGAGGTTCGCATTGCCACCGTATGTGAGCAGAAGTTGCACAAGCTCGACTTTGGTCTCAGCCACGGCTGCTGCGATGGGCGCCTCATTGCTGGGTCCGGCCGGCAGATTGGGATCAGCCCCGTATTTGAGTAGCAGCTTTGTCCCGTCGACAAAGGACGCCTCGATGGCAGCCAGGAGTGCAGTGGAGGACGATTTGTCAACGCTGTTAGGGTCGGCGCCGAAAAGTAGCAGGAGGCGAACACTTTCGGCATCGCGGTTGAGGACAGCTTCGCGAAGAACATTCATATCGATTCCACTGTCCGGAGGAACACCACAGTCGAGTAATTGTTCAATCATCTTGTGCTTTCTCTGTTGAATCGCACTGGCGAGGGCATTCTTCAGGGCCGCCGAGTTAGCACCAGTGTTTTGCTTGGGAGTCCATCGAGGGACGGTAGAAGGATCAGCCTTGATGCGGACGACCTTTTGTGATTGTTTGTCGTTGAACTCAATCTCAGAAATCATATCTTCGATTTGTGTGAAAGAGTCTGCCGTCTTGACTGAGAGGTGGTCGTCAAGCGTGACATCAGTAGGGGCGGTTTCTACACTTGAATGCGGTCCAAGATCTCTGGTTGCAGAAGTTGCAGTGTACTTGCTGGATCGAATACTGGGGAGAGCCTTGACGCTATGCGTGTCACCATTGCGATGAACACTATGGACGTCACCATTACGGTGGATGCTGTTGTGGATGCTGTGGGCGTCGCCGTTGCGGTGGTCGAGTGAGCTGGTTCGTGGATCCACGTTGTGGCCGACCAGTGCGCTCAAGTCTTCGTCAAGTCGTGGAAAGAGCGAGTAGTTCGCGTGCTTGTCGCTTACACTCGAGATCGGAGGCAGTGGTGGCAGATGGTCGGGAACCTGAGAAGAAGGCGGCGTTTGCCCAATATGACTTTGTTGCTGGGAAGGTGGTAGAGGCGATGAATTGATGGACGGGATCTTGCCAGGATTCATGCGCTCGAGCACAGCAGCAAGACCTGTATACCCAATACCGACCGAGGCATCGGCTTTTGCATCTCCCAGCGACCACCTGAAGACCAACGCGCTCATCCTGAGGGCATCTCGGCTCTTCCCCAGAGATTCTCTGATCTTGTGGATTTCATCATCCGAGAACATGCTGTGCCACCCTCTCTGGAATCGACCGAGGCGTCCCTTTCTTTCGTATTCCAGAAACTTGGTCAACATCTGGTTCAGCACGATGAAGTCGTCGTTGGTTTGCCTGAACTTCTTGTCAAGCTCTTGGACCATGTCTTGAGGGAACTTGGTTTGCGACCGTCCCGCTTCATTCAGACCCGCTTCAATGGACCACAGAATGCGGGAGATGTCAAGAAAGTCGCAGGCGAGCTCCTTGAATCCATGAGGCTGATGCTTGACGGTGCCCAGGTACTCCAGCATCCGTACCGAGATGCTGTTTCCCACGTTGGTCGCCATGGTACAGAGCTCCAGGAGCGTCTCTTTTCCTTTCTTGGGCGCCATGACAGTGGTTGAGTATGCAGTGAGAGCTCAGGAGGAGAGAGGTTGATCTCGTGCTCCTGCGCACCCGCGGGAGCGTTTAATCGTCACACAGGAAGAAGAGTCGCAGCCGCGGAGAGAAGGGCAGAGAGAGAGAGAGAGAACACAACGAGCCCGTCTCGCAGGTGAGACAAATCGTCGAAACGGGGCTCCATATCTTTATCTCTGCCCGCGGACTCCCACAGCCAACATGGAAATTTGTCTGGTTTGTCCTACACCACGAACTAGCGCCCTGGTCGAGACTTGGAGCACCTGGAAGGTTTCGACCACGTTCTCATGCTAACGAAGCCTGTGCCCTGGATGGCAGCGGAGTCAAACGGTTGGGCTCGGTCAAGAACACAATAACACAGGGAGACAGTGAGGCACTGGAGGTTGCGAGGCGTCCCGGCCGTGCCAAAACGAGTCGTGTCAATGACGGCATCCCAGTTGCAGTCGTGGTCCCAGTGATTCTCAAAACCGGGTCCTAGACGAGTTCATTGGCGCCGTTCACTTCAGTTGAGGCTAGCCTCCAGGGTGTATCCTTGGATGAGGGATGCTTGGGAGTCGTCTTCAGGTTTCATTATTGCCTACCTGGGCCAAAACGGAAACACTTACCAATGAAGGCCATGCATCTTGAACCTCGTAGACGAAACTATGGGGCTGGCTCCGGGGGATATTGGTAGCACAAACCTGTGGGCCAAACCGTATCCAACACGCGAGAATCGTCAAATTCTAGCCTGAGCACCGGGCGATTGGAGCTTCTTGCCACAACCAAATCGGGGGATTCGCCGGGAATCTGCAGGTCCACTAACCCCTGATTCTAGCTTCGCGACGACTTTCTTCAGGCAAGGTCCGCCCCTCGAACTTCGACCCTGGCCGCAAATCATCTGTCACTGCTGCTGCCGCTGTCAACTGTAGATCCACAAAGCCAACATGACAACTTCACGAGGCGATCAAGAATCCCACCACAGCTCTGATGCGGATAGCTGGGCCGGAATTTCCAGCTAAATATTCCGCTGTGGGTACAGTGCAACCTACAGAGGCAGAAGATAGCGACGAGGAGGAGCCCACGTCTTGTCGTTGGTCTACACATGAAATGTCTCGGAGGCCTCAACTGAAGACCATGTACCCAGTACGAAGTACAGGAGACGAATTGATTCTCCAATGGACTGACCGATGAAGAGAGACCCTACACTTTCTGGGATGAAGGAAGGGTGCTTTGCATCTAGCTTCACTCTTCTTCCAATATCACATTCAGTCGTGTCACCTTACACGCGACCAGCAACGATGAGAGGCACTGGTATGCAATGTGCAATCATAATTCGACTTCATGGCCAACGAATCGCTTAAGGCCAAGACACTTGCAATCTGTTCGTGTACCGCCGACCGGCCCATCGCGCTCGCAATGGACGGATGGGCAAAACTCCCGACAGAAATCTTTCCCCTGCTTTTGTTTCTGTTTTCTTTTCCTTTGGGAACGATGAACCATTTACGTACGATCATGCTTCGGATTGTCTCCAGAATTTGCCTGCCGCCTTGTAGCGCCAAAATTAGTCCAAATCATAATAAGCCCCCGCCGTTGGGCGGTGTCTCTCTGCTGTGGTTTTCTTTGGAGGGCTGCTGGGGAAAGCCTCGTGGCTTGCTACACCACAGCTGAATCTCTTGAAGGTCAGGTCGTTGATTCGATGTCCCTAAAATCTTATCACAGGCTAAAGTAGATGCTGTGGCCACTTGGGTTTTCTTTCTTCACGTGAAACGCCTACTAGTTACTAGAGTTGTTCATCAGATGGTTCGCTTCTGAAAGCCACCACCGCTTTTGATGACTGGAAAATCGATCTCCACGATTGTCCTTCTGTTTGCTCATCGTTGTTAGTAATAACTTATCAGCAATGGCCCTTGTCTGCCTGGCAGCAGCACGTGCGAGATGACAGGAATACTATTATATACCACCCCTATCGGAAGGATATGAGCGATGGCATTTTTGGGGGGATTCATCGAGCCTTGAATTCCGCACCCTCAAGACTCGTCCGAGTAGTACGCATGTTGTGATTTTGCCACTGTCCCAGCCCGTCTTGCAGAAACAGATTTGACTGGTAAGTGGGGTTTGTGGTTTCCTGGAGAAGAGCCTGAACGACCTGTACCTGTACCATATGTATGCTCGTAGACGTCTGCCCTGAATTTCATGACAAGCCAGGAACTTGTGACTTGGATCTACTCTTATCTTGGGTCTAGTTTCAACGCCGGTTACACCAGAGCTGCCTGTCGCATCACCAATACGCTTTGTTGTGCAGGTGCCCAATTGCTAACGGCAGGGCCAGTCAAGTCAACAGGTGTCACAAGAGTATGCACCTATAAACTTGGTTCCGAGATGGGTGACTCGAGAGAAGTCGAGACCATGTATGTGTAGTGCCGACCGTCTACCCTACGTACTGTACCACCGAGTTATTATGACTAAACTCCATCGACAGATCTAGACAGCCGGGTGGAACGATCTGGATTTCATGTCGAGTTCCACATCCAAGGGGGATAGTAAAGTCCACGGCACACTGGCAGGTCGGGTACCCGCTACACTGATTGACATACGGCTGACCCAATGTCACATGGGAACTGAAATAGTGAATAACTATGTATTTGCAAATACTTGGTGATCTCAAAACCGCTCTTTCATCCTCTGTGTAGCGTCGCCGACTCACCGTCTCAGCCGTACGTATTGTGGTCCCAAGTTACTACTTTCCACCATCAGACATTTTTGTCTCTGGGCCTTCAATCTGGGACTTTGTGTGCAGACCACACCAGTTCACACCAATTCGAAGTAAGAAGGTCTAGATGAAGCCTTCGGTTGGTTTGAAATCACTCGAGTGGTCCGGCGATTCTTGCCAATCGACATGATGTCTGCATAACTGAACTTCATATTATCATCATGTTCATTGCCACACACAGTCCGAGTACATTTGTAAGTATCCCTCCACACGGTGAGTGTTTGTTGGCAATCCCATATCCCAAACCTACTCGCTGTTTTGTTCAAGGGTGTGCCTGTCAAAATGCCGTAGGGATACTAGTCAACATTTGTCAGTGAGGCAAGGTCTCGTCCCATCCACATGGATGATGGCAGACGCTTGACAGGGGCAGGTTGGTCACCCAAGCGACGTGCTCATCTGGTGTCACCATGCAGGGATTGTCCTTCATCGATTGACTTACAGAGTGAGTTCCGACATTCATACCCGACATGGCTATCGACCTTGAGCCTACCCTACCATGCTTCATACAATTGCCCTTTCATGTGGTTCGGCCCACATGAGACTGGATCAACAGCGACATCAGCCACGCCAGTCTTTGTCTTTACCCAAAAAAGATCCTTGATGGACAGGTACCATAGACTTTGGCCAGGACGTCTGCACTGGGTTCACTAGCCCTGAAGCAGACCCACGAGATCGAAGGAGAGATATTGACTGTGTGTGGTGGGTTTGCCGTTTACATTTCGGATCTGCATAAATCTGCACACTTTGACGTGGAGACGAGGCTGGCGACGGCGATGGTGGTGAATGAGCGGTGGTTGGTACCGCTTAATGTTGGTCAAGACAAGCCTCGCTTTCAAGCATCTTCACGTCATTCACGACCTCCAGATAAGGCCCGAACCTTCGAAGACTTTGGAAACATGTCTAGTGTCGTGGAAGATCACCCTCCAAGATCATCCTTGGGCTCTTTCGACCACGACTCCAGAGACACCAATATGTACCGCCTATCCTACACACAAAAGTGGCAAGCAACCCGCCCGCAAATGAATCCCACTTCGGGGTCTTGAGAGGTACCAAACAAAATGTCACGCCAACATCACGTAAAAGCTAAAGCCCGAAGATAGCTTCAGCAGGTGGCTAGTTAGTCCCCGATCTTAAACGCGCAGAGCCCTCTCCATTTTTCAATCTACCAAACCTTCATTTCGGAAAATACTCAACAGACTGTAGATACGACCGTCTCACACACCATGTTCACACCTGTCGAGTCGGCCCTGGGAGCGATTCTCCTCCAACAAGCATCGACCGCCCTCCTCTTCAACAATGGGTGTGTCCTCGGAGCCTCCGGTCAACTCCGGGGGATCCTGACCGGCCCCACGTTCAAGACCTCTGCCTTCATCGCAGGGATGGCCTTGAGCGTGTTTGTTACAAAGACGATATTTCCAACTCTCATACCACACTATGACGTTCCTCAACAAGACTGGAACGATTCTTTGTGGATTGTCGGACTTGGTACTTTGACTGGATACGGAACCAAGGTACGTCGCACACACACCTACAAAAAAAGAAGAAAAACATCGAGACTAACTCATTACCCCCTTTTGCGGCGGAAAAAAAAATATAGAGCTGCAATGGTTGTACTTCAGGACACATGTTGTGCGGCGTCAGTCGTCTCTCGGCTCGATCTCTGATTGCCACACTCACCTTCATGGTCGTCGCCTATGTCACCCACCAATATGTGGTGCCATCATCGTCAACCAAATTTTCGTCCTCGAACTGTCCCGCCGGTGTCGACTGTTACGCACCCGTCTACCCGAACTCAGACTTGGTCGTCAACCTCGTCCTGGCGATAACAGCATCAATCGTCAGCCTACATCTCATTCCGAGCATCGTGTTCCGCGTTGCGAACAAAAGCGAGCTTGCAGGTCTAGCCAGTCGATTACTCGTCGGGTTCACATTCGGCTTTGGTTTGTTGGTGTCAGGATTTGCCGATCCTGTAAAGGTCTTGTCCTTCTTTTCCGTCTCCTTTGGACCTTTGGATATCACCGCATGGGACCCGTCCTTGGGGTTTGTGGGTCTCTTTGCTATCGTCCCAAACATCATCTGGTGGAATTTCGCTACCGCCGAACCCCCAAACAGCGCCCCCGAATGCAAAGGCCCTCCAAAATACAACAGGCGTTATGAACTACCGACGACCTCTCTGAGCAGTATCACTTTGCGGTTCATGATCGGTGCCGTCCTGTTCGGAGTCTCATGGGGTGCTTCTGGTAGTTGTCCCGGTCCTGCGATCTTGAGAACCTTGGTTCAGCCTTGGTGGGGAGTGTTGTGGATGGAGGGGTTCTTGATGGGTAGTCTAATACCATTTTAAGCACTGGGTTATGAGCGACAATGTACCAAGGCTGTCAATGTATATTCGCCCCTCTTGTTCCTACAAACTTCTGTGACTGGCGGGGTGGATGGGACTTACGGCGCGGTAATTCAGACTTTGGGGCTGAGCATACAATAATCTGGTTTGAGGACATTCGTGTTGATCAACAACACAAAGTGTATATACTTTTTCAAAAGTCGTATGCTTTAAACAAGGCTATCTAGAAAAAAAGGGTCTCCGGTTGGACAAGTCGCACCTCACGCGCAGCAGCGGTCTAGATGCACGATGTCCATGATGATGACACCACTCCACCACCACCACCATCATCCTCATTAAACACAGATCCAATGTCCTCGTCCCTTTTACAACTCACCATAGCCATCCAAGGAGAGAGCTTCAGCCTTTGATTGACTGTTTGGATCGAAGTATGGACGTTCCCCGATACCCACCACACGATTCCCAAACCTTTCCCCTAGTCCTTCGTAATCAAACGTTGCCGTGTGGAATACAGAACGATTATCCCAGATTGCTATCCCGTCAAGTAAATTGTCAGCGAATAGATACCAAAGCATGCACGTACGCAAAACAGGATCCCCGTAATCTTATAGTCTCAACCGGCATCGCGTGCGGTTCTCAGGTCGGTGGTCACAACGATCAAGCTCTGAACTCACCTAAATCATTTGGATTCCTCCACTTGAACCTGACTTGCAAATCATGATTGTTGACAATGGTGTCGTGAAATTTCTTCAGCAGGTCGTCACTTTCTTCCTTTGTCAACTCGTTGATACGGTGGGGGAAAGATCCAATGGAATAAACACTCTTCCAGCCCGTGACTGGATTTGTCCTAACCACTGGATGGACCATTGACAAGTGTCCCCCGACGTTGGCCGGCGATCCTCGCGGTCGTTCGTACAGTTTGGTTTTACCCGCGTCCGCTGCCTTGATGAAACCCTCGCCCACAAAAGTCGCCGTGAGACCCTCGAAGAACTTTTTGTAGGGCTTACTGAAACGGTCATAAATGTCGTAACCGGAAGCCCAGAGAGTGTCCCCCCCTGTCCTGGGTAACTGAACCAACCGTAGACTCGTGTAATCCGCAGGACAAGTCTCGAATTGAATGTCACTGTGCCATCTGGCCGAGTCGTACTTTCGTTTGTTGATGGCTTCGGCTCCGAAAAGTTTTTTACGTTGCAAAGAAGAAATGGTGCTGACTTCGTTGTCCCCTTCGAGACCAAACTCGCCCGTGCCGTTGAGGATTGGGTGGACGTGCAATGTGGACGTCGAGGGTTTCCCACTCAACTCGCCCAGTCTTTGGACCAACGTCTTTTGCAGGTCGTTGGTCAGGTTGTCTTGTTTGCGGAAAAAGACGACGCCCCGTTCGCTGATGGTGATGGCAAGGTCACGCAACAGGTCGTCGGCGTTGGAGGCATTCATAAAATCGTCGACGATGTTGGCGGTCGGATATTCTCGTCCAACGGCCGGAGTGACGTCGTCGAATTCAAAGGTCGAATCCAAGGTTCCGGTCTTTGTCAATGGTTTGGTGTTTCTGGTTTGCGTGGTTTCAGGCTGGTCATCAATCGCATTGGATCCTACGTCGTCGTGAGAAGATGCAGGTAAAGTTGCGCTCGGAGCCATCGCAAAAGAATCGGGTTTCAATCTGTCAAACTCTGCAGATGCGTATGTTCATATCCGAGTATCGATGAGTGAGTCAATGGAATTGGAATTGACACCAAAACATTCTTAAAAGAAAGTCTTCAGTCTCGTCGACTCATCTCGGACTTTCCAATGAGGGGATCGACGGGTCGTTCGGCAAGCACGTATATCACTGGCTATATCGTGCAATCTTCAACAACTTTTGGGTGGTTGATATGCTATGCGGGGTTCGTTGTTGGACATGTCCGACTTTGAGATTTCTTTTCACATGACTGGCAATCACACGGGATGACGGTACTCTGATGGATACGAATAGAGGTGAACCAAACATGCTGTTTTGTAAACAGGCCGATCCGCGGTGATACTGCGGGACTCTTGAGGGGTGACCACAAAGGCACACAGGTATGTAACTAGATCCTTTCGGTCTGGCCTAGGTACCTTGCAAACCAATCGCGTAACCTCTCCAGTCGATTGATATAATGAGCCCTTTCCCAAGGTGGGATACCATGCCCTTCTCTGGGATAGACGACATATTCGCACTCGTACCCATGGGCAAGACAACCATGGTGGAATGCACGTGCATGAGTGATGTGTACCCTGTCATCCTCCTCACCTTGCAACATCAACACCGGCGTCGTGATCTTGTTAGTAGTCATGTGCCAAACAGGGCTGCTGTTGCGATTCCAGGTATCATCGGGGGTCACATTCCACGGCGCACGGCCCCCAAGGGAGATGGCATATATAGGAGTATCCGAGGTCATCACACCAATATCCCAGTCGGTACCACCGCATAGTGCGCCTGCTGCCGCAAAGTGGAACGTCTGGTCACGAGTCACAGCCATGAAAGCGAGACAACCACCGTAGGACCAGCCGTAGATGCCGACCCTCTCGGCGTCAATCAGTCCTTCATTGATGGTGGATTGGAGTGTGTCGATCACATCACTGTAGTCCTTGGTCCCAGGACGTCCCAACATATCCGATATGAATTTCTCACCTCTACCAGTGCTGCCACGGTAGTTTGGTGAGAGTACGGCATAGCCATGGTATGTGAGCCAAGGAGCCAGATTCTCAAAGCAGACGTCAAAGCCATGGGCGACTTTGCATGAAGGGCCGCCGTGAGGAAGAACCACTGTCGGCCATCCACTTGGAGGCATCTTGTATCTCTTGTCCGATGGAAAGACAAAAACTCCCTCTACCCCAGTACCATCCTGTGCAGTTGCACGAATAGTCTTTGCAGAAGCAATGTCGCCAACTTCTCGAATGAATCTGCCATGGTCGGAGAGACAGACTTCTTTGTCGTCCACGATGATATAGACCTCTTCGGGGCTAGACGATGTGCTCTTGGTTAACGCGATCATGGTATTGTTATCCTTCTTCCATACATCCCAAGACCGAATGTCTCTCTCTTGCGATTCGTAAACGATATTCCAGTTTGGTAACTCATGGATAACATCAGACAAACCATGTTGTACTGCCACGAACAGACCTGAGGAGCTATGCCGCACTGACGGACCAAGCATCCACCCCGTGGCACTGTCGTCCTTGCCGGATCCTTTCATGGTCCACTGACTCGAGTTAAAGTCCATGCCGTAGACGCACATTGACCCTAGACCCATGGGGTGAGATAGGTCGTAATTCGAACGCCACCATAAAGATTTGCCCTTCCATCCAAGATCGGAAAGACCATTCGGGAAGCGAACGAATTCTCTGATGTTCCTGTCTGCCAACGAGACAACTTCCAGAGTACTTCCGTACGTCATCGGAGAACCAAGTTCGGGGGTTTTCGTTGCCGCATACACGATCGATGTGGAATCGGGACTCCAGGCCAGATCATAAATGTGTGAATCTTTTGAAACAATCGTCGTGATCTTCCGAGACGCAACATCGATGATCCGGAGACGATTCAAGTCCCAGTGCTCCCCATACACTTTCTCGTCATCCCCTCTTTCATGTCGAGACTTTGTCTCCGAGCTCTCCTCGTCCGAACTCAGATAGGCGACGTATCTACCATCTGGGCTCCAGGTAAACTTGGTGATGGCCTGTTCCAAACCAGACGGGGTAAATTCGATCTCTTCCGCTCCGAGATCCTTATCGAGACGAAGCAAGTTGATCCCAATGAACGATTCCCCTTTCTTGCCTCTATCGGTAAGGACGGCAAGCACTGAATTATCCACGGGGGAGAACTGGCAGGCCGCGTACAAAGATTGGTTTTCCGTAGATGTCAATTGACGAGCTGACTTTTCATTGCCGACGATTGCCAACCAGATCGAAGACATCCATCGCTTGGGGGTTTTGCACCAATCCGACCGCAGGTTGTATGCGACGTAGTCTCCTGAGGATGATATCGTGAGATCATGGGGCGTCTGAAGATCAGCAAGAAGGTCGGCAGTGAGTGTTGGCATTGTTTCAGTACTAGGTATACTTCCAAAGACGTATTGTGTCAATGATGGTGATGACAGTGGTCGGATGGCTAGTATTCTCTCCTCTTTATATTATGATTCAGTGTGTCACATCGTTCAACTGCTCAAGGCATCATTGTTTTTGACGGTCGGAGCCTAGGCTCTGGGGTCAATGATTGGCATTGCGGGCAGTAGTCTGGTCATAGGGTAGTACTCTGTTCCATCGATGTCGGCGAAATAGTCGCATAAACTGGCCACTGGCCTATTAGGCTACCACTTTAAGCCCAGATGTTGACCCTGTTGTTTCCATTATGTCAGCAAATAACGCCAATGGCCCTTCATCGACCAAAAACCTGGGGGCTCTTCATCCAGTCTTCCTGACCCCCACAAACATCGGCCACGCCGGAGATTATTTGTGCCCTTATGAAGGGCGATTCGTGATGTGGTTCTAGTGAGTTCTGACGGAATGGTCTCCGGCAAATACAGTCCTCGAAATGGGGTACAAAGGAGCAGTGTGGTGCTGTAGGGCATGGAGAAAGAGGAAGAGAGAATGTTGTTTATTCACCAGCTGCTCGTACAAAATTCCCTTGGTGTGACATAATTGTTCCGGATTTCAAGAGCACCACAGAGTGCGCCGGCCCTCACGATCATAAACATGGAGCAGCCAGTTCCGTGCTTGCGATTGTGATCGCGACTCGATCGTGTTGCGAGCCAGCGTTTTCGAGGCGTAAGCGTTGATAGTCACCCGAGCAAAGTATCCTCATGCGCACCGGCGCGTGCTCTCCTTCCTCAACTGTGATAACCTCAAACAGTGTGGTGAGCTAATAGCTCTAGCGACAGTATTAGATCCTTCAGGTTTGAGAGTCTGCTAGGAGGAGCAGTAATCTCTATGATGGTCGATTAGGTGCCACAGCTCTCGGCGACCGCAGGCTGAAGTTCTTTTCCCATCATGTATCCTTGCTCTTGACTGTCGTAGATAGAATTACATCAGCGAAAGAACTAAAAGAAAGGTGCATAGTTCTAGGTGTTTTGTACGCTCGTGGCAGACGCGGACTCAATCTCAATCCGGGCCTCGAGCTAGCCGCAAATCATTGAACCACATGTACCGACTCAGGACGACGTAGATGTACCTGTCCCAGCTGACTTGGCTAGAATGCCGCATAAAAGCCACGACTCCACGACACCACAGGGGAAATGAATTTAAGAAGAGAGCCGAACGCCCATTTTGTCCAGAAAACATGCCGCCCATGGCCAGTCTCAGGAAAGTCAGTGGCAGGTCGCCTAGAAGACTGTATTTTCGCACGACATTGGTTGTTGTCAATGTGTAGACCGGTATATTTGGCTTCCTAGGTGAGAATATTTTCCTGAGAACACATGTCAGCGAGAAGATGCGTCGGTTGATTTGTTTGGTGCCAGAGCGTACAGAATGCCGTCGCTAACTGCGATGTGATTTTTATGCCCAGAAACTCCTCCATCGTCGAAGGTGATTATCTGTCGAAATTAATCAGCGATCTCGTTACGAGTATTGGATGTGGTGCTCAGGGCTTTTAGAACGTACAGCGTCAGCATCCCAGCGGGACACATATTCTCTCACGATTGCGCCGACAGTTTCACGAGGCCAGGCGCGGTCCGGATTATCCTGCAAGTCTTGCATGTCCAGGACGTCGCAGTGGTCTTTGTGAATGCCCAAAACGGCGCAGGCGCCTTTGACTTCGTTCTTACGGATGTCGCCCTTTCCATAGTGATTTCCTAACACGGTAGGGCAGGTCAGTTGTTGTCAGATAAATGTGAGAATTGCGGATGGATGCGGGAAGTCCTCTTGGGCCTCCTAGGAGGAGCGAAAGGTTTGAGAAGACGGGCCAATGTACCAGAAGAAAGAACCAACAATGCTGTGTCCAAGCCTGCAGCCCTGCGCTGGGTCAAGCTTAAGATTGTCGGACCGAAGAACAAGGATTCATCGTCGGGATGGGCAACTACCACCAAGACCATTTCTGCGTCTCGTAGTTGAACAGGATATCTGGCAACTGATGTAAGGATCAGAAACAGCCACAGTGCCACGGGAAGAACGATGAAATATGCGGCGAATAAGCGAAGAAGTAATGTCCTGCGCCTGTACAGTCTAGGAATTCGAGATCGCCAGACTGGCTTTGTTGTTAGCACCATAGCTTCTTCTAACATGAGCTGTTTTGTCGCTAAAACAGTAGAAAAAGACAAGAGATTAAGGCAATGGCAACGACAATGATGGTGAGGTGAGATTGAGGAAACAATAAGAAAGTGAAGTTGGCCACATTCAAGGGCAATGAGACATATCACAGTGGGCACTAAATTACTAGTATGTATTTACGGAGGAGTATAAGGTATTTTAGTATACGAGGACGGAGTGAAACGGACACTATGGCCACTCCCAGACACTTAGACCGGCATTGGATCGACCTTCTAGGCTCTATCACGGTGACTGACTGACACCCAGCCACCTCTATAGGGAGTATTTAGTAACTGCTCTCTGCCTCGGTGTTTGCCTCCTTTTTTCTACTCCCTTCTTTGACAGAGCGATGACGGCTCCAAGTTGTTGCTAGCTGCAGGGTCTGTACCTATCCCAGTCGGGTATATATACCCTCCCAGCTTATTCTGCAAGTGTTGTCACGTCATCCCCCCTTTCTAGGACTACGATTATAATCATGGACCGAGATCCTCCTACAGGTGGACTATTTCGCTGCCAAAAAATGATCCAACAATCCGATGACAGCTATCACATAACCAAAGATCTGCTGAGTGGTGATTGACGTACCAAATACGATCTTTGATATCAGAATCAACACCATGTCGCGCAGGATGCCGCACACGGTGACAGTTAATGCTGAGGTTCTTTCAATCTATAATTTCTCAGCCAACAGTCTTCAGCACGAGGATCTGCACACAAACCAGGAAAAACATGGAAATGTTCACGGTGAAGGCGAGGGCGGCGTTGAGGATCAGATGATACACTCTCACTTTGACCAAGTTATGGACGGAGAATGCTGAAGGTTCAAACACGTAAGCGGCCAAACCGGTGAGCAGAGCTCCTGGTGGGGTGAGATAATGTAAAAATCGGAGAGGGTGCATTTGGGACTCGGAAGACTTGACGAAGAGTTGGATCAGATTCAATCGGACCGCATGTGTGAAGATGGCCGAGACTTGGTATGTGGCTCCAACAATGTTGAAATGAGCGTCACCCGCAGATGTAATGGTGCCGCCAATGACGAGGAGGGCGAAGCGGACCAGCACTCGAATACCAGGCCTACTGAGCTTGAATAGCCACGAGACAAACAGAACCACGGCAGGGCTGGACGTCTGCACACAAGTTAGTCAATTTTTTCTAGATCTCCGAGGCAAGACAAGTCACCGAGCCGACTCACCTTGATCATTTGAATGGAAGGCACGTTGAGGTACAAGAAAGCCTTGTTCCCAAAGATGATGCTGAGACCGAGGAGCAAGGCTGCAGGGAGAATAGTCGTAGAGTATGCTTGTTTCGTCACGCCTGAGCCTTCGTCACCCCCCGGTAAAATTCGACGGTATAACATGAGATGTGTGATGACAGCGGAAAACGCTAGATGCCATGTGGTCAACAAGCATGCTGTTGAAGCGAATTAGTCTTCGAGACGTTGAAACGCAGACTGCTCTGGTCAGAGCCTCATGAGCTTACGGTAATCTGGGTGCAAGTCAGAGGAGTATCAGACGGCATGTTAGGGGACACTTACTGAATTTCCACGTGTCCAAGATGAACTTGTTGTGTATGGACAAAGCACAGCTTGACGCTATCCATAGTCTGTAATTGGTCGAGTCAGTTGTGGTTGAGGTCGCCGTGACGTCTGGACTGTCCCTACGATATATATCCGCAGGAGCAAGCGTCGAGGAGGAAGCCAGCACGCTCGAAGCGTGGCCATGGCTCTTGTGAGACCCTTATGGTCAGAGGAGACGAGGGCTTCACACCCATCAGTTCTGGAGACAGAGATTCCAAAGGCACCTCTGCAGACTCCGGAGATTTTCCCCATTCCGTGCGAACATGCCCAGTCATCCTTTCAAGAAGTGTATGCTTGAACGCGAAACTATGACCCTTATTCAGACATTAATGGGAGTGTTGAAGGGTGGAATAGATGAGATCGAGGTGGAAATGCGGCGCCCGGACGTCCCATGGCCGAAGAGAACCATCCTACCCATCATCTCGGCATCATCGTCCCTGTTAATCACTCATCAAGACCACCCATGGCACCTTGGGGCGAAGGGGAACAAATAGGCAATCTTTTTGCTTGTCATCTTTAACGCGTTTGATTTTTTTGGCTTTTCAATCTCCCCTAGGCCACGTATTGATACTATTCTTGGTCTGTCACCTGAAAAAAAGAGTCTGTGTCCCGTCCAACCGTACATTCTTCTTCCCACTCCCTTGGTCTCGAACTTTCTTGAAGCCTTGGGGTAAGTGTAAACGTCGTCCCCTCCGAGGAGATGGCTTGAGCTAACGACACACATCTGAGTGGCTATAGGTAGGTATTTTTGAACACGAAGGGGGTCTTTGCAAGGATTACGTGGCCAGACACTGACACTCCTTGGTGCTAGTCTGTACTGGGTTCTAGATTAAACCTTGTAAATCATAAGCAGGGGTGAAGAAAAGCTTGGTATCAAAGCTTGGCATGAACTTAAAAGCCGAGGGCCAATCAGTTGGCGCTAGACTACCACTAGGCTACCACCACCGTGTTGGGTTAGGCCAAGGCCCTATTACCGAATACGGGTACGACAAGAGAAGAATATACGAGCGGAATACGAGAACACGTACGCATCCCGTACCCCTAACATACGAAGAATGCAATGGTCGGACCCCTCGGACCCCAATGGCTTCACTTTGCCCCAACCCAAGGGAACATGTAAGGACGTGTGCCCGTTTGCGCCTCTGACGGCAGCTCATCAGGAACTCGGATCAGTGACTCGGTTCCATTGCTTGCTTCCAAGTCTCTTCCTCTCTGTCTCTACTGGAAGGAAGATGCAGGAGAACAATCATCTTCGGTTATTCCAGAGCGAGACCGTTTTCCTGATTGTTCCATTTGTTGTCTGCTTCTTTCTATCCTTGAGGTTTTTGATCCGTGCAGGGGTCGTCGGTGAACAACGATGTACACACCAAAAAGTCGGCGTGTGCGCTTGCTCGCGCTGTGTTTTCTTTTCATCCTATTCTTTCAACGCCACATTCAGATCGGCGTCAAACTTTCATTGATGCCTCTAATCTTCAACCGCAACACCTCCCTCCGCCTTTCCTCTGCCAGGGACAACTTCGACGTAACCTTCGAGCAGTATAGCTCTTCTACTTCTTCGCCTTCGTCTTCGTCAGCTGCCACGTCTTCTTCCAACAATGCAATAGCGCCTGAGAATATCACCTACCCTGTGCCAGCCGTCATCCACAACATCTTCATTGGATCAAAGGACAACCTGCGACCTTCATGGGCTCTGGCAGCTCACGCGTGCAGGACCGTCCATCCGGATTGGAACTTCGAGTATTGGGACAATGGAAGAGCCGAAAGATTTGTCCGCCGCGTGTATCCTGGAGTATGGCCGACCTGGAAAAATTATCGTTACGATATCCAGCGGGCAGATAGTCTGCGGTACATGATTCTTCACCATTACGGAGGTACGTATTATTCAATCTTCTCATCTTGGTACAGAGACCGCCGGTCAAAGGACTGCTTTGTTGACTGATAGTCCGCAACAGGTATCTTCCTCGACCTTGACCTCCTGTGTCTTCGCCCTCTCACGCCATTGCGTGCCTTTGACTTTGTTGCGCCAGCTGCCTACCCGTCGGGAATATCCAATGGCTTCATCGTATCGAAACCAAAAATGCCGTTCCTGGCAGAGGTCATTGCCAATCTGCCCAAATACGATGTCTCCTGGTTCGGCCTTCCTTACGCGACGATCAGCTTCTCCACTGGTTGTCATTTTCTCTCGTGCGTTCATGCCATTCCCCCTTGTCTCCCCTCGTGACGGCCAATCGTCAGACTGACCAGGTTGATGTCCCTGCTTGTAGAACCATGCACCTCTTCACAAAGACGAACCGATCCCTTCTCCGGGTTCTATGGGGACCTCGCCATCTTCACCATCTCAGCGGAAACGTGACCACCCCGCTTTTTCATCATTTCGGTTCTTCTTCGTGGCATTCTTATGACGCCGCCTTCATCAAAGCCATGAAACATCCTTCACAGTCGCTCTTCCGCATTGGTGCCACACGAACTCAATGGACTTGGGCGGCAATAATCTTGTTTCCTGCCATTGCGATATCGACTTTTGTCGCCACGGTGTTGTTTGTTGTCTATCAAGTCAAGATGCGTTCTGTCCGCCGGCGATTGATGCAGTGAGACAAAGAACCATCCTGACATACCAAGCTGCAAAGACTTAGGAGGTGTGTGTGACATGGGATGAACACACACATATGATAATATGTATCAAAACGGCACTTATTGGATCTGACAAGGTTTAACCGGAGCCAGGGTAATAATCAGGACTATTAGCACGTTGTATGTACTCATATTTTCTCAGACATTACGAAGCACACAGAAGTTCCGCAACTCCATCATACTATGCTTTTCAGAAAATTCCTGATTAGAACCCAATTCCTACTAACGCCAGTGAACACGAGCTGCAAGCGCAATACGGTAAAGCGGCATATAGAATTTCGGTGTCCAGGTACTTTTATATCACAGTTTCATACGGAAAAACACTCCCTACGTGGTGATTGTTGTACCCCTAGTGGTGACGAACTACCGTCCGCTAGCAGTGAACAGCAAGCACTCTCCTTGTACAAAAATAAATGCAGGTGCACGACAGCAAAAGCCACGAGTCGGACCATTGAACCTTACACTCTCAAACAGCAGCATGATGATGAGTTTCGAAAGGCAGTCCAAATGCGATACAACCAACCGCCATCCACATCCCCGCCGACACATATATTGGAACCACGGTAAAGTTGGTATAGGTACCAATCAGACTTGCAACCAGGCCACCGAATCTTAGAAGTGTGGCGGCGAGACCTGTGCCCAGACCTCGAGTTGGTGCGGCGAACGATTCGGGAGTAAAGGCGTACATGATTGCATATTCTGTGCAATGAGTCAGTCATGAGTTTCAGGTAAAGGATTTCTCTCAGGGAGAAAAAAAAGAAGATGCTGCGCCAGTGTCTGGATGGTGGGTGTCAACGTACCAAAATTACCCCACAGGCCAGTGATGCATGAGAATGCAAGATTCGCGGCCGCATTTCTCGCACCGGTATAGGCAAACAGGAAAACCCCGGTAATGATGGCGGAGATTGCCATCATGTATCGACGACCAAGTCGCGTCTGCACCATCACAGCCGCGGAGAGAGGCCCCACGACGCCGACGGCAGATTGGATACAGTAATCGCGGTAGGTCTTGTCGAGAGACGAGCTCGTTTGGAATTTCTGGGCCAGATAGGTCGGCAGGAAGTTGAAGTACAACGGGTAGGCGATGCCGATGGTCAACCAGATGAGCCAGATGATGGTGGTGTGTCGAGCCAGCTTTCTGGTGGCGAAGAGGCTCTTGAAGTTGGCGGATTTGAAGTCCGCGATGTTTTCCTTGAGGATCTGCATCTTTGAGAGCGATTGGCCCATCTCCTCGGGGCTGAGAGCGACGCCCAGGTCGAGGTCGATCTGTCTGAACATTTCCAAGGTCAAAGGCTCTGGTCTTTTGTTGCGACGTGCCACGTAGTTGACCGCTTCGACCGCCTCAGCGTCGCGGTTCTTGGACAACAGATACCGTGGAGACTCGGGGAGCTTGAAGACGACGATTCGAATGAACGCAAAGGCCAGCGTCATGGCACCGAGAGTAAACATGACATATCGCCTGTCGAAGGAGGTTGTTAGTGCTGTGCTCAGAGTGATGTGACGGGGGTTTTGAAAAGGAAGAAAAAAACAAACCGGAGCGTCTTACCATCCCATGTTGTCGGACTTGGAGCATGTCCCTGGTTCGGAATCAGAAGGACAACTATAGTTGGCGATAAACACCCAGCCGACCAGGGCCACGATCACTTGTCCCAGATTCCACCAAGCCGAGAGAGCTGTGAGGAGGTGCTGATGCGAACCAGGAACAAATTCTAGAAAGATCATCGAATCGACGGGGACATTGCCTCCTGCCGCGGTTCCAAGGATGGCCCACATGACACAAAACCCAACAAAGTGGTCAAGTCCACCGACGGCCACGCCGAAGATGCCACCGATGAGGAGGGTGGCGTTGAAAGCAGGCTTCCGCCCGATGAAATCGGCCGAGATACCCCAGAAGGACGCTCCGCAGATGAGGCCGACATAGTAGGCGATGGAACTGAAGCTGACTCGAGTAATGTCTGTGAATTCGAGTTTCACAGCGGGTTGAATCGTCCCGATACCTTGAGACCAGCTTTTTGTATCTTCATGTCAGGCTTTCTGTCTCTATTCTTCTTCCACACCCAGTCCGCCTGCCTCTGCAGATGGGCGGGCGACGGCGGCGGCTGCGGGAAAACTCACAAGTTGTCCGTAATCCAACCAAAACCAGTCACGATGAATAGCTCCCACTGGTAACGACCCATTCCTATTTCCTCCATACACTGACTGACCAACGCCGACTTGAGTCGGTACGAATCAGTGATGGAGTTGCCATAGAATTCTCGATTGGCGGCATCGTCAAGGGTTTTGATATCGCCGGCGATCTCAGTGTCGGCAGGGGCTTCGACGGGAGCGATGCCGTTCTCTTCATCCATCTTCTTTTCCGCAGCAGACATGATGATGATGATGACGATTCAATATTGATAGACCTTGAGAAGGCAAGGGGAGGTTCAAGTCTGTCACTGGGAATGGCAATGGCAGTCTCCTGGAGAGCTTGGTTCTCAAAAAGATACGCGTTGACCGTGCATTGCTTGATGAAGGCCACGGGCTTTGACGGTGATCATCAAATCTGGGGTCAAAGGTGTAAAGAACCAGGCAGGTCCAACTCCACCTTGAGAGGGAGGTGAATGGGTGAAGCTCGAGTGTTTGAAGAGTGGGGCGCCTGACAAGG